CTTCAAGTGCCTGTACTGCATGCCATTGTCTCGGTGGCTTGTATTCACACTATCTGCGTCAGTATACGAGGTATTCAGGATGGCACTTTTTCCAAAGGCAAGCAAGCAGCTGCTTCAACATTAGGGCTCTTTCTTGGGTAGGCAGGACATGGCATGGAAGCAGGGTGCACTACTGTTGTACTCCGCTGGTACTTGGTGTCTGTTTGGGATGAACCATTGTGTGTGGGACACTTGTGCCGGTAGTGTTTGTGCTAAGTGCTCACTTGGGTTTGGTGGCTGAGTACTCAAAGTTGTCTGCATACATGTCATGCTTGTCTGGGATCCCGGTCTGGCGCAGATGATAGCAGAGGAGGTAAATGTAAAGGATATGGTGTTGTTCATTGTCCCCCGAATGCCATCCATGGTAATTTCCGTAATTATCGCTTAGTGACATAAATTTGTAGTGCTAGAGCCTAGTTTTTCTGACCTTGCCGCTTTCCTTCCATAGTCTGAATGGCTATACTCCCAGCCTATAGTCTGAATGGCTATACTCCCAGCCTATAGTCTGAATGGCTATACTCCCAGCCTATAGTCTTTGTTACAGCATGTAGCGGCACTTCGCATCACATGGGCAGCTGGCTACACACTCTCACCCCATTGTTGTGGGATGTCCTTGGTCCTGCTCCTTCTAACATCAGTCAATCAGCGTGGGTGTGTAGGTACTAGTGCCTGAGTTACAGTGCAATCATGGGGCTGCTTGTCACCCATCCAAGTGCACGGTGTTCCAGACTCAGTCACACTTGTATTGTTGTAGTCCATACCACTACTAGTACTAGCAGTATCATTCTTCCATCTCTGGCACAAACAAGTCTCAGTGGGACTGCTTGTGGAGGTGCCTTGGGAAATGAGGGCCAACATGATACCTTTGATTGAGACAAAGATCCCTATCATATCATTGTTACATCCAGAAGTGCCCTGCTCCACCTCTTGCTCTTAGTATGTATCTAATATTGACTGAGTACGAGGTCAATATAGGAAATAAAAGCTGAGTAAAAGACCGAGGCGAAGCCGAGGTCTTTTACGACGTCTTTTATTTCCTATACTGACCAAGTACGAAGTCAATATTAGATTTATCACGACTAGCCAAAGCCTGTGTTCAATCGCTAAAAAGGAGTCAAATATAAGCGGTCAATATAGCCCTAAGGAGTGAAATATGCAGGAATATTTGACTGCTTAGGTATGGCAAAAATCGATGGGAGTCAATACTAAGGGAGTGATAAGCACCAGTACTAGTGCTGTGTGACTTCACACTCAAACATCCTTCCTTCTTGCTTTATTGTGTTCCGTTAGTAATGCTGAAAGTGTGCCGTGCGTTGTGAAGATTAAACAGGCTTTCTGAAGATCAGGAAATTTTCCAGATGGTTAGATTATGTTAGCCTGTTGATGGTTCTCATGGTACTTTTGAGTTTGACTATGAGGATCACCAGACACAGGCCAGCAGTATCTGCGTGTTATGTGGGTGATCATCATTGGTGATGTCACAAAGCCTGGGGAGTAATTTCGTACTCGGGACCCCCCCCCCCCGAAATGAACGTAGCAGCTTGCTGTGCTGGACGACGAAAATTGCATGCATGTACATCTGTACAGTGTCGGTCGACTTTGAGATTTTGGCTCCCACCCTCCTCCTCCCCCCCCCCCCCCGAATGATATTCGTTTCAGGAACAACAAAACTTTTGCGACGACCCCTAACCCCGTGCAGAAATGATTACTTGGTTCTCCTTGAATAGCTGTAGAACACACGGGTCGATGCATGCACATTGGAAGTGAGTCCACTGTTCACACGAGAAAAAAACCTAGCATGTGATGGCAACCTGCACCGCAGTACATGTATCAGTGGTCCTGAGTGTGGTGCTATTCTTTGTTGGGTTGTACATGTATATCTGGAGTACGATGTTGCGCACAAGGTTAACATGGATACAGCGGATGGGATTTCAGATTGTTGCCTACGTTATGGTAAGTCTGATCTACTCGCCTCACACCGCTAACTTGAAGTCTAAAGCGGCTAGGAGCAGCATTTGAACCTTGATCCTCGAGGGTGGTGATGTTCGTAGGGATGAGGACAACTCAATCATTCCTCCGTGTTATTTAAAAAGAAACACAGTGTGCAATACCATAGCGAACATAGCAACTTTGCACAGAAGTAAGTTCGAGTGATGTTTCAGTTGCCACTGGAGGTTCACGCATACATGCACTCCGGGCATGTAGGCTCTGGGATCCTCAGGATGGTTTGATTAATTAAATTCCTGCGGATCACTTTGTCACAATGTGTGCCACTCAAATAGTGACCACGGAGCCTAGATCTACTTTTGTGGCTAATGTGGAGTCTTGAAGAAACTTAGTTGAAGCCATTGTTCTGTGGTCATATTTTGATGTTATAATTATACGTATTGGACGTTGTGTCCAACTCAGTCATAGGAGGCGAAATCATGGCGGTAGATGGCAGTCCTACTCCTAGGCCTCCCGCCTCCTATCCTCCATTGTAGACCCTTCATTTGAAGTAAGTAGTTACACGTACAAATAACAGTAACTGGTGCCTTTTCTCGAGCCTCGTGAGTCATGACTCATGGCGTGACAACACTACAGTAGTCTGTGTGTACGTACGTGCCGGGCCAAGCATGAGTAGACCGAGTTTTTGGTCGCATCGGGGAGATTCCCTGGCCGTTTCCCCAAGGCGCAGAGGTCGCAACTCTTTTTTACAACACAAGACCTTGGCGTGCATTTTCATTACGTACCTGTGCTTGTGCTGCCAGTACGTACTTGTTATGTTTCACTTCTGCCTTGACATCGACCACTGCACTGACTGACTGACTGAGTTTAGCGACTGTTACGACGTGTTTCTTTTGCCTGGTTGTGCTTGGGGGGGGGGGGTTCCTTTCGGCCTGCTGCTCGACGTGCATTTTTCATGCAGTTACAGTAAAGTGGCGCGGTTGCAACGCGACAAAGACAAAAGTATCTTTAGTACTCTACTCAGCCAGCAGGCGTATGCGACCACTGACCAGGACCAGGACCAGGATAAGTGAAAGCAGTCTCTTGAGGCGGCCAGCACGGCACCATGTACCTGCAATAAACCGATCGTGTTCTACTGACGAGGCATGTATGTAGCGGTGCTCTTACTCTTAGGCTCTTCTCGAGCTTTTGGGAGCTGTCAACTTTCGGTGCGCGCCCGCGCTCTCTCGCGTCGTGTTATGCCGAGCACAAGCCCCAACCGTTGGCAAGAATTCTGTCTTCTACTTTTGATTTAGTCTGGCGATAGCTGGGCGCACCTACCTCTTCGGGAACCACTGATCTGTTCGCGTGGCGGCCCAGCTTCGAAGACACCCTGGCCTAGAAGCTTGGCTAATAAATTCGTCAATACCACACACAGCCTACACGATTCGCTTGTAGTCTTTGCGCTAGCCGAACCGAGCAGTCATTGTACAGAAAAGCAGTACAGTCATGTAGATCTACCACTCAGGTCCGCTGTACCAGGTGCCACACTCCAAATCCAACCTCTTGCGGACAGACGGGTAGTCGAGTCAGTGCCTACACTGCCACTTGAACTTCAAGTATCAGTATGTCGTGCACTTGGGACGGAGAAAAGAAACCTGGACTTGGAGTTGTAGTCGTACTGCACTGACTCGGCTGTTTGTCAGGGTTACGTAGGTCGCGTTCCGGTTGTTGCTGTACATGTACTACTGATCTGAACAGCATTTTAGTTTGTCCGTTTTCATGGTTTTGCTAGGATCTTTGACGTTGCCGAACCATTCTGCGGAGTCAGTGCATGAAAAGAAGTCCCTTGCCTAGGCCCTATCTGTAGTACATGGTAGTATCACCATGATCACTCCGCTTATGACAAGTTATGTGCAGTGCGCAGGTACGAACTACCAATTCAATGAAGGGATACAGTAACACCATGGTAGATCTACACGATGTGCATGCTGGGGAAGTAGACAATCGGTCATACATTCGGCATGATTTGCCCAGCAAGTGTCCATGCAAACAATACATGCGAACTGCAAGCAGCACTCTACTCTCTAGTACTCCAACACTTGTCCGACACGTCCCGTTTACCAGTCCTTTTCACTTCGAGTTCGATTGTGCACATGTGCCTTTCAAGCGAGTTTCGCTGCCAGTACAGTGGGGTGCTGTCGAGGCAGAGGGTTCTAAGTTTAGCATCAGCGATACGGATTCGGACGCCGGACGTGCGCTAGAATCTCGCACTTCCCCATTCGACAGGTGCGTTCTAGGCTGCGGTCTACAAACGTAGTGCTTGGCAGGAGTTGGTTGACCGAGCAGTAGATCTATGTGTAGTGCGCTACAGCGAAGCAGCAGCTACTGACATAGTACTGTACTGAGCAACACTCGAAAATCAAAGTGAAGTGTGGACCATTTTTGTGAACATGATGAACTACTACAACAAGTAGACAGAACTAACTATTTACTTCAGAACTACAGAAGACGAGTGAAGGGAAGTCCCACACAACTAGTAAAAAAGTACTTCCCCAGTGCAGTGGCTGTGGTAGATCCGCGTAGAGAGGCTGTGGCCTAGTGTAGGCGTAGTATGCTTCTGCTGGTTTTATTTTGTTGGCGTGTAGCTCATCGATGGCGATGGTGTAGGTCTACAACTGTACTGCTTGAAGTAATAGTTGTATCATGTGTATTGCCCTTGCGTAGATCTACTTCGGGTGTCAACCGTCCGTGTACGTGCGTGTGCATGTGCAGATGGGTGAAATCCCTGGACTAGACCGTTACGTGCCGCGACACTTGACTTCTGAATGAGCACACACGCGGCGGGGCTGGCCCTGTTTGCGTGCTTGGCGTGAGTGTGTGCCGCACTTGTGCGTGAAATGCACTGCATGCTGGGCACGGTCCTCAGCTGTTTGCGCCCGCTGCATGTCCACTTCAGACGCAAATAACAGTTGTGACCTGCCAACTGGTAGAAACAGAGAGTGGCGGCGGCTATAAAAGCATTGATGGTGCTGTAAGGCACATCAGTTCTCTAGCTTGCCGCAAGGTTTCTTTCATTTTTTGTTTCCTTTGTTCCTTCATGCACTACAGTAACTTGTAGGACTTGTTACCTTGTAGTTAGTCACTGCGAGTTTACTAGTATTTTGATAATAGTCATCATGGCGGACTTTGAGAAGAAAGTGATCAAGCTCGACGTGCTGGTCCTTGGTGACATGACTGTTGGAAAAACTGCGCTAATCAGTCGCTTCATCTTTGACACATTCGAGACGAACTACTATCCAACGTTCGGTATTGATTTCCTAACCAAGATGATTTACCGACCGGACAATGTTCTTCGAGTGCAGTTCTGGGACTCAGCCGGTCGAAAGTGTTTTGATAGCTTGCTTCCCTCGTACATTCGAGATAGCCGACTGGTCCTGGTTGCGTACGACGTGTCGCGACGGCCGTCCTATGAGGTAGCGCTCGACCATGTCGAGCGAGTCCGGCAGGAGCACGGAGACGATGTATTCATAATGCTGGTCGGCAACAAATGCGATGTGTGCACAGCTGAGCGACAGATATCCACAAGTGAAGGCCAGGCCAAGGCCAAGGAGATCGGTGTCGCCTTTTGCGAAACAAGTGCTCAAAGCGCCATCGGTGTAAAGGCAGCTTTCAACCAGATTTTGACCGCTGGAATGAACTCTCTGACGAATGAATCAATGAAGGAGCAAGAGGAGAAGAAGGCCGCAGAGGAGCAGGAAAAGCAAGACGCGCTGTGTGCCAATCTAGTTCTTCCCGACATTCCCAGTGGAGATGCGTTGGGAAACCAGTATGGTTGCGGCTGCAGTGTCGTTTGGAACTGCGTCGCGTCGTTCGTCAAGTCGACGGTCTACGGTGCTCAGGTTCAACAACGCAATGACACGGTCGTACAGGAAGCGTGAGCCGGTCTCTCCTGAGTCCTGTGACTTGTTCATGCCTGGAGTTTGCAGTGCCGTTTCAACTACCTCTTTGACTTCCTTGGGCCTGGATGATGACGGTGACCATTCTGGGATTGGCACAGCGATCCGTTGATCCGTTGGCTGGCCACTGAAGCGGTTTACTTGACTTTGACGGAATCAATGCCTTGATTCTTGAATGGCCATAAAGACTGAATAGAACAGTCAGTGCGTGACCTGCTATGACTGGAAGTAGTTTGAGATGCAATAACCTATATCCCCCACTGAGGACAACACAAAGCCTTCTATCTATTTCGTGGAGTAACGTTATTTTCCTGGACTTCATCTGGATGGCATCACTAATGTCGCCACATATCTATCTATCAGTATTATTATCCAGTTACTGTACTCAATCAGTTTTGGTATTGGTTGTAAGTGCGTAGGTACATGACTGTACTACCACTGCTGCTAAAACTAGTGATTGACTGAGTCAGGACCAGTAGTTGAGCCTGAGGCTGCTTTCCCATTTTGGTTTGAGTGTTATTTTATTTTGATACTTGTCAGCTTGAGCCCCTAACTTTGAGAAACCACCCCACGCACTTACTTGACTTTGTCTTTGGGCTGCCTTCTGTGCCTCTTTATGTACTTTATTCCGCACTTGAGATCTTATGTGGTCACACTATTATCACCTACTGAGAATATCAAGTACTCAGGTTTACTGGCAAGTGTTGCCTGCAATGTTGCTGTGTGGGCATGACTGCAGCCTGCAGGGTGCTCTGGTTCGCAGTGGTTTGTGCACAGGGTGGGTGGTGGGATGGCGTGGAAAGAGGACAGTGCGTCAGTGCAGTGGCCTTGGATTGTTGTTTGAAGGACTAGTGAATCGTAAAATCCCGGCTGCTAGTGAATGACTAATCATTGGAAAGAAAGACTAGTGTCAGAGGATTGCAAACCCCCCAAGTAATGTTAGTTGGCAGGATGTGGGATGTAGTCACAGCAGCATTGCATGAATCATTGAATGTGCCACATCAGACAGCACACTATCCTGTTGTGACATGATAAGCCAGCTGATAATGACGTTGACTGGGAAGTAGGTGTCTTGGGACAGTTGGGATTTTCGGAGTTGTCTTTGTCCCCCACTGGCACTGTGGATAAGGAGTGCCATGCGTCCCTCTCCTGTGGGATGACACAATGTAGCTAGCTAGTGTCAAAGACAAAGACGGGACTTGGCGTGTTGTCATGTTGATATCCGAAGTGCAGTAGTGCAGTAGTGCAGTAGTGCAGTGCGGTGACTGACTGTATTACCAGTACCTGTACATTATGTAATAGAGTGTATCTGTTAGTCCTGCTAATACTGTTTCAGCATTTCGGTGTTGTGTTGTGCTGGCGCATAGTGATGGCTTGTACTTGTAGACCTGGCATGTAATGATGGAGTGTAATGATGGCATGTAATGATGGAGTGTAATGATGGAGTGTAATGATGGAGTGCAATGATGGAGTGTAATGATGGAGTGTAATGATGGAGTGTAATGATGGAGTGTAATGATGGAGTGTAATGATAGAGTGTAATGATGGAGTGCAATGATGGAGTGTAATGATGGAGTGCAATGATGGAGTGTAATGATGGCGTGTGGGTGTACATGTACCATGTGTACACGCTTCTGTGTTTACTGTTGTGTAAAAGCGGGCACTGATTTTGTAGGTTTTTTTCATGTATTCTTTATTTGAATTCGCAAGTACACCCAGGCTACAAGCCCATGAAAGCGCTACTGGGCTTCAGGAATGGCTGGGGGCTGTGTGCTATAATGGTGGTCTGTTTGAGCTGAGTGCTCCACTCCCAGTGCCTTCTGGGTTCAGGACTGGGCTGTCCAATACCGAAAATAATCTCTGTGTTGGGATATTTTGGGGCCGGTCGGGTAGTAAAGTATAAGTAGTTGCCATGCGCAAACAACCCCTACACAGCATGCTATGTTTACATTTGTGCTAGCAGCCCGTCTGCTATCATGCACACACATGCACACGCATGTACACAACCAGTAGGACTAGTATAGCATCAGCAGAGCTGCCAAACATGGCAAGTGCTGACACCCACTGTCAGCCTGTGCATATTTGGCCCGCAGCAGTTGTACTCTTTGACACATCCATTGGCAGTAGCTAGCTGGGGCTGCTTGCTGCGCCTTGCTGTCATGAAAGAGGTACTGCAGGGATGCTTCCCCTGTATGGCCGTAAGCTCGTAATAATGCTGTGTGCTGGCCTGGTGGCTGAATAACAATGGTCAAAACGATGGCCGCACCCAGTCGTACACCTTACATACTATGATTGATATGCTACATGCTGTAGTTATGCTATACGTGCATCTGCTATGACAGCAAGTACATGGTGTGCATGTACCCAGTCATGTCAGAATAGTAGTAGTAGTGAGTTGTAGAAAACACCTGGGGAGTTGTCATAGCAGACTTTGCAAGTACAGTGTACATGTAGCAACTAACATTACTTCGGACAGTCCTAGACTGATTGTCTAAAGAAACTGGAGTACTACCAGTATGGATGGGATGGGCGTATTCCATGATCAGATTCCTGTGTCTGGTTCCTGGGTGTGGGTTACGATTCAAGGCTCTATCTCACTGTGACAGTAGCGTAATACCACCCAGATGAGAACTACATTTTGCACTGTCTACAGCTAGTGATTAGTACAAGACTTAGTAGTATTGTACTTGTACTTGTAGTGTCAACAGCACATCCCTGTCCTATTTCATGTTCGTATGCAGCACTATGCTGCGGCCTGAATTTCTCAAACACCCATACTAATTTGTCACACAGGAGATTATTTTGGCAACGCACACGTTCCAAACTACAAGAGAGGATCAACCCCACCATTGCATGGATACGGTGTACAGAGACTTCAGCGCCTGCCTCTCTGGCAAGTCCTGTAGATCTACTTGCCCTGCCTGATTTTGGTGGGGCATCCCCTAGTCACATTGCAGAGTTGATGAGCAGAGGCTACACAGCGTGCTCATCTCTCATCTGTAATAGCACTTCCGATTATGGAGACCCCCTCGACAGGCGAGATGCCTTTGGGGAATCCTTTTAAACATAAGACCACTTTCAAGAACTTTCAACAGATGTAGGCTTCGCATATATTTTCGGAATGTAGTTCCCATAATTCTTGCTCTCTTCTCCGATTTTCTGCTCTCATCTTGCTGCAGACCGTGGAGAGGGAGATTTCGTTTCGTACAGAAACTGGCCTATTCTACTCATACTTCAAGCAGCTGGTTGAAGCTAAATCCTTGGACAAAGGTACATGGGACCATGCTCTTAGTTTGGTGGATACTGTAAACCAAGAAATATCTGCGCCGGTTTTAGTTTGCGATTTGTGATCACAGACTAATTTGAACCTGGAAATATTTGTGATTGGAGTCAATTTCATTAGAAACACTTTTGTGAAGTCACACCCATCGCACCCTGTCGACTTGTAACGCTTATGCTGCCCGTATTCACGCAGGCATTCATCAGCTGATGTACGACAACATGACGGAACATGGCCACACCATCAACGTCATGGAGAGGATGAACATTCACCAGGAAGTCCTGCTCGGCATTCTCTTCAGGACATTCCGTGTGCCTCTCCTGGTGAGTTCATCCGCATGCTAGTCCAAGACAACTGGCATTATTTCAACGTACCTGTATACACGGCATTGTGTCTTACGATGAGTAGTACGAGTAGTTATATCGCAAGCAAGAGTCGCATTTAGCACTAATTCAGTTACGTTCTCTTTCGCTGAGCCGTTTACACTCAGGATGTTGACTTTGTATGCTTGTAGGTATCCTCTAGTCTCAATCGTATCAAGGATCCGGAAGAACAGTGTTAGTACCTGCCCTCATGGCCAGCGGCGGATCCAGCGATCTCTACAGGGGGGGGGGGGGGTCCAATAGTCAAAACCGTGAATAGCTGGTACATGTACAAGGACACGCATATGGTTGCCAGTAGTACATTTGCGAAATTTAGGGAGTTGTTCAATCAGGAACATTACACCGCGGAACCCCTGGAACCCCTCCTGGATCCGCTCCTGATGGGCGGTGGGGTTGAAAGCTGACCTGAGCTTTAGTGATGTTATGTGCATTGCATGCTGTGCCCACAGATCAACACGGAGCCCGTCTACTTTTACTTGAATGCAGTCTGGTCACTGCAGGCTATGTATGTAGTGGCCATCTTCTGCACGGTCTGGGTCCTGACTGGTGGCTGGGCTGGTGGTGTGCTCTCCGTACTGCTGTTCACCATCAACAGGTGAGTAAAGCACCGCTCAGTCGGCGTACGACTGACACAATGCACAGTATTCCTTTGACATTGAATATGAAATAGCAGCAGTAGCAGCAGCATTATTCTGCTCACTGACAACGTCACTGTAAACTATAGATGTGATGGCATTGCAGGCTCAGCGGCATGCTGGATAGCGCAGGTGCTGTGATGTTTCCAACCGGAGAATGCCACGGGGCTGGGTTGGTGATATACACAGTTGATCCAGGGTATTCCAGCACTTTTTCATTTTTCTCTTTGTACTGTAGTCATTTTTTGATGGGCTTCAGAGGTCAGGTGCTGCTGGCTGTCTTCACTTCCGGTGTGTGTGTGTGCTTCCTGTTCTTGTTTGCAGGCAGGATACGACTCGAGTGTGGTTCTCTATGCCACTGCGGGAGAGCTTCTCTATTCCATTCATCTTTGCCCAACTGCTGTTTGTCACAATCTACTTCAAGCGTAGATCTTCAATTCCGCATGTAAGCTATGCCGGCGGCACAGCACCGCTCAGCTTGTCATGAAACAGTATACTTTAATGCTACTAAAGTTATGTACAGTCATGCTGTCAGTTGGTAATGGTAGTCCATTGTCTAAGTTCATTCCTGACTTTCCGTACATTGGTCCCCCCCCCCCCCCCAGAGACTCAAGTAGATAGATGGTGCATGTCTGAGTACTACACATTCGTCATCTTGACCTGCCTTTTTTATGATGGGTGCTAGGAATGGATCTTGAACGTTCATGAACTTCACCTTTGCCTTCTCCTTCCTTCCCCTTCTTCCTTTTTTCCAACTAGATTCTGTCCTATTCTGTCTGTTTCTTCCTTGTCTCTTTGGTTGCCTCAAGTTCAATGATTCCCTGTGTGTCTTGGACTGGCTTGGGTCCTCGGCTCTGCTTGTGTATGGGTCTTGGAGTGGATGTCCTTCTTCCTCTCTCCCCCGCTTGTGCCATAGGAGATACTTCTGGCAGCCATCACCATTTGTACATTCTGCCTGTCTGTGACATGGCAGTTTGCGCAGTTTGTACTGCTGCTGCAAGCATTTGCCCTCTACTCTTCACAAGCACTGCAGCTGGTTCCCACACATAAGGTAAGTTGGAGGGCGGGAGCCGCAAGACAGTAAGCCACTGCAACCAGTGCAATCTTGTCCACTGTGCACTTCTACATGTACTTAGGAAGGATCACGGTGATCCAGGAAAAGTTGGTTGCAGTTGACCACTGACTTCTCTTGTGTTATCCAAGCTATGAACTCGGTTTTACTGTCATGGCCAACAAAATCAGACCCACGAGTCAAAAGGCAGCGCCGCATTTTCATTTCAATTCCATCAGGCACAGTCCAAAGAACCCATCCGAGGGTTGCAGGGGCCGCCTGTGCCTTGGCGCTGCTCAGTTCGGCATGTGGGCTGGATTTCTTTGGCCACGACTGCACTTTTCTTATACAGGTAGAATCCTGATAATTTGAACCTCAAAATGCCAGGATAAAACTTCTAATTATCCGGACATTCTAATTATCCGAACATGAACCCACAACACATGTATGTCAAAATGCTCTCATGGTCACGCAGAGTCGCGCTATGGACCTTAGACACAGATTTCACGGATACGGAACCGAACGGCACAGCCTGCTCATGCAAACTGAACTGACCAGTACAGTGTGCAGTGAACTTCGAATTACACTTTGCTAACTTCGAATTATCAGCACAAATCCCACACATTTTCTATGTAAGTGGAATTCGTCGGACTTCTAATTAACCGAACATGTCCAGTTCAAGGTTCGAATTATCAGAAATCGTATTGATAGAAATCGGTCCTGGAAAAACTTCTAATTAAGCAGTATGTTCGAATTAAGCCATATTCGAATTATCAGGATTCTACCTGTACCCATATACGTCTAGTCATTGAATTCTACACTGTGCAAACGCCGCCGTGACTGTGTTGCTTGCTGCTTGCAGGTTCGTAACGTCATGATGGTGCAGCTGCTGTGCTTGGCGGCGGTGTGCTTGTTGCAATTTGGCAACACGCTGATACCGCGCTCGCTCGTGATCAGCTTCATTCTAGGATCGCTCATTGTCTTCACCATTCAGGTAAAGAATTACCCATGTACAAACCGATGTGAGGTCTAGGCGCGAGGGCTAAGCTAGGTTATTCGAATAAATTGTATTACGTATTACTCAAACTTGTATGAGACTTGTATATGGGCTTTACAAGATACTGAAGTAGTGCAGTTGCTTTCTACCTGCCTTCTGTACTTTTTGTTGTTGTTGCTATTGAGCAGGGTGAGGATGGTTTACGCAGCCGATCATTTATTGGCAACTTTGGGAAGCTGGTTGGCTACACACTGCTGACGTTCGCTGTAGCCGCAGTTGCCAATGTCACGATAAAGGTGAGGACACGTTGCGCTGGGTCTCCAGTCGTGGATCGGTGTGCTGGTGTGCTGGTGTGCTGGTGTACTGGTGTGTCTCATACTTTGAAGTACTGCCTGCACATACAGTGCTACAATGAACACCCGAGTGAGTGTGAGAAGACCACTGCAATACATCAGAGACCACCGGTGTTCAACGACCAGTTATGTCATGTAGAAGACTAAGTTATGTTTCAACGCACATTCTAACCTGTATAGAAACAGAAGCTGAAGAAAGACCTGTTTTGGAAGACCAATTTTCTGTGCATTGTGGGCTGGTCGCCCAACACAGGTTTCGCCATAGTGCGTAATAAGTTCTGCACAGCAACAGCTCTAAAGCACCACACTCCCAATAACAGCTGTCGTTCATAAACGGTGGACAAATACAGCATATTCAATGTACCTACCTCTCGTTACACTGATATGTAGCCTAGTGTGTCATGTTGACATGGTTGCCTGAAATGTGCCCCGAATCTGTGTCTTGTCCTGGAAATAGGCACTGATAGCTGAAGAGGCTGATCGTCACATTTACAATTTTGTCCGGGCCAAGCTTGGTCTGAGTTCACCTTGGGCTGACAGGTCAGTGTATTGGTATTTTAAAAAGATACAATCATTGTTTTCTGATCGGATCGCTTAGTGCGTGAAACTCGGAGTAAAACACTGTCTCTCTCCTCCTATTGTTTTAAAGATACAATCATGTAGGTGGTAAATTTAAACATCCTTCCCCAGGAAAAGAGAGTGGTAGTCCATTGAAAACAATTAATCCTACTGCCGGAATATACTTGTGATGAGTTATGAGTAGGGGCGAAACGATTAGTTCGAATATTCGAGTATTCCTTCGAAAATTTCAAACGATCGAGTATTCGAAATTTTTTTACACTCGATCGTTTTTTTTATTTTTTTAAGTATTGGCATTCTATTTTTCAAAATCTTTTGTTGTGCCGCTCATCCACTGGTATGCATGCATTGAGTCACTATTTTATGACTTGGACGATGCGATCACCACGGCAAGTAACGTAGTAATAGTTACGATAATATCATAACTAACGATTTTCATCAGTATTTTGACTATTTTCATATATTATATGAAAATACTGATGAAAATCGTGACTTTACACTCTGTACAAGACGTTGGCGACTTTTGTTCAATGTTCACAGATATTTTCTTCCGAATTGGTCGAGAACTCACAAATCTAGCGCTTTCGAATTTTGGTAACACACTCGAAATAATCGGATACTCGATTGAATATTATGAATGAGTGATCGATTGGTCAAAATAGATACTCGTTTCACCCCTAGTTTAGAGATGAATTCAGATTAGGATTGTATTCTGTATGTTGTTCGAAAGAAGGTTGAAACGTGACGAACATGAAGTCTATAGTCAAACCGTGGCCACCACATGCGCTCTCCGTCTGACCTCGTTCACCCCACCAGCAACAGAACTCCAAACCGTAGTAGATATTGACATCAATTCCTCCATACAGCTGCTTCGAACTTGAATTCTGAATATAAAATGACTCTTGGAGTGAGCTGTGGGCTAAACAGTTTTGGGGGCCTTTGTTATGCATGGATGTGCACACACTGTCTCCGTACAGTACACATTCCGTTGTGTATACAGTCAGACCTCGCATAACTGCACACATTCGTTTTCCACTAAAATTTCCGGATAGGCGAGGGAACCGGATAATCGAACACATAATACTGTGTGCATGCATAGCATATGCAGTGCTGCCAAACCGTCCGATTTTTTGAAGGCTCTTCCGAAAACCGGTCCGAAAAAGGGTACGTCTGAAAAGCAGCCAAAATTGTCAGTGGTCAGTACTTTCCCATGCAGAAGCCCTGTATTTTCACTTTTGATCGCAACTGAATGCACAAAGCACTATGCATGTGCTTCTAAAAGCACTCATGCATTACAAAATGCATGAGAACTGCTGGGCGCCGTGTTGGTTACAATGGCAACAAAGCGAACTTTCTTCTTATTTTGGGCGATATTTTGAATTCTCTGAAAAAATGCTAACAGGAAAAATTCGCACCATGTGACCGAGCATGCAGTAAAAGGTGTCAGATTTTGGGCGAAAATTATTTGGCAGCACTGCATATGCTGTAAATCCGTAACCAACGATTTTCTTCCGGATGGCAAGGGATCCGGATAAAAGAGGACCGGATAAACGAGGTCTGACTGTACTTCATGCTCAGCACTGTAGTGTAGAGTAAGGATGGCATGGCTGTGCTGAATGCTCTGTTTGATCAGGGATTTCGACGTACTGCTGTACATCTGCGATCCGTCGTTCAAGGGCTTGCCGCATGAGGTCTGGCAGGACCTACTGCGGAACTTCTTGCTCGTACCGTACGCAGGCAGTGCAGCGGTGCTACTCATTCTGCTCACTATCTCCGTCCTCGCCAACTGGTGGTGAGTATTCAGTACTGTCTAAGTGCTACTGTCACAGGCTATTGTAGCGGTTTCTTTGGCACTGGGCATTTGTTTGTACTTAGAAGTTCAGAGACAGATGCTACCTTCGCAGTAGTTTGCAGTGCTTTAACGTAAACTACATGCTGAAGAACATAATACACCAGGAAGTACTACAGAGTTGTGTCCGAAAGAGTCATCAGTTTATCCGCATGCTAAAGACACCCTCTACATCTTGTGATGACTAGCCCCCGAGTTGTGCAGTATATGTTAGAAAGCTGCCTGATCAGAGCGTTCAGTATCCACGTGCTGACCTTGATTTTGTGTGAGTAGTTGTTGGGAATGTGCTATATATTTCCCCCTACTATCGGCTTTGCTGCAGGGCCCAGAGCCATCCCAGTAAGGTAAAGTGTGATGATGCACGTGACGACGATGCAAGCGCTGATGACACCGGCAGTGGCAGTGGCTGGCTGCTGGGAAGACCGGACATTGCCTATCATCTGCTCTACACTTGCTTCTTTGGGTTTGTGGCGTTCACGACGCTGCGCTTCAAGTACCTGTGGACGCCGCACATGTGCATACTGGCAGCCGTGGGTGTCAGCGACGCACAGCTCTACCAGTGGCTGTTGAGTCGCGTTGGTGTGAAGAGCGAGAAAGCGGTAAGCCAACCAGTACAACGATACCAGTTATTACTTATTTACATGACACAAAGGTAGGCACTGACGCTGCTATCGTGCTCGACACACGTGAAGTGCAGAGCCGGGCACAGAGAGAGAGAGAGAGCCACGTTTCTTTTTGCAAGAAACAACAACAACAACAAACAACAGCAGCAGCAACAACAGGAACGAGAAACTTGATTCTCTCTGTTCCCAGTGTGCTAGTACATTACACTTTCATAACTTCTCTGTACTCCAAACGTACAATGCTTGTAGCAGGCTGAGTGTGACTTCGGTAGCGGGTCCTGTCAATTATAATCTCCATCCCGAGACCTCAGCAAAGCTTGTATTCTTGCATAACATTCCCTTGTATTGTTCTCGACTGTGTGTGCATGCTAGGCCCGTGTGTTACAGCATCTCGTGGTACTGGCAATGGCTGGCTTTCTCGTGTACACAGTAAGTCTCAACGCCGGATGTAACATGTGATTCAGAACTGTACAGTCGTACTTTATAGACCTCCAACACACATGTAGATGTCACATGACTACTTCAAGTACAGTCGAATGTCACTTATCCGGTCGCCAGTTATCCGAGCACGTCGGTTATCCGACAAGCCCGGGAGTGGTAATTTTATGACTCTCAACAGTAAAATTCTTTAAAAAACTTTTTTTGTGTGTATATTATACGGTGTAATATGCATTTACTTGAAGTAGATGTGGTCAAGTATGCTAACATGTATGTGTACATGGAGCAATTCATGAATATGCATGAATATATTATATTTGGGTATTGTGTACATAAATCAGTGAAATCCAGCCATATATGCACATAAAAAATGATGTCAGTTATCCAACATATCCAGTTATCCAACATGCCTGATTCCCGAAGTGGTCGGATAAGTGACATTCGACTGTAGAAGCAAAGCAAAGCAAAGTACATGTGGACAGGCACAAGAGTAATGCTCGATTGACACTTCATTTCGAACGTGGGAAACGCATCGCAGCGCCAGTCGCGACGAAAAGGTTTCCTTGAGTTCAACTTGTTTGGCCCATGGCACGACCATCACCGTACACATTGTGAAGTGTTTCCTCTAGGCGAAATAAAGTAAGAATCGGGCTTAGTGATGTCCTATGATAGAAGTGATGATTGTACCTGAAGTAGAATCGTTTCTTTGAAGAGCAATGCTGTCTGTCTGCCTGGGCTTGCACTTTGCTTGTTCGACATCCACTCCTGTGTGCGCGTGCGTGTGTGTGTGTGTGTGTGTGTGTGTGTGTGTGTGTATGTGTGTGTGTATGTGTCCTGTGTGTTTGTGTCCTGTGTGTGTGTCCTGTGTGTCCTGCACAGTACTTGCCCATAATAAGTGAGGAGCTGGGATATCTTGGCGAGTTCTACGATCCGGACACAGTGGCCCTGATGAAATGGATCACGTGAGTACTGCTTCGTTATAATTATTAGATACGATGATAAGCTATGATGAAACGCATCCGTAGGAACGCCACCGCCCTTCAAGGATCAAGGCGCAGATGCAGCTCCTAAAGCGATGGTTTTTCAGTGCGGAAAAGAAGAAAACTCCCTGCTCCTAATCTGGACACCTGCACCATCGTGCTGTACTAGTGTGACATGTCCACGTTGCAATGCTTTGCTCCAATCATGCAAGCATGATTTCGAAAGCAGATGCTTGAGAGAATGACCTCCATCTAGACTATGCACACATTATTCAGCCCTATGAAATGAAGAAAAAGGGCCTCCAATCCGGCCCCGGGGATCAGAATTGAGTGCGAGACACATTTGCTATCAATCGCACTGTGTTGTTGATGTGAACAAGAGTGAGTAACAATGGTTTATCTGTGCTGGGAAAGCAAGTGCTATATCGTCTTCTTGTCTGTGCCCTGAAAGGAAATCAACGCGGACAACGGCTGCCTTTGCTGGCAGTATGCAGCTGATGGCTGGGGTCAAGCTGTGTACAGGTCATCCCATCGCCAACCATCCACACTACGAAGACAGGCGACTCCGAGAGCGCACATGGGAGGTAAGGGCCGGGTTCCACTGCGGCTCCGCGGTACTTGGCTGCATGCAGCGGAGCAGCGCGGTTCCACTGACACTCGCCATTCGCGGTACCGCGGTCGTGCTTCATGTTTTTTGATGACGTTCTACCTGTCTGCGCGCGCGCAAAATCAAAAAGAATCCTCGTCTTCTGGCCTACACAATGAATTAAAATTTGAATTTTAAAATTCTGCATGTTTGCCTGCCTGTTGTCATCTCCACTGCAGATCTACCAAATCTATGGCAAGCAGCCAGCGGAACTGGTGCATCGCAACCTGCGTAAATACGGCATCGACTACATCATCCTGGAGAAGAGCATCTGCTATGCGCACAACGACGAACGCTGGCCTGGCTGCCGACTGCCCGACATCATGGACCGCTGCAACGGGCATACACTGGACTTTCCAGACGGGCAGCACAACGAAACGCTGGTGCCATCTGAGCATGGGCGTTTCTGTGACGAGGTTCAAGCCGATGACAGCTATAAGAAGTACTTCCGCTCGAGTTTCAGCAACAAGACATTCCGTGTGTTTAAAGTTCTCAACCTCAGCAGCGATAAGTGAAACATGAGAGGTGTATTCATAGCGAAATGTCCAGCTGTTTCAAGCTGGGCCCATTTCTTTCTATCTTTCTCTTTTCATACAACTACGCAAGACAATGCTATCATACGGCTGGTATATATTTCATGCTCAGTTTACTTGTACAGATGATATAAATATTTCAAAAGTATTGATTTCCGATCATCAGCCCGAAACGGATAGTATATTTTTTCATGAATGGTTGCACATGGAAGATTTCCCATGATTATAATGCTGAATGACAAGACAGTGTGCTTGTTGGATGAAAGGATAATGTTATGGAGCGGGACTGAGCACTGAATCAAGCGATTTCAACTCAAATACCGTTGTATACCGGTACACTTTCAAGTCTGTGTACAAAACAAAAAGAAAGAAAAAGAAATCAATGGTATCAGTATGGCGCATGTCTTCTCCTTGGTGGGGGTGGTCCATCGGTGTACTGGTTTCTCCTGCTATCGCGCTGACGTTGTCTCGGGTGTCTACCACCACGTGCCGGTGCTTGCTGGTAGTTATGCTGGTACTGTCCGCTATACTGGGCGTCATCATGCTGAGAGTTCCGGTGGTGAGGTGGGGCAATCTCGCTGCCCTGGGTAGTGTGACGGCGACGGTTGGTGTGCGCGCCGCCATTGTTGGCCACGGCGCTGCCAGGTCGCTTCTGTACAACAAGCTGACGTCCCTCTCCCTGGCCGTGAGATCGATGCAGCAAGCCCATGCGCTGGCTGAGCGTGTGCACGATTGCCCTGTTCTCTTTGGCAAGACCCTTGCCGAACACAAGCGACTCCTCGTCTGAGGACAGGAAATCGCGCAGTAGGTGCTCAATGCGTGTTTTGTCTAGGTCACCTTCCTCCATAGCGCCAATACCGTGACGATGACCGGTACCTGATGTGCCTGTCTCAATGACGGGCTCGGCACGGCCCTGGCCATCTTTCCCAAGACCGCCCGTTCCACTGTAGCCCATTTTCTTCAGCAGCATGCTTCCTTTGCTGTTCTCACTGACCTTGTCTGCATCATGATACGTTTTACTTACTAGATCAGCGTGGTCAATGTGAGACTTTGCCTCCTTGATCACCTGCATGCCCGAAGGAACTACCGCGATTCCGAGCGACTGCTGAGCTGCACGCAAGCGCTCAAACGCGTTCTTGGCCGCCAGGTGCTTTGCGGATTTCTTCTGCGGTGCAGAACCGCGTGCCACGTGCACGGAATCAATGACTACACTCACGCTATGCATACCAGCCGAGTCCATCTCACTAGTCACATAGTCAACGACCACTCGCGACAGTTGACCCGCATCATTTAATTTGGCCACATACAGTTGCTCGTTCTCACAGGCACGCATTCGCATCCTCTGCGCCAGGGACAGTAATCTGGGCGGGAACGTAGCCCCATCAGGAGTCGTAGTAGCAGCAGCAGCAGCAGCAGCAGCAGCAGTAGTGCTGTTTATGCTATGGCAATCGGCCGCGTCGACAGGCACATCATTGGCCACTGCAGCCGCGCTGACTTCTAGCTCTACTACTACCGCTTTGCTTTCTCGACGTGGCACGGGTGTTGGCGCTGATCTAAACACACCACAGCAAACCAGAAGACCCCAAACTTTCTGTCACAACCTGCACCCTGCATTATCAGCACAGTGGAAGTGTGCGCTGTGCGAGGCACGTTCTAAAACAAACAGCAGTATTTTTTGATTTTGACAAGCAAGTTCGTAGCCTTAGGGATATCATTGACTACTTGAGGAAGGCCATTGGCCGAAACGTATATAATGGAATGGTTCGGAAATTTGCAGAGTATTGTGGAATGGGTGAGTTCACCCAATTGTATCTACTATGAAACTGCAGGAAGCCTCCAAACTTCTTCTAAGTTCGTATCCCAATTGCATATTTACCAAGTTTTGTCCTGTTATCATCGGGTTGGCATGCACATACATGATTAATTTTTCACAGCCCTGCATGATAATTTGATAACCATGCAATAAAATGGCATGCTGAAACATCACATTATAGCTGGCCAACAATCGAAATGTCGGTGTTCGAAATTATAAGCCTGTCCCCGGGGAAAATTGCGATTCCGCGGCCGCGTTTTTTTCCGCGTTTTTTGCGATTTTTTAAAAGACCGCGTTTTCCGCGATTTTCCCGCGTTTTTGAACTTTTTTGTTGCACTACACGTACACAAAGTGCACTCTTCGGTCAGCAACGTCTCATCGTGGCGGCTTTTTACTCAAATATAACGAGTGCTTACACCAGAGACTTGTAACTGATTGATTTCACTACATACTCACTGAAAATTTCCGCACATAAATATTATTCACCGCATATTTACCGCATATTTTACCGCATATTTACCGCAAATTCACCGCAAATTATGCCATATTATGCCGCGTTTTTCCCCGCGTTTTTGCGATCTTTTCCGCAATTTTCCCCGGGGACAGATAAGCATGGTCACAATGGCAACTCAAGGACGATGCCCTCTTTTTCGAAAGCTTGTTGTGCGTGGTATGGTGTAGCTGAGGACTGTTCGTGTGTTGCAGGCTTGAGGTTTTGCTTCAGTGCACTAGTACAGGGGAGTTTCAAAGTTCTAAAAAAAAGAAAAAAGATTACTGGTATGGGCATATGTGGGTGTAAAAATAAATAATACGAAAGTGCAAAAAAGCACCAACTCACCTTCCTTTACAAGCTGTCACACTCTCCCATGTAGTTGGCTTCCATTGTCTCACACGATCTTCCACAGCCTGGGGATATCTGCATCCCATGAGGATGATGTTATAGTGAACATTCGCCAATGCCTCAGCCAGTGGCCTTCCCAAGTCATCCTCAGAACCTGCCACAAATTCACTTCTTTGAAGATCAGCGCTTTGCTTAGATAAGCTGCACATCAGACACACTAATCAATACTACTGAGCTATACTTGGGCTCCTGTTTGACAGTAGCACAGTGAGTCGACCTGTCTTCGACCTGTGTTAGTACTACTAAGCACTACGACAATAATTTATTTGTGCCAAACTAAGCTTACTTGATTTGCGAGACCGTCCTCAAGGAATCTGTCAGATCATCTACAAACCCAGGTACATGTAGACTACACGCTTTCGTTGTAAAATTAATTATTACTTATTAGTGCCAATGTTCAGTACATACTGTAAACTGTCTTTCAATATCCGGATACACGGCTGTCAAGAAGCGGCAACTTAGAAAGATGGCGTCGGTTCGAGATGGCATGGTAACCGCGCACGTGCCGTGGTCCGTGACTTGCTCATGTATGCACGCAAATGCAAGTCACAAACTGACAAAGATCGTCTTTGCATTTGGAGAAAATATCTTCGACTCTCTTTGGAGGTTGGCGAGGTTTGCCTAATCTTTACTTGATTGCGATGCCGGTATGTCCTCTCAATAATTAGAACAAAGAGAGCTGATGATCGCTTCAATGCTGAGCAGAAGTAACAATGAACTCTCCTCAGGTCCTCAGTGCCAAAGGCAGACGACTGCAATTCCACAACGCTCATTTCACGATGATGGAAACAATAATCGTGTACGAGTACTACACTGTAGTGTAGTACACACTTGGACCATTTGGTCATCCCTATTCTAGCCGCTAGTCCGTCCAGCAACCAGATATTGACTATTACGATAAGTACAACTGCGTGAACGAGGGCTCACCCAGCAAATTCAATTCAGGACGTGACTCCAGTCAAGAATTAGGGTCTTTACTCGAGAACTTCACAAATACAGGTCAAGGCACCCCACAAAACTGATAGATGGCACGAACGAAAGACAAATAGGCTAGACAAAGTGTCCCAAGTGATTGAAAACAGCAGATCTACCAAATAAGACAGCTACATGTGCCTAAACATCGATTCCCATACAGTAGAGAGTAGCATCAGGCAGAATGAAAGCCTCGGAAGTGCACAAATACAGCCACGACCGCCACAAAAATTGGACGACCGCCACAAAAAAATTCTCATTGCTCTACCTCCTTGAAGGGTGAAAGTTACCAGTTATCCTATAGCGATGTCAGTTTATGCCTGTTGGAACCCCCCACAGCCCGCACGAAATACCTTTCAAATAATTCCAGGATGCAATTGCAGCTCCAGACAGGAGGAAGAAGAACACCGTGAAAAATAACGGCAACGATGCCCAAACTCTCGGTAAACGGCTGAAGTCTTTCTGAAGATGTTAACATTGAATAGCCATCGATTACCAGCGTGGTTTGGTGACTTTAGAACTGTTTTGAGACTTAGAACGAAGCGATATTTCAAATTTGATGGAATTGTTACCTGTCAAATGCGTGGGCGAGCAGGCCAGCTGACTGGTTATGCATGAACATGCATGAGCATGCATTGATTTTTCATGGTTCACGTGCAGAAAACTAAGTTGCCGCGATCCAAGTGCAGCTAACAGCCGTGGATATCCCAGCTTGAGTTGTGATTGAAATGTTCAAAATGTTGAAATAAAATCGTCGCAATCAGCTGGGAGTTGTATCGCGTAGACCTAGCTACGCGCGCGCTTTGTGCGTATACCGTGTACCATGGTGTACGGGCGCCGGCCGCGCCGCGCCGGGCAGTCTGAGATCTGGTACACGTGCACGTGCTAGATCGCCACGTGATACAATGTGCCATGTGCATGTGCGCATATGCGCATGCATAATTATAAATTATCGCATGCCGGCATGCCCGAGACGGCGCGGCGAGAATAGAGAGGTTTTGCATTCCGAATTTCGGAATGATTTTCGACTGTGCTTTTCCGAAAAAAGCGCGTTCCGAAAAACGGTATTTTCAGTGTTTTGCATTCCGAAAATCTGATTCGACTTCGTTTCCAAGGGTTGCCATGCAAAACAAAATGGAGAGCGTCGAAGGGGTTGATCAGGATCAAATCCATGTGCGCAGGTCAAACTGAATTATTTGGGTGCGGTTCGAAGACGAGGACGGACTGATGGTGGACCAAGTGATCCAACAGCTGAAGACGAGGTTGGCGAACTACTGTCGTTGTTGTACTGTCAGTAGGCTTCATGGCAAAGGAAGATAGAGTGTGATGGAGTGTGAGAAGATTAGTCAACATGGCGAGATCAGCGAGAGCAGCAAAACCAGCAAAAATCTAAACTACATACGTGGAAAAATTTCAAATAATGGAGATCGAGAGCAGCAGAAAGCAAAAATACAAACATGAAAAATACATAAAAAGGCGACGTGGAGACAATAATCTTAATAATGCAATGAATATAACTAAATGCGCACTCATATCACAACCATGGGGACGAATCATGTATTCCAGAACGTTTTCTTGTCACAATTATCAATGGAATTCGTGACTAAAGAGAATGATGAAACTACAATAGGATTTATACACTTGCAGTGGAACAGCGAGGATACAAGCATAGTAAGAAAAATAGCACAAACCTAGGAACAATTTGCACAGGTAATAAACTATAGGTGAGGTGAGAAATGATAGGAAATTCAGCAAGTGCAGTGTGACAATGGACATGCATGTGCAAGTGTGTGTGAGTGCGAATTTACTGGAATAGCTGTGAATCGAAGATAGATAAGTATTTTGGTCGGGAGGACCTAGCCGCCTGTGACAATATTGAGAGCGGCACGTGTTGTTTGATACGTTCGGACAGATGTTGAAGGGTCCTACCAACATACCGACTACCACATTGTCGGCATTCAAAGTAGTAAATGAGGTGACTCAATTGTAGGGTTGGTAGGACATCCTTCAACATCGTGAACGAACGGATCGTCGTGAACACGGTAACCACATTGGTGGCAAAGTAGGTTTTCTCCACTAGGGATTTCACCACACGGGCCGTGTCCCTCGATTCTTTCCCTTTCCAGGGCAAGCAAAGAAATACGCGGCACGGCAACGGTCCGATAGCTCGTTCCTTAACAACAGGTGTAGTTGTTAGAAGTTTGTCGAGGAGCTGCTGCGGGTAGCCATTCTTCACAAATACGGAGCGTAGAAAATCAAGTTCCTGTTGTAGCTTTGTTGGTGAACAAATGCGTTGTGCCCTATTTACAAGGTTACGAACTAAGTTTGACTTGTACTGGGAAGAGCAGAACGAGTCAAACATCATGTACTGCCCGGTGAAAGTGGGTTTACGGTATACTGTAGTCAATACACCAGTCTGGGTCTTTTCGACTAACACATCCAGAAACGATAGCTTATTGGACTCTTCATGTTCACACGTAAATCTCAGTGCAGGATGGATTGTATTCAGTTTCAGCAGAAAGTCGTCAGCGTCTGCTCTCGAATCAAAGTACGTGAAGGAGTCATCCACAAACCTGACGTACAATTCCGGCCACTTATCTATCTTCGGATAAGTGGCCGGAATTGTACGTCAGGTTTGTGGATGACCCCTTCACGTACTTTGATTCGAGAGCAGACGCTGACGACTTTCTGCTGAAACTGAATACAATCCATCCTGCACTGAGATTTACGTGTGAACATGAAGAGTCCAATAAGCTATCGTTTCTGGATGTGTTAGTCGAAAAGACCCAGACTGGTGTATTGACTACAGTATACCGTAAACCCACTTTCACCGGGCAGTACATGATGTTTGACTCGTTCTGCTCTTCCCAGTACAAGTCAAACTTAGTTCGTAACCTTGTAAATAGGGCACAACGCATTTGTTCACCAACAAAGCTACAACAGGAACTTGATTTTCTACGCTCCGTATTTGTGAAGAATGGCTACCCGCAGCAGCTCCTCGACAAACTTCTAACAACTACACCTGTTGTTAAGGAACGAGCTATCGGACCGTTGCCGTGCCGCGTATTTCTTTGCTTGCCCTGGAAAGGGAAAGAATCGAGGGACACGGCCCGTGTGGTGAAATCCCTAGTGGAGAAAACCTACTTTGCCACCAATGTGGTTACCGTGTTCACGACGATCCGTTCGTTCACGATGTTGAAGGATGTCCTACCAACCCTACAATTGAGTCACCTCATTTACTACTTTGAATGCCGACAATGTGGTAGTCGGTATGTTGGTAGGACCCTTCAACATCTGTCCGAACGTATCAAACAACACGTGCCGCTCTCAATATTGTCACAGGCGGCTAGGTCCTCCCGACCAAAGCGTGGCCGACCACGTAAGCACCCAACTCCACTGTCCGTTCCGGCAGAGGCTTCTGCTCCACAAACGGTGTCTCGGAAAAACCAACACAGCACGCAGAAATTGGGAACAAACATTAATGTAAACAAAGACGAACACTGTGTCTTATCTTCATTATCAGCGAGTACCGGAACGCCGGACGCAGACAACCGCAACTCACCAAAGCTGAGAAGGAGCAAACGGCTGGCGGCAGCTCGGTTTGCAGAGGTGACTGGAAAGATGCATCGAAACTCTCCGAATATGGATGATGCCAGCGGAAGAGTTGACGACTGTCAGGCGTTTGGCAATGGCAAGGGAAGACCGGTCAGGAAGAGAACGCGACGGCAGCTGGAGGAGGAGTGTGGAAGCGACGTGTGCAGTGAAGATGATGAACCCGGTGGTCAGTTGCTGGGAGAGCTGACGACAGGTGAAGGTGGCAGTGATGATGAAGAGGACGATGACGATGATGACGATGATGGTGCAGATGGTGTGAAGGACGGTGGCGGTCAGAAACCAAGTGAAGGCGGAGGCGGTGAGAAGAAGAAGAATACATCGGCAATTAAATTGCATTTGTTGTCTAACCCCGTGTGTCGTGAAAGTTATGATGATTCTTGGTTCAGTGTTGTTCGTTCTGCAAGTAGTTTCAAGCAGTTGAGGGTTCTAGAAGCAGTCTACATTCGCATTCGTGATCCAAATCTTTGTAAACAAAAAGAAAATGTCACCGCACTTACGCTATTCCAGTAAATTCGCACTCACACACACTTGCACATGCATGTCCATTGTCACACTGCACTTGCTGAATTTCCTATCATTTCTCACCTCACCTATAGTTTATTACCTGTGCAAATTGTTCCTAGGTTTGTGCTATTTTTCTTACTATGCTTGTATCCTCGCTGTTCCACTGCAAGTGTATAAATCCTATTGTAGTTTCATCATTCTCTTTAGTCACGAATTCCATTGATAATTGTGACAAGAAAACGTTCTGGAATACATGATTCGTCCCCATGGTTGTGATATGAGTGCGCATTTAGTTATATTCATTGCATTATGAAAAATACACTTTTTTGTATTCAAATATGCACTCGAGTACTCCCAAACATGAAAGAGCCGAAAATCCATTTTCGGAAAACCATGCACTTTCGCCACCACACTTCCGAAAGTTCGACTACTTTTTCGACTGCTGCCGCCACATTCCGAAAATAATTCCGAAATTCGGAATGCAAAACCTCTCTAGTGTCGACATAAAAAACGGTTTTTAGTAGTCTACTCGTAGTCGATACTGTAGTCGTAGGCTCGTAGCTACAATTTGTAGCTAGCTCCCAAGGCCAAGAGTACACCAGTACACTGACCCGGGTTTTGTACTCTTGCCAGTCTTGGTACTCCCCAGTCCAGTCAGGATAATACTGCAGCCAGGTTGCACTTTCAAAGGCAATGCCAAAGGCTAGGATGGCACTACATCAGTACATGTACAAGAGTTTAGTACTTCAAGTGTAGTTGTTTCATCCACCCAGCAGCATACCAAGGAGTAGTGCAATAGTGCACCTGTTTCCTCCTGTACATGTACTTTGTCAATCATCCCTCTTTTGTTTTCCACTTTGCCAGCAACGTATCATTTTGAGTTCCCTCATACTCACGAAGAAAATTCCATTGATTGAGAAACTGAGATTTTTGAGTTTGGTTTTCAAATTATCGTATCCAAAGAAGATATCGATACTGGTGCACACCAGTTGTCTACAATGGATGCGCAAGCTGTTTCTGAGCTGCGATCACGTTTGGAATCATTTCAACAAGGCCACCTCTTGCAGTTTTGGGAGCAGCTGGATGATGTTCAGAAGCAGTCTCTCTTTGATGATCTCTCATCTATTGATCTGCGTAAAGTGACTGATTACTACAAGAGAACCACGCGGCAGACTGGCGGTGGTGGTGGTACAGAAAGAAGTGATGAGTCATTGAGACCAGTACCTGATGAGCTGAGTGGCAGTGTTAGTCGTATGAAGAGTGATGAGCAAGGTCATTACAACACCTTGGGTCTTCAGGCCATTTCCGAGGGAAAGGTGGCGGCACTGCTTCTCGCCGGTGGTCAGGGCACACGTCTTGGCGTGCCGTACCCGAAGGGAATGTACGACGTCGGACTGCTGTCGAGCAAGCCCCTGTATCAGCTACAAGCCGAGCGCATCCTTCGACTGCAGCATCTGGCCAAGAAACAAAGTGGTGTGGATTGCACAATACCGTGGTAAGTGATCACTGGCAGTAGAGTGTATGCATCCACAGGGATGACGGCGCATCTGCTGCGATTGGTCAGGCCACACAGTTTGTAGTGAGGAATGCACTGATGCCAGTGATGAAGGTCCCGAGGTGGATCGGCGCAGCCGTTCCCGAGTTACAATAGCTTGCAGTTTTCACTAAATTTGGTGACACCATGATGACATCAACTTAATTGCCCAGAAGAGGCCCGATCTGTGACGCCACAGAGATAGACTTTTAAGTTTATAATGGGAGTAGATTGGGAAATAGCAGTAGTTTGGCTATCCATTGTCCCAAAGAAATCAGATATTTTTCAAACATCGATATGGGACGTAATGTACCTTACCGGCATGCCTACTAGACTGGAAACATGTCTGGCAAGAAGTAATTTGTTGTGGTAGAGAAACAAGAAAGAAATAGGTTTTTCCCCATGTGCTCCCATACAAAGTTGATCTCTTTGACATCACAGTCACAGACCTGGCGTATTCTGGGTAAGTTAATGACGTCATCATGATGTCACCACTTTTAGTGAAAATTTCGAGCTGATGTAATTCCAGAAAGGCTTCTCTGATCAACCTGGGACCTTCGCCATTGGATGGTCATGTGTACCCGCCGTATCGTACATAATAGACATCCTTAGCAAACAACAGTAACGCTATATTTTACGGTACTCGTACCTTCATCACCCAAATAGCGTTGAAGCTGCAGCGTAAAAACGTTATGGGGGCGTTGTGACCAACGGTACGTTTTTTTTGGCCAAATATTGCATAGTCCGTACGCATTTCACCTTGTATCGCGTATATGGTGACATAAATGGTTGTACCGCGCGAAGTAAAAGCTATTCTCGTGGCAACATCGTACTAAAAATAGCACGCATCTTGCTAAAGGTCGAGCCCAAATCACGGTATTTTCCCCCTTAGGGGTCGTCCGTAATTATCGAAAAATTAAAAAATCCGTCCTCGTGCAAAATTGTCTTTGACCCACCCACCCCCCATTTTTTCCCATTAATTTTTTGATTTTTACCGATGCCCAGCTCGAAAATAAGAACTCCTGACCCCATGTTCACTGATTCAGTGATTGCACCTACATGTACATGACGTATGTATGTCAAGTACTAGTAGCTAAGTAAAGTGAGTAGGTCTACCGAAGGCCATGCACGTCCTACAACCACAAAAAAGTCATGTACCGGTATATCATACTGGTGTTTGCGATCCTACACTACAGTGCACTACGAGTCAGTGCAACGAGTGTATGAGTCACTGACGAAAAAAGAAAAAAAGGTACGAAAAATCAAAAAATTAAATTCCGCCAGCACTCTTGACCACCCACCCCCTTTCTGCCTGAGGACGGATTTTTAATTTTTCGAAAAATACGGACGACCCCTTACGGTAATACCGTTACAACAACGTTGTTTGCTAAGGGTGTCTAGTATATAAAAGAAAACCTATAGTACGGCCGGAGCAATCAAAACCTGCTGTTACGTTTTCTTACTCTTAGTATTCCCTGTGCCATTGTTCCAGCAGATGCTGCAGGTGTCGCTGACCTGCACAGTTTGTACGAGTACTTGTAGATTCATGCAGTGCGTGTCTACAGCTGTATTTGAATGTGTGCGTAGTGCACAGTTTGTAGTTGTCCCCTAGGCCCTGTGCCTGTGATACGTGATTTGTAGTGCGTGTTAGCTTACACGTGGGAATGCTACGCACTTTCATGTGACCTGTTTTACTTCCTTCTCACTGTACTTCCATTTATGCATGTGTCGCTGGCATACGCGACACGGGCCGGCCGGGCCGGAGTGTGTATTGGTTTTGGAAGCATGTGCCTTTTTGTCCTGTGAGTTGTTCGCATGCGCATGTTGCTCACCGCGTGGTAATGTTTTGGCTTCTTGTTGTGTTGGACCAGAGCTCTACATTTCTACAAGTTTGTAGCTGTTGTGATTTTCCTATGTTCCATGGGTCTGAAGAATTGTGTTCTCCGGAGTGGAGTAAAACTGAACTGTGATTCGGTTGTGTGCGGAAACCCGGTGTTGACGAAAGTGTGTTGACCTGGGTGCTGAGGAAAAGTAACACCTGCTTCCACTGGTCCCGATTCACTGTATGTTCTCTGCTATATTACATCTGCCACTGCATGTTCCTGGCAGCTCGAACTCAGTCAGGGCCGTTGCCAAAATCTCACCTTTGCTATAGTACAACTTTGCTAGCAAGCCATGAAATTCGTATGTTGAGCCAGCATACTGCAAATTGTATTGTAGTCACTTTATGCACATATATGCATGCGGGCACACGAGCTAGTTTATGCCTTCTAAGTGAGTGCAGTGTCATGTTGGCCCAAGTTTCCCTACGTCCATACAACACATCTAGCACTGGCAGGATCAGATACGCCTCACCGAACTGTACCTGGGTCCAATTTGTCTTGCCAAATTGGTATACCGGTAATGGAAATTATACATCTCTATCTCCCCCCCCCCCCTCTATCTCTCTCTTTCTCCTCTCCCTATCTCTCTCTCTCTCTCTCTCTCTCTCTCTCCCTGTCTCTGTCTCTCTCTCCGTCTTAGGTATATCATGACAAGTGAGCACACGAAGGGAAAGACAGAAGAATTCTTTGTCCAGCACGACCACTTTGGCCTTAATGCCAGCGACGTTGTCATCTTCGAACAGGACATGCTGCCGTGCTTTGCCTTTGATGGCAAGATCATCCTGGAGAGCACACATCAGGTAAGTGTGGGCACCTCGATACGGTCATGCAAGTGTTCTAGTATCTATTCTGTACCATCACACGTTATAGCATTGAATGACATTACAGAACAGCTGCACCCCTCCATTGATTTTTGCTTGTGCAGGAAGTTTTTTTAATGAGTGCATGTGTACAGTACATGTACATGTATGAGTGCATGTGTACTGATTTAAACGGTATCCATAAAGGACCGGGGCACTGCCTTTCTCTGCAGACCAGCTGCTGTCCACGAGCTAGGTTTTTGTCCGTAACGGCCGTCCAAGAAAAGGATAGAGTAGGCAGGAGAGAACGTGAGGACGATGCACGTTCAACCTGTGTGTGTGTGTGTGTGTGTGTGTGTGTGTGTGTGTGTGTGTGTGTGTGTGTGTGTGTGTGTGTGTCTTGTCCAGGTGGCACGGGCACCTAATGGCAACGGCGGCCTCTACCAAGCGTTGGGCACGCATGGCATTGTTACTGACATGCGTCAACGTGGCATCACGTGTATGCATGTGTACGGTGTTGACAACATCCTGGTCAAAGTCTGTGATCCAGTTTTCATCGGGTTCTGTCAGACCAAGAATGCCGACTGTGGTGCGAAGGTAGGTCCCCTTGCAGATATGATCCTGTTTTGTTTGTCGCTGTGTATTCATCCATACCGTTGCCTGAGATCTAGCCGTTCCGTGCCTTCTGTATCACCTGGAACTTTCTTTCTTGTCACTATGCTTTTTAATACGTTAGTTTGCGCATAGTGCCAGTTTGTCTATTTATCTGCCTTTCCATCTGTCTGTGTAGAGCAATTGTTTTAACCAATTCTTGTTTTTAATTTTATTTGCAAATTCTGTCCACCTGTTGCCTCTCAGGTAGTGAAGAAAGCATTCCCCACAGAACCAGTCGGTGTGATTTGCCAAGTTGACAACCATTTTGAGGCAAGTGCTACTATACTGCTAGTGAAGCTGAAGCACACGATGTAGCCCCGTCCTTTTTTTTATCAAGGTTTGGGAACCTGTCCGCTGCACCTACAGCACTCCAATGTCCACGCAATTTGGACTGCGCTGAAAATACGTCTGAAAGACTACCTGTTAGTCCGTTGCCTAGGACTACCTGTTCAGTACTCCAATGTTCACACAACTACGATTGCGGGACAGCGCTGTTAATACTGTATCACGTTCAGTAGCACATGTTTGACTGTACAAGTGCATGTACAAGTACAAGTGGAGTGAAGATTCAAGGTGTAGCTAGAGCAGTGAGCATATGCCAAAACTTCAATACAGTATCCAAGTGCTATGATGGATGAGTCCCGGTGATGCACAATGTGCATGGAGTTTATAAGGTAATGGCAGCAGGTAATGCCGCCATTACCTATTTCCCACCATTTGCAGGAAGAGCAATAGTGCGTTTCAGGTAGTTCTGTTTGCAAATGGATACTGAAATTGTAGTAGTATTTGCACAGAGGCGTACAATGTTGTACTTGTTTTAAAACTACATTGTTTATATCACATTTTTTACAATAAAGCGTTTACACATGTGGATTCAGCTCGTGCTTTTGTTCGCCATTATGAATCTGTTTTAAAACCGTGTTTATTTTGCTGCCCATTGCTATTGTGTAGGTTGTGGAGTACAGTGAGATCACGCTGCAGACCGCAGAGAAACGGCGAGCGGATGGACAGCTGGTGTACAATGCCGGCAACATCTGCAACCACTACTTCACCACTGACTTTGTGGAGTCGGTCATCGAGTAAGTCTGCTTTGTCGGGGGAAGGGGTCGCGTGATTGAATCCCGTCGCATTTGCCATTGTGATTTTTAGCTCATTTCACGCGTACAGTGCAGGTCAATACAACCTTCCTGGTAGTGTTAGCGTGGACAGTGTGGACCGTGTAGACAGTGTTTGGCTGCTAGGTCGATGCAGCACCCAACACACTACCCGGGCCACAGTGCAGCACTGTAGCCAACATATTTTGCTTCATTGTGTGTTGCGGGGTCATGTTTTAGTTGACTGTACAGTCGATGCAGTGGTTCCTGAGCTGCTACTAGCTTCAGAGTAAGCAATCCTGATTTTAAGAAACTAACTTCAGATATTTCCCGTTCTATTTTCCTTTTTGTGCCTTTGTGTATGACCCGAATTCGATCTGTAGTCAGTATGAAGACATGCTCAGCCATCATGTTGCCAAGAAGAAAATCCCTTCCGTCCGGGCGGACGGGACTCTGTAAGTGCATGTGTTGCGCAAGCATGCCTTGCCCTGTGGCGTGTGTCTCTGCGTATGGGTATGCGTTTCCGCTTGTGGCACAAAGTTACCATGATTCAGCAACCCCATGGTCACCCAGTTTAGATGAGTGCATCATTATAGCAGTATGGTTGTCACTCTTCATTTCCACTGACGCGTTCAGTTTGCTGATGCCAGTTTTTGATTGTGGTTTTGGTGGTGGTAGTGGTAGTGGTGGTTGGAATGTGGTTGCGGTTGTTGTTGATTTTGGGCTTATTGTGTAAGGGCTATGGTCACTCACTCCTCGTGTTACTGTACCAGTATTGTGTGTATTCTTTGTTCTCACCATGATGACCTCGTCACTTAGAGGTATTGTTTTTGATGGTGTTGTTTTCTTGTTCTTGGTTGCGCTTCCCTTCCTGTGCTTTATCTCCTTCACCTTTATAGATATAAGCCCTCAGTACCGAATGGCATCAAGATGGAGAAGTTTGTCTTTGATATATTCCAGTTTTCACAGTAAGTCAGCCTAGCAAAAATAGCAGTGTACTAAATGTAGTATCAAGAGTCCGTAGCCCCAAGAGTATACAACTCTTCACTGGAGCAACACGCTGCCCACATTACGTAGCCACGAACTGGGAAATCAGCTGGGGCATTGAGTCATCGTTGATCTGCTATGCTTCCCACCTGCCAAGTACGTTTTCTCTGATACTTCGGAAAGTTTTATACGTGATGCACCGTGCACAGGTATTGCCTTCAAACCGACTGTATTACGCGTGAAATTGTTACACCTAAACCAAAGGAAAACTCAAATCCAGGCTGCTTGATCGTCATTTCGCTACGTGATGAAGACAGCGCGCCGCGCAGGGCACCCATAGCTCAAAGATCAGGGTTGCATGCCCTTGGTGTTATTGGCTCTTGGCAGTATGGCCAGTCTACTGTACACCTTCCCTTCATGCTGGCTTCACTCTGTTATTTTCCAAATTACTGGGTGATTCAGCTTGTGTTTTTCCGTGTGCATTATTGTCCTTGTAGGCAGTTTGCAGTGCTGGAGGTACTTCGCGAGGATGAGTTCTCACCACTTAAGAACGGTCCATCAGCCGAGAAGGATAGTCCGCAGACCTGTTGCCAGGCCCTACAGAGCATGCATTACAGATGGGTACTGGCAGCAGGTGGCAAGTTTGTGGACGGTGCTGGTAGTGTGCGTCCGCTCATCCCTCCTTTGTAAGTTTTGGACGAAATCATCTTTTTCATAGATACTGTGCATGAATTTGTTTCCTGATCTGGCTCTGTTTTTGGCTTTGCTGCTAATTTTTGATAATATCCTCTGTGTCTGCAACAATTCTTGGTTCATGCAGGTCTCCTAGCGCCCGTAGTCAATCATCAGAGTGCTGTGAAGTATCTCCACTGGTGTCCTATGCTGGAGAGGTATGTTGGAAGCGACGTGTGTGTGTGTGTGCGTGTGCGTGTGTTTGTGTGTGTGTGGTGTGTGTTTGGGTGTGTGTGTGTGTGTGTTTGGGTGTGTGTGTGTGTGTGTGCGCGTAGGTGTGTTGGGTGGGGCTTGATATAAAATTCTGATAATTTGATTTTCCATTTCCTCGTATTGAGGTGCTGCTGGCTTATAAGGGATTTCCATTCCGTGTGTGTGTGTGTGTGTGTGTGTGTGCGCGCGCGTATGTGTGTGTTTCGATGTGATGTCCTTACGTTACATTGTAGGGTCTGAGCGAGAAGGTGGCTGGCAAGTCATTTCTCATGCCGATCTTGTTCGATGCCGACGGTATGGACTTGACCAGTGGTGATGGTGTGCAGGTCAAGTGTATCTCCAATGGCAATGGTAGTGACCGTGGAGAGCCTGCTCCAAAGGCTTCCCGCCTTGCATGATCGTTGCCGGTTGTCGGTGTGGCTTAGCTCGTGTTGCGGTTTTTAAAGAAATTTAATTATTTGGTTTTAATTTCTTGAACGCTGCCACAGGGCGACTCCTGTTGTAGCAAGATTGTGCTCGTGCGATTTAGCGAGTGCATCCACTAGGATGCTGAAATTGTGACTTCTGTCTGCTCTTCCATTCTGCATTATTTTCTCTTACATTTCAAGATTATCTTTTTTGGTGCTTTTAGTTTCCACTTTGTGCAACAAACCCGGGATATATGGTTAGCTATTTTTCCTCTCCCTATAGTGATGCATACTATGCGCCCCCGTCCTGCTTAGCTCAGCCCTGCCCGCTTATAACTTATTTCCCCGATACTCACGGGCTGGCGTATGTTTGAGAATACTCTGCTGTTTATGTTACTTTTCCTCAGCGCCCAGGTCAACACACTTTCGTCAACACCGGGTTTCCGCACACAATCGAATCACAGTTCAGTTTTACTCCACTCCGGAGAACACAATTATTCAGACCCATGGAACATAGTAAAATCACAACAGCTACAAACTTGTAGAATCTAGAGCACAGGTCCAACACAACAAGAACCAAAACATTCCACACGGCCAGCAACATGTGCATGCGAACAACTCTCACAGGACAAAAGGCACATGCTTCCAAAACCAATACACACTCCGGCCCGGCCGGCCAGTGTCGCATATGCCAGCGATACATGCATAAAAGGAAGTACAGTGAGAAGGAAGTAACGCAGGTCACATGAAAGCGCGTAGCATTCCCACGTGTAAGCTAACACGCACCACAAATCACGTATCACAGACACAGGGCCTAGGGCACAACTGCAACTGTGCACTACGCACACATTCAAATACAGCTGTAGACACGCACTGCATAAATCTACAAGTACTCGTACAAACTGTGCAGGTCAGCGACACCTGCAGCATCTGCTGGAACAATGGCACAAGGGAGTACTAAGAGTAAGAAAACGTAACATTCCCTCCCTCATGAGCGAACGTGGGAAAACTGAGCGAATCTAATGCCCATACGCTATTGGGCAAAACCGTAACTTGATACACAGCATTAACAACGGCGAGCATGCCAGTCACTCATTGAGATCACTTAGCCGGACTTCAGCAGAGGCTGGGAGAGTCACCTTGACTGCTGACGGTTCCACATCTAGGGGCACCAAGCGGTGGACGCTGCGCTTGTACACCTTCCCTTTGACCTTCACGTCCACTACGCGCACCTTCCCGTCCTTTCCAGGATACGTAGCGACCACTCGACCAAGCGGCCACTGAGTCCTTGGGAGCGATTCGTCCAGCATTATCAGGATTTTGCCGACTGTAACCGATGCACTATCACGGTGCCACTTCGTCTCCAAATTGGCTCGAGCAACAATCTCGCGGAGCCACCTCTTCCAAATGCGCTTCATCAGATCCTGAAGCAACTGCCAGCGACGATGCAGACCCCCCTCCGGGGTTGCTTCCAACGCTGTTGCAACTCTCGAATGGCCAACCAAGAAATGCAAAGGCGTTAGCGGCTCCAGGTCTTCACTTTCCTCCGAAAGCGTTGTCAATGGCCGCGAGTTGATGAGAGCCTCGGCCTGCACCAATACTGTCTGGAGCTCTTCTTCAGTTAAATCAGCCTTGTACAGCACAGTCTGGAGAACTTGCTTCATGGAGCGCACGATCCGTTCGAACACGCCGCCGAAATGAGGAGAACGAGGCGGATTGAATTTCCACTCAATCCCTTGGCCTGCATACTCCGATGTGAGGTCGGCATGGTCAAGCTGGGCGACTGCCTCCCTCAGCTCTCGCTCTGTCGCAACAAAATTGCTTCCATTATCAGTAAGCAACATCTCGGGTGTGCCGCGACGCTTGCAGAATCGCGTCAGGGCCATCTTGAAGCCAGTCGTGTCGAGAGAGGTAACCAGCTCCAAGTGACACGCTCGAGATTGCAGACACGTGAACACTGCCACATACCTCTTCTCTTGTGTACGTCCTCGACCTCTCTTCACTAGAAATGGTCCGGCGAAGTCCACAGCGGTGCGGGCGAATGCCAGAAGTGGTCCTTGCGTGCGGAGGTCTGGGAGAGGACCCATCCTGGGAGTGGCTGGTTTGCGCCACACCTTCTGACATCCCACGCAGTGGTGCCGATGTGACTTCACCATTTGCTTGCCTTTCACAAGCCAGTAGTGATCGGCGAGATTGGACAGGATGTGATTCGTGCCAATGCTGTGTCGGCATCGCTCATCCTCTCTCCGAATGATCAGTTCTGTCACTCGGTGTCGAGGTGGTAGAATAATTGGCGATCGAAACTCAGATGCCAAGTGGTAAGCCGTACGCAGTCTCCCACTAACTCTTAATACGGGGTATCCACTCTGTTCGTCGATGCGCGGTTGCAACTTGAGAAGAGGGGCACTGCTTGGCAACTCCTTCCCTTTTCTCAGCGTGCTCGTCACTTCACCATAGCTCTCATCTTGCGCACGCATGATCCAATAGTGCTCCGCTCTTTCAAACTCAGCTGGTGAGAGCTCGGGCACGGCAACCTCCTTGCTGTTCTTGATTGCAATCTTCACACGGGCGTCGCTGAGCGTTAGCTGTGGCAGTCGGCTCTTGCGGCGATTGTGTATGGCACGCATGCACCAAGCCGTGACCCGCACAAGACGGCTCCACGAGGAATAGTTGTTTGGACTTAGCCGCAACGGTGGTGACATCATTGCCGTCATCGTGATTTCAGGAGTCTTGAGCATTTGTGGTAGCTCCTTCGGCACAGCTATCCTGCGATCTGGCCATTCGCTCTGTTGCTGTGCCAGAAACGTTGGTCCATGCCACCACCTGCTCTCCTCTGCCAGCTGTGTGACTGTCATCCCACGGGTGGGGAGATCAGCTGGATTTCTGACTCCGGGAACATGACGCCAGTTCCGTGCCATAGACTGCTGTTGGATCTCCGATATCCGGTTGCCGACTTCCAGCTTGAACTTTCGGCTGGGTGATCGAATCCAATACTGGACATTCATGGAATCGCTCCAGTAGTGGCTGTCGGCTGCTCTCACACCAAGAGCTTCGCTAACGTACGTCCCAAGACGCACACCCAGGACCGCTCCCTGCAGCTCTAGCATCGGAATGGATCGACGCTTGATCGGTGCTGGTCTTGCCTTGGCCATCACCAGGGTAACCTTCGCTGTACCATCTGGTCGCTCTGCTCGGACGTATGACGCAGCGGCGTAGGCCCGTTCTGATGCGTCGGTGAACGTGTGCACACTCAGACCCATCGACGTTGTGCTATCTTGAAAACAGCGATCAATGCGTAGCTGTGTTAGCTTAGGCATCTCAGCAAACCATTCTTGCCAAGCTACCGCCGTCTCTTCAGGCAGTGGGTCGTCCCAGCCGAGCCCCGCAAGACATAGTTCCTGGAACAACAACTTGCTCCTGATGGTGAATGGTGCTAGTTGCCCTCTGGGGTCAAACAGTGATGCCATGCGACTGAGGACGGTGCGCTTCGTGCACGCAGCGGATGTGGGTTCCTGATAGTGAAACGTGAAATAATCTTCGCTGACCATCCACGTTACGCCCAGTGCCTTTTGTGAGGGCTGTCCAGACGACTCTTGTGCCGTTATGGACTTAGACGTGGCCGGCGCGCGGTGCTCCGGTGGAATTGATTCCATCACTGCTTCACTGTTGCTCAACCACTTCCGGAGATGGAAGCCGCCTTTCTTCAGGAGGTATTGTAGCTGAGACCGAAGACGCATTGCTTTCTGGTCGTCAGGCAAGGACTTCAACATGTCGTCGACGTAGAATGCCTTGCGAACTGTGTCACTGACTGCTGGGTCGTAGTTCGCTCCGAAACGCTCGGCCGTCTCCAGCAAAGCTCTGCCTGCTAGATATGGCGATGCACGGATGCCAAACGCCAACCTGGTGAACTCATAGGCCTTGACTCCGTCCCCGGTCTTCCAAAGAAATCGGTGATATCTGCGATCCTCAGGCTGTAGTGATACCTGAAGGAACATCTCCGACACATCAGCAATCAGTGCCACGGGGTGCATGCAGAACCGGATCAGTACCGTGACGAGGTCATTCTGCAGTCGTGGCCCAGCGTACATGTGTTCATTGATGGACGTGCCGTTGAAGCGAGCTGCAGCATCAAACACAACACGGACCTTAGTTGTAGCCTTGTCTTCGCGGACTACTGCGAAGTGCGGCAGAAACCATTGCTCACGGCCACATTGCTGGACTTGATCAGATGTCAGCTCCTGAATGTACGCCTTCTGTAGGTACTCCTCCAGCACCTTTGCATAGCGAATCTGAACGGTTGGTCTTCTCTCTAGAGACCTCAGTAGCGAACGCAGCCGATCCTCGGCCTGCACTCGGTTGCTCGTGATCTGAGGACGCGCTCCATTCTGCCAGGGAATACCGACAACGAATCGACCATCTGCGTACCCTAGCTGCTGTCGAGTCATTTCCTCAGCATGGCGTTCGTCAGGTGACAGGTAGCTCTCAGCAGACGGTTGCATGCCGACCGCTTCCAAGTCCCAGAAGTTACGGACAAGCGAGTCGAGACCTGTCTGTGTTAGTTCCAGGGCATGATGGGTGTGCTGGACAGAGCTGTCTTGTATGGCTGAACCGAAACAGACCCATCCCAAGGGTGTGCGCCTTGCAATGGGCTCACCTGCCTTGCCACTCCGTTCTTCCTGTGCACTGTGCAGTGCTGCTGAATTTAGCCCGATTAGGATGTCGATGGTGCGTTGATTGCTTGCAGCAGGGAAATCAATGTCTGCTAGATGTGGCCACTGGTGACGCAGACGGCTCCAATCAGCAACGTGCACGTCGCTTGTGATCTTTGGCAGCACATATGCCTCAACTTCTGATATCACCTGGCTGTCATATTGATGAAGGGACAGAGACACCACCTCTCGCTCGCCTGAGAGAACTTGACCGCCTAGCACACCAACATGCACTGGCTTGCGCTCTCCTCGCAGCCGTAGTCGGTGTGCAAGCCTCTCTGTGACAAAGCTGCATGTTGATCCAGAGTCAAGAAGGACGTTGGCTGTGGCAGTCACTGTTCCATTAGCGACCTTCACCGGTATCGTCATGAATGAGGTCAAGCCAGCCTCGTCGTCATTGGCTGGCTGGGATTCGCTGTTCACATGGTGGCTAGCCTCTTTTCGCGTTGGTGGTGATGGTGTAAAACTGCCTTGTCGTTCACGGTGCAGCGGGGCTTGGCTGGGCCTGTCCACTTGCTTCCAGCAGCATTGGACACGGCGCTACCAAGCACATGGACTTGCTGCAGCTGCTGCTGCCGTGGCGGCGGCTGCTGCTGCTGCGACGGCGGCTGCTGCTGCTGCGACGGCGGCTGCTGCTGCTGCTGCTGCTGCATATGTACTGGCTGGGTAGTGCAGGCAGCTCCGCCTCTGGACGCAACTCCTGCGTTGGCCAGAGCACATGTACCAACACGCCTGGAAGCAGGCCCATAGTGACTAACAGTACTACTATCAGTGTGGCTGTTATCACTTTCACCACTACTGGCGTTAGTTGTAGTTCCAGTAGTTGTAGAGTCACCAGCAGTGTCACTACTTGAGGCGCTACTGGATGACACATAGTGGTCTGACTCTTCAGACACACCGTCAACGACGTCCGGGACATTCTGCGATAGCTGAGCAGCTGCTGTTCCTGCTACCAGTGTATTCACATTTTCAACACTGGTGCGCGCGAGTGGTAACGGAGGATCAGTCGTAAACCTACTACCGGTAACTGCACTGTCCGACTCCGCTCGTGGTGGCATACAAGATCGCAGAGTCGCACTTGCGCCGTCACGACTTCGTTGGAAGACCACGTCCCCGTCCGAAGCGATTTCTCTACGAGGCGACGGGCTAGCTCCTGCCGCCGACTCGTGCGCAGATTCTTCTTCGGAACGAGCTTGCTCCAAGGCTTGCCGTTTCTGCAGGACAGCTAACTTACTCTGCAGAACTTGTTCCTGCAGTGCAGCAATCTCTTCTGCCACTCGCACTTCGGCCTCTGCCCTTTTTCTGGCCACTCGAGCTCTCTCCAATTCTACGAGTTCAGTGCTCCCAGGACTGGCACGAGTACTCGAGCGCTCACTTCCAGAAAATCCATATCGCCTGGGTTCCTTTCCTTTCGTCGATCTGTGGCTGATACGCCGCTCCTCACTCATGGCGACGACTCTCAGCAACCACGGAAAGGCAAAAGGATCCCGTCGGAGGTGCCAGTTTATGTTACTTTTCCTCAGCGCCCAGGTCAACACACTTTCGTCAACACCGGGTTTCCGCACACAATCGAATCACAGTTCAGTTTTACTCCACTCCGGAGAACACAATTATTCAGACCCATGGAACATAGTAAAATCACAACAGCTACAAACTTGTAGAATCTAGAGCACAGGTCCAACACAACAAGAACCAAAACATTCCACACGGCCAGCAACATGTGCATGCGAACAACTCTCACAGGACAAAAGGCACATGCTTCCAAAACCAATACACACTCCGGCCCGGCCGGCCAGTGTCGCATATGCCAGCGATACATGCATAAAAGGAAGTACAGTGAGAAGGAAGTAACGCAGGTCACATGAAAGCGCGTAGCATTCCCACGTGTAAGCTAACACGCACCACAAATCACGTATCACAGACACAGGGCCTAGGGCACAACTGCAACCAAGAGTACATAACCCCCCACACGGCTGTCACGATGGTCATGTACTCGGCCAAAAAATATGGCGTCCAAAAATTTGAAAATTCAAAAATCTCATCATCGATCTGTCATTGATTTGCTTGAAAATACTCTTTTTCTCTTGAGGAAACCTCCACTTTCCCCTTCCAATCGACCGGGTTTCATAGTACAAACACGCTTCATGACTTCCTCTCGCGATCCTCTTTCATCTGATACCCGTCCTGGCCGTGTTCTTCCAGGAACGATTCCTTCAGAGGTGCGTTTCCTTTGCCTTGACGACTTGCCCTTCGTCACTTCTATCAGCCCTTTTCACAGCTACCTTCTTCTCTTGTAAAAGTTTTCTCGTCTTCTTTGCCAGTTTTCCTGGTGCCTGGGTGACTTCATTTACCGATTTTTTGAATTTGTTTGTCTTTCCGTGCTACTAGATCGATTTCCGTGGCCATCGATTCTACCGTATCGCGTGCTAGTAGTAGTGTGTAAAATGGATGAACACGGTGCATTGCTGTCCACCTGCTGCAGTATTGTTGGCAAAAAGTTTGCCAACATGGCTGTGTCCACGAAATACAACGTGAAGGACTATGCCAGATCATTCAAGATGTGTACGAGGTCGACATTTCTCAGGATGACCCTGCGATCCACCCTACACACATTTGTCATGTATGCAAACGTGTGCTGGATCGTTGTCTGAGAGAAGGTTGCCTTGACTCATTTGTAGGGGATGGATGTGGAGCGATCAAAGTGTGGAAGCCACATCACCGCACATACTGCGACATATGCCACACTGCACCAAACAAGGGTAGACGTCCACCAAAAAAGCAGAAGCAACTTGCTTCAAAGCTTTCTGCTGTACAAAAAAAAGAAAAGAAATGGATCACACAACAGTCCCACAACATTCATCCACAACAGCAATACCCCTATCACACTGTACTGTCCTGGACCCCAGACAGCACACAGTACTAGTGAAATGGATGTAGATGAAGCAAATGTTTTCACGCACGCAACACCGACATACAGCGCACAGAAGAAACTGGACAAGACTAGGTTCGTTCATTGCGCAGCAGGTTCCACAATACACAGCAAGGGAAGTGCCAATGAATAAGAAAGACGGCAGCATAGTGCTGGCATGCATGGCGTACATGCCAAATCTCATTGACATCGTGATGATCTGATGATCTGGACTTGCACGACACATATGGGTGGCTGACCTGGCACGGAAATGTCATTCCGGAGTCCGAGATTCGGCTAAAACTTGGCGGTGACCGCCTCTGGAGCAAATCTTTCGCAAGCCAAGCATCACAACAATGCCATCCGCCCAGTTATCTTGCCAATTCCCGTCAGCAACGTTGTTATTCCGTCTTTTCATCTGGATCTCGGCATTTTCGCATGGCTGTATGACATCTACCTAGCTGAAGTCAAACAACTGGATGTGAAACTGGCAGCAGCAACTCTCTAGCCGTGTGCAGATGATCAGCTCCAGTTTCAAGAGCTAACAGTTCTCAGCGACAAAGTTCGGTCCGCCAGGCAAGCTATGGAAGATGCCCAGGCGAAGAGCGATGAACTACAGCAGCAGCTCCAATATGCAGTGCTCTTGCAGCAACACGCACCGGCTAGCTTTCCCAACGTCAACATGGACACTGTAGCTGCAGCAATACAGCAACTGTGGAAAGACGCCAGCGACACCTTCACTGCTGCAAGTGCTGAGCACAGCAAACTCGTACATGACTTAGACGAGATGAGAAAGAACAAGAAAGTCACAGGACCATGCGCGTCAAGTCTCGAGTCTGTGCTCCAAGCACACAATGTTGATCGGCAAGCCTTCCATGGCGGTGCCTTCGTGGGCAACCATGTACATCGCACACTGCAGCCTGCCGTACTAAGAGCACTGATGTCTGCTCCAGTTGAGGTGGTTTCCACTCGTTGCCAGCAGCTCGTTGCTGATGCAGAAATCTTGCAGCAGCGGTACCATGGATTGTTTTCGGGACATGCCGACTGCAGCCACCGTTTCAGCCATTGCAACAGCATGTCAGAGGCCGACATCTCAAAGCTGGCTGACTGCATCCAGCTGTTTCTTCAGAAATGCAGAGAATCCATTATCACCCGGCAGCTCGGCAACATAACTCCGAAACTACATCTCTTGGAGGAGCGCACAGTCCCGTTCACCAGGAAATTTGGAGTCGGTCAGGGTCGACTCGCCGAGCAGGGCAGCGAGTCAATTCATGCCAGATTCAACAGGCTGAGCTTCGATTATAACGCTATTCCTGGGACTCTGCAGCGCCTCACAGCAATGTGCCAGCAACATCTCGTCGGGACATTGCCACAACATGACGCTGTTCGTCCCGCCACGGCATCAAGAAAACGCAAGGCGTCCGAGCTCGAGCAGTGATCCTCAGGCCCTGGACGCAGCAGCTTGGCCATTTCAGCCCTGATCCAGGTAAGAAAAATAACAACGGTACTGCTGACTCCTAGTTGAGCTCTGTAGTGACAACAGGAAGAGACGTCGTCCAGCAAAAACCTGCTGTCTACCTTCTCCTTCCTTTTCTTTCCTTGTTTGTTGTTGTCCACGGCTGTTTCGCGGCCACCACTTAACAATATGGCGGCCTTCGCCCAGGTTTACGGTGAAATTCAAAAATATTCTGAAAACTGAAAACGATTTCAAGATCCTGTGGGATTCACGCGAAAACTGTGCTTTGTCAAGGTAACAAACACCGCGATCGGGACAAGGATTCAAACTTTCGAAGTCGCACAACAAAAATTGTTCAGCTTCGACAACAACAAACAAGGAAAGAAAAGGAAGGAGAAGGTAGACAGCAGGTTTTTGCTGGACGACGTCTCTTCCTGTTGTCACTAGAGAGCTCAACTAGGAGTCAGCAGTACCGTTGTTATTTTTCTTACCTGGATCAGGGCTGAAATGGCCAAGCTGCTGCGTCCAGGGCCTGAGGATCACTGCTCGAGCTCGGACGCCTTGCGTTTTCTTGATGCCGTGGCGGGACGAACAGCGTCATGTTGTGGCAATGTCCCGACGAGATGTTGCTGGCACATTGCTGTGAGGCGCTGCAGAGTCCCAGGAATAGCGTTATAATCGAAGCTCAGCCTGTTGAATCTGGCATGAATTGACTCGCTGCCCTGCTCGGCGAGTCGACCCTGACCGACTCCAAATTTCCTGGTGAACGGGACTGTGCGCTCCTCAAGAGATGTAGTTTCGGAGTTATGTTGCCGAGCTGCCGGGTGATAATGGATTCTCTGCATTTCTGAAGAAACAGCTGGATGCAGTCAGCCAGCTTTGAGATGTTGGCCTCTGACATGCTGTTGCAATGGCTGAAACGGTGGCTGCAGTCGGCATATCCCGAAAACAATCCATGGTACCGCTGCTGCAAGATTTCTGCATCAGCAACGAGCTGCTGGCAACGAGTGGAAACCACCTCAACTGGAGCAGACATCAGTGCTCTTAGTACGGCAGGCTGCAGTGTGCGATGTACATGGTTGCCCACGAAGGCACCGCCATGGTAGGCTTGCCGATCAACATTGTGTGCTTGGAGCACAGACTCGAGACTTGACGCGCATGGTCCTGTGACTTTCTTGTTCTTTCTCATCTCGTCTAAGTCATGTACGAGTTTGCTGTGCTCAGCACTTGCAGCAGTGAAGGCGTCGCTGGCGTCTTTCCACAGTTGCTGTATTGCTGCAGCTACAGTGTCCATGTTGACGTTGGGAAAGCTGGTCGGTGCGTGTTGCTGCAAGAGCACTGCATATTGGAGCTGCTGCTGTAGTTCATCGCTCTTCGCCTGGGCATCTTCCATAGCTTGCCTGGCGGACCGAACTTTGTCGCTGAGAACTGTTAGCTCTTGAAACTGGAGCTGATCATCTGCACACGGCTAGAGAGTTGCTGCTGCCAGTTTCACATCCAGTTGTTTGACTTCAGCTAGGTAGATGTCATACAGCCATGCGAAAATGCCGAGATCCAGATGAAAAGATGGAATAACAACGTTGCTGACGGGAATTGGCAAGATAACTGGGCGGATGGCATTGTTGTGGTGCTTGGCTTGCGAAAGATTTGCTCCAGAGGCGGTCACCGCCAAGTTTTAGCCGAATCTCGGACTCCGGAATGACATTTCCGTGCCAGGTCAGCCACCCATATGTGTCGTACAAGTCCAGATCATCAGATCATCACGATGTCAATGAGATTTGGCATGTACACCATGCATACCATCACTATGCTGCCGTCTTTCTTATTCATTGGCACTTCCCTTGCTGTGTATTGTGGAACCTGCTGCGCAATGAACGAACCTAGTCTTGTCCAGTTTCTTCTGTGCGCTGTATGTCGGTGTTGCGTGCGTGAAAACATTTGCTTCATCTACATCCATTTCACTAGTACTTTGTGCTGTCTGGGGTCCAGGAGAGTGTGATAGGGGTATTGCTGTTGTGGATGAATGTTGTGGGACTGTTGTGTGATCCATTTCTTTTCTTTTTTTTGTACAGCAGAAAGCTTTGAAGCAAGTTGCTTCTGCTTTTTTAGTGGACGTCCACCCTTGTTTGGTGCAGTGTGGCATATGTCGCAGTATGTGCGGTGATGTGGCTTCCACACTTTGATCGCTCCACATCCATCCCCTACAAATGAGTCAAGGCAACCTTCTCTCAGACAACGATCCAGCACACGTTTGCATACATGACAAATGTGTGTAGGGTGGATCGCAGGGTCATCCTGAGAAATGTCGACCTCGTACACATCTTGAATGATCTGGCATAGTCCTTCACGTTGTATTTCGTGGACACAGCCATGTTGGCAAACTTTTTGCCACCAATACTGCAGCAGGTGGACAGCAATGCACCGTGTTCATCCATTTTACACACTACTACTAGCACGCGATACGGTAGAATCGATGGCCACGGAAATCGACCTAGTAGCACGGAAAGACAAACAAATTCAAAAAATCGGTAAATGAAGTCACCCAGGCACCAGGAAAACTGGCAAAGAAGACGAGAAAACTTTTACAAGAGAAGAAGGTAGCTGTGAAAAGGGCTGATAGAAGTGACGAAGGGCAAGTCGTCAAGGCAAAGGAAACGCACCTCTGAAGGAATCGTTCCTGGAAGAAGACGGCCTAGACGGGTATCAGATGAAAGAGGATCGCGAGAGGAAGTCATGAAGCGTGTTTGTACTATGAAACCCGGTCGATTGGAAGGGGAAAGTGGAGGTTTCCTCAAGAGAAAAAGAGTATTTTCAAGCAAATCAATGACAGATCGATGATGAGATTTTTGAATTTTCAAATTTTTGGACGCCATATTTTTTGGCCGAGTACATGACCATCGTGACAGCCGTGTGTCGAAGCTGAACAATTTTTGTTGTGCGACTTCGAAAGTAATTAGTTTGAATCCTTGTCCCGATCGCGGTGTTTGTTACCTTGACAAAGCACAGTTTTCGCGTGAATCCCACAGGATCTTGAAATCTTTTTCAGTTTTCAGAATATTTTTGAATTTCACCGTAAACCTGGGCGAAGGCCGCCATATTGTTAAGTGGTGGCCGCGAAACAGCCGTGCCCAGAGTGTGCAACGCCTGATCCAGCTCTGTGACTGTAGGGTCTTGGTCGAGCGGAATCGGATCTTCTGATGTCATGCGTACACTTCACACCAGCGCAAGGCCGGTCTCGAGGCAGGGCACCATTGTTTTTGATCCAAGAGTACCCGCGACTCCCCGGGTTCCCCTCAGATGTGTACGGTATTATGACGCAAAGATCCGATTCCGCTCGACCAAGACCCTACACAGAGCTGGATCAGGCGTTGCACACTCTGGGGGGTTATGTACTCTTGCTGCAACTGTGCACTACGCACACATTCAAATACAGCTGTAGACACGCACTGCATAAATCTACAAGTACTCGTACAAACTGTGCAGGTCAGCGACACCTGCAGCATCTGCTGGAACAATGGCACAAGGGAGTACTAAGAGTAAGAAAACGTAACAGCCACTACCATTAGTACGCGTATGCTGAAGATTAGTGCAGTATCTTGCTCCCTAGACCTCTAGTACAATGTAGCTTCAACATGATTTTACTCTTTATTAGTCTTTAATTTAACCTGCCCTCTACTATTTTTCAAATATCAGTTGCCCGTTAGACTGGCTTGCACATGAAGTACGCCTTGGCAAACCTCGCTCCAATCTCCTGTCGGTGTCTCTGTAAGAATGTGTACAGTGTACATGATTCACCAAGTCACAGTTGGTGAGTTCCTCTTGGTACTGTAGTAGATCTGTCACCATTGATACCAAGAGTACATAACCAGTGTGGTTATGTACTCTTGTTGATAGTGGTGAGAAGTCACGATGGTCACTGCGTGTAGCAGCAGTAACAGTGCACCCGTCCTGCATGTTAGTCACCGTCATGGGACCATCGTGACTTCTCACCAGTATCAATGGTGGCAGAGGGAGGGGCGTCGGACACGCTGCGGTCACTATGGCATTAACCGTACCACTATTTTGCCCCAAGTACCCGTGAACCAATAATAATTATTATGCACTGACTTGGGCTCTGAATTTCCAAACTTTTCCAAAAAATTCCGGCTCAGCCACCCCTCCCACACGCGTTAATTGTACTTCAGCTGGCTGACCGTACCACACTAAAATAATTACCTTCTGACGCACCTAGGCTAGGGTACCAAGGGTACATACTTAGCCCCATTCTTCTTGTGGCCATGCATGATGGCTGAGCAAATTTTAAAAGGGTATGCTATGCTTGTTTTGTTGCATTTTGTTGTCGAATATCTGGAATATTCGCTTATCCGAATTTCATCTTGCAGGTAGACAAGTATGAAGAAGGTCTGCGGTCTGCGGAAACTGCCACTTCGATCGGGAGCGAGAACTCGATCGCGATCGTTGAGTGATTTTTCGGGGATTTCCCCTTCTCAAGTTCAAACTGTGGTTCTGTAGATCTACCAGGTCATGTGTGGTATACATGTGTGGACGTGTGTGTGTACTTTTTAGTTTTTGAGGAGAAATTGTGTTCCATCTGTGAACTCTCAGAAAGAAAATAGACATGGCCAGTGACTCGAATGGAGGCTCCGAACAGTTGGTGGCCATTATTGGCGGAATGGGTCCAATGGCAGGAGTGAAGCTGCAGGAATTGATTGTGAATAGGACCAAAGCCACGCGTGACTGCGACCACGTGTCCGTTCTGGCCTACACCAATCCCAAAGTTCCTCCCAGGATTGGTGACTTCGGCCTACAATGTGTACCAGAAATTATTCGCAGTGTGCAGGTCAGCTATTTTTTTCACTCTGAGTCTCTCAATCTTGTGAACATTCATCTGAAGTTATACATAGTACATGCAAGAGTTCATAACCCCCATGAACTCTTGATACATGTACAGTGATTAGAATCAGGGTTCTAGCCAGGTCAAAAGAGTGTGTGTGTGGGGGGGGGGGGGGGCATGGGAAACAGTTACCCCGTATCCCATTTTTCCACTTTCCAATATTGTCTTGCCACGCTAAATGCAACGTATGGGGCGAATCCCCGACTTCGCCCCAGACAAATGTGCCTTTATGAACCATCTATTTTTAACCGGCACGTTCGGGTTCTCCCTCCATGAAATAATAAGAAAAAATTCGCACTTTCGGGCTCTCCGCCTTCTCCGTGAAATGAACAGATATAACCAACAGCATAAATTTAAAGGTCTGCACTAAAGACTATAAATGGCGTGAAGTGCCAGCTTCGGCAGCAGCTAGAGAGGCAGAAGAAGAGACAGGTGCATGCACAGCGAAAACAGAGCGGCTACCACGCAGGCACATGCCACTTGCTCTGAGCAAAGCAAAGCTAAGGCGGCAGCCATCTAATAGTGACTTTCGACTGCATTTTCGTCGAATTGCATGAAAAACACGAAAATCGGAAAAAAATGAGTTAGGAGGGGGGGGGGCGCAAACAGAGTAGAGGGGCGCTGCCCCCCCCCCCCCCCCTCTTTGGCTAGAACCCCGAGAATGGTGTGAAGACTTCAATGCAGCATCATACAATAATTATATTATATTAACTGGTTTGAGGGAAAGAGACAAACGGGAAAAATTATATTATAGCAGCAAAACACACTGCTGCTATAAGTGGCTACAGTCCATTCCGAAAACGAGGATATCCTAGCGTAGAAATTTGGGCCCGAGACACGCGAAGCCGTAGCCTCTAACCCAGACACCTGCTCTCTACGTCAGGTGAATTTCTCCTAGCAAACACCAGGGTTCTGGCCTGGTCAAAATAGTAGAGGGGGGGGGGGGGGGGGGGGCAGGGAAAACAGTTACCCCGTCCCATTTTTCCATTTTCAAAATATCTGTCTTGCAATGTGAAATGTAACGTACGGGACGAACACCTGACTTCACCCCAGACAAATGTGCCTTTATAAATCCTCTAGTACTGACTAGACTATCGACTGCATTTTCGTTGAATGGCATGAAAAAAACACAAAAATCGGAAAATGAGTAGGGGGGGGGGGGGGGGTGGGGGGCGTTGAATGGTCAAAGATATGTGTGTGTGTGTCTGGGATGTGTGCATGAGCGCACGTGTGTGTCTGGATGGGTGTACATGCACACTCATGTGCGTGTGCGCATGTGTGTGTGCGCGCATGCTGACTTGCTTGCAGGCAATGGAACGAGCGGGCGCTACCCAATTCGCTATCGCTTGCAACACAGCGCATATGTTCCAGGAAGAGATACTGGCAGGTTAGGGGTGCTACCAAACTTTGGCCAAGCTGAGCTAAAGAATTGGGTTGCAAACCCTGTACCTTATTATTGTCTGCACCAGTGTCTTTCAGGATTAGAAACGTAAAGGCCGGCAATTTCTTTTCCATTTTCCAGCAGGGCCTTCATTACGGTTATTCAAGTTCCCTGGGAACGAAGAATATTTGCGCACGAGTTCCCATTATATAGGATCATGTTTTGTTTGAAATACACCAAAAAATCAATGGTTTAGATGCTCTGTCGTCCTTTGGTTCAAAGTCATAATTATGATATTTTTATACCATGGTACGGTGCGGAGGGCCTGTTTTCAGCCAATCAGCGCTCGTCTAGCCATGGTTATATTGGCCAGTATAAATCCCGCGCGGGATAATATAAATCCCGGTGCACGGTACGTACGCTAGGGCACTGCCACCGTACAAGTTCACTGCCTTTCAGTACGACGGCAGCACTCCAGCGCACGGACCATTCACAACAGACACAACATACACCACATGCACGTGTACACTCCACACAGAACGGCATGACGAGGAACAGTACACAATGGAAAAGAAGAATGACCTGGAATTCGTCTACCGAGTATTCTACACGTATTATACTGAAACTGAGGATAAAGAACGTCAAATAACCACGAAGTATCCCGAATGGGTCAGCAATGTACATTGTACTTCAAATAGTTGAAGATCATCAACAGACTGTCTCCTTCGTAACGAAGTTTATGATACAGAGTGTACTTCAAATCCACCTAAACCGATTGGAAAAACGCTAGAATGGATTGAAATGTGATACAGTGATACAAAACAGTGTATGCAAATGCATCTACTTGCAAGTAAGCAAACCTGATTATAAGATGCCGCATGTGAAAATCAGCACTGTACCATAATCATGATAATAGTAACACTTACTCCCAAAGAGTCCAAACTGTACTGTAGTCTAACTAGTGACGGTAGTTTGATTCAACGACAACTCCAGCACCCCAGCAATTCAGTTGACTTCCGCATCGCTCACGAGACAATATGCTACAATATGCACTGGAACTGAAAGGAAATCTGATGCCAAACATCCACGGATGAATCTCCTTCTGATCTTGCTCGACCATTCTTTCAACTGATAACCAGCAGAACATGTTCATGTACTGTATGATGTAGGAGATCTCCAAATAGGTTTGTTGTTCTGGAAATGCGTAGGGGTACCTGGCATAAGTAGGATATGACCCTCGTAGTCGGGTTATACCGTACCCTCATATAAATCCCTCCTGCTATCGCGGTCGGGATTTATATTCAGCCGGTATAACCCTCTGACTCGGGTAATATCCTTTACATATCGACACTTGACCTGTAGTACTAGTATGTGAACCTTATAAGGACATGTTTAATTCTCTAAGAGGGCGTAGTAATCCTGTGTGTTGCTTTCACTGTTCACAGAGGTTAAAATCCCAATCATCAGCTTGCTGGAGGAGACAGCGAAGCATCTAGCGGCTAACTTCGGCAGCTCACCGACCATAGGCATTTTAGGAACACTGTCTCTTTTGAAGAGTGGTCTCTACCAGTCAACTATCTTGGCTGAGTGCCCACAAGCAACCATCCTGCTTCCTGTCAGTGACGACCAAGCCAGCTTGGACGAAGTAAGTGCAGCCACTCTTTGATGCATGCGAGTGCAATGCTTTTCACTTGTTGGACACCTCGAGTCTGCATAGTACCGAAATTCCGCATTCATTGCGTCTGTTTGGTGTTGGTCATACTGGACACCAGGAAAGTTATTGTATTGGTTTTGCATCTAAACCTACAAGTAAGGTCTGTCTTCCCTGTCTTCTTCTTTTCCTTCACTGCAGCTCATTCAAGGACCCAATGGTATCAAGGCCGGCCACCTTGGCTCTGAGACTCAAGAGCCAGTACGGGGCATTGCACAAGGACTGATCACCCGTGGAGCAACTGTCATAGTTACCGCCTGTACCGAGCTGCCGCTGGTCTTCAACGCCAGTTTGTGCGCTGACTTCCCAGCTCGCATCCTTGACCCAATGATCGTTGTAGCTGATCACATCATACGCATTAGCGGTGCAGAGGTAGCGTAATCGCCTCACAGGTTCTCGAGTCCCGTCGATGCGTTTTAATTCTACTGAAGCTTTACGTTTTACATTTGCTATCGTGCAGTGGTGAATGTACACTTGCTATCGTGCATAGCAGTGGTGAATGTTCTTGAGCACAATTACAGAAGTAGGTATATGCTGTGTGCTGGTCCTGCAGCATTCTTTCTTATCTAGTCTAGTTCATTGGAAAAAATCTTCCGTTTTCTCTTTTCAATTGGCATTTTCAGTTTAAAAAAAATTATTGTATCTTTCTCAAACTTGTGGGACTTTGTTCCAACTGGCTTGCGTTCACAATGCAGTGCTTTTGGTTCGAAGGCTTCACAGCAACTAGGCAATCCGCGCTGTGAGAAATAATCACCACCGCTGCCAATACTACGGCACTTTCGTCACTTTTTAATGAAAGAATTGGATGTTTTGCTCGTCCTTTCAGGCTTTGTGCTGTGACACTGCCAATTATGGGTAGTGATCCTACTCTGAACATATCCAGACTGGCTTACCAGTTTCCAACAATTGTTTGCCAGGCGTGTATGCATGCGAGAGGGGGGAGGGGGCTGAGACAGCAACTGTTCATGCCAGCTGTGCTCTACTACTTTTCATCATTCTGTGAGAGCCAGCCCTTGGCTGGTGAGAAGTCATCATTGCCTGTTCGCTTGATGAAGCAAAATAAAGAATACACCATACCATACTCGATGTGTTGTTTCACACCCGCAGAAAAACGAAATGATCTATGCCATGGCAAAGCAAGGTGTAAAATTAATAATCTTTTATAAAAATCTCAATATCAATCCAAACAGTGAAAGGATACACAATATACTAAAATCCTAGCATGAGTTTCATGAAAGTCTTTGACAGCCGGCCATGAGCAGTGTATGATTGCCTGCAGGGACTAGTAACCTTGAAGAACAATGGTTGAATACGTGCAACGCAGGTTGCTCAGTCGTGTTGAGTTTGTCCGGCATGACCAAGGCGATGTGGCTGAATTACCAGCAGCAGCAGCAGCAACGGAGATCACAGCGGAACTCTCTCTCCCTCTCTCACCCACATACATTCAATGGTGAACTGCAACCTCATTGTGTCTCTCAATACAAGACAAGGACAGGACAGGGCATCGGTCATTCCGTCAGAGGAAGGAGCAGAAATTCACTCTTCATTGTGCCCATGGTATCCATACCTCCTAGGATGCAGAGAACAATCTGCCTTCCTTGCCCAGGGGTGGGGAATAATGATGCCGACCCCATCGGAGAAGCAGTTGAATTTTCCGCAGACAACAGTGTTACCAAGCTCTGCTGATCTCGGTCAGTTGTTGCAGCCACAGCACATGCCTCAGAGCCTTCCCGGGTCGATGCATTGTCAATCATTTCCGCACTTCCTTCAGCCATTCTTTCACTCTGTTCATCCTTTTGGAGTTCAACTAAACACATGGTGTGATCAAAGCGCGGAGAAGGTGCAGGACCAGATGTCTTCACAGATGACCAGTGGTGCTTGCCTGAACAGTACAGGTGCAAGCAAAACAATCAGCAGCAGCAGTGGCACATTGAAGTTGTAAACCTGAGCAGTGATCACTGGCCAGAGAGGTCACCAAGATTACAGTGAGCTGCATGATTCTGCTACCTAGACATTCTCCGAACAATCAGAGCCTGGTTATGCCCTGTTCATATAACACTACAGCAGAAATATGACTGCCACCTACTGCTGGTCATATAAAGTTAGGTCTGTGGAGCTACATGGCACCCGGTGCTAGCTGACTAGCACCACCAACATTTCGTAGAGCAGCACTGTACGAATATCACATGTATGCACAGAAGTAAATTAAAAAACAAAGTTTCCTGCTGTCATGTACTTACTCAGATCCAACACGCAGAGATCACCAAGGCAACCGGTCGTTGTCATACCGCCATAGATGATCATGCGACCAGCGTGCGCACATGCCGCGTGCGCAGCGCGCGCAACAGGGACATCGCCCGTCGTCTCAACACTGCTCCAGTGGTGCGAAGCTGCACAGGAACAGCAATGGGCGTAGCATACAACAACGTTCCAGGGCACTCGTGATTGATACTCCATGCAGATTCATATCGCATCACCACACCACACCACACCACAGTACACGCATACCACTTCATATCTCCAGTACAGTGCTGCTCAATGAAATCCAGCCGCGTCACTCAAGTACAGTGTGCTGCTCAATGAAATCCAGCCGCGTCACTCAAGTATGCGCCAGGCGTTGCGCAGGCCTAGACCTATGAACACTGGGCTGCGAAAAGGAGCAAAGCGCAAGCTTGACTCACGCGACTGGATTTCATTGAGCAGCACTGTACTTGCACCAGGACATCTGTGCATGTACATTCGAAGAACACATGAGCACATTTGATTGTGGACAGTTACCAACCTGACACCACTAAGGACAACATGGCAGCATGTCACAAGGCAAAGCCAAAAACAACTTGCTACTATTTGTATTAAAGAAAAAAGGACCAAGGAACTACAAGTTACGCTATAATGTCCTTGAATCGTGGTTTGGCCGTATTGTCGAGTGGTCTTGCCAGTACCGTCATCGACATGCATGAACATCTGCCAACGTCCTTCACAGCTGAGACTTTCAGCTCATGCTTGTCTTGGTTGCGCTCACCTTCCCCTCCTCATGTTATTTCTATAACTTAGAACCTTCCAAGTTGGAAGGCTGTTGGAGTGTGCATCCTAGCTGTGCTAGAGCTGTTAGCCAGTTAGTTGTAGAACGTCAGTACCGTCGGTCAGTGTCGTGCAATGTTATCGCATGAGCTGATTGTTTAGTAACTGGTGGTGTTAGTGGACATTATAGCGTAACTTGTAGTTTCTTGGTCCTTTTTCTTTACTACAAATTTACCCTTGGCTCTCCATCCGAGTCCATACTATTTGTATACTAGCAGCAGGCCCGTCGCACCGACTTTGGAGGTGGGGCGGCCATGGAAGGGGGGTCCGGGGGTCCTCCCCCGGGAAAAAATTCAAAAATTGAAGCCAATTCACGATCGGGGACAAGGATTTGTCACGTTTGCGCTAAGCTGCGATCATTGTGCTTTGTTGTAATGTGCTCCAAAAAAAAAAAAAAAAAAAAAAACGGCCGAAAAAGTGGGGCGGCCTCAGCTGCCCCGGCTGTGACGGCCTTGAGCAGCTCCTGGTTGAAACAGTTGCAGATTGAAAGGTGCCTACAGCAGCGGCAGTACGAGTGCTCGCAGGGAAACACGGTCTTCATACCAGTATTACATGCTACCATTGCCACTTACCGAGGTCTAGCGTGTGCAGATCGTTGAACACGCCATGGCCCGCTAGTCCACCATGTATGCACAGCGTGTCATTCACAACAGCTATGGCGTGGCCATGGCGCGGCGATGGTGATTCTCCAAACGTGTTCGGCTGACACCAGGTCAATGTATCTGTAGCCACAAAACAAATCGCAGGAAAACACAGTCAGGATTCATTCACAAGATTTTTACGATCACCACAGGGTAAGATAATACGCAAGCACTGGAGTAAAAGCAAAAAGAAACATTGGGAGATATACAGAGGTAGAGGGGGAGAGGAAGAGGGAGCATATAAGCAGGGGGGGGGGGGGGGAGGGGGCAGAGAAAGACTTCTCAAGATCCCTCACAAGCACATGACTGCATACATTACTTGCCTCACCCAGGCTCAGAACATGTAGCCGACGGTCGGCAACCGCAGATGCACCCGTGTCTCCCTGTTCACCACCGCCAAACACAAATATGTTGTCGCGATGGCGGATGCTGCTGGCGGACGCGTGGAATGTCCTTGGAGAAGGAGAGCTGCCACGCGTCATCACTTCTGTCCAATGACCGTCAGCTTCACACGGACCAAAAACAAGAGAAATAACTGTTCTCAAATAAGGAGTGAAATATCCATTTCAAAGCATGCACTTAAATAATACAGATTTGCCGGGTATTGCCGGTATTAGAATGTTGTCACACTCACCATGTTCGTAAAGATCATTGAGACAGCCTTGCTCCTGGCCCCCACCAAACACCATCAGTTTAGAGCTGCTGTCCTCTGCTCTGACAAATGAGCAATGTTCATAGCGTGGTGGAAGACCACCGCTCGAGACACTTCGCCATTGGAATTGACCTAAAGCAAGACAAAGAGCGCATACAGACAGTGGCGTCTCTTATCAACAGATTTTTTTCCACCGTTAAGGCCACCCTTTGTTAATTCATTGTTTAACGTTCTTTTTTTCGCGAAAAGGTACGCGGGAGAGCGAAAAAAAACTGAAGCCCATTCTGTCGTGACTCGCGACATCATAAAGATCCCGACTCAACGGACATGAAAGACATTTACGTTTCTTGATTTTGGAAAGTTTGTTTCTTTGTTTCTTTCTCAAACAAGATTCCTGGTTTCAACGGAAAAGGGCAGCCGCATTCACAGGCAGCTGCGCACAAAGAACATGCATAAAAATGGCGACCACGACCTTCAGTTACGTGGCATGGTAACAAAAGGAACTAGTGCAGCGACAAAACAGAAATGGAGAAGAAGTGAACAGCAAGGAGAGCGAATCGCTAAAATGCACTAGCCTACTGTCTGTACAGTCATGGACTGATGGAGTTAGTGAACACGCAGTCACGTGGTCACGTACACATAAACGTCATACCAATACGTCATCATGGTCATGCATAACAAAAGGAAAGGAAAGGAAAGTCACGCGTGAGCAAAACAAATCAAGAGCGCGAAAATACTCACGGGACGAAAACATAACGAAGAATTTGTTTGTGAACAAAATGCAAAGAATAGAGAAACGAAGGATTGCTTCGAAGCTACTTCGAAGTAGAATGAAATCAATCACTAGAAAGGACGATGGGGAACTAGACTTCGGCTAACCCAAGCGTGGAATCAGCCACAACGTAAGCAAGCAAGAGAGTACAAAATCATCGTCATGTAATGCAAATATAAATTGGTTATTCCGAATTCATGTACATGTATTTCATCGCGACGTTCGCGACACTCCCCACAACAGAGAAGAAGAGCGATTGTAATTGCAGTAGTGTAGACAAAGTGTAAATGAGTGTGTGGTGATTGCTTAGTGTTCAACAAGAGAGTGTACTGTGTATAAATACATTCATGCAGACTATTTACAGAGTTATACTGCACCTTGACTTATTAGGTTCTTCAGGTTAGCACGGGAACCAGCGGCTGCACGGCGTGTTGGTCGAGCTGGTTGTTGCTGTGTAGGTTGTGCAGGTTGTGCAGGTTGTGCGGGTTGTGCGAGCGGCGGGTCATCGTGCGCTGCATCGTGATTCTCCGCTTGCACAATTGGGTACAACAGACATAGTGGACGTTGGATCTGCCGCTTGGATGGCAGAACAACTGTTGCAGATCTGATTTCACCATCATTACTGTTGTGCAGTTTGTCAATTCGTCCAATCAACCAAGAGCCGCGTGGCATCTTTTCTTCCTTGACTAGGACAACAGTATCCACAGCAGGTGGATCATGTGCTTGCAGTCTTCCATGCGGAAGTGCAGTCTGACCACGTTCACGTAGCGTGGGTAGATACGAATACTGCCATTCTGACCAAAAGGTCTGTAATAAGCGTTGACCATCCGTCCAGGCAGTTAGCAATGTGTTAGCCAAAGACGTGTCAGGCTCAAACGTCGGGTCATTACCAAAGTCTCCCTCCATACCAGGAGTGCCCAACTTCGGGTTTAAAGACAAGAAATGGTTGGGAGTAAGAACATTACCAAAATCCAATTCGTTTCCAACGTAGACCAGTGGACGTGCATTAATTATCGCCTCCGCCTCCATTAGAAACGTATTGAGCATATCACGGTTTGGAATCGAAGTGCCCACTGTCTTTCGTAGGACCCTTTTCACTGATTGTACTAAGCGCTCGTATGCGCCGCCCATCCATGGAGACAGCTGTACTATGAATTTCCATTGTATTCCATTCGTAGCACAGAACGAAGTAAAGTCATCGGTGTGGTTCACGTCATTCCAAACTTCACCAATGACGTTCGAGGCAGTGTGAAATTGTTTTGCATTATCTGACAAAACTTCAATCGGTGTACCTCTACGGGCAATAAATCTACGAAAGCCCAGTAGAAATGAGGCTGTTGTCATGTCTTCCATTAGCTCGAGGTGGATTGCGCGGGTAGTCAAACATGTGAACAGGCAAACCCATACCTTGCATTTCTCGCTTTCCTTGGTCATTGTCATTGGGCCGAAGTAATCGATACCAGTGTACGAGAATGGTATGCACCTGTTAACACGCTTGCTCGGCAGTGGAGCAAAATCCGGCATTGGGTATGGTTTCGCTTCCCATTTCTTGCAGTGGTAGCAGCTGTGCAATATTGTCTGCACGGTGGCCCGCCCACGAGTTATCCAGAAACGCTTACGCACCTCCATGAGCGTCTGGCTAGTACCGGAGTGCCGAACGCGAGCGTGGCACAGTTGCACGATTAGCCTCGTGGCAGGATGTTTCCGTGGCAGCAGTATTGGACCAGATTCTGGAAACCTAGCATTCTTCATGCGCCCTGCGCACCGAATTAGGCCGTTGGTATCGATAAGTAGACCGAGTTTGGTAACGAGTTCCATTTTTTGTTTTTTCTGAATTGCATTTTTAATTTCACCAAATTCTTGACCTTGGATAACTCGTACACATTCCATTTCAGCTTCCTTGATATTGGTTGTGGTTAGTTGTGTTTGTTGTTTGCATTTGCCTTGCAGCTTCTGTACTGCCAGTTTCACGTAAGCCATTACGCGTACCGCTTTCGACCAACTGGAATACCTTTCGATAGAGATGAAAGGACCCTCCCCAGAGCAAGAATTGATTGCGACAGATACCTCAGTGGGTGGTTCTGAGGCCATTGCTGCAGCTGTAGCAAGTGAAGGGGATGGTAGTTCACCGAGTGAGCTGGTATCACCGCGTAGCCATTCAGGACCCTCCCACCAGAGTTTGCTGTCGTGCAATGCAGCAGCTGTCGCACCACGTGAGGGTAGGTCAGCAGGATTGTAATCCGTATTGACGTACTTGAATGCAATTGTCGGATTCGACCGGATTTCCATTAGTCGCCGCTGGACAAACACAGATTGCTGGTTCGTGCCATTGATCCAGTGTAGAACACAAGTTGAATCGGACCACAGAACAGTGCGGTGGAGATCAAATGGCAGTGTGTTCTGGAGGAATTTGATAAGCCGAGAACCGATTAGCGCTGCCATCAACTCCAAACGAGGAATTGTCATTTGTTTGAGTGGAGCTACCTTCGTCTTGCTGACGAGCAGGACTGTGGCCACAGCGGTGGCGCTTTCTTCACGGAGATAGGCAACCGTACCGTACGATTTTTCGGATGCGTCGCAGAACACATGAAGTTCGCGGCGAGTGACAGATGCTGGGTCAAGACCAGTGAAACGGTGGAGCTTGAACGTGTCTGCTTTGTCCAGGTCTTGGGCAATAGCCTGCCAATCATCTGCAATGCTGTTGGGAACCGGATCATCCCAGTCGAGCTTTGCTTTCCAGATGTCCTGGATCAGAAGTTTGGCTCGAACAAACAGAGGTGACAGGTAGCCAACGGGATCGTAAAAGCGAGCAGCAGCGGAGATGATGCTGCGCTTGGTGTTGGCGTGTTTGTGAGCCACATTAGGAGAAATGACATTGAGAGTGTCCTCTTTCGTATCCCAAGCCAGGCCGAGGCATTTCACATTGTTGGATGTGGCCTTGTCGAAGTCTGGCAGGGTGTGGTTGAATTCATCACTGTTAGATGACCATTCACGGAGATTCATAGCGGCGTCGTTGAATAGGCTCTTTGCAGAATCATAGAGAGTACTGGCTTCGTCAGCCGTGTTGCGCCCAGTTATCACATTGTCCACATAGGTGGAGTCGCGGATTTCAGAACCGAGCGTGCTGTTGCTGTTGTCGAGATGGTGATGAATGGTGGCAGACAGCAAGAACGGGCTGGAAATAACACCAAACGGGATTCGACAGAAACGATATGTCACCAGGTTTGCTGGTGAGACTGGTTGAGAAATGTCCTTGAGCCACAGAAAGCGGGTGTAGTCCCGGTCTGGTTCGTCGAGGCCCACTTGGAGGAATGCCTTCTCAATATCGCTGGTGATCCCAACAGGGAACAGGCGAAAACGGACCAGTATGCCACCCAGGTCGGGAAGCAAGCTGGGGCCGCTGTGAAGGCAGTCATTGAGGCTGTTTCCATCCTTGTTGGTTTTTGCTGACGCATCGTATACGATGCGGAGTTTGGTTGTTGTGCTGGCCTGGCGCTGAACGCAGTGGTGTGGCAAATAGTGGACCGGCCCAGTGGGCACGGCATTCGGGACTTCCTCGATAATACCACTTGCGTGTTGGTCTCTGATTGTCTGGTCGTAGTGCCGTAGGATGTCTGGCTGTGTAGAAAGCCGCTTGATTAGGGAGACGAGTCGACCTCTGGCCAGCTCATAGTTCACTTGCGGAGCTTTTTCCTTCCACGGCCAGTTGACTGTGTAGCGACCGTTTTCTCTGCGTATTGTGGCGTTGAAGTGTTCTCTCACCATGTCGTTGTCTGTTGTTTCTGGGTTGTCATTAATGCCCAGACTCTCAAGGCTCCACAGATCTTCGAGTGCAGGTAAGGTGTCATCCGCTATGGAATCCGCCGACAGATGCATGACGGTGTCTGGGGGCGTATCACCAGACACTTTGCCAGACGGAATAAACCCTAACTTGGACTCGACCAGCACTAGGTCAGCGGTAACGGATATGACCTGAGGGCCAATGAGGTGATGGTAATGATCACTTCCAATTAGTACGTCGACAACCACGCTCTCTGTTGCAAGGGGCGTGGGTTCAGCAAGATTTACAGACTGCAGAACCGGATATTTGGTGTAATCGAGTGGAAAGCGTTGGATGGGACATGTTATGTTGTCGACTACGTTGGCTATGACCGTAACGGTGGAGCCATCATCACACCCGACAGAGAGTTGCACACGTGGCAGACAGACAACCTTGCGGGTACTGTCGCCAAAGCCAGCCATGGCGATGGTGTCTGAACCATTGGCATCAAGTTGAAGTGCCTGTTGTGCTTCCTGTGTAATAAAAGACCGTGACGACCCAGTGTCAAACATGAGCCGCGCGGGCTGGGTAATTGTGGTGCCGCCAATTGTGGCTACTGCTGTTTGCAGGATGACTGCATCCTGCTGTTGGCTGGGAGAGCTAGGAGCTGTGACACATGTTGTGTTGGCTTTGATTGGTGGTTTCGATTGTTGTTGTTGTTGTTGGCCAGTTCCAAATTTGGAAGGGCAGAGACTGCGGTGGTGTGTCTTCTTGTGGCAATGTGCACAAGCCCAGGGGTTCGGACAAGCCGGAGCCATATGGCTGTCCCGGAAACAAATGAAGCACCGACCCTGGATTTGCTGGCGTCTGGTCTCTAAAGTTCTGTACCGGTCACATTCATCTGTGTAATGGGCTTCCTTGCAAAAGAAGCATTTTGCGCGTTGTGGTTTCTTGACCGAAACTGCCAACGTCTGGACTGGCCGCATGTCGCCAGGGCTGGCATTCATGGATCGCGGTGCAGTCATGCTTGGCTGTGCAGAACCGACTGATGTTGGTCGAGCTGCTGCTTCCTTTGCCATGATATAGTCATGTAAATGTTTGCGGAGGCGGTCGGCGGACCACGTCTCCTCACCTTTAGCTAATTCCAGTTGAAACATGGCAGGACTCGGCAGCTTTGACGTGATCAGAGACACAAAAATCCCTTGGTCACAGTCTTCGCCAATAGCACTGAGCGCCCGGATGTGTTTTTCAACTGTGTCGTACAACTGGCGCAGTGATGTGGCCGTGTCATAGGCCGGTGGCAGATCGACCAGGGCTGAATAGTGGGCATTCAGCACCATTTGCTGCCTGCCGAACCGTTCTTTGAGTAATTCGACAGCAATTGGGTAGTGGTCGTTGTCGAGGACGATCCCATCAAGGACGTTGCGTGCCGTGCCCGACAAACACGTTTTTAGATACGCCAGTTTCTCTGCGTGGGATAAAGACGGGTTCTCGTGTACCGTGGATTGAAATACATCCCAGAATTCGGAAAATTTGAGGACGTCACCCCTGAAATTTGGTAATTCCAGTTTTGGTAATCGTACATGATGGGGATGCGTGGACTGTGATTCGGAACGCCCAGGAGCATTGTTGGTGAGTGTATGGATGGCATCCAATAGAGATTGTGTTGTTTTGTTTTGCACATTGACAAGGTTTTGAATACCATGCGGATCCTCCGCTGGCAATGGGGCTTGGACCATCGCCATTTGTTTATTGTGTCTGATTGCCACTTGTTTTAATTTTCTGATTTTTGCGACCGCTGATTCTACCAAGACTGTCATTCCATTGATTTCCAGTTTCAGTGATTCAACTTGGGCACGTTGTCCCTTGGTGGATACGGGCATTTGAGCAACACCATTCGAAAATTGATTCAATTTGATTTCTAATCGTTCGACGATGCTTTCAAAGCTTACCAGGAAGTCTTCAACGTCATTCGGGGGCACGTGCCCGGCAATAAACCGGTCAGCATCGTGCTCCTCCTGTTGCAGATCTCGCACCAGGCATTGAATTGAGCTGCTTACAGAAGTCAGTTGCACCGGTAGGGTGACCGTATCCATTTTCGACGTATCACTGTTGGAGCCTGACTCTGCTTGTCCGGACCCTGACGTTCCTCCTTCCGTCGAGGCCATGGTTGATTAAACGGGGTTTCAGCACCAAATTTTCATGTCGTGACTCGCGACATCATAAAGATCCCGACTCAACGGACATGAAAGACATTTACGTTTCTTGATTTTGGAAAGTTTGTTTCTTTGTTTCTTTCTCAAACAAGATTCCTGGTTTCAACGGAAAAGGGCAGCCGCATTCACAGGCAGCTGCGCACAAAGAACATGCATAAAAATGGCGACCACGACCTTCAGTTACGTGGCATGGTAACAAAAGGAACTAGTGCAGCGACAAAACAGAAATGGAGAAGAAGTGAACAGCAAGGAGAGCGAATCGCTAAAATGCACTAGCCTACTGTCTGTACAGTCATGGACTGATGGAGTTAGTGAACACGCAGTCACGTGGTCACGTACACATAAACGTCATACCAATACGTCATCATGGTCATGCATAACAAAAGGAAAGGAAAGGAAAGTCACGCGTGAGCAAAACAAATCAAGAGCGCGAAAATACTCACGGGACGAAAACATAACGAAGAATTTGTTTGTGAACAAAATGCAAAGAATAGAGAAACGAAGGATTGCTTCGAAGCTACTTCGAAGTAGAATGAAATCAATCACTAGAAAGGACGATGGGGAACTAGACTTCGGCTAACCCAAGCGTGGAATCAGCCACAACGTAAGCAAGCAAGAGAGTACAAAATCATCGTCATGTAATGCAAATATAAATTGGTTATTCCGAATTCATGTACATGTATTTCATCGCGACGTTCGCGACACATTCCAAAAACTGGAAACCCCAATCAAACATTTTGACCAGTAAAGCATGTGATATATACAATATTTCTGGGTCTAACGGCACTTGCAGGCATAGAACAACACTCTTTGATGGTACATTGGAGCACATGCCTGATGAATCCAACAAAACAGGTACATAGCATGGAGTTAGCATGTCATGAATTCATTACATCTGGATTTTTACTAGGACACACACCGTACGATATTTAAAAGCCAACAAAAAAAGAAAAAGAACACAAGACAAAGGCATGCCCGGGAGGTAAAATTATAAGTTTAAGGTCATGATCGGCACACTGTGAAACTACACAATCATGTATTTACAACTTCGCATATTATTGGTACTACTACTTTCTTGTTTTTTTTTCCGGTCGGAGGCAAAAAGGTACGCGGGCGCGGACGTTAAACAACGAAAAAAGAAAGGGTGGCCTAAAGCATAAACCTTTTGAAGTGTTTGCAGACTCCAAACGTACGCCCTTACATGTTACTCACAAGAACTTTCAACACTTCTTTTGCACCGTGACCATGGGCCGGCCGGTGCACCCCCAACATTTAGTGACAAAAAAAGTCAAATGTTCGCAGCGGAGAAGCCGTTCAGGTATTTGAGGGTGTTCTTACGTGAATAAGGCATACCGGTATTTAAGTTTATGGCAAGAAACAGTGTGTGCAACTTGGCCGTTGTATTTAGTAGGATTTCGCAACACTTTTTATCTGACAAGAACATTACATACCCCAGCTAAAAAAATGTGAGTCCGAAAACGGTCCTGTGGCATTGGCTCCTCCAACTGTCACAATGCCTTCTTCGCCACCCACGAGCAGCGGATCGACTGTGTGACCCACACGACCAGCCTCGGCAAAGACAGGTCCTTTTGACCAGGTAGAATATCGCAGATCCTTCAGCGACTCAGCAACATGCAGTGCCATGCTATCCAGAACAGCAAGACTACATATACCAGCAAGCAATGCTAATACTATAGTAGCGAAAGTGGGAAATAGCCAAGACGATTGGACTATAATTGATTGATTGATTGAGCAACTGGTACATCACATGATTGTGGCTTCTTGTTTCAAGTTATAAGGGGAGAGAAAGAAACAAATCCCTTATCAATATCAGCCTGTCGCTCGCGCTGGCACACGCACAGCCATTGGCAGTTTAGGAAGCACACTTGAGTTATTTCTCAGCATACGCTTCCAGTCTGTGGCTACTAGTATTTGTTTTTTTGTATGTGTCTTTATTTGAAGAGACGCAGCCGGATAGGCGTGAGCCCGGACTCACCAACTCACGATCACGTGCCTGGTCGACTGTTTCTGTTATCACCATGGTTGCAAACCAATCACATGCGCATATATTATATGCACCGCGTCGTGCAGCGGGAAATTTTGAATGATGTTTGAACCTTGTGAACGTGTTCATGACCGTGATCTGGTGATGACTGGCTTCGAATCATCCTTCGCAGAACATGATGTTGATGGAAATTTCCTCGTTGTTTTGTGCACTAGTACTGCATGTTCAAGACTAGCCCTAGGTTTCTTTGCCGCTAGTTTGATGACCCTGTATTTCAAGCATAGACACGTATAGTTAGGCATTTGGAAGAGTCACGGCTTTTGGCGAAGGATGTTGGAGCCATCCGCTATGGACAGGGAAAAGTATGACAATTTGCGTTTACACTTTCTCAGCATGCACGACGAGATAGTTATAGCATGCTGTTCTGTATTGATTTATTGGCATGCAGTGTGCCTCTGGGCAACCCTAAAGAGAAGAAGAAGAGGCGGTCTTCCGTAAGTTGAGCAGGACATAAAGAAATGAAATCACATTGTTTTATCTTCATGGCATACGGTATTTTGCATCATCAAATTTGTGTCGTATAATTGCATGCCACGTGGAATGCCTGGTGGGTCACCATCTAAGTGTGTGTGCGTGTGTGTGTGTGTGTATGTGTGTGTATGTGCGTGTGTGTGTGTATGCCTGCAGTATAGTCGCTCCATACTGTAAAGTTGCGCACAGAGGCATGGCTCATATCAAAGCAAGAGAATTTGAAGAGTGGGTTGACACACGAACTTGCCTCTTTGGATCGGCTAAGAATAAAATTGTGGCTTGAAGTGGAAACCTGGTTTGAGTATTACAAGCATGGCCTTGTCGCTGGCTAGTTTGACCCCGGCCCCATAGGCACCGACTTTACATCTGTCTTTTGGGTACACTACTGAACTAATCAGCGCGTGTCGTTGAGCACTGTAGCCATGCTCTCGGCAACGTGTAAGTCAGTGCATGGAGCATTAGAGCTGAGTAGAAAGTATTGCACGTCATCTACATGATGAGTGATGTGTGTTGACAACCGCTGGACCAGCAACTACACACAGGCTGTACTAGCCTACGAGGTCAGCCGTGCTGGTCTGATGAAATGTAACTTACGATACTGCGAACATCATGAGTTGTTCTGCACCTCCACGGGCGACAATGACTTGCTGTAAACTGGTAAACCTTTGTGATCTGGAATCAGTGCAAGGAAGAAGAGCTAGAATAACAACGAAGAAGGCCGCATGACCCATACACTTAGAAAGAAGTGGCTTGATAAGGCCTGAAAGTATACTAGTGAAAACTTTCAGGATGTTGTTGAAGAGCCTGAAGTGCGTTCTTCTTAGTATCATCGCATTCTTGTCTCCGAGGTAACTGATCTGGAATCCTCCGCGGTTTTCGTGATGGGTGTGAAATTGCAAAAGTAAGCTGGCGCGAAATGTAGAACTAGTAAAAAACCCTGGTAAAGTTGTTAAAATTGACCTGTGCTTGCAAATCGCGAACTTAAACCGGCGCAAACATTTCCCGGTTTACAGTACACTTCAGTTTGGAGTTTGCAAGGTGTTTTGTCGTGCTGGAAATGTAGCACCACTGTCAGTTGGCACCAGTCCCTGGTGATGTATAGGCTCCTCTAGCTCTATAAGTTATAATGCTCCTGTAGCACACATTTCAGTAGCCTACTCGAGCTCAAGAGAAGAGGAATGAATTCCCCGATGCACCGAGTATTGGGCAGGGAGCGGTGCCTTCTTGCACGTGTATCGAGTGGAAGGTTCGATGGTCTTCTCGTGTGCTCTGGTTGGCAGTCGTGGACTAGTTGAGTCTCAAGTCAAGTCGGGAGGAAAAGCGGGAGCTCCCACATAGGAAGAGCAACATAATATAGACTTCCTCTATTATGGGTATGGGTGGCAAATTGGGAGTACCTTTTGAAGATTTCTTTCTTCTCTGGGTTTGATAGGTATATCTGAGCAGTTTTCAATTTTTTGTTGGTTAACAGCACCTATAGTTTCCAATCAATATCAAGGACAACTCATACTGTGCTCTCTTCTGTGCTCAGATATTGAAGAAGCGCAGTTCCTCACAATCCCCATCCAGGACGCCATTGTCAGAGTGTGCCCAGGTTGGTGCGGGCACTTGCCACGTGATTCTGATTGGTATCTTGTACTAGATGTTGAAATTTCTGATCCTCGTTTGTACACTTTATGTGCTGGAAGTATCATTTTTGCTTGGTAATGCTTATAGCTTTTAATTCCGCTGATTTGGATTGACCTCATTGTTGTCTTTTCTATATCTTTGTATTTCTTCGGACGCACATGCCGCTGTTTCAAACACGGATGCAGGACCGGGCTGATAGGTGAGCACTGCTTTGAATGTGCCTAGTGCGAGGATGCACATCTCCCACTCATTGCACTGGCTTCTGTGGGATACCCACGTCTTGGTATTACGGGTACTTACGTAGTTACTTTGCACGCGTGTATTACGCTCCCTTGCCTTGGCTTGGTCGAGCACTCTTTCTGGTTAGTGTCAACGTTACCTGCCCTCGTGCAAAGCTCGCTGTGTTTATCACAGTTAGAGCACTCTGGCTTTCCTGCTTTGGGTCAATTTAAGTGCTTTGTTGCTCACTTGACTTCATTGCGACTGGTTCGGCCGGGCACTCTGAGCTCTGTTGACGAGATCTAAGACGGCGGAAACAGCTAGCTGTCCGGAGATTGACTTATAACTTTACACACGTGTTTCCAGAATCTACAGCTGTCAAGGCACAGTGTGCTGCCATCTTGCCTTAGCCGGCCGCTTGTAGAGGATGTGTAGATACCGCCGTATAGGTGGGCTGTTTGGCTTGTCCGCACTGGATTGTCGCTGCTCTTTGTGTTTTGTTGTTGCTCAGTCCCAGCAGGAAGAAGCGCAACCTGGGCGAACGCCGGGTGAGCTTTTCCAGGGCCCCAGAAGTGCGGTAAGTAAACACGTGTTAGCGTATCACTAGTACAGTGGTGTTCTTTTAGTTCGAACCCCCTAACTCCACAACAAGAATAAATAAGACGAAATAATTATTCTTATCATCTAACGACACAAGACGGGCACAGTGATATTGGGTTTGGCCCAACAAAATTCACGGTTCGCTTGAGACTCGGCTGTAAGCCGAGTTTTCCGCATCCGTAGGAACGCCACCACCCTCTAGGATCAAGGCCTAAGGTGCACTTTAATTAATAAATCAAATTATTCCTATTTGCATTGTAGCAGGATGTTACTGAGCAGAATAGGACGGTTGCATTGCGAGGCTGGCACATGGGCCTCACTGGAACCCCTGCGTACAAGCGGCTAGCATACATCAGCTTTGAAGAATTTAGTCTCAGGCCAGTCAAGGTCTCCCGGTGTAAAAGACATAGTTTCACCTGTGGATTGAGGCCATTTTACGCATTTTTAGTGTCCAAACTTGAGGATGCTAACTTGCGGACAATTAGAAAAGCTAGCATGCCAGTAGATTAATCCACCTCCCAATTTGTTTATACCTGTGTGTGTGTGTGTGTGTGTATTTTTCTTGTAGAGAATTTGCCCGGGACCATCAGTCAGGTAAGCAATCATCTTCTACACTATACAGTCATGGCCATTATGTAGGAGAATGACAGTCCGGTATTACATCGTGTTATGATGGTAATGTGGTCACGCCACCTACTAAATCTGGATGAAGGCGACCACTTTTAGCGGTCTCTTGAGCATTCAGTTTAAACCGGTTTTACTGGTAATGCTAGTGCTGGGTACTGGTACTGGCCAGTTGCTCTGCTTGCTCTCTGGTCTATCTCAGTATGTGTGGTAAGCCAGGCCCGCCGGAACCGGTGCGGCTGGTCAGGTCATTGCCGGACTAACTTGTTGACCACCAACGTGTGTACACTGCTGAGGAAGGCATGTTTACCCACCACATCAAACACTATGAAAGACTATGGTATGACGGACCAATCATAAATTGCTTCTGGCGGTCCTGTTTAAAACCGGTTGTGAGGATGGAGGTTAAGAGTGTGAGTATAGGCATGATGCACATACAATGCAATGTGTAACAATTACTGTAGCCTGCATGATCATTGCCTTGTGCACTGTGGAGCAGTACATGTATTACCATGCCGAGGCTTACTGTTCAGACATGTACTTTCAGGAGTAGCACATTCACATATGACTCTGACTGTGTGTGTGTGTGTGTGTGTGTGTGTGTGTGTGTGTGTGTGTGTGTGTGTCTTATGATTGCTGGTCCTTTTTGCAGACTTCCCACCCAGGATCAGCCCTCACACGTGAGTTGTACTTGCTGCTTTACACGTCAGTTCTGGCTTTGCTTTGTTGGGTGCTACAAGTGTAGGCATGGTGATGGCCTGGTACGAGCGAAAATCCCTAAGCTGGTTGTGTTTCTCAACGCAATTGTATAGCCGGTTGTAACGCGGACGATTGAACTTTACTACTTACTAGTGTGGTGTTACCTCCTCTGATGTGCCTTGACATCATGTTGGATTGTGCAAAATGGGTGCCGTGATACCATTCTTGTTGCTTTGTGTTTGTCTGTGTGTCTCTGTGCTTTCAGGCAACCAATAGCTGGAATAGAGTCTCTTCTTGCGGGAAATCTCATGCTGAATCTCGGTGTCAAGGTCAGTTGCACTGTCTTTATGTGTTCGTTCAGCACTGTCTGCCTGTCTGCCTATCTGTATGGCCTAGTCACCGAGCAATGCGCCACGTTTACCTATTTCTCTTTCCACTGGCTGCGTTCGATTATGCACTTGAATTGATTCATGGATCGATTCAAGTGCATTCAAGTCGTTCGATTGTCATGTCCTGAGCCCTGGAATCGATTCGGAATTCATTCACCCGATTCACGTGGGGTGATGTGAATAACGATTCATGAATCGATTCGCGGGCATAATCAACCGCACTCACTGTATTTGACTGCGTTTTCGGTGTGTTTGGCACACTTTGACTGGACTTGTTCGTCTGTTACGTGTGCACCTCCTGCAGCCTTCCCTGAATGCTCCTGCGAACAACTCAGCCAAGGTAACATGCCTCATCAAGCCATTGTTGTCCTTACAATCGTACTGGCTGCTCTGACTTTAGGGCCTGGTTGTGCCGAACAAAATTCTGCAAGTTCAGCTCAGAATTTATGAGTTGTTGCCAAGGAAATGGCAGGATGCCAGACACTTTCCACCGATCAGGGCGATGTCAGCTAAATTTATAACAGTGTTTGTACACTAGAATCACAAAAACTCATTGACGGGAATTACAATTCAGGAAAAAAGAGAGAATAAAAGGGTAGAATATGTGTGACCATTGTACTATAACCGTGTCACTAGGACTACTGCAGACCCACAACCGAACTCATATTTACGTTTCACACTGATTTAATTCCATGAGGTTATTGTTGGGACTAAGAAAAAGAACTAACTAAAAACAATGTTGGTGAGAGCAAGAACCATCTCGCACCATACGGGACGCATGCGCATGGTGCATCGAACCGGAACTAAAGACTAAAGTACAGAGCACGCGAAGGTGCAGTACATGTATGCGCCTGCAAGCAGCAGTGTCAGGAATGCAGTGAATCGCACACACCGCACGGCAGCCACCGTTAGCACGTCATGCAGTCTATACAACGCAGTGGCTCATGATCATGAAGAGAAAGCGGACACCAACCGCAAGAAGCCTATAGATTAGAAGATAAGAAGCACACCGCACATGCAGTGGAACAAGGAGTCACGCACGACTCATCCCTGAACGACAACGCCATGCAAGTACTCATGTACACAGGAAAGAACACAAACAGTGCATACAGCAACGAACAGAAGCAGCTAGTACACGTACTTGTACTAGGAGACATTCACACAACACCATGAATACTAGCTAGTGTCAGTCAGGATGGGTGAGGGGGTCACCATTACACTTCATCCCTCCGCCTGGTGACATTTCCTGCCAAGCAGCATCAATCCTGGAAGCGAGCTGGTCGCTGGATGCCTTGTCGGTTTCGAAGATCCATGCGGACATGCTGGCCATCGGCAGCAGGCTCCTGCGGATCAGGGAGCAATCCAAGCCAGCCATCTGCTTTGAAGCTGTCACCCTCCTGGCCGTCATCTCCATCAGGGAAGTTTTCCGTTGGCAATTCCAGACCTGGCCGTGGAGCATCCGGTTTGATGAGTTCCACGTTCACCACCTTCTCTCGAGGGGATCTACCATCAGACCTCCGCCAGATCACGACAGTTGATGGAGAAATGACTTTCTTCACAGTCCAGCCGGATTCAAAAGGCGGCAATCGCTTCTGACGACGACTAGGCATCCGCAGCATGACTGCATCTCCAGCCTGGTAAGCGCAGGGCAGCACCTCGTCATGGCAGTCGCCTTCCGACATGGCGTCTTCCAAAAGGTCTCGGATCCTAGCAGATCGTGCTGCGTGTTCTGCTTGCCACATGTCAAAGTCGTACCTAGGGCGTCCATCGTCAATCAACACAGGTGGGTCCCACCCAACCATGGCCATCATTGGGGACATGCCAGTCACTGAATGCGGTCGAGAGCGGTAGAAGTGGACCAGCATCTGAAGATCGTCCATCCAGTCCGATGAGTCGTCGAGGACCTTCCTGATGAGAGTCAGCAATGTCCGATTGTACCTCTCGGCGGCTCCCTGGGATTGCGGATGGCGAACGGCACCTGTCTTCACCCTCACGCCGAACACTTGAAAGACAGACTGGACAATGGCATTGCTGAACTCAGTCCCATTGTCCACACGGATGACGTCTGGTGGTCCCCACCTACAGCACAAGCTCACGAAGGCCGAGGCAACACTGGGCCCGTCGTGCCGTTTCATTGGCACTATTTCCACCCACTTTGTCAGCACATCCACGCACACGAGCACGCAGTGGTGTGTCCCGCCACGGTTCAGCCCAAGCTCCAGGGTGCCCATTTTGCACTGTTCCCCATGGTCGACCTGGGATCTCTGCTCTGGCGCTGGGGGCTGCTGGGCCTTTTGCTGGACTAGCGGCTTGGCAGTTCTGGCACCCCTTGACTTGGTCTTGGCAGGCAGACGCCATCTCAGGAAAGTAGCAGTGCTTGCGGAGCAACTCATACATTGGCTGCCAGGAAGCATGACCAGTGTTGACATGAGCAGCAGTCACGACATCAGGCACTAACAACTCGGGAACGACTGGCACGTTGACTTCCCCTTCCACAGGCAGCTTCAGGCTCCGGACTAGGCGGCCTTCCTCCACATGAAGCTGACCGGCGCAACTGCGGAAGCGCCGGCTTGCTACTGGCTGGCCAACTTGAATCTGCTGAATCACTCCTTGGATGACCTCGTCCGATGCCTGGGCTTTGCCCAACTCATTGCTAGAGAAAGGGCTAACAGCCACAGCCCTCGGCAGACTGGCCACAACATCAGAGCTCTTCTTCGGCCAGTTGAACGGCACGCGCGTCAGCTTGTCTGCAAGGTTTTCAGTCGTTGGCACCCACTCCACAGTCACCTGCATCTCCGTCATGCTAAGAAGATCATTGACTATCTGCAGCCGACGCTGCACCAGAACCTCATGCAGACCACCAACCCGGACGCGACGTGACCCACCAACAACCGGAGCCAGCCATCCCGCAGTAGTCTTCGAGTCAGTCTTCAGAACCACATGCGTCGCGTTCCACCTCGTGGCTAGCGTGAGGGCCTTAATGGCAGAGTCAAACTCAGCAACATTTACATGGAGCTTGTCCCCTGCAGGCCGAAGCCATGATGCATCTTCCACAACGGTCCCGTCGAGCTCAAGAACGACACCAATAGCTAGGCCAGATGCATCGCACCACGCAGTCCAGGTGGAGTCAGCCTGCGCGTGCACGTCCCACTGACCATGCACCGGATCGTCGGAGGAGAGCCTCGCGAACAGCTCTTGGCAGCATTCAACAAGGGTTTCCGGCAGTGGATCGTCCCATCCATTGCCACCTGCAGCAGTCGCCAGCCGCTTCAGGTAACTGCAAGCAGGCCTGAGCCACGAACAGACCGGGTAGTGGCCAATAAGGCGTCCACACCACGAGAAGACCTTGCGTCTTGTCATCTTAGGTGGTGGCTCTAGATCGATCTCTCTCCTGGACCAGCCCATGGCGCCATCGGCATTAGCCTTCAGTTGCATACCAAGAACACGGGACTCCTCCATGGGTTCGGCAGGCTTCGTTGGGAGTCCATAGGCTGCAAGCTCGTCGGCAACACACTGAGTCACTTCTGCTGGAGCTCGGATATCATCAACATAGTTGTCGACTTCTGGGCGATGGCGAGTGATCCACTGGATGACGAGGTGCATAAACTTCGGCGCAATCGCCAACCCGAAGCCCATTCTGGTCATCACGTACACCTTGTTGTTCCAGAGAACGGCCTGGTAGCGCACTAGCTCAGCACTGACATGCACCTGGAGATATGCTTTCTTCACGTCTAGCATCTCCCACTGACCATCACTGCTGCGTCTCCACTGCCTGATCTTCTCGGCGCACACGGGGGCTTCATAGCCAGGCTCAGAGTCAATGAGCTCATTAAGCTTACGATAATCCAGGCATGGTCTGATCGGGGTGGATGCTTTATGCTCTTGGGTGCGAGCAATCAACGGAAGCACACCAGCCACTGCTCCATGTGTGGCTTCATCGTGCGGCACAAGCCAACCATTAGCGATCCAAGCGTCGACTTCCTTGCAGAACAACTTCTCCTGCTCTGGGCTCAGTTTCTCCCCGGAGTACTGGCCGATGCCAGAGCCCACTGGAACCTCAGGGGCTGCACCACTTTTCCACTTCCAGCGGAGAATCCAACGCTTGGTTTCATGACACCATTGGACCTCTCCATCACGTGCCGACAACGTGACACCTTGTCCATGACGGCTCACTTGCACGTGGCGGGAAGGGTGACCGTCCTGAGGAAGTGCAGCAGACACAGGACTTGACACTGGCCCAAACCTCACACTCTCCAGCCGGCCATCATTGGCATACTCAAGATGTAGGCCACCACAGCTGCTCGCTACATCACAACCGATCAACAAATCGGCGTGTACGACACTCAGATCGTTGACGACTAACAGCTCCACACTGGCTTCTGGCATCTGCACTGGGATAGGGCCATCCAATCGTCCAATGTTGACGGCTACTTTCCCAAGAACAGCAATAGACTGGCCATCCAGCGCCACGAGTCTGCTTTCACACTCTGACCACGCAAGGCCACAGGACAGGGCTTGGTCCTTAGTCAGCAGTGATCGGACAGCACCAGTGTCAATGACTGCTGTCATACGTGACACATCATCCTTGTTGCCCGTTGTCCACATGTCTACCTTGATCCTAGGCAGCTGCCCTGGCGAAGGCACAGACACAGAGGCCAAGGCTGGACTAGGCTCCTCTCCAGCTGCTGCTGCAGCACTCCCGCCTTGCCGGCTCGCCAGCCAAGCTTTCCGGTCCGGACAGTCTGGCTTCCTGTGACCAGGCTTGTCACAGAAGTAGCACGTACTGCCACGGCCTCCACCATCCTTGGAGCTGGACCCACTCTGCTGCCCCTGCTTCCTCCTTGGGCAATCTCGCTTCATGTGGCCGACCTCATTGCAGAGGTAGCACAAGAAAGACTTTCTGCTGGTCTTGTCGCCACGTGCACCACCAGCCAAACTACCAGTTCCAGCACCTGTACCTACTGCAGCTGTCACAGAATCGCCATCACTAAGCTGAACAGCACGGACTAATTCTAAGCAAGCGCTCACAGTCTGGTCCTTTCCCACAAGTGACAACCTAACCTGCTTTGCCCACGCATGTGGAAGCCCGTCAAGAAACTGCTCAACAACGGAGTGATTTTTGTCATCCCCAGGCGACGCATCGCCGGCCAAACTGGCGAGGCGCTGCAAATCGGCAACATAGGCATCTGGTGACTCCTCTTGTCTCATGCGTCGGGCCTTGAACCGCCGGTAGGCTTCCGACTTCGTCATACAAAACGCCTCTTCCATTTTCTTCTGGACGGCGTCAGGCTTCTTCTTGTCATCCGACTTCATTCGGCTGAACACCAGGAACGCATCCTGCTCCAGAAACAAGGGTAACTGGGCCATTTTCTTCTCGTCCGAGTCCCACTTGTTGATTGTCGCCAGCACGTCAAATTTCGCCCAGAACGTCTGGAAATCATCGACCTTTCCCCGGTAGGGTCGAAGGTATCCTTCAGCTTTCGACATCGTACTTAGATCGGAAAATTCAGTTTCCCCACGAGTCCACACGCGACAGTACAATCAACCACGACGCCAACCAGCAACCCAGCTGGTATCCCTGACGTCCTCCCGGGTTTCGGCACCACAAGCTGTACTATAACCGTGTCACTAGGACTACTGCAGACCCACAACCGAACTCATAGTTACGTTTCACACTGATTTAATTCCATGAGGTTATTGTTGGGACTAAGAAAAAGAACTAACTAAAAACAATGTTGGGAGAGCAAGAACCATCTCGCACCATACCGGATGCATGCGCATGGTGCATCGAACCGGAACTAAAGACTAAAGTACAGAGCACGCGAAGGTGCAGTACATGTATGCGCCTGCAAGCAGCAGTGTCAGGAATGCAGTGAATCGCACACACCGCACGGCAGCCACCGTTAGCACGTCATGCAGTCTATACAACGCAGTGGCACATGATCATGAAGAGAAAGCGGACACCAACCGCAAGAAGCCTATAGATTAGAAGATAAGAAGCACACCGCACATGCAGTGGAACAAGGAGTCACGCACGACTCATCCCTGAACGACAACGCCATGCAAGTACTCATGTACACAGGAAAGAACACAAACAGTGCACACAGCAACGAACAGAAGCAGCTAGTACACGTACTTGTACTAGGAGACATTCACACAACACCATGAATACTAGCTAGTGTCAGTCAGGATGGTGGAGGAGGTCACCATTACACTTCACCATGCCAGGTTTGCTTCTCCAAGATCCGTCCGCAGATTCAGAAATCTGCATTGTGCTGAACAAGTCCGTGTGATGGGACCTTAGTCTTGGCAGCAGGGCTGCTTGCAGGGTTCTAGCCAGGTCAAAAATAGCAGAGGGCGGGCATGGGAAACAGTTACCCCGTGTCCTAATTTCCTCTTTCCAATATTGTCTTGCCATTCTAAATGCAACGTATGGGGCGAATCCCCGACTTCGCCCCAGACAAATGTGCCTGTATGAACCATCTACTAGTGACTTTCGACTGCATTTTCGTTGAATTGCATGAAAAACATGGAAATCAAAAATGAGTGTGGGGGGGGGGGGCAAACAGAGTAGAGAGTTTTCGCATGGCGTGCAACGTGACAAGACCGAACGCGAGGCTATTCACGTGCGTGACGCACTTGAAAAGAGCTTTCGCAGCAGGTGAACATGGTGAACCATTAGAACTTTGCGTAAATCGCACGTGCTGGGCCATCAAGTGCCAACGTGATGAGGCCGCGTTCCACGTTGGCAACGCGCGTTTGCCTCGCTTCTGAACGTGGCACGTGACCTTCGAACGCGTCAAGTGAGCGCGTTGCACGCCGTGCGAAAACTCTCTAGTAAGAGGGCGCTGCCCCCCCCCCCCCCCTCCCATACCCCTTTGGCTAGAACCCTGTGCTTGTATGGCACTCGGTTTAAAGCATACGTTTGAGTTTGAGTAGTAGACAAGCCGATTTCAAGCAAGTGTAGATATTATAACTTGATTGGTCTTCCTCCTACACAGCAGTAGCCATGCCATTCCTGCCATTGTCTTCAGCCATATTCTCTGGTCATTCATGCTCATGCATACATGTATGCACCATAGGATGCTGCTGGTCCGGATGAGGTCATAACCGGCGATGGCGACTTCATGCTCTTGGAGGAACCCGGTGTTCTAACGCCTGCGGGAGATTTAAATGTCACAGTGAGTCATGCAGAAAGCAGTAATTCAACTTCATGTCAACACACACGTACGCACACACACACGCACGTACGCACACACACACAGACACACACACAGACACACAGACACACAGACACACACACACAGTGTCCAATGCCACTCCATTGCCATGTTTAGCACATCAGCATGATCAACGGCCGAGTGCACTAGCTTTGGAAGCCTTGCTCTTGCTCCCCGAGATGGGGCACAGTATGATGTCAAGCATGACCGCTGACCGCGTTTCATGCTTGCCTAGAGCGGTCGTGCAACTTTCGGTACACTCCCATGTGATGTGTACGGTGGGTTGTGTACAGACAGGGTGCATGCGGTCGCATTAATCATCGGCTGCACTGTGAAGGCCTTTAGTGACGTGTGTTCTGTATGTATGTCTGGCGCGCATCCAATGCAGATTGCAGGTCCCGTGGATATGTCGTTGACCTGTGTTCCTTCAACTTTGGTCACTCACCCGTTCCCGGCAACTTCATCAGTGCCAACTGAGGTACATTGACTGGGGGAGAGGCCTGTAGTTTTATCGATGGCATGGTACAACAGCTGTGTTGCGTTATCAGACTGTGATCACTGTCACATGGCATGCCGTGTTTCTCCTTGAAATACGTAGTTCAAGGATGTTATCATGGGGAATAGTTGACTTGTGGGTGGTCATTTTGTATGAGTGATTGTATATGTAGGTGTGTGCGTGCGTGGAATGACATGCGCTGAAAGTTCTAAGATTCCCAGAGCGGTGCCATAGCATTGACGACGAGGTTGCACACCATGCATGGTCAGTGTCGGTCTTTTTCCTGTCTTCTTCTCTGTGTGTTGTGAGTATGTCTGGCTGTTTGTGCCTTGCTTAGGATCACGACATGAGCTTGACAGAGGTGTGTTTGGCGGAACCCACTCAAAACGCTGCCAGGCCTCGCTGGGGAGAGGCAACCTGTAATTCTGCTGAGGTATTGCTTGCTTGATCTTGTTCTGCTGAGCTTGAAGTACAGTCGTGGCCAAAGAAATCCAACCCACGGGTCAAAAGCAACGCCGCATTTCCGTTTCAATTACGCCATGCACGGTCTAAAAACCCATCTGAGGGCTACATGTCATGAGCCTTGGAGCTGCTTTCGGCTCGCGGGTCGGATTTCTTTGACCACAACCGTCTATCCGTTGTGATGTAAATTTTGAGCTTGATGGATTAAGCCGTTTTGATGCAAGTTGCAAGCGAGAGTTAGGGACTAAGGTCAGCTGGTAGTACATGTGTATGCATGTATATACATGTATTTCCTAATAGGTAGAGTTATGGTAGTCTCTGTAGTTCCTGTGTACCATGCACAGTCATTACACATGACCCAGGACTTGCTCTGGATGTGTCCAGCCTTGTGCTGGATTAGGATCGATGTCATCATTTTTTCACCGCTGTTCCCACTCCAGACTAAAGGTCCTACTGTCTCCGACAGCTACACCTTTCAGAGGTGTCTTTCCACGTGGAAATAGTGCAATGCGCTCACTGCAGGTGGCTTGGCTGTGTGTGTTTTACAATGTAGTTCTGCAGATATAGACTGCTGCTTTGATTGCATCCTAACGGGAGTCCATAACCAATAGTATGCAGTTGTGATTATGGGTCTGTGCGCGCGGCGTGCTGCCCTCATTGCGTTACTCACCTTGATGTGTGATGTAATACAGGCAGCGTTTCGTGCACCTTGTGCCTAGAAACGAGATGTTAGTCGCATACTAGTACTCTTGAAGTCTTGATACTATGGATAATTAGTACTTACTGCTGTTATTTCTGTACTTGGTTTGATGTCATTCAGGACATGGAGACGACTTGTGTCCAGTTTCCCAATGCCGGTGACGATGATGATGATGATGCAGTTAATGCTGATGCTGACAACAGCCGCTCGGACATGGAGATGACGTGCAATGCACTGGACGCTACGTGTAGGCAAATTGTGAGTGTGGCACCACAGCTGCTGCGGCTGCTGCTGCTGCTGGCACTCGGCCGTGAGCTGTAGAGTAGTCAATAGCAATGACACTGTGTGTGTGCTGCTGTTAACCATGATGGCACGGACTTTTTCAACTGCAGGGAAACCTGTCTAAGACGACCACTCAAGGGACCTTCAAAGCATGGTCTCTTGTAGTGGTGGTAGTGGAAGGCTAATCCTCTTCTACAGGAAAGCAACGCATTTATTCACCTATGTGAATGCAGGAATCCATGTATGTGTTGACGATTCCTATGGAAAAAACAACAAATCCAATGGTGGCGGTAGTGGTGACGGCTGTGGCGGTGGTACATATACATGTAAACGCTGATTGTTTTGGTTTTAGCATGGAGTGCAATGGCAGCCGTTCCCCCAATTTAGCCGTGTCTGTGCCTGTGCCTGTACTGCTGCTGTGTCTTGCAGGATGAGAGCGAACCGGGGGATTCACCTGAATCAGACCCAGCCGATCTTAATCACGTTCTTGGTTTCATCGAGTCTCTGAAGCCAGCTTCCCAGCCTAGACAGAAGAATGAGGAGAGGGCTTCAAAGAGTGATGCGGTGGAGCATGCATTGCAGAGTAATCAAATTCTAGAGCAATCGCTGGGTACCGAGCCTAGCCCTGCAAGTCAGTACAGAGGCATTGCTCCCAACAATGCTACAATGACATGCATGGATGTAAGTACTGATGAGGTGTGTGCGTGAGCCGTGAGTGTGTGTACGTGTGTGTATATGTTTGTCTGTGTGTATGGAAGTATGGGCATGGTATGGCTGGCTCGCGCAGCATTTAGCTGGCATACTTTATGTGTCTTTTGTGCTGAAAATCCTTCTGCTAGTCTTCCCATTAGATTGATCTTAAAATAACAGTTTGCATGTGTTCCCTTCTCTTTTGTGCTCTCTCGTGTAGCATGTGGATATGAGTGAAGATTTGAGCGCTGACGTCCCTGCACCAGTGTGCGCCGTAGCTGGTACGGGGGCATCGCTGAACTTGGTAAGGGGAAACAGCTGTACCACTGAAAGCCTTGTTTGATGTTCAGTTAAATTTCAATCCCCATTATGTACAGTAAACGAATAGGTGACGTGGTTCCCTAATCGTTTTACATGATACCCTTATACTTCAAATTACATGCAATACGTACATGTTTGTGACCTCTTTGCTGCTGCTGCTGCTGCTGCTGCTGCTGCTGCATTTCCAATACAATGGATTCTGCTAAGTCAATGTTTTTTTGTTTCTAACGTGTACTTGCTGTCTGCTTCTCCAGGATATGATGTCACTAAGTGACGCTGCATCCAGAGGTCAACAAGCGAACACAGCGGCCGGACAATCCCGTAGCGACGATAGCCCGGTGGCGTCGGACGACCAGGTGCAGGAAAGTGCTGTTGCCACTCCGCACAAAACAAGGGCTGGCGGCGTCCCGTCGGCGTTTGGCGGCCTTGACGAGACGGCGTATGGGCTGGCTGCCTCTACACCAGTGGCTGGTGGTACCATGGGTATGTTGCAGTCGCTCGACGAGACACTCATTCGGCCTGTGGATAAGCTGCCCATCCCGCTCGACGACGACGACGTGCAGTCGACTACATCAGATGTGGCCACTGATAGCGAACAGAGCGTCACCGAGGAACAGGAGCCAGTGGGACCCGTGTCTGTGGAACCCGTGGAGGAGGTAGAAGTTGAGGCGGAAATAGCGACAGACGATCGCTCCCTGCTACCTGCAGCCTCTTGTGTGGCCGATACTCTTTTAGCGCAGCCGGAGCCGGGTACTGGGATAGAGAATGAAGAGCCGCCTTCGTTCCTGGATGCCAGTGAGCTGGCAGCAGCAGCAGCGCAACAAGTACACCCAGTAGCCACAGTGGTGCCAGAGCTCACTGCCACATCCCCGGCACGCTCTCCATCACCACCTATGCCTTCACCACAGGCACCAGCTGTGCCAATGGCGAAGTAAGTTTTTCAGCTGTGTTCCTATGCACGCGCACGCACGCGCATGTGTGTGTGCGTGTGTCTGTCTATCTGTCTGTCTGTCTTTTTTCTGTGCGCAAAGTGCATGCCCGTGTCTGAGACAGATATTCAGACAGCCCTAGCTACTTTACCATTCAAGTTCCTGTTTGCTTTCCATGGGCATCCAACCTGTTTTCCATCAATATCCTGGGTTCTGGGTTCTGGATTCTTGTTGTGGTGTTGATGTTTCCAATGCTATATGGGTGGTAATATGTGTGCATGTGTGCGTGGTGTACTGTAATACAAGTGTATTGTGTATGCGTGTATGCATGGTATTGTGTATGCATGTATGTGTGGTATTGTGTATGCGTGTATGCGTGGTATTGTGTATGTGTGTATGCATGGTATTGTGTATGCATGTATGTGTGGTATTGTGTATGCGTGTATGCGTGGTATTGTGTATGTGTGTATGCATGGTGTTGTGTATGTGTGTATGCATGGTGTTGTGTATGTGTGTATGCATGGTGTTGTGTATGCATGTATGTGTGGTATTGTGTATGCGTGTATGCGTGGTATTGTGTATGTGTGTATGCATGGTGTTGTGTATGTGTGTATGCATGGTGTTGTGTATGCGTGTATGTGTGGTATTGTGTATGTGTGTATGTGTGGTATTGTGTATGTGTGTATGCATGGTGTTGTGTATGTGTGTATGCATGGTGTTGTGTATGTGTGTATGCATGGTATTGTGTATGCATGTATGCATGGTATTGTGTATGCATGTATGCGTGGTATTGTGTATGCGTGTATGTGTGGTATTGTGTATGCATGTATGTGTGGTATTGTGTATGCGTGTATGCGTGGTATTGTGTATGTGTGTATGCATGGTGTTGTGTATGTGTGTATGCATGGTGTTGTGTATGCGTGTATGTGTGGTATTGTGTATGTGTGTATGTGTGGTATTGTGTATGCATGTATGCGTGGTATTGTGTATGTGTGGTATTGTGCATGCGTGTATGCAGACTTTTGTTTCTAATATTCCAGTATTTCCCTGGTGTCATGTTCTTGTGTGCTGCACAGTCTCGGTGAGCTGCTGGTTCGGCATGCTGAGGCAAGCTCCGTTTACTGTGAGGTAAGCATTGCCATGGGGACAATCCCACTGTCTTTCTTGTTCTGCCCATAGCAGTTTCGTATTTTCTTGTGTTGTATTTCCTCAGTAACTCAGAACTTGATCCCTAAGAAGGAAATGTAGAGTTGTTTGTGCATTGTTGCTGTCTTTCTGACTCCAGTTTCCTGAGGATTTAGTGCCCACTACGCCATACGAACAGTGGACATGCGCGGAGAAGTTGTTCTGCACCTTTGCTGGCAAGCCACTGCACGAGATCCTGGAATACGGCACGCGAGAGTTCCAGGAAGTGAACAGCAAGTGAGTTTGTGTGCGGCACGTCAGTTGCTAGTCTGGTTATAATCCTGTGCTCATCTTTCCCTGTTTCCACTGGATTGAGCCATGGTCCTTGGATGGTGAGGCAGGGGTGGTACACATGCCCTGGCCATCAGCCGCATGCCTGGGTTTGTACAGATACATATTCACTAGTCTCTACCCGGGAAGCTCTGCTCTACAAAAGAGGAGCTGAAAGATGTGAAAATGGTGCGTTTGTGAACTGGCTACAGCTCTGTTTACAGGGGCGTCGGAAGGTAATGGCACGTATTCATCTAAAATGGCGGACGCCCACGCTGCATACATGGTATGGGCGCATGTGAGCCACGCTGTGGGGACACTTGTTCGATTCCGCATACAAATGTATACAAATGCGTGGAAAAGAAGTTTCTCTAATCGCTGGAACTTGTGAGTTTCTTTCGATATAGACTACTGGTCTTCAAGGTATGCAATAGTAGTGACCCAACGAAGTGGAATTTGCGGAATACAACGTTCGAGACGGCTCAACAAGTCAAGAGTAAAGTGCGAATTTACTATGTATGCTAGTGGTGAAACGAATATACCGAATATTCGAATGTTCGTTCGGTTTGTCACATTCGAACGAATATTTCTCATGGCGAATATTCGCTAACCGGGTATGCAGAGTTTACCGGGCGACTTCAAACTTCCGTAACTTCGCGAATACAAGGTCCTGGAATGGAGTTATGGCGGTCGAACGAAAAATCACGTCTTGAGCTGTTTTTTTCAGCTGGGGATTTTGTGAAAATTGACCTAGAAATGGTGGACAAATATGTGCCTTCGTTTGTCATGCCTAATAATAGTGACAATATCCAATAAAATGACTGAGAGGAGGGCGTGTGATGTCATCCGTGTTAACGAAAGAATATTCGTTCGTTCGTTCGTTCGTTAAGCCAAAGAATATTCGGCTACTGGGTTTTGATATTCGTTTCACCACTAATGTACGCAAATGAGAAAACCGACTTGGTTCCCCGCAGCGCTAGTCACATGCGCCTTCAGTGAATACGTGTCATTTAGTGTGGTACGGTCAGCCATCTGAAGTACAATTTACTCGTGTGGGAGGGATGGCTGAGCCGAAAATTTTGGAGCCCAAATCAGTGCATTTTATTGATTCACAGGGTACTTGGGGCAAATAGTGGTACGGTCAATACCGTAGTGACCGTACCGTGTCCGACGCCCATGGTTTAGCTGCCATTCACACCTGCTGAATAGAGATGTTGTCAGTTAAGATCCCCGACACCCGTCAGCCATTCGGGGAGAGTCTATCTCTTGCTTTTGTAGAGTGCAAAGTGGTTCTACTGACCTTGTGCCACTTCGTATCCCTTATTACCATGGTCACCAAGTGTAGTTCAGTATTGGCTGGACACTCTCGCGTGCTATTTCTAATTTTTAATCTCAGGCTTCTTGAACGGTTATTGTCGTCTGACAACTGTAACATCGACAGTCACATCATGCCGGAGGATGTAAGTTTTTTTCAGGATCAACTTAACAGATTTATTTTGCACTTGATTATCAATGTAAACATAGGCATGTTGACTTACTTGCCTGTAGTTCCCCTGATGAGATGGTTCTGATAACATTCAGGAACAAATACGTTAAAAATAATCGACGAGGAGACAAAACATCGTAATATTGAATTGAAATGAAGAATGTAAACGCGCTCATCAGCAGTCGCAACGCAACAGTCGAGTTATGATTCAAACCAGGGAGTAGTAAAATACAGGGAGGTGACACGCCACTAATCGTGATTTTTGATGGGTGCCTCGCGCTTGTTTTTTTTTCTTTCGCAAAAAAAGATGATCTGCTGAATCAATCTTGAGTATTTGTTGAAGAACTAATTCCGTGAAAAGGTCTATCCATCTCATGGAACAGCATTTGTTTTGCTCTTGTGATACATCTGTGTCATCGTCATATGGAAAGGTACCACCCTTCCGAAATTCGTCCCGATCGACGGCATGGAGCAATAGAACGAAGGTGATTTCCTTGAGAACAATACGTGTACGATTGGAGATGAAAAGCGAGTGCACCGATTTCGAAGTCGAAAAAATCTCTAGGACACCACATGATCGGCACTAATTTCTCCTCAGTTGTGATCAACCAGTACATCTCTACCTTCTTTGTGATGATGAGCATTTCATATTATGGTATGCTAGAGATTCGGGAGTTCACTTTTCGGAATGAAATGTTCCTAAGTTTGTCAAGGATTGAAATGCGGGCTATACCTGCTACGTCGTCGTAAACAGCTTGTATCGATACAGGAAAAATCTACGGCACGCAGGGATATCTCCCAAAGTGATACCACTCTTGCTGGACTTCTATCCTGACATAGTGGTAGTTTGGTCGACTACTAAACTTTGTGAAGGCAGACAATTGTTGGAAATTCTCAGCGCTGAGTTTCTACGGGCTGCAGTATGAGTCCCTTTGGCGGTAGGTATTTTACTACTCCCTGATCAAGAGAATCCTGATCCGCGCGCGTGTCTACACACTTCGGTACCCATAGTACCCCAATCTCACCCGCCGGGTGAAAACGGTGCTGAGGCAATCGTCAAACTGGCCGTACATGCTCGTGTCACCTCCCTGTATTTTACTACTCCCTGATTCAAACGTTTTCTTGTGGCATTCACAGTGGTGCCAAATAATTTTCGCCCAAAATCGGACAACCTTCACCGCCAAGGCTGGCCACATGGTGCGAATTTTTCTCCTCGGCAAATTGTTTACAGTGAATTCAAAATATCGCCTAAAACACCATGAAAATTCGCTTCGTTGCCATGGTAACCCCAGAGTTGTCATGAATTTTGTAATGATGAGTGTGGTCGCACACTGACTCTGTACAGACTGTCAGTGTACATGCCTTCCAGCCTGATCCAGGCATGTTACTTTGCACTTCCACAGCCAAGCGCTAGCCTTTTTAGAAGCAAATGTACAGTGATTTGTGCCTTCAGTTGCGCTGAAAAGTGAAAGTACAGGACTTCTGCATAGGAAAGTAATGATCTCCGACATTTTGGCTGCTTTTCGGACGTTTCCCTTTTCGGAAGAGCCTTCAAAAATCGTACACTGTCCGAAAAATCGGACGGTTTGGCAGCACTGCATTCATCTCCACAATGGGGTATATCTAGAACCGAATCAGGCTATATTCAAGTAGATCATTGCGATAAGTATTAGTTGTTTATTACAGTCATAATATTATAAGTTTCCGTGCATGGCACGGTAAGTGGAGTTAGCAACACACCAACATTCTTGCCATAACTTACTTGCATAAGCAACACTTGTACATGCATAACATCAAGAGTCCTAACCCATGGGTTATGGAAACAATACATGCGTGCACTCCGAATTCCCGCGTTTCCGCACGGGACTGTGCGGAGCATGCGCATTACTCCAATTCGCCATGCTGTTGTTTCTTGCTCTTTCGCTTTGCCGTGCTGACGGTCAAATTGTTTGACTATCGCGTCCAGTTTCTGATCAATATCCGGTCAACCATGTCTCTGTCAGTGAGCGATGTCCAGCCAAAACGCCCTTTGCTTTGCTGCGCTGACTGTCAAATTGTTTGACTATCGCGGCCAGTTTCTGATCAATATCCGATCAACCATGTCTCTGTCAGTGAGCGATGTCCAGCCAAAACGCTCTTTGCCTGCTGCGCTGACGCAGTGACGGTCAAATTGTTTGACAATCGCGGCCAGTTTCTGATCAATATCCGATCAACCATGTCTCTGTCAGTGAGCGATGTCCAGCCATAACGCTCTTTGCTTTGCTGCCTTGACGGTCAAATTGTTTGACGATCGCGGCCAGTTTCTGATCAATATCCGATCAACCATGTCTCTGTCAGTGAGCAATGTCCAGCCAAAAATGCGCTCTGCTGAGCTGCGAAACGCACTGGCATCCCGCAATTATTTAGACCCGACAGGAACAAAACCTACTCCGCGGACTCGCCTGCTCGAGTTGAAGTTGGCTCCAGACTACTGTACGCGAGGACTTGGCCGCTCCGGCAGCGGAGCAGAACCTAGCGCTAGCCGAGGCAACTGCAGCCCCATCCCTGGCCTGGGAGACTTTAGTCGGGAGGAGGTTCGCGCTGCCCTTGGAACTCGGGCTGCAGCTCCAGCCTCCAGCCGTGCCGACAACCCACACGCCGGCGCCTCCGATCCAAGCCCCGGCAATTCGCGCAACGTTCGTGCGGCGCGGGAGCTCTCCCACGCACGGCAGGGCGCTCTGCCTGCTTTGGCTGTCGCCATGGCCACCTCAACCGCCGCAGGTAAGAAAACCTTTTATGCTACGGTGCCGAAACCCGTTCATGATAAGGTAGTGACTGGCCAGTCGTTGACTCTGATTTGGTTCCTTATTGCCAAGTGACTAGTCAGTCCCAAGGGGACACCAGCCGCAGCGTTTTACAACTTGACCCCTACAGCTCCTACGGCCCAGTGGTTCTGGCACCTGTAAGCGGGCACTCCAGTCCAGGAGAGTCGAGGACATTGGCGCCTGGCTCGACGCTTGGACCACGTATTGTGCAACTTACGCAGCAGCACACCCCTCCAGGGCCCCCGGAGCTGTTTTCGTACCAGCCCATAATCTTGAAGATGGCTCGGAAATTTAGGCTCCAGGCTGTGTACGAGTACGATCGATCACTTCGCCCCCGTTTCGTAATATCCGATGCTCTGGCATTGGCATTGTGCCCAAGACGTCTGCCGTGCGCCTCATCATGCACCTAACTGCTCCTAGCGGCTCTGGCATTAACGACGGCCTTTCCTTTGACGAGCTCTCTCTACATTATGTCACTGTAGACGGCGCAATACACTGCATTTCCCAACACAGTCCCTGAGCTCTCCTCTCTAAAGCTGACACGAAGTATGCCTGGCGGCTTTGGCCTGTTTCCCCTCATGTCTGGCCCCGGCTTGGCATTTTTGGGAAGGTTCGTACCATGTAGATAAAGCATCACCATTTCGCCTTAGATCCTCCCCCTTCTGTTCAACAGACCTGCTGATGTGGACTCTCAGCCCAACGGCGACTCTGCAATGATCCTGCTAAGTCTCTTACTCGTCTTCGAGTACAGCGCTTCCGGACTCTCAGCCCATCTACCGACGCAGTGCTGACACACTCTGCACAGTCCACCCTCCAGCAGTTGACGACGCAACCATGAACCTCATCCGCCAGGGCCTGGCGGACAGCTCCAGCATGACATGCGCTTCGCTACCGCGCTCCGAACACTTGTCGCCCTGCGCCAGGGCAAGCCACACCCAGGGACTGATCAGTGCCGGCAGCATTGCTCCAGATCCTGTACTTCGAGCACATCGCCCACTATGCTAATGGGCAGCCGCATTGGACGGCACTCACATCAGTTGCAGTGTAATAGTAATGCAGATAAATCCTGTTTGGGTCCGGTTGTCAGCGCTGCCGGACTTGCATCCCAACTGCCGAAGTGGTGCCGACACAACCAGCGCAGTCCACCCTCCAGCAGTTGACGACGCAACCATGGACCTCATCCGCCAGGGCCTGGCGGACAGCTCCAGCATGGCATGCGCTTCGCTGCAGCACTCCGAATGCTTGTCGCCCTGCGCCAGGGCAAGCCACACTCAGGGACTGATCAGTGCCGGCAGCATTGTTCCAGATCCTGTACTTCGAGCACATCGCCCACTATGCTAATGGGCAGCCGCATTGGACGGCACTCACATCAATTGCAGTGTAATAGTAATGCAGATAAATCCTGTTTGGGTCCGGTTGTCAGCGCGTCTGGACTTGCAGCCCAACTGCCGAAGCGGTGCCGGCACAACCAGCGCAGTCCACCCTCCAGCAGTTGATGATGCAACCATGGACCTCATCCGCCAGGGCTTGGCGGACAGCTCCAGCACGACATACGCTTCGCTGCAGCGCTCCGAACGCTTGTCGCCCTGCACTAGGGCAAGCCATACCCAGTGACTGATCAGTGCCAGCAGCATTGTTCCAGATACGGTACGTTGAGCGCATTGCCCACTATGCTAATGGGCAGCCGCATTGGACGGCACTCACATCAATTGTAGTGTAATAGTAATGCAGATAAATCCTGTTTGGGTCAGGTCAGCGCTGCCGGACTTGCATCCCAACTGCCGAAGTGGTGCCGACACAACCAGCGCAGTCCACCCTCCAGCAGTTGACGACGCAACCATGGACCTCATCCGCCAGGGCCTGGCGGACAGCTCCAGCATGGCATGCGCTTCGCTGCAGCACTCCGAACGCTTGTCGCCCTGCGCCAGGGCAAGCCACACTCAGGGACTGATCAGTGCCGGCAGCATTGTTCCAGATCCTGTACTTCGAGCACATCGCCCACTATGCTAATGGGCAGCCGCATTGGACGGCACTCACATCAATTGCAGTGTAATAGTAATGCAGATAAATCCTGCTTGGGTCCGGTTGTCAGCGCGTCTGGATTTGCAGCCCAACTGCCGAAGCGGTGCCGGCACAACCAGCGCAGTCCACCCTCCAGCAGTTGATGACGCAACCGTGGACCTCATCCGCCAGGGCTTGGCGGACAGCTCCAGCACGACATACGCTTCGCTGCAGCGCTCCGAACGCTTGTCGCCCTGCACTAGGGCAAGCCATACCCAGTGACTGATCAGTGCCAGCAGCATTGTTCCAGATACGGTACGTTGAGCGCATTGCCCACTATGCTAATGGGCAGCCGCATTGGACGGCACTCACATCAATTGTAGTGTAATAGTAATGCAGATAAATCCTGTTTGGGTCAGGTTGTCAGCGCTTCCGGACTCGCAGCCCAACTGCCGACGCAGTGTCGACACAACCAGCGCAGTCCACCCTTCAGCAGTTGACGACGCAACCATGGACTTCATCCGCCGGGGCCTGGCGGACAGCTCCAGCACGACATACGCTTCGCTGCAGCGCTCCGGACGCTTGTCGCCCCCGCGCCAGGGCAAGCCACACCCAGGGACTGATCAGTGCCAGCAGCGTTGTTCCAGATCCGGTCCTTAGAGCGCATTGCCCACTATGCTAATGGGCAGCCGCATTGGACGGCGCTCGCATCAATTGCTGTAAATAATAATGCCGATAAATCCTGTTTGGGTCATGTTGTATTTTTGGGAGAACAGTTAAGCGGGATTCACAGAAGCTTTTTTTGCGATGCGACACGCGACGCGATCTGCGATGGATGCGTGCGATGCGAACTCGCGAAATACCATTCACAGAAGAAGTCAGCGATGCGACAAATTCTTGCTGATTTGGGTACGTCACCATGATATTCGCGCGGTTTGATACAACTTGTACAAATTTATAGGCAACTCTTGAACCTTTGTACAACTTTGTTGTAGAAAAGGTCAAAATCGTACGCCAAATCGCTTGTCGCATCGCAAAAGTTGAGCCAAGCTCAACTTCTGCGATGGCCTGCGATGGCCCAGTTGCGGCAGTTGCGTGGGGTGCGACATGGCTGCGATTTGGGGTTTTCCCGGTTTCGCGCCTGTCGCATCGCAAAAAAGCTTCTGTGAATCCCGCTTAAGGATCGTGAGTCAGGCCGGCATTGAGCCAAGTGCGCCTATATTCGCTCACAAGTGCATCCTTTATCCCTTTATGGACGGATTACTAGCACAGTATGCACCAGAATTACAAAATGTCAGTACAATTTTCAACTTTTCCATGTCATAACTTTGGTGTCCTTCACTTGATTTTCACAATCAAGGGCTCATTGGAAAGCTCTTGGCGAGAGCTACGTCAGGGTACCAATCTCCATTATCCATCCGCCACAAATCAGGCGCGGTAACACAGCAAAGTCGTCTCCAAGCCTGATATGCAAGCAAATTCGTCCCATCAACGCCATTCCACTCTCCTTCATCGCAGAACGCTCAAATCTGTTTGAGACGATTCAAACTTCAGCCGGCTACGTCATTATCATGTGCTCAGTCGCTCAAAGAGCACACGAAAAGGGATTTTCCCCCAAAATGGCGAAATGATCGATCAAAAATTTGAATTTGCCGAGGTAAGAATACGGCGTGCGATATCTCTGGCGTCCGACATTGTAACTCTTCGGCAATTGTTGCATTGGACAGCTTGGAGTTCCCGCTACCACGTAGACCCTTCGATTGTGGAATTTGCTCAAGAAACGATGGAGTTACGAAGATTTTACCGCCTGCAGACTTTCGATCTTATTAGATCGAAACTCGTACAGTCCGTCCACAAAGGGTTAAACCATCCCGTAAGGGAGAGCAGTAGGGATCGTGGGTCAGGCCAGCATTGAGCCAAGTGCGCCTACATTCGCCCACAAGTGCATCCCTACTGCATGCTCGTGTATTGACACATCTGAATTCAACAGTAGGGATCGTGGGTCAGGCCGGCATTGAGCCAAGTGCGCCTACATTCGCCCACAAGTGCATCCCTACTGCATGCTCGTGTATTGACACGTCTGAATTCTCGCCGGGCAATTGTTGCCCCAGTTAGTGTCGGCATTGGCCATACTAACGCACAGCGGTGCTTGCAATACTAGCTCTGGCATTGGACCAGAATATTGCATATTGTATGCGGCAATTGTTGCCTATCTCCTGGTAATACAACGCGTAATAGCTCCCAAACAGGTCGGCTTGTGTGGTTGGTAAATATAAGTTTCCGTGCATGGCACGGTAAGTGGAGTTAGCAACACACCAACATCCTTGCCATAAGCAACACTTGTACATGCATAACATGCATGCACTCCGAATTCCCGCGTTTCCGCACGGGACTGTGCGGAGCATGCGCATTACTCCAATTCGCCATACTGTTGTTTCTTGCTCTTCGCTTTGCTGTGCTGACGGTCAAATTGTTTGACTATCGCGGCCAGTTTCTGATCACCACCACCCACCCCATCTCTCACTAGCATTCCATTCAAAACCATCCCGAAAGGGAGAACAGTAAGGATCGTGAGTCAGGCCGGCATTGAGCCAAGTGCGCCTATATTCGCTCATATGTGCATCCTTTAAGCCATCCCGTAAGGGAGAACAGTAGGGATCGTGGGTCAGGCCGGCATTGAGCCAAGTGCGCCTACATTCGCCCACAAGTGCATCCCTACTGCATGCTCGTGTATTGACACATCTGAATTCAACAGTAGGGATCGTGGGTCAGGCCGGCATGGAGCCAAGTGCGCCTACATTCGCCCACAAGTGCATCCCTACTGCATGCTCGTGTATTGACACGTCTGAATTCTCGCCGGGCAATTGTTGCCCCAGTTAGTGTCGGCATTGGCCATACTAACGCACAGCGGTGCTTGCAATACTAGCTCTGGCATTGGACCAGAATATTGCATATTGTATGCGGCAATTGTTGCCTATCTCCTGGTAATACAACGCGTAATAGCTCCCAAACAGGTCGGCTTGTGTGGTTGGTAACTCCACGTAAGATATTCAGCTGTCAGTGTAGCTGAATTTTCTGTAATTTTGGTACATGTTGTCTACATTGTAGTCAATCGTCAGTGAATGCACCGTGCCCTCAATCAGCCAGACCACTTTTTGTTTTCTCCTCTTTCTTTGCTCAGGTGGCTGATGCACATGCGTCTTACATTGTTGGCAAGGCTGAGCTGGAGGCCTCTGCCTTCCAAGCTAAGTTGCTCAATCGCTACTCACAGCAGTTGAGGGTACGCTCATATCCATCTTTATGCCACTGCATTCTGGTTTGTCTTACCCCATTGTTGTTCAGATACAGTACTGCCGTGTTGAAGAATGGATTTCACCAAGCACAGCGTATCGATACATACGTAGTAACTCGACTGCACATAAACTATAATACATGAAAAATAAGAACAATACAACGCTTGCCCCCCCCCCCCCCCTTCTTCTACGCCTGATGGTCAGATGGATGCGGTTTGCTATATCAGCTGATAACCAGAGTTTTGAATTGTGTGCGTGTGTCTGTGTGTGTCGGCCTTTGTCTGTCTTTGTCTCTGTGTCCACGTTTGTGTCTGCGGCTGAATGCAGACCAGCCAGCAACGCCTGGATACGCTGATGCAGTCGCTCTCGGTGCAGTGCGAGGAGATCGATAAGGGCTTGCAGTTGCTAGATGCAGGTACGACTTATCCGCTGGGCATGAGGCATGTGCATGGCAATGGAGCTGTCTGGGATGACCGATTGTTTTCAGCCAGATTATGTATTAAGAAAAGGTGGTTTGTCAACTGACAACCGCTCTATTCAGTTGCTGTTCACAATCGGCGCATGCGATGGATGAAAAATTCTTTACTGTGACTGACTGACTGACTGACCGGGTGACTGGCCCGAAACGTCATAATTTTTCAATGTCACAATAAAGAATTTTTTCATCCATCGCATGCACCAATTGTGAATAGCAACTGAATAGAGCGGTTGTCAGTTGACAAACCCCCTTTTCTTTATAATGCAGTTGCGGTGATGTCCACCACTTTCTCAGAGTATGTATTGTTTGACTTATTCTGTTGTTAAATGAGCTGAACTCATGATGTTGGTTCTCGTGGGAATCTCTTGCTGCCCTTCCCGCTTTTACTCGGAAGATTCCGAATGATGTGGAAGTCAAATTTTGGAAAGCGTGCCCAAGTGCGGTTGCGAGAAGTGAACCGACTTTCCAAGGTCTACAAGAGCACTTTGGGAATACATGTATTCCTTCAGTACTGGATGAGACTAGCGTTGTTTTTTTGTTTACTTCATGTGAATCCGTTTGTTGGAGATTTCTGTTCCCTGTGCCGTGGGTACCGATACATACAGGGCCCGTGCCTACTGGTCATTTGAGGATCCTCGGATGAATTCCAAGTTCCATGGCAGCAGCCGTGTCAACGGCTCTTCTCTTGTGCTCTGCGTACTTCTCGCAATGACAGTCTGTAGAGTACCGTGTGTGTGTGGGTATGGGTGTGGGTGGGTGTCTTTGTTTGTGCTGCAGCATCAAGCGAGGTAGAGGATGCGTGCCAGTGGTTGCGTCGGAGTCAAATTTCCGAGGAAGAGCTCCAGGTTGGCCTCCCACATTGTGCTTGGTATTGTTGTACATAGTATTACATGGTACGAGACATACAAGTGCATGTACGTCATGCCCCAGCTCCTGATGTAGGCGCAATTTTCTCCACTGGAGCCTCCGAATATTGAACAGAGAATAGATTATAGAACCGATCAATTTGTGTAATCCCCAGCACGCGCTGCTATTTCTAGCATGGCTTGTTGGATAGCATTATCATTGCGTGGGCAATAGGCATGTGTGTTTATGCATGTTTGTTTTACTCGTGTAGGCCCAAGATCAGCTTATATCGGAGGTGAAGGAGAAGCATTCGCTCCTGGTGGAGGCCCGTGACGGTATGGCGCTGAGCTTGGTTACTCATTTATCTTCTGTGTGCTTTACCTCGAAGTACAGTGCTGGCCAAAGAAATCCAACCCCATGAATACAGTAGCGCCGCGTTCGAGTGCACACACCAGTGTGTGTAGTTCTAGGGCTGCGTGGCGCCCAGCGCTATTTTATTCATGAGGTTGGATTTCTTAGGCCAGCACTGTAGTTGCTGCTGCTGCTGCTGGCATACCGTGCGCGGCTCAACTAAATTATACCAACTGCTGTACACTGGGAAAGTTTGCATGGAAACACTGTTTCACTTTCCTTGCTGTGTGGTGGTGCACTTGTATCATTCGCGGAAATTAATATTCTGTGCTGGAGACCTGTGTGTGCCTTGAAGTCTTGAATTGATGAAATGAAATCATTGCTGAAGCGTTTAGAAGCACACTGTCCTATTATAGGGCTTGAAAGTGATGACGTCAAAAACGGCCAGGGAGTAGTAAGTTGACATCAGATTTCTATTTTGGATCCACTAAGGTGTGACTTTGCTATTAGACACCCTTAGCAAAAAACGTTATGTTGTAACGGTATTAGAGAGGTTCCGCACTACGTAAAGTTAAGCAACTTTACGTTAGTGGGCGGGAAAAACCCGTGAATTCGCGAGTTTACACTCCACTTACGGAAAGTTGTCTACGGAGAGTACGTAGATAGGGCTCTGATAACGTAGCTGGTCCGTAAGTGGATTGGGGTACAAATTTATGACTCTCTCCCCAGGTCGATCTGGTCGTACACTGCCGCATTCGGAGTTGCCAAGGGCAGCTACGTTATTTGAAAACTCCGTATGGCGGAACACAGATCCGCATGCAGTTTACGTTAGACTTTCCGTAGATCGACTACGTTTTTTACTAACGTAATTACGTTATGCGGAACCTCTCTATTATCGTAAGGGGGAAAATACCGTGATTTGGGTTCGACCTTTAGCAAGATGCGCGTTATTTTTAGTATGCTGTTGCCACGAGAATAGCTTTGATTTCGCGCGGTACAACCATTTTTGTCACCATATACGCGATACAAGGTGAAATGCGTACGGACTATGCAATATTTGGCCAAAACACGTACCGTTGGTCACAACGATAAATCAGCCCCCATAACGTTTATACGCTGCAGCTTCAACGCTATTTGGGTGATCAAGGTGCGAGTACCGTAAAAAAATAGCGTTACCGTTGTTTGCTAAGGGTGTCTATTGCCTCAGTATGTGGGTGCATAGCAACCCACTCATGTTGTATGCAGGGGTGACTTTTACTTCGCCACCAGTAGCCAAATCAGTCAGTTTCACTGGTTACATCACCTTGCTGTGAGTAAGACGGCTTGAAATGTGCTTGGATCCATACAAAACTGGATCCAAGTGGATCCAATTTTTTGGAATTTTGAAATTGTTGTTATGCTGTGACGTAGCACTTTCAAGCCCTATTGGGTTGGTTTGTAGATCGTTAATTAGATTGAGGGGAGTGAGAAAGGTTTCCTAAGGGTGTTACGACTCCACTGCAGCCATTTCATAGAAATGAACCGTAGAACCGTGTTCACGGACGACTGCTCTTTTCTGTGTCTGAACTGCACCAGTCTTCCATCTGATTTGTGCCTTTTGCATACAGAGCTGGAAAAATGTGAGCTTGACCGAGCACGGTTAATCAAGTGAGTACTCGGGTGTGAACTACTCCTAATACGGTATGTGTACAAGTGTATGCAGGGGGGGGGGGGGGGGGGGTAAGCCTTCCATGAATGTGCACTGATACTATTCAGACCAGGTTTGTGTTCTCGTGGCCTTTTACTTTGTGCCGATGCCAAGGCTTTCTCTTGAAACCCGATTCCGCGTTTACCCTGTGTGTTTAGTGAGAAAGACCAACTGCAACAGCAAGCAACATCGAGTGAGGCGGCCTTGGTTCGGCTTGCTGAAGACAAGAAGAAGCTCGTGGACTCGAAAGCGGTGTGTTGCCTATCAGTCTGTGTACTTTGATCGGTGGTGTAGTGAGGCGGCTGGCTTGCCAGAACTGTAGTACACTTCATGATTGTATGTCGTATGGTGTCGATGTGTCTCTGAATCTGGGTGTGCCGGTATAATCAGGTGTGGCCTGTCCGTCTCGGCTCTGGCAAGTTTCTCATGTGTTGTGTGTTTCGGTTCTCATCCTGTCTTCACTGCCCTATAGGAAGTTGATGATGAGCTGGAGGAGGCAGCCTGGCGGCTCAATAGCACCTGCAGGTCAGTTGATTAAAGGGGAACTGTCACCAAAAAATTTCTTTGTCTATCTTGTAGTTCTTTGGCTCCTGATCACGATGGTGTTATCCGTTTTTCTCTGCGATGGCTGGAAGTGGGTGAAAATTTGAAAAGGAGGTGCCCAAAATTGTCCCGAAGTACCGAGTGACGTCACGCCGGACTTGACCTCCACGCGTACATTCGTCGTCAAAAACGAAGTCCAGCCCGTGTGCTCGTCGATCGAGCTAGCTGTTCCAATGTACGGTGCACGTGTGCCTTTTGATCTGTAACACAGATGGGTACGTCGTACCGAAGGAGAATGCCAAAGAGGCAGACACCCACGTGCAGCTACACAGCCAAATCAAAATAAAAAGCAGCTGAGCTTTCACCTTTTTGACTTCTTCCGCGAGGATCTAAGTATTCAGGAGCTCCATATATTACTTCCAATAAGTATCGATAAACAGAAACAGGTCATTATCCAATTCTCATTATACATCCAACTCCTAGTGTTACCCCATGCAATGGCACGTATTCACTGAAGGAGCACTTGACTAGCGCTGCGGGGAAACAAGTAGGTTTTCTCATTTGCGTACATAGTAAATTCGCACTTTACTCTTGAATTGTTGAGCCGTCTCGAACGTTGTATTCCGCAAATTCCACTTCGTTGGGTCACTACTATTGTATACCTTGAAGACCAGTAGTCTATATCGAAAGAAACTCACAAGTTCCAGCGATTAGAGAAACTTCTTTTCCACGCATTTGTATGCATTTGTATGCGGAATCGAGCAAGTGTCCCCACAGCGTGGCTCACGTGCGCCCATACCATGTATGCAGCGTGGGCGTCTGCCATTTTAGATGAATACGTGCCATTGCAGTTCTTCTCATATTCTACTCAATTTGGGTCTACCATGCATTCATACGATTCTGGAATATGCCCCATTTCTTGTATTGTTTTTTTCCATGAGAGCACAACCGAGAACTTGTAATATTGAACTGTCCGTTGGTTCCACTCTACTGTCAATTGTTATGGAGTTTAAGTGTGTGGTTAAGTGCTCCGCTAAGAAGGTTCTTTGTTCTGCATTTAGTGCAGTTCTTGACGGAGGACTGCAAGTCCTCCTCAGATCTGCACCTTTTAACCCTTTAGAGCCCACAATTATTTCAAGAAATGCACTGCATACGCGAGCCCAGGTACTTATCTGGTCGTAACTTTGGTGTCCTTTGGCCGATTTTGGTGATCTTGGGCTTTCTGGAAAGCTCATGGCTAGAGGAACACAGCGATAGCCAGCAATACATCACTCGATCCACAGAACCAGCGCCGCAGCGCGATACGGCGCTCCAAAGCCAGCATTGCGAGCGCCCAACTCAAATTCTCTGCCATTTCAAGAAATTGCATTGCAGATCGCTCAAATTTTTTTCCTGGAGAGCTGAGAAACATGCCTTTGCGATGACGTGAACTATCTGTAGCTGCGTGGGCCGCAAGTCAGGGAAAACCCCTAAAAACGAGTTCAAAATGCACACGCTCGAGTTGACTCTGCTGAGCGAATTTAGTTCGAGTCTCGTATCTCCGCTCACCGAACTCGGATCGCTTTCGGGTTTTTTCGAGCCGATAGCTGAGACAGTTCTAATGTCGATAGCCCTTTCGACTGTCCGATTTGGTCAAGGGACCGCCGAGTTACGCCAGGTTGCGCTTTGAAAAGTATGCACTGTACACTGGTACGGATATATCCGTACTATGGGCCTCAAAGGGTTAACATGAATCTGACAACTGTAGGTGTTGCTTTTACTGAGCAGTTAAGGCCCTTACTTACATAGGCCCCAAATAGTGCAAATGCAAATGTTAAGCATCCTGACTCGTTCCCCTACCAGGCCACGGATAATGAATTGCAAAATTACCACAGGAAGGTAGCTTCTCTTGGGCTTCATGCAGTATACGCTTTATCCTGCTTTCTCTGGTACCACTTCTAGTTCCCCCAGATCGCAACTTTCCAACAGCAACAACAGTCTTCTGAAGTTATGTGAGCATACCAGGCTCCAGTATTCTCACAAATTATTGAAATATATGAATTCATTACTGGAAAAAGTGAAAGAACAAGTGGGCTACAAATAATACAACATGATTAGGTTTATGGGGAGGAAGTCTATTGTAAGAACTATGAAACTAAATTGAAGGAAGGCATCTAGAAAGAAGTGTTGAATTGAATTACAGTCCATTTCAAAACTATAGACCCGTAGGGTTTTTGAAATATTTCAAATTTGGCTGGACCTTTTTGAGAATAGTTTTCGGAATATTGCTCAGGACCGCTCCACAATTACTCTCATATAGTTTCTAAACGATTGGATAACAGACGCCCAATTTGGAAAAAATTATGCACAAAGTGATCACAGATTTTATGTGGTATAGATGCTGGCATAACGGTTTTTGCCAAGGTACGTGTCTATAGTTTTGAAATGGACTGTAGTTCGTAGTCATTTACAGGGGACTTCTTCTTCTTCTTCGGTATCAAAACAAAGATGCTAGAAATAGAGACAATTGAAGGAGGATAAATATCTGATTGTTGCTCAACCGAAACAGTAGAAAGGTGCCGGAAGTAAAATAAATAAAATAAATACTAGGGGCCTGTATGGGAGCTAAGCTTCAAATAGTTGTGTCCAATCCATTTGCTGATTACTAGTATAAAGTCTTGGCAAGGACTTAGAGCAGTCCTTCCAATTGCAGGAACTGAACGACCTGTGATGGCTCGGTGAGGATGGCTTCTCGTACATCTGCAAACACAGCTAAATTCGAGAGATCTCTGCTACTCTTCCGGGACGGACATTTGAGCAGTAGGTGGTCAGCGTTCTCAGCAGTCCCTACACACGATTCGCAGTCTGGTGAGGGTCGTGCCGAGATTCGATGGAGGTACTCGTTAAGTAGACTGCTGTGTCCAGTGAGGAGCTGGTTAAGCGTAGACGTTGTTTTGCGCCCAGTGTTGTCTGGGCCAAGCTTCTTGATCTTAAGGAGTGGTCTCGGGTAGGCAGTGGCATTGCGGATGAATGACTTGGCTGCTTGAACAGCCAGGTCGATGTTACCCTGGTCACCATCGCACCCCAGCTTGGCAAGATGATCTGCCCTGTCGTTGCCCTTGATGCCACAATGACTGCTGACTACAGGGGACTCCATCCATTTCGAAGCCTTTCCGCGATGGCTCCCATCAGCAGGGACAAATCATTGTCCCCTAGCGTTCGGACGTAGAGGTGAGCCTGGCGCACCCACGTCCTGACTTGTCCTCTGTCCAGATGGACATTTTCCTCTTCCACACTCCCGTCCGAAGCAGGGAACATATCAGGGCTCAAGGGATGCTCCTTCTGGGAGGCGTCGGTTCGAGCTGAGGCCTCTGTTCCACTCTGGGACTGTGAAATTGACGCCTGGGATTCCACCCAATGCCATACCTCCCCGCCATTGGATGACTGGCTTAGCTCCCGCGGTTTTTTGGCAGGTGCCAACTCTTCATCATCGTCATCTCTGATTTTGTTCCAGCGCTTCCTCGCACTGTGAGGCTGGATCACTTTTTGTGATTCGATCAGGTCTTCCATGCCTTCTGAATCTTGACTTGTGTGAGACATACTTCAAGTAGCAACGAAAGAATTTATTTTTTCCATCGTACCCCAGCTTGGCAAGATGATCTGCCCTGTCGTTGCCCTTGATGCCACAATGACTGCTGACTACAGGGGACTCCATCCATTTCGAAGCCTTTCCGCGATGGCTCCCATCAGCAGGGACGAATCATTGTCCCCTAGCGTTCGGACGTAGAGGTGAGCCTGGCGCACCCACGTCCTGACTTGTCCTCTGTCCAGATGGACATTTTCCTCTTCCACACTCCCGTCCGAAGCAAGGAACATATCAGGGCTCGAGGGATGCTCCTTCTGGGAGGCGTCGGTTCGAGCTGAGGCCTCTGTTCCACTCTGGGACTGTGAAATTGACGCCTGGGATTCCACCCAATGCCATACCTCCCCGTCATTGGATGACTGGCTTAGCTCCCGCGGTTTTTTGGCAGGTGCCAACTCTTCATCATCGTCATCTCTGATTTTGTTCCAGCGCTTCGCACTGTGAGGCTGGATCACTTTTTGTGATTCGATCAGGTCTTCCATGCCTTCTGAATCTTGACTTGTGTGAGACATACTTCAAGTAGCAACGAAAGAATTTATTTTTTCCATCGCACCCCAGCTTGGCAAGATGATCTGCCCTGTCGTTGCCCTTGATGCCACAATGACTGCTGACTACAGGGGACTCCATCCATTTCGAAGCCTTTCCGCGATGGCTCCCATCAGCAAGGACGAATCATTGTCCCCTAGCGTTCGGACGTAGAGGTGAGCCTGGCGCACCCACGTCCTGACTTGTCCTCTGTCCAGATGGACATTTTCCTCTTCCACACTCCCATCCGAAGCAAGGAACATATCAGGGCTCGAGGGATGCTCCTTCTGGGAGGCGTCGGTTCGAGCTGAGGCCTCTGTTCCACTCTGGGACTGTGAAATTGACGCCTGGGATTCCACCCAATGCCATACCTCCCCGTCATTGGATGACTGGCTTAGCTCCCGCGGTTTTTTGGCAGGTGCCAACTCTTCATCATCGTCATCTCTGATTTTGTTCCAGCGCTTCCTCGCACTGTGAGGCTGGATCACTTTTTGTGATTCGATCAGGTCTTCCATGCCTTCTGAATCTTGACTTGTGTGAGACATACTTCAAGTAGCAACGAAAGAATTTATTTTTTCCATCGCACCCCAGCTTGGCAAGATGATCTGCCCTGTCGTTGCCCTTGATGCCACAATGACTGCTGACTACAGGGGACTCCATCCATTTCGAAGCCTTTCCGCGATGGCTCCCATCAGCAGGGACGAATCATTGTCCCCTAGCGTTCGGACGTAGAGGTGAGCCTGGCGCACCCACGTCCTGACTTGTCCTCTGTCCAGATGGACATTTTCCTCTTCCACACTCCCGTCCGAAGCAAGGAACATATCAGGGCTTGAGGGATGCTCCTTCTGGGAGGCGTCGGTTCGAGCTGAGGCCTCTGTTCCACTCTGGGACTGTGAAATTGACGCCTGGGATTCCACCCAATGCCATACCTCCCCGTCATTGGATGACTGGCTTAGCTCCCGCGGTTTTTTGGCAGGTGCCAACTCTTCATCATCGTCATCTCTGATTTTGTTCCAGCGCTTCCTCGCACTGTGAGGCTGGATCACTTTTTGTGATTCGATCAGGTCTTCCATGCCTTCTGAATCTTGACTTGTGTAAGACATACTTCAAGTAGCAACGAAAGACTTTATTTATTTTCTTATTGAAAAGAAGAATGTGTGAATGTTATGTGGACTAGTTTTATTTTGTGAGAACGGAAGTACGTCGTTGTTTTGAACTTTTCGTGTGAGGAACAACACGATGAGTGCGTATGCAGAAAACAGTACTCCTCCGGCCGGCGATAACACCACCAACCCGAGCCCCAAAGGAACGCAATGTAGTTACGTGACGGCGATGTTGCTTAAGATGCAGATGACGAACTCCGACGTCTTTCATTTCAGAGCCGGGTGGGCAACACCGCCGGCGCCACCTTCGATACAACGACATAATTTTCAAGTACGAGGTATGTGTGTCATACTAACAGCAAACAAACATCCTTCTACTCCTTCGTATTAGTTCTTCATTGTGGCGTTGTCCTAGTTGCAGAAAAATTTCACCGCACGCTCTTCTCCAGTCCTTGCCTACATCAGTACATTGTGTACTGTTTGTGAGCTGTGAATTTTTCTGTAAGGCCATGGTAAAAAATAAAGTTGATTCTCAGGTCATGAGCCTGTGAAAATCGGTGCGAGCGAGCGTTTTTTTATTTTATTTCCCACAATTTTTTTATTTCCAAAGATAGGGTCACACATACGTACATGGTCACATGTTCATATATTCAGGCCGGGGAGTAGAAAAATACCAGTATTTTACTACTCCCTGATTCATGCCTTTCGCATTGACCGTTTTCATGCGCGCATATGCATGCATAGAAATAATAAAAAATCGTCGGTGCGCCGCCAAAAATCGGCGCGCGCGTACTTGAGAATCAAAGTTAATTTTTACCATGGCCTAACAGATGCTTCTTGTTTCTCTTGTCCTGGCAAAAGGGTGGGACTGTCACAGAATGGGGGTCTTTTATTCAACTGTCCTGGCAAAAGGGTGGGACTGTCACAGAATGGGGGTATTTTATTCGACTGTCCTGTCACCAGGCAATATCGGTCAAACGCTTTCTTCTTCTTCTCTTTTTATGATGCATTTTCTGATGTGTTATGTGGCTGTCTGGCAGGCTTCAAGAGTGGCGCTTAATGTACAAAACTTCCCAGCAGGCAAAGGTTTCATTTCTTTGTGACACCGTCGTGGTGTGCATGGATCTGCAACAGCCAACAACAATGGACGGTGAGGGCAACCTGTGCACGTATTGCATTTTTGGTCCGGGGCGGTGCAGATTTCTCGTTTGAATGTCTTGTAGCATGCACGTACCACCCGTCCTGGTGACAGAAGACTCAAGCCATCGAACACACTCGTTGTCGCGGCTTGACGTCTGTCTGGTTGTAGCTGTAACTCATCATCTATGCCTGAGCAGTTCCTTCCCCTCGTTTTGTCGGTATTCTGTTCTTCATTCAGGTACTGGCCCTGTGTTTCCAGCCAGATGGTAATGGATTATGTTGAAACAGATGCCCGCCATAATGTGGGAATGAGGGAACGATGATTTGGGGGAGTGAAGCGTTGTCTTTTCTTGTGCTTTGGACCCGACTAGTACTAGTAGGGTGACAATGTGTTGATCCTATACAGAATACGTCTGTAACCACAGTCTTCCTGTCATATTGGATTCATGCATTGCTATTCTATTTAATCTATTATGCTGTCTGGTGAGTGTTTCTTCACGAAACCCTTAGTAGCGGCAGAAAAGGACTTGATTGTGTTATTGCTGTGTAAGTAGCTGTGTTGCCACACCTGCCGACATGTCAGTAGCCTGCCGATTTTTGAGGCATGTCACGACCTGCCGACAATTGACCTTCTCCTGCCGACAACAGCCATGAAAGTGTCCAAGTTTGACCTTATGCGTGGTTTAGAAGTCATGATCCAGAATTTTGGCCTTTACTGCTCATTACGCGTGTTTCCATAGCTCTCTCCTAAGGCGCTAAGCGAAATATTCATCTGTCTCGAGAAAAATCGGCAAACTCAGCCCGAGTCTCACGCAAAACATGACATTTTTTTCTTATCAGTGCCGCGCGTGTGTGTGTGTATCGAGGTCGCTATATAGGGGAGGGGGTCCGGGGGCGAAGCCCCCGGATGATGCATTTTGGTTTTTTATCTTACTGATATTTGGCTATAATGATGTGGCAACACTGAAGTAGTGTATTACTGGCTGTGTCCACTGGACATAGAGCACTGTACGCAGCCTGAGGACCTTAGACAACTGTCTAATCTATTTTATGTTTTATTCTCACAACTATGTTCGTGCGATGCACTGTAGGAGTGACGACGGTCACTACCATCAACTTTGAGGATCAGCCTGGATCGCGTAAGTCCTTGAGAGCTCGTGCACCGCATCTACTAGTATGCTGTTGTGGCCAGTATTGTGCAATATCCACAACAGTACGTTTCTTGAACTCGGGACTCGGAGTTTTGTGTCATGCTGTCGCACTAGCTGACTGTATATGATCTGGTTCCATTGGTGGACAGTTAGTCATAACTCGCAACATTTGTCATCCTTCCTTTTATCCAGGAGTATGTTTCTTCCTTTTTTTCCTATTTCCCCTCGACTGTTGTAGCTTCGGACATTTGGGAGGAGGACTGGTCCGATTTTGCAGCGGTGCTATTTCTCGACTCTGTGGAGGCACTCCAGGAATCAATTGTGCAGTGTCAGACTATTGATAAGGTAAGGAGTGACGACGGGTGTGACCTTGTGGCGACGCTCTGCTGTAGCTGTGTAGCAGTCTGTGAGACATTTCGCAGTTCGGTATGAATGTCCGCCGGCCCGGACCGAGTTTGTCAAAGTAAAGTTCGGTATATGCGACTGTGTGTAGAATTAGAAGTACAGTCAGCTTTGGAAGCTTCGTTTGTGCCAGGCTGCCGCCAGGCTTGATATTACCTTGATGGCAAATATAATTATAGCGCCTAGCGGTTAATGTGGATGGACCTTTCTGTGTGATGGCAAGTTTTTGCTGCCCAGCGATGTACAGACATGTATGTGCCATGCCTGTAGTGAAGTGATGTCATTATAAAGTACATGGAGTAACCACATCTTCTGTGCATATGATTATCAGACGAAAATTTTTTTTTTAGGAGCATGCATATACCATCCAAGTCTGTTGCTCTGGGTGTAGGCAGGCATGGTAGTAGCTAGCTCTGGGGATAGGCAGGCATGGTAGTAGCTAGCTCTGGGGGTAGGCAGGCATGGTAGTAGCTAACTCTGGCTTTCCTCTTATACACACTGTATTACCGTCGGCTGCGTTGAACTGTCAGCGGTTGATTTCTCAACACAAGCATTGTAAATGTACCCAGCTACCCAGATAATTGGAAGTCTTGTTCTGGACTTGATGGATTTCCACTGTTCGCATGCATGAAGATGTGCAGATGTTATGGACATCTGAGACAGTGGTGTGAAGGAATATTCGCATATTCGGAATATTCTAGAATGTCGACACCAGAATTTGAGGCACAGCGTATTGAGGTCTTTTGCCAGAGAAATGCTGATGCATGGAGGACGTTGTGTTGACCGTCCGTCGTCACCTGCTATTGCTGTGCTATCGCTGCAGGTGCTGGATCTGCTATCGCCGCTTGCCACTGCGGCACGCATGCTAGTGGAACAGTGCTGGACGGCATCGCTGCATCACACAGCCACACGCGACCTGGACAAGAGGAGGTCAGTTTCGTTTAGGAGACGATCTTTACGCGCTAACCTTTTCACACCTGGAGCGTGATAGCTATCTCCCTCAATTCTTTGCCCATATAGTTGCTGTATTAGTCGTTTTGCTTTATTCTCTGTAAGAGCCCCTGATGTTTGTGTTTTTTGCCTACTACAGTGTCACATTCCTCTTTGGAGAGTTCAAACCACTGCACCGTTTCTTGGTAACATTTCAATTGCCGTGCAGTGTCCACGAAAAACCTGTGCTCAGTGAACTGGTCTCAGTTACGTACAGTTTTGGAAGCATTCAGTAAGTCTCTCCATGTACTGCTCTCATTTGCCCACCGTTTGTAAGCATTTGTAAGTCGTCGTCGTCTCCTCCCCCCCCCCCCCCCCCCCCCCCACACACACACACAATGAACTGGTCTCAGTTGCCCACTGTTTTGGAAGCATTGAGTAAGTTCCTCAATGAATCTGTCTCAATCATATACAGTTTAACTTTTTACAAGCATTCATTCAGTAAGTTCCTGAGACAAAATGCCGTTGAGTGTTTGGGTTGTCGTTTCCTGGGATGTCACTCCAGTCACCAGAGCAAGGCATTTCACAGTGGTGACGTCAAGAGTAAAATTTAGTAAGCTTCCAAGAAAAAGTGTGCACCTCTGGATACCCTAATGGGTCCGCCTACAACGTAAACTCGCATCACGTGGTGTTGTGCTCATGCTGTATGCTCCCAGTCTGTTTTAGCGAGCAGTGGAGTAGTACAAATAGCACTCCCTGACAGAAACCTACTTTGCTTATTTGAGTTACTGTTAAAGTCGTTATTCTAACGGGGCGCATATATAACGATTTCCTAAAATTGACTGGTTTACATGTACCAAAGGATTCTCACTCATCCTCAACGCTCAATAGCAACAGTATTGTATCGATTTCCGTATAACGATTTCTATTTTAACGACAGATTTCTCCTCGTTACCTCGTTAGAATTAGCACTTCGTTATAAAATTTAATAATATTATGGCTTTTACAGTACCAGCATAATCATGGCAGATATCCGGCCAGAGTTTTACGTAGTTCGAAACATACTTGGAACACGTGATGTAGCTGATTTCTATTGGGCCTACCTGATACGATGAATGTGCGCTCTGTGCTCCACAGGCCCAAGGATGTTCACCGGTGTATTTCAACCCTATCAGGAACAGGGGAACGCTGGCTGTTGAGCGCAATGTCCAGTATACATGCATTGTCTACTGGTAGACCACTTCCCTGGTTTGATAATTCCACGTGAGACCCTTTGTTCAGACTCCCGACTGTACTGCGCTCCTTGAGTATTTTTCTTACCACTATCCAGTATCTTGTTTCATAGCTTATCACCTAGGCCCCTGATTTTTACTTAGTATTCCTGTTGTTTATTTGATGGCTCGTGAAGGTATGTCCGTGCATGCGTCCGTGCATGCGTGTGTGTGTGTGTGTGCGTGTGCGTGTGTATGCACCCTCCCTGAATGTTACGGTATGCACTGCTATTTTCTGTGTACAGTTGATATGCTGAATGTTTGCTCCTTTTTGTTGTTCCTATTTTACGATTATTCTCCTGCTTTTGATGTGTTGATGTTCCCAATATTCTGGCAATTGTATTTTAGTTTTATTCATTTCTTAGGGCCAAGTGTTTTGCGTCAGTTGTGTTGTCCTCATTCTCATTACATAGTAATAGTCTACGCACACAACAGAGGCGAAAGGTTGTGTACATAGCTGTAACTTTAAAAGGTTCACGCTTTTCAGCGATCATCAGACAGACAGCAGCATTTGCCTAATAGTCTACATGTACAGGCAAGCTTGTTCTGTCCTCTACTGCCAGCTCTGCAACCTAACCTGTCAAGGCTTGTCTGCTTGTAGTCACTATTGTCTTACGTATACATCTACATGTATTATGTATATGATGACAATGCATCGTTTGATCTTCAATGTAGATCCGGAGATGTCTGTGCTTTTCGGGAGTGTGTGTGTGTATGTGTGTCGGCAGAAGGTCCGCGCTTTCGGCTCATGGACCGGCCGTGTTCATCACGACCTACGCTTCTTGGATACTCCATGGTTTACAACAGCTAGCCCAAGATTGACCCTTGTGGAGATCATGTGTCGTTGATGTTGTGCCACCACCACCACTGTCTAAGCCAACTGTGCACTGCAGTGTTTGCGGCCGCCAACTTAGTGTCTGGGTACAAGTGGCATAAGTGCAGTGCTGCCCGTCAACTTCCTGTCAGCCAGCAGCCTGGTGCAAAGTCTTGTCTACGCTGTTAGTGCTTCAAAATCAACAATTTTGCTTATTCCACTGCCTGTCATGAGACCGCTGCTTCCGATCTGCTGGTGAATTTCAATGGCACAATTGTAAGCACGGCAAGCAACCAACAGTGAGGGAGCGTCTTCAGTTCAAGTTCTGCTGTGCATGTGGCGAGAGATTTCAGAGGCAACAGTATCTACGACGGCATATGGGACCGGATGCTCTGCCACGAAGCCGTGTCGTCCCTCCTCATGAGGGCAACCTAGCCGTTAATGGCAGCTGTATGTCAAGGTCAAGGTGTGTGTGTGTGTGTGGGTGGGTGGGTGTCTGTCTGTCTGTCTGGCCAGAAAAAGCCACTTCAATCAGCTGTGTGGTGTAGACCAGGCTAAAATTTGTGGTGGTCAATTCATCAGCCTCGCAAGGTGTAACCCCAGCACAAGTTGCTATGTTTAACATAGCTGTTCGCTATCATCACTTCCGGAATGGGCTGGTGTGTGTGTGTGGGTGTGTGTGGGTGTGTGTGCCGGCTAGTTCGGCTGGTGGGTACACATATGCCGGATAGTGTTGGGTCTGTTGTCAACAGGCTCGGCTGCTTGAAGGTGTACATGACTGTATTGTTGTATCTGCCACCTTTGTTGGTTTCAGGGTTCATATACTTTCTATTTGGAGTATACATACCTGTTGACCATGGACTGCTTCTGGTTAGATTAACCCTTTGTGTACCAGCCCCATCTCGAACCGTAACGTACGTTACGGTTCGACGCACCGCACTGCGCCGCGCCGTTCGGCGGCGTCCTTGCTCCGATCGACTCGCGGTTTTTTGCGCTGGGCAGCTGAGATCCCACTGCAAATTTTGATGTATGATGTGGGTAGGTTGCCATTTGAAAGTATGGAGAACGATCGCGGCGAAAAGTGCGCTTTGCAATTTCAGCGCTCTGCGATATATTTTAGCAATTTCGATCGTGTTTTCGTTCGGTTACGCTGCTTGTATCTGGAATATAGCTTGCTCTAGCTGTTGTCGATGTCTACTAGTGATGGTGAACGCCAGGAGAGAGTTGTAGTAGCGATATAATCTCAGGATCTGAATCGAAAATGAGAATTTCCATCGCTGAAGCCATTGCCGTATTCGCTCTCCAAGCAGCAGCGAGAGGGAGCGCAGCGATGGCCTGAAATAATCAAGGCAGGTGAATTTCCCCACCCATCGACTATTCCTGGTCTTCTCAATCGCCAATACCCTCGCTGGACGCAAGTAGATAAGTGAAAAGTACATATTCAAATCTGACACAATTTCAAGAATTTGAAATTTTGATGCAATTGTTTGGCATCTGGTATTCACGCAATATGGCTCTTTTCCGTCCTTTCGCTATTGTTGAAGCATGGAACTGGCGGCTATACACTAGTGCAGTGGTCTCCTGTTGCTCTGTGTGAAGAGGGGCAATGTCAGCAAGTATATTCACGATTCCGAGTACACGGATCTAAATTGTCAGGAATATGGACAATTGACTCAGAAATAGGTATTCCAGGTATGGCCTGTATCTGTAGTTGTGTGCTCGGTCAAAATATGTTCTTACCTGGACACATTGATACCAACAGATTCAGAAAAACATAACTTGCACATACAAAATGTGTCTTAGTTTTATGCTATAGGTCCATCATTACCGATGAGTACCCCGCGCATACATTAGATGCCTGGTACACAAAGGGTTAACTCTTGTGTAATCACTGGTGCTAGTGAAGCTTATGTCAGATCCACTCTGATTTAGCCACCCACACTAGTACATGTACCAAGTATTACCCTCACTGGGGGCAGGGGTAACTGCAGTTGGATCCCGGGACGGAACCCTAATGCCGTCAATCCTTTTTCTTCACCTTTTCCTCGCCCACTTACTGAGGTATGGTAAGCCCGTAAGTGGGATCATTTGCAAGTCCACCCATAGTTTGGGGATTTCAGGGGGTGTCGGGCGCTGGGCGGTTCAATAGCGAATTGAGTCCTCTTTCCAAGATTCCTTTTGAGTTCCTCTCTCCCCTCTCCCGGGGGACCCACGTGACCAATTTTGGCAGTGAGCAAGTACAGTACAGCGTGTCGGTGTGTGTGTGTGTGTGGTGTGGGTGTACGTGTGTGTGTGTGTGTGCGCGCTGGTGTGTGTGTGTGTGTGTGTGTGTGTGTGTGTGTGTGTGTGTGTGTGTGTGCGTGTGATCACTGTGAGACCCAAGCTGGCTGTGGGCATGACCAAGGCCAAGCTTCTCGTTGCAGGTTTCGGAGTTTGCCCTGCTGATTGCTCTGATTTGGTCATTGGCAGTGATAGGGTTGAAGCAGTCACCTCATTCCCCTATCTTGGTTCCACCATCACTCCAGACTCGCGGTCGCAAGCGGACATTCGGAGCCGTCTAGCAAAGGGTGCAGGGGCCTTTGCCTTTGGCCGGGTCTTCGGCGCATCCTACATGACCGGAGCCTGAACCTCCCTACCAGGCGCCACCTGTATGTCGTTTGCGTCCTGTCAACGGTTCTGTATGGTTCAGAATGCTGGACGCCGTTGAAGGCAGATTTAGATAGAATGGACCGGTTTCACCATGCCAACATTCGCTCCATCCTTGGCGTATCGCGAGGCCGACAGTGGGAACAGCGCATCTCTTCGCAGGAACTGCGAGCACAGTGGGGTGATCTCACACCATTGTCACGCATGGTGCAGCAGAGACGGTTGGAGTGGCTTGGGCACCTGGCGCGTCTTGATGACACCAGAGTACCGAAGCAGTTGCTGTTGTGTGCCTGTCTCCCTCAGTCTCGGCCATTCTGTGGACCTCGTCGTCGCTGGAAGGACACCTTTCACATGGACCTATCCGTGGCTGGAGTGCGTAACTGGTTTGAGTTGGCAAGCGATCGTGGGGAGTGGCGTGGAGTGGTGACAGCAGCAGGTGAGGACAAGGAACCTGCCCCGAAGAGCATCGAGTGCCCAACCTGCAACCGTCTGTTCCGCCGTAGTTCCGACATGGCCCGGCACAAAGTGTTCAGCAATCCGTCAGCTCCCGGTATCGGAGCAGCCTGGATCAGTACAGTGTCCAACATGCAACCGATGGCTACGTAGCAGAGGCGAGGAGGCTTTGCGGTACATAAGTGTCGGCTAGGCGATGACGACCAGCCGCCGGCCCCTGCCCCTCTTGTTGTTCCGGGTGTAACTTGCACAAACTGTCAGCTTTCATTTAAATCGGCTGCGGGTCTCAAGCGTCACCGTTGTGGAACCTGTCGAAAGCGCCCTACTGTGGCTGAACGCCAACAATTCAAGTTTCACTGCCAAGTTTGCCACAACCGACGGTTCCGCCGGCCGGAGGCGGCAAGATCTGGATCGCCACTTGGAGCATTGCCTTCCTCCCCCCCCCTAACCTCTCTGACAGTACCTCCCATCTGGGAGCGGCGTGGCCAATCCTGGCAGCTGTCAATAGTAGTAGTAGTAGTAGTAGTAGTAGTAGTAGTGCGTGTGATGTGCCTGGACCAGGGGTACAACTGCCTGTGCTAGACTCTATGGCCATGGCCCGCTTGGGCCCACAGGTGTATGCGAATCTGCTGACTGGTCTAGGTCAGGCTAGGTCATTGTGGCTCTGTCGTCCCATGACTGATGAGAATTTCAACTGTGTGAGTACGCGGCGTACACGGTGACGTTGTGTCATGGGGAATCCAGCTTGCCTGATATACCAGGCTGTAGGTGCCGTACACTGAACAGCGGGTTTGTAGGGCTCCCTGGCAGGTTATACTTATCTTATAATGCAGCTGGGCAACTCGTGCCACTACATGTACCAGGGAGTCGTAAAATACGACTCACTGACATGTACACTGATATACACAGATGTACACTGATGTTGTACATCACATAATAAAGTCATTGTCCTCTGAATTGTTTCCCTCTAAATACTTCCTGAAGTGCTTAGTTACACTGTAACCTTGGTACAGTCAGACCTCGCTTATCCGGTCCTCGTTTATCCGGATCCCTCGCCATCCGGAAGAAAATAGTTGGTTACAAATGTACAGCATATGCCATGCTTACATACAGTATGTGTGTTCGATTATCCGGTTCCCTCGCCTATCCGGATATTTTTGTGGAAAACGGATGTGTGCGGTTATGCGAGGTCTGACTGTAGCAGTATTTGCTGTGGTTCAACTCTACGAGTCTGACAGTGACATGTAGATCTACACGTATCTCTGGACTGGTTTGGACCGGGGATAGACTACAGTCAGTGTTGTGTGTTGTGTTTGGCTTTATTTAAAGTGGAGTTCCAAAACAGGCCTAAACCTAATGACAAAAAATATAATAATAAGCGGACAAACAGAACCAAGAAAAAGATACAGCTGTGTAGTTAGATAACTAATATGAGCACGGCAGCAGGGGGAAAAAAGTCACTAGCACGGCAACCGGGAAGAAAGGAGTTGTTGTTGTTGTAGAAGTTTATTTAACGTCGCACCACAAACAGGCGATTTCGCCTCCTTTGATACATGTGGACGACAGAAGGGAGGGAGGGAGGGAGGGAGGGAGGGAGGGAGGGAGGGAGGGAGGGAGGGAGAGAGAGAGAGGTAGTGAAGCAGATGAGTTCATCCTAGTTGACGGTACTGCCTAACAGAAAGGCCAGGCTTAGCGATTTGAAAGTGGAGCGCTTTCTTTGAGGCGTGCTGTGTCTGGGAGCTGGTTCCACAGGATAGCTCCAGCATGGCTAATGCGCTTAGCTGAGGATGCAGTGGGGGAGACAGGAATGATGAGTAACTTGTAGTAGCAGTCAGGTCACTGGTACATGGTGTGGATTCGGGAGCCCTAAAAAACTCCCTGGGTCAGGAAGACCACTACGGTATACGGTGGTAACTGTTAAACACCTGCATGCTGTCTACGAACCAGGGAGTAGTACAATACCAATACAATTGTAGGGTATTGTACTACTCCCATGCTACGAACAAACCGGTCTCTGCAGGGCTGGCTCTTGCTGCATGCTGGGTGACTCCGATCCGGGCGCCGGACTGGGTACATGTACTGCCAGTGTACCCGTCCTGTCTTGGCCGCGCCCGGTGATATACGGTAATCGCGCCGGTTGCGGCCGCGCCGGCCACGCATTCGAAAATGGCGCGGCTAATATTTCGTTTCCATAGCGATGTTGGGAACGCTGTTTCGTGTTTAGCGGGAGTTGTACGCGGCACACCACTCAGCTGAGCTGGACCAGTACGGCAGTAGTACAGCGCGTACATACGGCAGTACAGTACAGGTCAGTCATGATTCATCATGATCTACACAACAAGACCTGCATGAAATGCCGAAATATATTTTTCTTTCCCCAGTTTCGCTTTATTTTTTGTATTGCCGCTATACAACTTTTGAAGTTGTGATACTGTCCTGGTCGACGAGACTTGCATTGTGGGTCTCAATTGCAACGAGTTGTGCTTTCAGCTATCTAGCTCGGAGTCTAGTCTGTCTACTGTCTCAACTGCAGCATGGTTGAAAAGTGGCTGTGAAGCATTGCACCTATGCAACTTCTTGAACAGCTGTTCTGAGAATTTGTATATTTTTGATTTTGATTGTATTCGCCATGGAAGAAATTGACAGTTTTAACAAACTGGTTAGTGAGATCGTTCAAAGTCTATGGTATCGAAGTGGAATATCATTGTTATCTGCTGGTGTGGTGTTGCTCCATAGCTCTCCTCCATCACGGAGAGTAGGCCACCAGTGTCCAAGGCGAAGATGTCTGCAATCACCAAAGCAGCAATGAAAGGCCTCAAGGTTTGTAGCGGCCGTTCCGCAGTCATGTGCCAGTTGAATGGTCTGAAATATCCTGGGGTTCGCTGAAGTGTTTTTGTTGCCTTGCATTTTCTGTGTTTTGCCACTCTAGCACTACAAACATGTGGTAATGGGAGTAGAGAAGTTCATAAGCAAGGTGAGTACTTCTTGATACCCAGTACCCCCACATGGCACACGCACATACACACACACACACACACACACACACACACACACACACACACACACACACACACACACACACACACACACACACAAACACACACACGTGCGCGCACACGCACACACGCATGCACACCCCCCCCCCCCCCCCACACACACACTCATCTTGCCTTGTATACCAGTGCCTGGCCACACCACCCCTGAAGAGGAAGAGCTGTCGCCGAGTGTCACGATCATGATGGCACCCGTGACGAGACCGGTCTCCTGGCCGTGTGAAACGCCGTGTGCAACCCTCACACTGAATTGGCAGTTCTCCACGCTCCCCCTTCGGCGCCGTATGCCCCGCTGGCAGCTGTGGCATCCAAATCCCGTCACCGACCTGGAGCACGGATCTCACCGGCTGCAGTGACGATGATAACGCCGCGCCCCGGCAACAGGCAGTCGATCCGCCGCAGTTGCGAATGGCGCATGTGTAGCCAGCACTGATGATGATGGTGATGGCGACGACGATGACATGACCATCATGCATTTGTGGACGTCCAGACCGCCTGCACTGCGCAACCAGCGCCTGCAGCCAGGGCAGTGCCTGGGTGACGGTTGGTTCTGTATGGAATAGCCGGCGGGCATCAAGGCACTTGTGACGTTTGTGGCCAGACTTGCTAGAAGCCTCTTACAAACCTCACGTGTCAGTGATGCTCTGGCAGGCTTACTGGTCACCTCTGCGTGATATGGTGAACAGTACTCTTGTCGTTCCTGCACAAGATTGAACCAGTCCTCCGCTACTAATAGCCGTACATCGCTCTGCTTTCATCAGAGGCGGGTTCCATGAGCAGGGCGGGTCTAAGGGAGCCATGTAAATAGGAGCTGCTTAGACATCCAGTCCCCGGCATCCACGTGATATAGCCCAGCCACAGGAGCCGCCATCTCCTCAGAACATCCGACAGCAAATCTGACTCACCCTGTCGCTTGTGGAGATCAGCAGTGGTGACATGGTCAAGCTCCATGTTTCCATCTCGACACGCCAAGGATAGCCCTGAGGCCCCAGCGGCGGAAACTGTCCAGGCACTGCGCATCATGGTGAAGAATTGGCCGACTTGCAGCACCAAGCAACAGCGGTGGGATGAAACTGGTCTTAGGGCCGGTTTCCACTGCGGCTCCGCTGCTCCGCTGCTCGTCTTTCGCGGCTTGAAACGTCATCATTACCATAGTGACCGCGGCTTGAGCTGGAGCAGCGAGGCCGCGGCTCACCGCGAGCTTTTGCTACGATTCTTGACCAAAAACTGCGAGCCGTGGTCGCGGCTCGACCTGTTTCCCGTACTTTGCATTGTTTCGTACGCCAGAATTTTAAAATTCAAAATTTAATTCGTTGCGCCGGCCAGAACACGAGGATTTTTTTGATTTCGCGTGCGCAGGCAGGTGAAACGTCATCAAAAAGTGTGGACCACGACCGCGGTACCGCCAATGGCGAGTGTCAGTGGAACCGCGCTGCTCCGCTGCATGCAGCCAAGTGCCGCGGAGCCGCAGTGGAACCCGGCCCTAACAGAGCCTGCGTTTGCTACGAATAGATAATTCCGGGTGTCAGAGATGCAGCAGATAGCACCAAAGGCGCGAGAGGTTGCAGCAAGCAGCCGTCGACCGACCTCCTCACCTATCCTGCCATCAGAAGACACCAGACAGCCAAGTATGCGAACACACACACACATACACCACCACCACCACCGCCGCCACCACACATGCAGACTTGGCTCTGTGCATGACTTCTGGGGAAGAGGCTACCGCACATAAGTTTGCGTGTGAATAGCATTTCTGCTTTTGCTGTTTTGCGTTGTTATGTTGATCTCCTCAGGCCCGGCCAGAGTACAAAGTGCAAGGTCTCTACGTCCTGGACTCTATTGTCCGCCACTCCAAACATCAAGTAAGATCATCTGGTGTCACCGTGTGGTGATGTGTGTCAGGAATGTGTCATCGGTTGCTTATCTAGGAGGAGCTGAGCTGTTGTTGTGTACACATGCATCTTGTATGAACAAGATGAAGCCGTACTTGTCTTCCCCGCTGGGATGTTCTTCTGAATCCTTATGGCTGGTGCACTGTCTGTTGGTGCCTGTACTTTCTGTTGGCAGTTTGGCAGGAAGGATGTTTTTGCGCCACGCTTCGGCAAGAACCTAACCAAGACGTTTGAGAATCTCTACAAGTGCCCCATGGCAGATCAGGTAAGACTGATTCGAATGTACTGTCAGGCCACCCGGACCTGACAGACCTACCGGTACATGTAGTTTTGCTGGTGCACTGCGCAATGAGTTTATGCGTTGATGCTGGTGTCTCTTGTGCTTGAGCTATGCCACCCGAATTTGCCACCTTGAAACACAAGAATGGTCAATGGGCCTGATCTAAGATTGGGGCAAGTCGAGGCCTGAACTTTTGACAAAGTTTACCTTCCATCACTGATATGCACAGAACCCAGGCCAGTATACACATTGGGTCCGGCTGGGACAGGCTGCAAGGGTTGAGCATTGTCCCACTTTCCCGACCACTGGCTGCTGGTGATTTTCTGTACAGTTTTGCCACTTATTACGTGTATTTCACTGATTCACCTAACCACATTCCGCCAGGAAAGGTTGCGACAGGCACTGCGGTCTCCTGTTTCAGTGCGCACCGGCAACATGTGAACCAACCCTATGAAGCTGCAGGATGCCTCACCACTCTTACCTGCTTAAATTTACGTTTCTCTTCTGCTTGTTGTTGTTGGTGATGTTCTCTGGCAGAGCAAGATTCTACGCATTCTCAACGTGTGGCAAAAGAACAGTGTTTATAGCCCGGACATTCTTCAGTCTCTTATGGCTATGGCGTCTCCGACAGCCGAGGCAGCCAAATGTATGGTTTGTATTGGCCACGTGTACTTCTGTGAGCGTGTTTTTACATGCACTTTGTTCCTTATGGGATGTAATTCTTTTATGGATATTCATGCATATCTCTGTAATGGCTTTGTACAGTCAAGAGTCAGTTATCCAGACCTCTCTTTAATATCCACGTACAAAAACCTGAACTGAACTCCTGGATTTAGGGAGACTTGTATGGTGTTACGTGTACCATGTAACTACTTGCTGCCAGTGTCCTGGTATGTCTGTATTTGGATGCTTGATAGTACGTTTTGGTTTGCAACGATATGTCGTGTACAGGTCTGGCTGTGCAATAAGATACGCTGTGTTAGCGAGGTCTGGGTGGCAAGGCCGGCTGTTTCTAATGTCAGGCTTCTGTGCGCACTACTGAACATAGCTAACCTCTTTGCTTGTGTCTGTATTTATTTATTTAGCCCAAGGTGGGGATGCTGCCAGCGAAGACATAGCAAAGACACTCCAGCAGCAAAAAGAACAACTACATCAATTGCAGCAGCTCCAGCAACAACTGCAAATGCAGCAGCAACTACAGCAGCAGTTAGCTACACAACGAGAGCATGTAAAGCCGGTGGACCCAGCACCAACACCTACGTCTATGCTGAATCCAACTACTTTGCAAGCGTCTGGTTCTGTGTCGCCGAAGACCAAGGCAGCCAACTTTGTATCACAGGTCACGCCTGGCATTGCACCACCGTCGGTATGTTGAGGCTGTGTCTTCGTCTGTCTCTCTCTCTCTCTCTCTCTCTCTCTCTCTCTCTCTCTCTCTCTCTCTCTCTCTCTCTCTCTCTCTCTCTCTCTCTCTCTCTCTCTCTCTCTCTCTCTCTCTCTCTCTCTCTCTCTGTCTCTCTCTCTGTCTCTCTCTCTGTCTCTCTCTCTCTCTCTCTCTCTCTCTCTCTCTCTCTCTCTCTCTCTCTCCAACTGTCTTTCTAGCTTCACCAAAGTTTTGTCAGGGAAAACAGAAAGATGTTTGCAGCAAAGAGACCATGTGCGATTGTTCGGACTGAGTAATCACTTCCTTTGTTCCAAAAGTCAGAGATGTTACCAGTACTACTTTTCTCTCAGGGGGAATGGAAGGGTTTAAAAGTATTCACTGTTATCACTAAGTGGGCCACTTTGGATTCAGTGTGTGAAGCATTGTACCTGTATATGCCTGAGTTGTCATTATTGGTGTCATAAGACCAGCACTTGCCTGGTGTTCCTTTGTTATATCCATTTACTGAGATGTAAGAGTGCTATATTGTTGTCTGCATAGGATAATTTCATTGACGAATCGCCGCAGGCATCATCACGGCATTCTCGTGGCCACACAGCCAGGTAAGATGTCACCTTCGATAGAAGTACGGTATGTGTATATCAATTGCACACACGGTTTACTAGAGGTATGTTTGATTGATCAATCCGAATTTCAGATTTACTGGAGCAGTCCGAACAGCAGTTCTCAGTCAAACAGAACAGCCAATGATTTTGCAAGAAATGTTGCAGAAATTATCACCACGATTTCATTGGGTTTTCAACTTGCTTTGGCTGCTCCAGTCTTGGGTGGGGTCGGAGCATACTGAACCTGTTCTGAGCTAGTGCAGCCTAATCTGGTGTCGCTATTCGAAATGATCCTGTTCCGGGTCAGACCAATCAAACGCTTCCTAATAGATATTTTTGGTGCATATTAGTATGATATTACATGAAGAGACGCCATTATTCTCTGCTGGGCATGTTGACGATCTTCCAACTCTATGTGTTTTCCCTATACCATGAACATGATTGTCTTGGTACAGTAAATATCGGATATAACGTGCCCCTTTGATTTTCGAAAATTTATCACTATATCCGGTGCATCACTATAGCCGATTTGCATGTTTGACCGACACATGGCACATGACTGCACATGAAATGATGCGTACACGCTGGAAAAAGCATGCTGAAAGTGCATGCATGCTCCGCGGACTGTGTACCGGTGCATGACACAGAGCAGTGCATGGCAGTGCAGTACGAGTACAGACTGTACATGTACTAGAACTTCGATACATCATGTGGCATGGCTGCTTCTTCAGCGTGTTCTCCAAAAAAAGCCTGAGCTGGATCCGTACTCACGTAGATCTACTCGGTGTCCAACGAGTTGCGTAGAGCCAGAAATAGACATGAGTGGCTGTGTACGTGAGTTGGCAACATCATCGTGAGAGGCAACACAGCCAGAAACGGACAAGAGCATGCAGAAAGATACAGAAAAGGACAAGACCATACAAAGGGAGCGAGGGGTAGCGCAGCCAGAAAAGGACATGTGCATACAGAAACGGACAAGAGCATACAAAGGGAGCACATTGCGAGGGGTAGCACAGCCAGAAACGGACATGTGTGATCATCACTCTTGATCATTATATGCGATATTTTCCTGTACATTTGATATGGTTTGCTTCCTGAAGTCCATCACAATAAGCGATATATCGGTATAGCCGATAATAGTGTATATAGTGATATTTTAGCTGTATTTTTTCTGATTTGATTTTGATTTTGACGTGTTCTATCACTATAACCGGTATATCATTATATCCGGTCACTTTATAAACGATACTTACTGTATGTGTATTTTGCGATCGCTGCTCAGCGGGACGCATGTGCAGGCATCAGGCAACTCTCGGCACCCAGCAGCGGACAAGCCGCGCCACTCAGAGGACACCGCATCGCGCCGAAAGTCAGCCCGGTCGTCATCGCGCGAAGATCACAATCGGTCTCGCGACGCGGACAAGAAGTCGCGACGGCGACGACGCGGCAGCAGTGAATCGCCGTCTCCGCCGCCGCCGCGACGTTCTCCCCGCCGTAAGAGCAGCCGATGGGACACGTCATCGCGAAAGCGCAGCCACTCTCGCTCCAGATCCCGGGAGCGCAAGAGTGGTGGCACTACTCGCTCTTCTCGCTGGTCTCAGCGCTCAGCGTCCAAGTCTCCGAAACGTCGTCGCAGTGAGCACGATGCTGCTGCTGCTACGGCCGCTGCACAGGAAGCTGAACTAAGAAAGGCTGCAGAGGAAGCGGCACGGCTAGAGGAGGAGAGGGCAATGGCCGAGGCCAAAGCTCAGGCCGAGGCAAGAGAGGCAGAGGAGAGAGCACGTCAAGAAGCAGAACGAGCTGAGGCCGCGCGAAAAGCAGAGAAAGAAGCAGAGCGGCGACGAAGGAAGCTTGGCCATCCACCGAAACTAACTGGCCATGTTACTAGTAAGTGTTGTTTGGCAGCTTTGGCTTTGGAATATCATACAAAGTGCAGTAGGTCCCTGGCTTAGCGTTTCAAATCTGGTTCGTAATAGCATTACCTTCATTATGTTGACGTCAAGGGACAAGGAGCCTTGAAGTCCGTATTTCCCAACGTTCATCTCCCGCTTGAACACATTGTTCGATAGTGAATGTCACAATTTTTTCCCGTGTGTGTGCAGTTTCTAGCAACACCATATGGATTGGCCACCTGCCCAAGTTTACGTCCTCCAATGCTCTCAATGAGATCTTTGGCGAGTATGGAGAAATTTCAGCAATTGATGTAAGTGACTGTCGGACTTCAGTGCTAATGTACAATGTTACATGTGTCCTGCTTTTTACGATAGTGCTTCGCGCCATGTTATTGCATTGTTCCGTCAAGCACAGCCTGGCTGTGGAGCAAGATTCTATAGGCCTATACTTACCCTGGTCTAGAGCGCCTGTGGCCTGGCGTATAATGTACTCTTTATGTGCCCAGCATCAGCTTTGCCCGTACGTGCGAATCTCAAGAAATACATTGTGTTGCGACCGTATGGCATTACTGCAGAGGTTTGTAACTGTGTTCCAGATTGATTGTCTCGGTTTGTGGGTAGTGTTTCTGCTTTTCTTGAAATGGCTGTGTGTATGTGTGTATATGTATGTGTGTGTATGTGTGTGTATATGTGTGTGTGTGTGTGTGTGTGTATGTATGTATGTGTGTGTTTGTGTGTGTGTGTGTGTGTGTGTGTGCACGCTTGTGTGTTTGTGCGTCATTGCAGCTTGTCATTGCACGAGGCTGTGCATATGTGTGCATGGCCAACCGACGGGATGCTGCTGAGGCTGTAACGGGTCTGAAGGGTTTCCGTATCAACAACCAAACTGCCAAGGTCTGTAGTGTCTGATGATATGTTTATCTTCTCTGTACATGTGATTGTCCTAAAAGTTTATCCTTGATATTTTTGGCAGAGGATGGCAGTGATGCAGAGTTGGTCCAGATCTCTTGATTGTGTGATTTCTTTCCCGCGCAGGCACTCGAGAGGTCTCTGTTTCTGTAGACATTCAATTCGTTTCACACCTGCTCGGGATTGACGCACGCTGTTTGAATGGTGTTGAATACCGGAATGCCTACTACAGTACTTCACAAGTTGGAGCCGTGCTTGTGCCCAAAGCAACCAACTTATGTGGTTTGCTAGGCCTAGGCTGTGCCTAACAAACTACAGTACTGTTGGTCGCCGAAGAACTGGAGAGTCAGCCCCCTAGCGTAGACCGTTCTTATTTTCATGTATTGCAGTCTATGCACAGTTGAGTCACCCTGTATACATCGGTATGCTGTGCTTGGCGAAATTCTAGGCTGGCCGTTCTTCAGCGCTCCGTTCTTCGGCGCCTGACAGTACTGTACGGTAGAAGATCCCTGCCTGTCTGCGTGTCTCCTCTAGGAGTGGTCGGGTAAACCAGAACTGTACACAGTGAAACACCGCTAGGTTTAGGGTTTGATCTGACTTGCTACTTGAACTTATCTGGTACTAATTCTCCTGGCTGGTCTCTTCAACCCAAGGCCAAAGTATGTACACTTCAAAATGCAGTACTCCCGATGACCGTTCTAGTTTTTTTTTATTGTCTCTTGTGTGTGTGCGTGTTTAGGTGGCGTGGGCATGTGGCAAGGGTACGAATCACAAGGAAATGAAGGAATTCTGGGACGTGGACATTGGTGCAAGCTACATTCCCTGGGAGAAACTGGGAACACCGCCGTTTATGGAGGAGCAGCTCACGGAAGGTGGAACCATTGACTCCACCACACTCCCTGCTCCGAAAAGTACGAATGCGTGGTGAACATTGCCATTTGAACCATCCTGGATGGGTGTGTGTCTCTCACTTTCTCTCTGCACATGTGCGTTTGATCCAGTTTTGTACACTATTGTAGTTATTGCCATAGCAAGCTGTCATTGTTTATCTACCATCGAGTATGATCTGTGACTTCTTTGCTGAAGTGTATGCCCTTTGGTTTTTTCCCTTTGTGATAGGTCCGCCAGCCACGAGTACGGAGGCCGCCGCGAATGCTGCTGTGGCGCAACAGCAGTCGTCGTTTGTGCAGCCGCAAGGAATGCTCCCAATGGGTTTCCCACCTGGTATGGCTCCCCCGCCGGGCATGCCACCCATGATGGCCCCTCCAATGGGTCAACCACCCCCAGGTATGTTCCCACCGGGCATGATGCCCCCTCCTGGCATGTCCATGCCGCCCCAGATGATGGCACAACAACCTGGTATGCAGGCGCCAGTAGGAATGCAGCCGCCAGCTGGCCAGAACCAAGCTGGCATGTTCCCCATGGGAATGCCACCGCAGATGCCCAATGTCGCCAATGGTCCTCCTAATGATGCTGGTGGTATGCCCGCTCAGTTCCCTCAAGTCACCTCACTGTCCAACATGCAGGCTCAGCCCATGCAGCAGCAGCCCATGCCGGGAGCGCAAGGCCACCCTGGACAACAAGCTGCAATGCAAGGTCCGCCCGGTCCGCCTGCACCTCGACACATGGCTCCCGGACCTCCGCCGCCGCCTCCTCGCCCAGGCATGCCGCCTCAGGACTCCAGGATGGGTCACCAACAACAAGCAGCACCACCGGTGTCAGCTGCTCCACCAGCCTCAGCAGCAGCAACACACAACACTGGGCACTGGGCACCGGATGCAGCTCGGCCAGCGCACTATGACCAAGCTCCGGCGCACCAACCACCAGACCACCACCACCACCACCACCATCATCATGCTCCTGCTGCCGATCAACCGCCTCATCACCATCAAGCAGGCTGGCATGAGCGCGAGGACCGTCCTCCGTTTGCGGGTAGACAAGAACCTGAGCATGAACACTGGAATCAGCATGATGACTGGCAGCAGCAGCAGCAGCAGCAGCATCATCATCAACATCACCATCACCAGCAGCACCATCAACAGCAGCAACATACGCGACATGACGATGAAGGCCCACCTGGTCGGTATATGGATGAAAGTCGCCAGCCGTACCACCAGGATCAGCAACACTACAGACATCCCGACGAGCCTTTCCCGAGTCGTGACTTTGACAGGCCGGCGCTGTTAGGCCCGCCACCCGAGGATCGCCCGCCACAGCCACGTGTATTCGACCATGGTTTTGCTCCTGAACAAAATGAGCACGTTATGCATGAGCAGCACGACCGGCATGACCACTATCCGCAAGCAAGACATGATCCGAGATCGATGGCGTTTCCCTTTCAGCCAGCAGCAGATGGAGCACGCCAGCAGCCCTTCTCGTTTGGTCCTGGTGAGAGCAATGAAGACCGCTTGCCAGCTGGTTCACCACATCATCGTTCACCTCTCGCTGCTACGGATCAACAGCCCGGTGTTGTCCCTGGGCAAGTGGGAGATGCAACTACGCATACCTGCAATGATGATGTAACGCGTAGCCCTGCTGCGATGGCACTGGCAGCAGCAGCAACAGCAGCTCCTGAGAACACTGCTACTGCTGCAGCAGCGTCAGCAGAAGGCAATGATGAACCGTATGATCCTATGGATGTAGTCTCCAGTGATGAGGATGATGATAATGTGGGTGATACTCATGATGATAGTTCTGTGCAGCCGTTAGACGGCAGCGGCATTGCCAGAAGACTCAGTCAACAGTCGGTGGCCAGTGCAGCAGCTGCTGCTGCGCCCGGCGAGGACAGTGTGGCAAGTCAGCCAGGCACTGCTGCTGCTAGTGCTGATGATGCCACCGCGATGTCAACTGATGCTCCTACTTCTCCTGCTGCTACCGTTGCCATGTCAGGCATTGCGGTCTTGCAGCCTGCATCAGCACGGTCCGAGACCCCGTCGGCTCTTTCTCACGATCAGGATGTACAGTCTACAGAGGGTGCAAAGAGCACTTCCGAGCACAGTACTGCGGAGCCACACGACAACGGCACCAATGACACGGACATGTTTGCTAGTAGTCCTGTGCCTTCAACTCACACTGAAGATGTAGAAAAGCCAGCTAGTGAGGCAAGCTCTGCCTCTGCAGCTGCTTCACCAGAACCTGCTGCCAGTGCAGAAGATTAAGTATCCTTATTTTACGATTTTGTACAGACTTCTTTTTCTTGCCTTTGTACATATGTGATTAGAGCTGTATGAGTCGATTTGTCGTGTGCGTGCCCGTGTGTGTATGTATGTGCGTGTATGCTCTATGATGCGTTGTACCTGCCTTGCGGTAAACTGCCCGAGACTTCCCTGGTGTATGTGTGCGTGTGTGTGGGTGCGTAAGAGAGTGAGAGTGATTGTCTTGTTCTATTGAGTTCTGCGCTGTGCTGCGTCTGTCCCCCCCCCCCCCCCCCCCCCGTACCATTGCTATGGATATTATGTTCTATCACATTGCCCTGCATGTATGTATGTCTTGCTGTTGACTGGCTGACCTGTCTGGATAGTTCTAGTACCCGTGTTCGATTCTGGAATGAGACGCACTGCTGCACCGTATTGCTGCGGTGCTGCTTTTGTCATTGCTATTTAAATTGTATGACCAAACGCAAACACCTCTGTGCTTCGTTCTAGCTACGCTGTAGCTCTACTGGCTTAGTGTCTTGCAGAGAACTGCCTGTAATTTCGGAATATTGATGCAGCATGTTCAGGTTGCATACTCACACGAACACATGCGTTTTCATTTCTTTCTTCCTGTCGTCCTTTTTGTTCACTTCTATTACATTTAGACAGCCTCTCCCCTTCGTCTGGATTCACAATGGTCATGAAGTCGTACATTTTACTCGTGTATTTGTGTCTTCACTCTCGTGCATATCCTGTGAGCATGCTGCCATTTGAGTCCTCTCTTGAATAGTCCCCCCCCCCCCCCCCCCCCCCCCCTGGGCGTGTAACCAAGCGCGTGTGCAAGTTTTGCTAATGGTCTCTTCCATGCCGCATTACACTCACTGGTTGCAGTTCGTGTTGCGGTTTCTGTTGAGTTGTGACAGATACCAGTACACTTTACAGTGCGTTTCAAAAATATAGACGTGTGATTTCGAAAAACCGTTAGGCTAGCATCTATACCACATAAAATGTGCGATCATTTTGTTTCGAAATTGGCCATTTGCTATCCGAACGCTTACCAAGTCTATGAGAGTAATTGGGGGAAGGACCTGAGCAATATTCCGAGAAAAATGATCGAAAAGCTCCAACCAAATTTGAAATATTTCAAAAAATACTATGCGTCTATATTTCTGAAATTGACTGTAGGGTCTGTGTTTTCTTTGTCTTCTTTGTTTTGTGCTGGGCGATATAAATATACCACCATTGAAAAAAAGTGCCCTCTCTTGAATAGTGCCCCATTCTTGATGGACTTCTATCTGCTCCTTACCCCACCCAAGCTAAACGTACTGCATGCACTAGGCTAGACTAGGGAGGCCGCAGCCATGAATCCAGCATTGTGCCCCGTGAATTCCACAGAAACGATGCGGAAGTGATACTGTACCGCAGGGGGCAGCAGCACTTTCGCCCGGGACTGAGGGCACAGGTCAACAAGCAAAGAACGTTTCGTTATTTTAGCAGCGACCTAATTACATGAAGCCAGCGGCATTGGGGATGTTTGGCCCGCAGCCAAAGAACTGGTAGAGTTCTGCATGTATGTACTCGGATTACCCTGGGCCTTGACGGTATAATGACATTGAAAGTTGTCACTGGCTCTTGCTACAAAGCAGGTAATGTAGAAAATGGATGTTTAGACAGAGTCTGGGCTAAAAGAGGTACGCGGCAGTAGAAAAGAAAACGCAGCGTTTTGCAGCAGCTCGGAACACACTGGAGAAGCATCCACGGGTTTGTAAACGAGTCCCAAACGAAAAGGCAGGTTTTCACTTGGCGATACCGATGACACCGCATGCAACACGGGCACCAGCATTGCCAGTGGACAGGCTGAGTTCGTGACCACCCTTGCCAAGATCGTCAGGGTCAGCGTGCACCTGCAACAATGCACACAAACAAACAAAAAACAGGTAAAGTACAAAACAAGAATTAGCAACCGAGGCAAACAGAGACATATCAGCAGGCTTCTAGATCGGTTTCACACATCTCGTGTGACTAAATCTGCGTAGAAAGTGATCACGGCATGTGAGGAGTGGAGTGGAGTCAACATGACTCTCCAGTATAGTTATGTGATAGATATGTGCAACAGCTCAATTACGCAATCCAACAGCAGACACCGGAGCTCCAGCACCAAGAAAAGTGTTCCACACATACATCAGAAGAATTTGGTAAAATCACAAACTACACGTAGCTGTTTTGAAGTACTTACAACAACGGTGCGTCCGATGATGGAGTTGGGGCCGCTCAGGGGGATCTGGCTGTCAGTGATGTTGACCTTGGCTACGCCGTCGTCGCCAGCTACAACATTTCCAAGATCACCAGCATGTCTACGAGGCAAAAGCACACAAAACACATTGGATGGCGGCTCATTGACAGTTTCGTCACTGCAAAACCATATTGTGCATTGTTGCAATCACAGTATACTTGATGGATCTCTCTGGTCTTCATGCAAAATTGTTCAGTTTCAGCGTGTTTGGGTGACAGATGAAAAGTTTATGTTATACCATCCAGGGCTACAGGCAGCTGCATACCTGTTCTCATCGCACGGGGCACCGTGCGTCTTGTTGCTGGGGTTGAAGTGAGGGCCAGCGCTGGTGCAACCTGTGACACACACACGCACACACACAGAGGAAATAACCCATTATGCAGGTACAGACAATGAAATCAGGCCTGCTCTCCAACATAAAAGACAGGGTAGAGTGGCAAGAACAATGTGCCACACGGCCCACACCAGCACCATGGACAGGATGTGCCACAACTGCAGTGTGCTCACATTGCTCTTTGCAGCGATGGTGCACACGAAGTGCCAATTTTAGCAGGGAGGGGGCTGGGATTTCAGGGCCCACAGCTTTATCAGAGAGATAGAGAGAGAGCACTGCACCACCCTTCCCGTGACATTATTATGTAATTCAGGCCACCACAAAACAAACTCCCAGTACACAGCATTCCAGGTTTGGTATTTCAGAGAATCAGAAAATCCCAGAATTGAGGAAAAGTAAGCCAACGATGACATACTGAATATTCTGTTCATTTATAAGTATTATGCTTGTAGGCAGACCAAATCTACTGACAGATCAAAACATTTCTTCATTGAATAGGAGTGTGGCACTATCTACAGTGATCTACTTGGGAATAAATTACAGATTGGAACTTCCAGTGAAAGGCTACTGAGCACATAAATCAGAATTTGTCCCACACGCGCTCCACATGATTGTCCGAAAGGCAAATTTACCATTTGTGTTGTCTCCGTACACGTGAACGTGGAATCCATGATTTCCAGGAGCAAGGCCAGTGACCTCACCGGTCACGGTTGTGGCTCCCTCCTTCGCCACGCATAGAAGAAAGAAAACACAAGCATAATTATCGTGCGTTTCCAACGAACACGACCGGCAAGGCTTGCTAGACACGACGGGGTATTTTGCTTACAGCCTGAGTGAACGTGATGACTCCCTTGACGGCGGAGTCTCCGGCGAGGACACAAGCAGCGTTGACCGACATTGTAAAGAGTAGAGGGCGAAGACGCAAAAGCTACACTCGGATGCAACTGATGTAGTTGAAGTATGCAAGATCTTTTCAAAACGATGAAGAGACTCTCAATTCAAGCTCAAGTGCACATTTCTTGACTCGTCACCCGGTACCCAAGCAACCCATCCTTTTGCTTTTTTCTAGGCTGAAGGTTCTCAGTTGGCACATTCGGCAGCGGCCAAGGGAGGCGCACAGGACCGAAGTAAAGATGACGACGTCGTAGTTTTCTAATTTTTCGTCACTGGGAGTTTTGAAGGTTCCTCTCTCCCCCACTACGATTTCTACGACAACCTTCTGCCTGAGCTGCATGCAGTAAATCAAAATATAGAAGAAGACTCAGGTTCAAAGGTTCCATGCTTGTTGTTTGTAAAGATTGGATAGCCAGAAACGATGGAAGGTTGGTGACACAGGCGATACCATAGTTGATACTTTTTTACCTACAGCAGAAAATTTGAATTCACCACTGCGATTGCCATGTCTCGGATCATGTACCCCTTTCTGACGTTTCCAGATTCTCTAGGCTCTCAAATCTTGAGAGACTTCACCTCGGGTCAGCCAAAAAGCTGCTTCTACTCTCCTATCAGTTGACAGTTGTCGGAGCATACATAGGCCTGTGTCACATTGTTCGACTGATGATATTAGTAGGTGAGTTGTTCCGTAGTAACCAGCTTAGTAGTAGTACTCTCGGCATGTACTGTCCGTGCTCAAATGAGTCGTTATTGTTTCCTTCTGGGTACCGGGTATACGCTGACTGACATACTTCAAGTAATAATGCCGATCGTTGTATGCCCGGAAGGAAACAGTTTTGCATGCATGACCGCCGGAAGCTGTTTTTGATTGGTCCGGTAGTATCATGGCCTTTTCTACAACAGGGGCGTAGCAGCCGCTCCGGCCGGTCCGGCTTTCGCCGGACCACTTTTTCGCCCGACCACAACCAACATCGTAAAACAATGCCAAAAGTGCCCAGAATGCAGGATTTTGCACTCTAATTTCCAAAAAATTCCGGGGGAGATCCCCCGGACCACCCATGGCCGGACCGCCCCCAACGGCGGTGCTACGCGCCTGTATACAGTTTGTGTATAATAATGATGGGTACGCATACCCTCCACAGGTCAGTAGGAAACACGTGTTGGTGGCCAACAAGTTGGTCCGGTAATAACCTGACCAACCGGAACCTGGCATGACATGTGACTGTCACAATTAATCACCAGCCTTCGAGAGCATATCTGTGCTTGATATAAGATATTTTGTTGGTACCAGTGCGGCCAGCCCTGGTTTGCAGCCAACAGAGAGGGGATCGACTATGTGTTTGGCAGAGAGCCTTAGCACCTACGGAGACGACGCGAGACCATCATACTGTCAGACCTAGCTCATCCGGTCCTCTTTTATCCGGATCCCTCGCCATCCGGAAGAAAATCGCTGGTTGCCGATTTACAGCATACGTGACGCATGCAACGTAACCGGACCTCGCGATCCACATACCGGTGCATGGTTTTGTGTACAAAGTGGTTCAAATGTGTACAAAAGCTTTGTCGTATCCGGTTGCACGTGGCTTGCAGAAGCTAGAATCAGGAAGTTTTACAAGCAACAAAAAATTGGCCTGCTGGCTGCATGCACATGCCATTGTTTTCGCTTGTTTCCCACAGTGCGCACGGTGCAAGCTAGCTGTACTGCATGGGATCCATGTACATGTACGTACAATTTCACACCTTTGGATGTGCCACATGTATATAAAGGCAGACTCCGTCTGTGTGTTCGGTTATCCGGTTCCCTCGCCTATCCGGATATTTTTTTGTGCTAAATGGATATGTGCGGCTAAGCGAGGTCTGACTGTACCTGGAATGACGTGCGACTTTGCCAGGATATCGATTAGTTTTTCTTTAGGTTTCTTAGAGTCTTTCAGACTTGGTTTTGTAATACAAGTACAATGTAGGTGTTCCGCTACTGCTCAAGCGGACCTGTCCGCTTGAGCCGAGTTTGGCCTTAGCAATTTCTTACTTTTGCTTTGTGTTTCTACGGTTACTATAGCAGGCGCATAGGGCACGGGTGGCACGTGCACCCCCCCCCCCCCCCCCCCCCCTAAAAGTTTCGACCTTGGTTCAGTATGCACATAATGACCATGAATGACATGCACCAGCCATCCTACAAATACATGCATGCGACCGTGCTACCCCCCCCCCCCTAAAAGGGGGGGGGCAGTTACGCCCCTGTATAGTATGTGGACCTGAGTGCTCTGCCAACCTGATCTCTCTGTGCGTTGGGTCCGGGGTGTGCCTGAGTGGAATGACCAAGAGGCGCACATATACTTTGTGCTAACGGGCGTGTAGGGACGATCAGCCAGCCACAACACTCCAATACCAAACGTAGAAAGACAAAGTGAAAGTAAGAAATTGCAGAGGCCGAACCCAGCTCAAGCGAAAAAGTCTATGAAAACCTAAAGAAACTTTTAAAAAGAATGCACTGGCGGGTCTGCTAAAAAGTACTGATGTGGTCTTTCATAGTACCGCTGGGCATTGAAGAACAAACTTACTACGGTAGCATAGTTTCACCCCCCCCCCCTTCTTTGGCACCCAGTAGTGCTTTTGCTAAATAACCCTAAAATAAAGGCATGTCGTAGGAGCCCCCCCCCCCCCCCCCCCAGCCCAGGCAAACTGAAATGATTGAGGATTTCAAAAATGTGGAAGTGACCATGCCAGGGTGCTCAGACTCCAGTGCAGCCAATTCGTTAATTATCGCCAGGACCACACACATTAGTATGATCAAGTGCTGTTTGTGAATGTCGAAAAGGTAGTGTTGGTGTCTTCATGTTATATTTGTGTGCAATCCCGGGTGGAAGTGTCTGGTTTTACAATACTAAATACTACACTTGGTACACAGCACTGCTGATTACTCAACAAGTCACAGTTTAGCCATAACGGGATCCGACGTGTAATAGCAACGTACGACTCCATACGCACCAAAACGAATGTCTCATTTAAAAAATCATTGATTCTGCAGCGGAGCTATCTAGTACAAGTATGAGTTGGTGTGCATGCGTGTTATGCTCGTATGTACATTTATACCTACCTTAATATACACCCCCATTCATCACACAGATCCCCGGCCAGTGTATATTCATTGTATTTGCTCAAGAATGAAATTGAAGGAAATAAATACTGTTAATACACACCACTGTAGAGAAATAAATACTGTTATTATATTATACTCCTTTTTAGGATTCAGAAGAGGGACTTAGAAATTTTCTCTCCACTTCAAAAAGAAAATTGAAAGAACGAAGACAAAGGAAGAGAACGAGCAGGATTCAAACCCACAACAGTATGAATCTCAAGCAACCCCTTATACCACCCAGCCACTGTGCTGCAGATGCTGAACCCTGTTGTTCTTACAATCTTGTACCCAAAATAGGCAACATCCTATGTACACTATAGTACAAAATGCTATACTAAAAAGGTTAGTATAGCATTATGTGATGAATGGGGGTGTATATTGAGGTAGGTATAATACTATAAGTCGGATATACCCTTCGCTGGAGTGTATATGGATAATATACACCATCATACAAACCTCGGCCTGCGGCCTCGGTTTGTATTTGGTGTATATTTTCCATATACACTCCAGCTCAGGGTATATCCTATACGTATATCATTGTAGTGACAAAGCAGAGCCAGATGAAGTATGGTGTGCGTGCGCATGGGAGTGGGAAGGCGTCGTACATGACTTGTATGTGTGCATGATAGGCAAAACGTCCCCGATTGGGCCGAGGCAGTCCGTATTCTGCACACACTACTCAGTTGGTGTAGATGCGCCTAGTTAAAACAATAAGAGGACGGAAAAAGTGTTTTAACTCTGAGTTTCATGCTCTAAGCGATCATCAGAAAATAGTAATGAGTAAAATTCTGGATCACTCTGTTTTTGATGCGCCTAGTTAAAGGGGAAGTTAAGGCAAAAATTAAAATTTCACCAGTTGTAGTCTTCGGGGTGCTGAGTCGAATGGTCTTGGTCCGAGAAAGCTGAGACGCTCCCTTCCTACTTGAATCCCAATCGAACTCGCGCACTTCCACCGAAACTGGGTGACTGCGCCCTACTAGATGGGGATTTGTATGCAAAATGTCACTAAAAGCGCCGTTTCGTTCTTATAAAAGCACGGATGACCGCGATTGGCCCATATGTTGTAGTCTTTTGGACGCTGAGTCGACTGGTTTTGGTCCGAAAAGGCTGCGATGCAGCGTTCCTCCTTTATTCCCAATCGAACATGGTTGAACAAGCGGTCACGTGCTCCTGCGTACACCAGTCAGCTGGTCACCGCGCCTGCAGTGTACAACTTACTAGCCTGTTTGACCTTTTTTGGGTGCAGTCCTGTCACTCGAGTTGAACTCGAGTTGAACCTTGGTGTGAAAGTTGTCGCCTGCTGGCGTGATGACCAGGTGATTTGGGCACCCAGGAGCACGTGACCACTTGTTCAACCATGTTCGATTGGGAATAAAGGTGGAACGCTGCATCGCAGCCTTTTCGGACCAAAACCAGTCGACTCAGCGTCCAAAAGACTACAACATATGGGCCAATCGCGGTCATCCGTGCTTTTATAAGAACGAAATGGCGCTTTTAGTGACATTTTGCATGCAAATCCCCATCTAGTAGGGCGCAGTCACCCAGTTTCGGTGGAAGTGTGCGAGTTCGATTGGGATTCAAGTAGGAAGGGAGCGTCTCAGCTTTCTCGGACCAAGACCATTCGACTCAGCACCCCGAAGACTACAACTAGTGAAATTTTAATTTTTGCCTTAACTTCCCCTTTAAATAGAGCAAAGAACGTAACCGGAATTTGCAATGTTCTCTCATCTCATGGGGAGAGCACACCAAACTACCAACAGCACACAGTTACATCTTGAGCCGAAGCCCGTTTCTACACCTATGCAAGAGCAGAAGTACATGTAGTAGTAGTGAAACATGACACAACTGCATATTAGCACATGCTATGCCATAGAGCTCTAGTAAAATGTACAGTGCAAAGTAGCAGCATTCAAGCACCAATGCAAGCACTGGTAGAGAAATGACATAACTTAGTGTCTAGACTACCAAACTATGGGACTGGGGAAGTGCAAAGCAACAGCGTAGCATTGCCGTGCACACAAAGTGCATGCACCTAATATGAAAAATACAGACTCTATTGTGAGACTACAGAATTGTAAGAAAATATATACCGGTAATTCCAGTATGTCATGTTCGAAGTAATGGTCTCAGTATAATATTACGTACTTCAAAGTATGTTTGCCGTGTACTAGCAGTCAAACTAATTCATTGCGCAAATATATTCGTCTCCGTGAAGTGTCTGGTTGTAGCACGACTTCTAAAATAGTTTTCACTGGCCTGGGATGTAACTAGTTAGCAGTGTACTGTTATAGACTGATAAAAGGATATAGCTTCAATAAGCTGTGTATGACTACATGCTGTTTGGTGACCTCCATCAGTGTTATCAAGTGTTCCAGCTTGAGGAACATCCTCATAGGTTCAGCATTCATAAGTGCTGCACTCATCAAAATTCAGGGGCTGAGTCTGGCATCATCAGCCCATCATAACCTGTTCGTCAGTCAGCCGCTGAAGATCACCGACAATCTAGAGAAAAGGGAGAGAGTGACGGGTAGGGGGAGGGGGAAAGAGAGTGGCACACACATAAAGAGGCAAACAGGGAGCCATTATTACAAGTACAAGGTTTTTGAGTGAGTGACACGCGCATATTAGCACCAGCACCGTGTCATAACCATACGTTCCAAATCACCTGTAATGTCATCCCACTGGATTGATTAGGAGTGCGGATACTACTTGCAAAAGGTACTTAGTACCCTGCCATCCTGGCGTTCATCACGTTTTGTTCCATTCCACCTACTGCACTCATCCCATTAGCCTAATACCATCTACACTGTACATGATTGGAGTTACACAGTAGACACACAGTAGGCGACTTCCACAAGTCTAAACTGTGCCCAATACTACCCGCTGCACTCTCTGACAGAACACAGAAATGGTTGGCTGCAACTCTGAGTTTCATGCTGAGTGATCACAAGGCAACACAGATATTACATATGTTGGCTGACGATCGCTCAGCGTGAAACTCGGAGTTACAACAGACTATTCTATCTTCCGTGTGTCTCGAGGAGTTACAGCAGACCATTCTAACTTCTGTGTATTTCGAGTTCTACATTTTGGGAAGAATCTTCTTTGCAGCGGTGTACTTCAAAGTAGATGTACTGTAGGAGAGCCAGCTGTGAACTTGCACCTACCTCTGCAACTGCTACTCTCTTTGACACCTTGGTCTCCAGACAGTTGAATGCCACACGGTACATTTGCATGTACAGCGCTTCAGGCCACGCACGGTCGAGGTTGACGTATGCCCTCTTCACCAGATCAGGGAGCGCTCTTTCCTGTTCTTTCATGTAGTTTCTCTGCGGCATGGGAAGACCACAGCAGCAGCATCAACACCAATTTAATCAAGCTTGTAGTCAATGAGTGGTGTAGAATCAGTGGCAAGCCAAAAGGATCATAGAATTATTGTAGAAGAATTATTATCTAAGGTGTTACAGGAGTTTGTTGCTAAGAATTCAATGCATAATTATGCCCTTGTGAAAACAGGATTCAACTACAAGTCAAAATGATGATGGCGCAACATTAAAGCTGTGTTCAAAGTGGTACTTGTACGCGGCACGTTTGCAGGCCATGAGTGCTCAAACGTGCATTCAGGGAGAGAGAGAGAGAGAGAGAGAAGAGAGAGAGAGAGAGAGAGAGAGAGAGAGAGAGAGAGAGAGAGAGAGAGAGAGAGAGAGAGAGAGAGAGAGAGAGAGGGAGAGAGAGAGAGAGAGAGAGAGAGAGAGAGAGAGAGAGAGAGAGAGAGAGAGAGAGAGAGAGAGAGAGAGAGAGAGAGAGAGAGAGAGAGAGAGAGAGAGAGAGAGAGAGAGAGAGAGAGAGAGAGAGAGAGAGAGAGAGAGAGAGAGAGAGAGAGAGAGAGAGAGAGAGAGAGAGAGAGAGAGAGAGAGAGAGAGAGAGAGGATACAGTCAGACCTCGCTTATCTGGTCCTCTTTTATCCGAATCCCTCGCCACCCGGAAGAACATTGCTGGTTACCGATTTACAGCATATGTGACGCATACAACATAACCGGACCTCACGATCCGCATACCGGTGCATCGTTTTGTGTACAAACTCATTCAGATGAGTACATGTACAAAAAGCTTTGTCGTGTCCGGTTCCCGGTGGTATGCAGAAGCTAGAATCAAGGAGTTTTACAAACAAAAGGGGCCGGTATGACTCCTTGACCAGCTGGCTGCATGTGGAAAGCACTGAGCCACTCAGTTGCATGCACTTGTCATTTTTCTCGCTTGTTTTACACAGAGTGCATGCTAGCTGTACGGCATGGGACCTCTGTACATGCACGTACGATTTCACACCTTTTGACGCGCCACATGCATATAATTATACAGTACATGTATGTGTGTTCGGTTTTCCGGTGCCCTCGCCTATCCGGATATATTTTCGGAAAAGGATGCGTGCGGTTAAGCGAGGTCTGACTGTATACGAAAGTGAAATAGAAAAGGTCCTTCTGTTGAATTTTCAACTACAGCAGTCTTACCAGGTCTTGTTGGTCGTGTGGTCTTGCTGTGTCGAAGGCTTTCTTCCCTGTCAGCAGCTCAAGGAGAACCTGTACAGATGAACATACCGGGTATGCACCAACTGAAACATGCGTGCTTGTAGAATCCACAGTTTCAATGCGAGGATTGATTGCAAAGCTGCAAAGAGAAGGGGGGGGGGGGGGGGGGATATTAAAAAGGAACGCAGGCAAAACAATCTCGACCCACACTGGTTTCTGATGTGTAATACCTTGAAGCATGTACGGTATGCTGCAGCATCCTAACTTACTTACTTTAACTACATACATACCTTCCTACTGCATGTTTCCTACTGAGTCCACAAAGGACGAAACAGTTCTGTCCACAGATTGAGTACATTCTTTCTTACATACAAGTACATGCTTAGAACATGCACTCGTCATCTGCACTTACAATTCCGAAACTGTACGCGTCAGACTTGACGGAGGCATGCCCCCGCCTGGCCTCGGGTGCCATATATGCGTTCGTTCCGGCCACTACCAGGTGCTCTTGGTGCAAGACTGAGCCATCCTCTTGATTCAGCACCCGGGCGACACCAAAGTCGCCAAGCTTGGGCGCGAACATTTCATCCAGAAGAATGTTTGAGCTGCATCGGGGACATTGAATAACAGCCACGGTGACAGACATTTAGCTACAGAAAGCACATGTGATGGCAAGGTCAGACACTATATACAGTAAAACCTGCTTTTAGCGACCACCTGCTCTTAACGACCGTTTTCCATGCACGGACAGTTCTACACACACACTATGGGACCTGGTTCTAAAGACCACCTGGCTTTAACGATCGCTTTTGCTTGCACCGTGGGGTGGTCGCTTAAAGGGGAAGTTAAGGCTAAAATCAAAATTTCACCAGTTGTAGTCTTCGGGGTGCTGAGTCGAATGGTCTTGGTCCGAGGAAGCTGAGACGCTCCCTTCCTACTTTAATCCCAATCGAACTCGCGCACTTCCACCGAAACTGGGTGACTGCGCCCTATTAGATGGGGATTTGTATGCAAAATGTCACTAAAAGCGCCATTTCGTTCTTATAAAAGCACGGATGACCGCGATTGGCCCATATGTTGTAGTCTTTTGGACGCTGAGTCGACTGGTTTTGGTCCGAAAAGGCTGCGACGCAGCGTTCCTCCTTTATTCCCAACCCAACATGGTTGAACAAGCGGTCACGTGCTCCTGCGTACACCAGTCACCTGGTCACGGTGCCTGCAGAGTACAACTTACAGCCTGTTTGACCTTTTTTTGGGTGCAGTCCTGTCACTCGAGTTGAACTCGAGTTGAACCTTGGTGTGAAAGTTGTCGCCTGCTGGCGCGGTGACCGGGTGATTTGGGCACCCAGGAGCACGTGACCGCTTGTTCAACCATGTTCGATCGGGAATAAAGGAGGAACGCTGCATCGCAGCTTTCTCGGACCAAAACCATCGACTCAGCGTCCAAAAGACTACAACATATGGGCCAATCGCGGTCATCCGTGCTTTTATAAGAAAGAAATGGCGCTTTTAGTGACATTTTGCATACAAATCCCCATCTAGTAGGGCGCAGTCACCCAGTTTTGGTGGAAGTGCGCGAGTTCGATTGGGATTAAAGTAGGAAGGGAGCGTCTCAGCTTCCTCGGACCACGACCATTCGACTCAGCACCCCGAAGTCTACAACTGGTGAAATTTTGATTTTAGCCTTAACTTCCCCTTTAACTCTCCCAGCATAAAGTAGGCCGCTCAATTTTCGAAGTATGTGAGAGGCGACATTCACATTCAACAAAACCATTGGACCGCACTCCACGGGAACATACTTTGTAATACACTTTGTGAACCAGATCGAAGTATTTCCAGCCGAAATTCGTTTATTTTTTTTCAATTTCCAAGCAGGACAGATACGTTGGGCAAAGTACACCTTGCGAAGTGATAAACAAGAGGCAGACTCTGCAGACACTAAACGCATGAGTAGACCATGCACAAAAGTTACTCTGTGGTTCGAAAACTCCCTCATGTTGAGTTTTGATGATGGCTATCTGTAATGGGAGGCACTACATTGAACACTCACAATGGCAAGAAAACACGTGCAAGCAATGCGAATGCACTGGCCTGGATTCCTATCGTGTGCCTACGGTTTTAAACGCCAGAACGAGCACTCACCTTTTTACGTCTCCATGAATGATTTTTGCACCGAACCTTCCGGTGTGGAGATATTGCAGTGCGTCTGCCACGGTGGCAGCAACTTTATGGCGATCTTCCCAGGTGAACGGATGTGTTTGGTCCTGTGGCCAAAAGGGAAGAGAACGCCATGCAACCCATTGTCTTCAGTAGGGTAGTGCACAAGAGTTCGCACGGAGTGCTTCGAAATAGTACTACTTCGAGAAAAATCAGCATCATTACAGTACATGTACGAGTACATTTGATTTGAAAATCCTGCTCACATGGGGCTTGATCCTACAAACATACCTGGCAAAACCTATCCTCGAGTGTGTGCATGTGCTAGTGCTACTGTAACCAGGGCATAGATTAATGGCCGGACATCGGACATTTTCCGGCCATTTTCGGCCACTGACTGGATGTGTTCAATTTCACCGGACATAGTGTCCGGTCAAAAAAGAAAAAAAAAGAGAAGCGACCTCTCGACCTTTTTATGCCCAGTGGGGGCTTCTTCGGAGCTTCGTGCCAAATGCGACTTGCATATCGTACAACTAACACGTACACCGTAGTCTCAGGCGTAGACTTCACTATATTTACTTGATCCGCCTGAGCAATGTGTTGTTGCTACAGTCAATTCACACTTTCGACCGTTGGTGTCGACTTCCCACTTGAATCAATGGGTTGGACTGCTAGTAATGTGTGAGATACGTGCACATAATGAGTCATTGTGAATATACAGTCAGACCTCGCTTAACCGCACACATCTGTTTTCCCCAAAAACATCCGGATAGGCGAGGTTACCGGATAACTGAACACACATACTGTATATGCATGTGGCATGTCAAAAGCAGTGACATCATACATACATGTAGACAGGTCCTATGCAGTACAACTAGCATGCACAGTATGTAAAACAAGCGAGAAAAATGACAAGTGCATGCAACTGAGTGCTGTCCGCACACACCCAGCAGGTCAAGGACCTCATTTGCTTGTACAACTCCTTGATACTAGCTTCTGCAAGCGCTAGCCAGCCACATGCAACCGGATACGACGAAGCATTTTGTACACATTTTAACCAGTTTGTACACAAAATCATGCACCGGTATGCGGATCGCGAGATCCGGTTATGTTGTATGCATAACATATACTGCACATCGGTAACCAGCGATTTTCTTCCGGATGGCGAGGGATCCGGATAAACGAGGACCGGATAAACGAGGTCTGACTGTACTTCAGTACTACTAAAATAAAAAGAAGAAACACCCTGAGAATGTGTTGTGGAAAATGTCCGGGCATGTCCGGACAGATTTCAAAACGGAAGGACATTTGTCCGAGCTAAATGAAATCCTTATTAAGCTATGCCCTGGTAACACGTTCTAATACATTGAAACTTCAGTATGACAGACATGTATCCCAGGAGATATAACAATTACTAGTACTATACACTGTACTGTACACTGTACTCTACAGCTGAGCTACTCTTTATCCAAGGTCAAATGGCTGGAAAAGAATATGCAGAGTCCTCAAAACTACTGAATATCCGATGTCAAGAGAAAAAGTATGTTAAATCCAGGGTACTTCATACTGGCCCGTGTCACTATACATGTCACTATACCTGTAGCTGCACGGGACATTTTCCATGTGCTTACCTCTCCGTTCAGGGCCATGGACAGCGAACCGATAGGAACAAACTCATAGATCAGGCATGGACATGGCCCGTTCACCGAGAACGCCTTGAGCTCAACGAAGTACTTGAGAACGTCCTGGACATTGTTCTTCACAGCACCCACCTGTATCCTGAATAGCACGTAGAAACAACCAGACGAGGTGAGCGGGAACAACTGCTAGTCAATCGTTACTAGCTGTAGTTTTCAAGTTTGCACCTTACCCTTTTCTCACTTTTGTAAACCCAATGTCTCTCCCATCTTTATTCAGCCCTTTTTTGTAATAATAGCATCTCTTTCGTAGTGTCTGCCATTCATTGCAACATCCTGATGAGAAGAGGAAGAAAATGTTTGACAAATTGAAGGAATTACCGTCGAGCCTGCTTGCGTGGGCCACCATCACATATTATTCAATGTATCTTTGTAGATGTGAAAGGAAGAAGGGGGCAAGTTACCATGATAAAGATACTAGCTTGTCCCTATACGCAGCCACACACGTATGTGCCTGTTTTGATGTTGCGTTTCAGCCTCTATGCAATGGTGGCATGGATTCGTGAACGCACCACATCGCGAATGGAAGAGGCAAAGGTGATCTGCATCACCAGCTGACAGGTAAGCATATGCAGTGTACTGTAAAACCAGATATTTTTAAAATGACAATTAAAGCTCTGGATTTTTTGCTGGTAAACGAGGTGAAATGTTAACGAATTCCGTCTGTCACAGCTGGTGAATGACTCTACATGTACATTGTTTTGCACATAACGACTTCAAAATATAACGAATTGTAATTTGGTTAGAAGTAAATTAGTGAAGTCGTAGAATTAAATGTTCATTAGCATTAGTGGCCTTACAGTAATTACGTTTGTAGACTGTGCAGCTAGCACTGCTAAGCCTGAGCCTACGCTTGTGCTTTGTTTGATAGATAACACACATCATAACTTAACCTACTGTGTGCAGCTTTGGACACATATGAACATTTCGGATGGTCTTGTTTTTAGTTACTGGTACACGTAATGTCACGTTGCAAGTGTCACGCGTATAACTTACAGTGTGAGTACGGACAGCTCATTGATGAACTGCAGAGCAGCACTCTCATCATACATTGCCTGTGCATGGAACAAACACATCAAGGCCAGCAAGAGCGGTCTATGGCTATACACGTACGTCGTCTGTCCGCATCTCCCCGAGCACGTGCTGTGCCATGGTACACCACATTGCACAATCACACCGCTGGCAAGCCGTCAACTGCCATGCTGGTGATGTACACGTATACATGTATAGACACAGTGTCTGAGGTCCTTGCTGCAAAAATAGTGCTCAATACCCTAACAAGGGCAGAGCGTACTACACACGGCATAACAACAGAGACCAATATCTTTCTCGTGACTCCGAGTTTCGTGTTCAAAAACACTCATCAGATGAGTGTCGTCTGATGACTCATACATCTATGCAACGTTATTGTGCCAATCCTAGCACACAAACCAAAGGTACAGGTTTTGCAGTGAGCTTTCGCCACCAGATTAGAAACTACATGTACGTATACATGCAGTTGTTCTTGTACACATGCACACATACACATGTGTGCACCCACACCTACACACATTCATAGCACATGTACATACATATACTCACACACGGCACTACAGATACATCTTTCAGTCGCTTTCTTACCTGATGCATTCGTTTACACGCCACCTGACTCTTGTCCTCGTGACGAGTCATTTCGAGGAAAAATACGCTCCCATAGCCACCAGCTCCAAGGCGGCTGCCTCCTTTTGAGAGGAGCCGATCAGAGAACTTGTTGGTATTGGCCTTGAGTTTACTGTAGTCAACATTGGCCATCCCCGCCTTGTTGACCGCATCTCTTTCAGCTCTGATGAGCACTTTGCGGACACTTCCTGGCTTCAAAGGCCACTTTGATGACTCTGGATTGGCCTCTGGTGCGGGCTGATCCTGGTTTTGCATGGGGCTGGATAGGCTGGCCCCTGTAACAGAAATCATGTGACATGTATGCAACCGGTGTGGTTAGTCAACTGGTGGGAGGGTGGACGTGTAAATCTTCAGCGCATGTGATGGCTTCAGAAAACCAATCGGAACTAGGGTGGGGCAGAAGCTGCACTGCGCAGTCATGGTGGACGGTTTGTGTATACAGACATATTCGTATTGTGCATATTGATGGGTTCTACATGTAGATGCGAATGTACACAACTTTACTCATGCAATAATCGTGTGAACTTAGAATCTTGATTTGCAGTATTTTGCAGCCCGTACCTTGTGAAGAAGTGCCGTTGTTCCTGTGTAGTGGTTGATGGTCAGACGGGCCACTGCTGCCGTTCGCTGCTTCAGAAGTCGCTGACGGGCCAGTGTATGCACTCTGTTGGCGGCGTTCCGTTTCCATGAGAACCTCCTGAATGCTGCGCTCGTCTCCAGGAAGAACGTTCGGAAAGCGCTGGCTCTCGGCGGATATTTGGACAGGCGGCAGACTCTCGTCATTTTCACCTGCAGAGGGAGATGATCATCCGCCAAGTTTTTATTGAACACAGAGCCATGCTGATGCGTGCAAAGTGTGCTTCAGAAATATAGGGCAAGAACTCCCCTCCTCACCACTCCTGTGCCACTCCAATCTTTTGGCGTGCTGAGTAGTTTTCAATTTAATTCCACCCTTCAAATTTCGGCTTTTAAGACGTTGTAGTGTTTTAACTTTTAATGTCCTGATAGCGATGGTTAGCTTAGGAAATTGCCTTGACTGAGTACGAGGTGATGTCACACTTGGCTTGGACTGCACACGTGCATTCGCCGTCAGAATGAACCAACTCACAGTGGGTGTAGGTTTAGGGGAGGGGTACCCGGGTTGTACCTAGGTCTGCCTAGGCCAGCAGGGTACCCGGGTTGTGCCTAGGTCTGCCTAGGCCAGCAGGGTTAGTTTTCATGCACTACTAGCCTTAGCTCTCATTCCACTACTACAGTTCTGACCAAAGAAATCCAACCTCATGAATAAAGTAGCCCCACGTGCACAGACCAGTACGCGTAGTGCTAGGGCTGCGTAGCGTCCGACGCTATTTTATTCATGAGGTTGGATTTGTTTGGCCAGTACTGTAATAACAAGTATCCAGTACTGAGTACATGGCTCGGAAACAACCACAGGCAACACAAGCTGGCCTCACGTCACGGGCACTATGAATGCACTAAAAGTAAAACGCAGGCCACCCGTGCTGCCCGGGCAAGTAGCTTGGCTTGGTTAGACGCGGCTTTTTCGGCCCGGGACACGGTTCAGAGCCGAATCTTCGTATCTCTACCGTACAACTTCGTTCACGTGGTTCGGAGTTTTCATGTGGAATTATTCGTCAGCGAAACTGTCCATGCTAAGATTAGGGGAATGCGCTACTTCTGTAACTTGTGTAGATCTGCAGTCTGTAGACCTACTGCCTGAGTACTGGTCCTAGTCCAGTGTCACAATTATTCAAGTGCAGGGTTCTAGCCAGGTCAAAATAGTAGGGGGAGGGGGCAGGGGAAACAGTTACCCAGTCACCCATGTTTCCATTTTCTGTCTTGCAATGCGAAATGCAATGTACAGGGCGAACACCTGACTTCACCCCAGACAAATGTGCCCTTATGAACCCTCTACTGACTGTCGACTGCATTTTCGTTGAATGGCATGAAAAAAACAAAAAAATGGAAAATGAGTAGGGGGCGGCACTTTTTCACAGGGGGGGGGGGGGCGCAAACAGGGTTACAGAGTAGGGGGGGGGGGGGGGAGGGCTGTGCCCCCCTCCCTTGGCTAGAACCCTGTAAGTGGATAATAGCTAGGGGTGAAACGGTTTCATGTTGTTCATGTTCGGGTACCCGAATGCCAGCATTGTTTCCCACGGTTCGGGTATCGGTTCCATGGACTCTTTTGTCCAGACCGACAAAATGCGTTCGCGACAATTATTTTTTAGAAAAAACATTTTTACGAGCAAGAATGAGACATCGGAGAGTCCGACTCCAAGTGCGAAGAAGATAATGACCAGAGAACTCTTTGGAAGAGTGGGGATCGTAAGGTAAGACATTAAAATCTTGAGTAGACTTGACGTGTACTAGTACATGTATTTGTACAAGAACGAGATTTTTCAAGTTTCGGTTCGAAATTTGACGGAACGGGTACCCGATTCTTTTCAGCTGGCGGTTCCAAAACCGGTTCCTTACCCGAACCGTTTCACCCCTAATTATAGCACAGTAAAACCTGTCAAGGCGACCACCTGTTCTAGAAGACCACTGAGATCAGCACCAAGGAATGCTATTTCCAGTCAAATGACCCTGGATAAGGAGACCACCTGGTAACAGAGACCAGGTTTTGACGGCCTTGAGCGGTCGTCTTAGACAGGTTCACTGTACTACTACTAGCTAGGCAGGTAATGTAATCGAACGCCTTACCCTCGTCAAAGATCGCCTTTATGGCTTCAATATTGTTGATATTACGCAGCAAGCGAACAAGTTCGTCCACCGTTTTGTTACGAGTGCCCCATTCGTGTAGCATTTCCAACGTTGGGCTGCTATTGGGACCTTGATGGTAGGCCAGTTTGAACTGCTCCACCTGCTCGATCGTATAATCCATCTCAGCAGCCAGCGCCATCCAGTTGCGCTGCGACCTGGGCAGATCCAGGATTCTGCGAAGTTTCAGCCGTATACCCATGGGCAGGTCTCTGACGAACACGCACGGCGGTGCTCTCTCGCTGTAATCAGCCATTGCGAAGTTTCTAGTCCCTGGCCTAGGCAAGCCTTTCAATCAATACTAGCTGCTTCACAGCGAAGTTTACTTTCCTTACTGAGTCGTCTCCCGTTTTACTTATTCTCTCCACACTTATAACGATCCAACACAGTTTTTTAAAATCTTTAGCAGCTAGATCAGCGGAGTTCAAGAGCTGGCGGCTAGCTGCCCTTTCATTTCGATTCTCGATTGTTGTCTTCTCGATCTAGCGTTGCACGCCACACACTGACACTTCGCTAGCTCGCATCCGAACTATTTCCTGCTCCGATCTGGCATGATCACGATGCGGACATGGTGAGCGTTGCAACGTTGACTGATGTCGTACGTGATCACCACATGCACAGTCATTCACACTCACAGGCCAAGCTGGGGTTTCCCCAGGCTTCAGACCGGTGTGGTGTCGCGTGCGCGTACGCGCGCGTGCATGTAAATCTACTGACGCATGCGCTAGCAGCTACTGTGTGTACACTGTATCTAGTGCATGCAGTGACGTCAGCTCTCTCGCACTCGTCGTAGTCTACGTAGATCTACTCGAGTCGAGTTGTAGTCTACTGTCAGTACTGACATGTACATGACAGTAAGTAGACCCAGGTACTCGAAGTCCGTACACTTTTACAGTGTGTGTTTGTCGAGCTGAAACTCACACTAGCAATGATCACTTGCCAGAATCCTGCTCGTGGATGGAAGGTATCTTGTCCAAGTTTGTTCTGAGGCCAGGTGTAGTATCCCTGCCTTGCTAGTACTATGTAATATCTACTGACCTCTAATCATGTCACATGTACACGTACACGCACTGCATGACTCTTGTCACTCCTTTGCTGACAAGCCTGCAAAGCTAATTATATCACTTCTCACCACTTGTGCTTCTCTTGCGCTTGCTGGATTGCATACTACATATCTTTGCTAGTTTAGATCATCGCACCTGTATGTACATGTAGAACTAACACCCACATGTTGTACTGTACCTCCCTGACCCTGACTGAGGTCATGCGGACAGTCATGACCCTTTCTAGATCCTGTTTGCATCCATTTGCCAATGCCCTCCCTGGCCTCTGTTCTCCTCCAAAGTTCCGTTTGCTTCTTTCATCCTTATACATTTAGATACTGTTGCTATGCCTTCCCAAGTTCTGTTTGGACTGACACAACAGACTTCTGCCCTTTTTCATGACTCATGGCTCATGCAGACGCTATGATGATCTCCTTCCTTTTCGCCCTATAAAAGCTGCCATGCTTTACTCATTTCTTCAGAACAGTCATATTCCTTTCAGAGTCCCTCCTGGCAGATTGAGCCGGAGCAGTTGTATTCCTTTCAGAGTCCCTCCAGGCAGATTGAGCCGGAGCAGTTGTATACATAACTTCAGGCAGATTGAGCCGAATAACATAATATTAGTCAGTCTTCTTGTGTGTGCCTCCTGATACCACTCGGCGACCTATTACACAGGCTCGATTGAACCAGGCCATCTTTCGATCCGATCTGTTTCTCTGGAGTTCGCTGATTTTTCATATCAATTTTTTGTGTCGCGGAGGGTACTCTAAGTCCGTACTGATCAGAGGTGACTCGAAATACACACATATTTCTGCTAATTGCTAACTTGCAATCCCTCGGTTACGACGAAAGCACCGAAGGGATATGTTTGGCATGTGCCTCCACCAGTATTTCTTGCAAAAGCGTAGTTTGTTGCCGAACTGCAAGCTGTTTAAGTCGGCTCAGAGAAGAAGCAGCTGCGCTGTGAAAACCGCGGGAAAACAGTGGTGGAGATGCCAGGAGTGTCAACCTTTCTGCAAGAATTGGTGGTTCTCTGTAAATTCTTCTCCTCTGGCCATTGTCAGCTCTAAGCTGGCTCTTGATGATTGAGTGAAGGTCTGTTTGACGCTGTGTCCGTTCGAAATCGGTCTTGGCAAAGTTGATTTTTGCATGAAATGTAACCCAATTTGTATTTCGTATGGGCACTCGAAAACCCACTCGCGTGGTATGGGACTTCTGCTTATCGTAGATCCCTGAAAATTGCTACGCGAGGAGAACATACCACACTGTCCCCTCGATAAAATATTTGAGTCGAATACAATAACAGAACATGAAATTATGGGCGTACGAACTTAGGATACCATGTACGGACTTCGAGCACCTGGGTCTACTGAGCTGAGCCTGAGCAGCGCTGAGTCGATCGTATACCAGGTATACGCGTATCGCGCAGTCGATCGAGCTATATTAAATAATTATTTATAGGCGAGTAGATACTAGATCAGCTAGAGCTGCAAAAAAAGAAAAAAAGTCGAGCTGCCAGGCTAGGCCCGGCGGCGCCCTGACAGTGTTGCCATTGGTTTCGCTTGGGCTCCAAGCGACGAAAACAAAGTCGGCAGGAGATGTGGCGCGTCCTCTCTGACTCTGTACTGACTGTCTGTGCATGTGCGCACACAGCGCGGCGCACATACTGTGACATAGTAACATACAGCTCTCGATGAGTAGTTGTGTATTGTATAATTTGTACACAACGAGGGGATCAGTATTATTTTGGTACGAAGGACAGGTGCACCACCTGCATGACCATGATGACTGGTGCCACCCATTGCCATTGGGGTTACATGGGCAGAAGTCGATAATTGCATTCGAATGAAAATAATTCAGCAAGGTAAATATTCCTCTGTGCTGCACTGCAGCTGATCGAGTGTGACTCTATTCGAGTCTGGTATCGCCTGCCGCTTGTCGGTGCCCTTGGCCTTGGCTACATCTCGAAGTAGCGAAGAAGTAAAGTTGTTACATGCGGAGAGAGTCGCTGGCAATCGCCGCAGTAGCTGCAGCGATGTTGAATAGGCGAATTCCTGTCGCAGTCTGGGAAAACAACAACATCAACAGCAATAGCAACACTGACCTGGCCCTCTAGCTACTAGTGACCTCTGACTGAGTCTGAGAGGCTGGAAGCCGAAAGCCCGCTACAAAGCACTTCGTTACACTTACAGTGAGAAGTCTGTAACATGGCCACAATGGACGAACGCCACTGGTGGATCTCCACCAAGCTGCAGGAAGCCTTTCAGTTCGGCGGCAGCGACGCACCAACGCTGTTGGAGGATTTCATGTGCGACAACGAAACACTGCGGTTGATCGCCAGCTTCCTGTCGGGCAAAGGGGACGTGCGTCGCCTGTTCTTCTTCTGCGAGGAAAGGGATGCTGACGGTCGTGATGAGTACAGTGATAAGCGGAGAGAGTTGCGCATTGCCATAGAACCGCCATCGCCAGGCAGTGTCTGTAATCAAGCGTGTTTGTATTTCATACGCTTCGGCACGGGAGTCGATGGAAACGAGCGCAGCAGCTTGTCCGTAGAAGATCTACCGGTGCAGGTTCTGGTGGGCTTCGTCAAGTTCTCGGCACTCCAGCAGTTCAGCACTGTGCTGGAGGAGGTGTTCGCACCTGTGCTGCAGCAGCAGAAGGCATCGTGGGCGGCGGTGGCAGCAGCAGCATCGGCGGGTAGCAGTGATGGGACGGCGACGGTGGAGAGGACAGCGGTGAGAGCAGCACTGGACAAGGCGTCGGCGGTAGTGCGCAGCGAGTGCAGTCACGTCACGGTCGCGCAGAGCACCGTCCTGCGCATCCCGCCCGCGTTCGACGTGCCGGCACTGGTCACGGCCGACAGCCGCAGTGCACGCGCCATTGCCGACGCCCTCGGTCACTGCGAGCGACTGTGCGTCGAGTGGTGTGATGTCATTGATACAGCCGTCAACAATGACCGACAACGAAGGTATGGTGCGAGCCTCGGTCACAGAAATGGTGTGAGCTTTGGAGTGCTCAGCATGTGGCATGGCTCCGTGAGGCGAATGTTGATCAATACCCGTTTTTGGGCGAGGCAGTGGGCTGATTGAGGCATGTACACAAGAACGTAGTCTGCTAGGAGCCCAGGGGTTATGTGCACCCCCCCCCCCTCTCCAAGAAAAAGAGGAAACAGTTACCACTCAACCCATTTTTCCATTTTCCCAATTGTCTTGCCATGTGAAATGCAACGTACAGGGCGAACCCCAGACTTCACCCGGACAAGAGTGCCTTTATGAACCCTCTGACTATCGAATGCATTTTCATTGAATTGCCTGAAAAAAAAATCACAACAGATTGACAAATCAAATGGGTGGGGGGGGGGGGGGAGGGGCACATTTTCACAGGAGGGCGCTTAATCAGAGTGGGGGGGGGGGGGGGGGGGGGCTGTGCCCCCCCCCCCTACCCTCCTTTGGCTAGAACCCTGGTGTAGTAAAGTTATATAGCCTGTGTACAATGTAAACTGGACTGTCCTTAGCACTGGCATTCAGGAATGGTTAGCCAGGCTGCATGGCTTGCTGTTATAGGCAGGCAGCAGCAGCAACACAGCTATGACCTGCTGTAGTCCTTGGTAGTCTGTTTTGCTGTGTACATGGTGTGCTGATGTGCATTGTCGTAGGCGTTGTATTGTACTCCAAGCATTTGTATTTGGAATGGGTTTGCTCCCCGCACTGGAGCTTGTGCTATTCCGCTGACTGGACTTGACACTTGAATAGCGGAATAGCGCGAGCTCCAGTGCGTGGAGCAAGCCCATTCCAAACAAATCACCGCCGAAGTCGCAACCACTATATCGTAGTTTCTGTATTGTATTTTATTTTTTATTTGTAGTTGTAGCGTGGCGACCGGTCTGTATGGGAATGCTGCTGCTTGCTGTGTTGTTATCATGATGCTTGGCTGCTGTCTTACTGTGCTGTTGCCATTTCCAACCATCCACCCCCTGGGTACAACCATGTAGCAAGATGAGCATGGACCCAGCATTCAGTGCTCTGAAACACGTAACGTTCTGTGCATTCGCCTGGGTCTCAGGGGGAGGAGGTTACACAAATCCTGCACCTCTGGTGGCATGGCAAAGGCAATGTGGACGACCATGCACTCTTTTTTTGCACGCCATGTCCATTGTTCTCAGTCTGCGAATTAGCTTTCCTGCGTGCTACGCTCCTCTCATCTCCAGCCCACACTTGACTGGTTTGACGATTAAATATGTTCAGTGATTTGTTTGTGTCCAAGCAATGCACAATTGGATTGACACTATAGAGGAACGCGTGTCGTATTAAACTGGTACAATAGGGCTCTAGACACGCAGCATGGAGCCATTGTGCACAGATAGATAGGACTGGTGCAGGTCCACCGGTGAAACATCAAGTTTCCTTGCTGCCCAACACCAATGATCATGCTCTGTCTTCTTTTGTGTCTTGTCATGCCCGGCAGGCTGATGGAGTCCGGTGCTGGCCCGCTTGCTGAGGCCGAGTACTGGATCCGTCACTCGGCCGTGCTGTCCAGCCTGCAGCAGCAGCTTAAGCAGCGGCTCTGCATGCGCATAATGGGCTTACTGCTGGCGGGCAGGAGCAAGGTCTTGCGTCGCTGGAAGGCAGTGGAGGCATCGTAAGTATTGTGATTGTTACACAGACAGTCAATCTTGGCAATTCTGGTTACTTCGAAGTACATTTCTCTACCCCACGACACTCGGGTGACATTAAAATGATTCTACTTCAATACTGAATGCATGTCGCTGCTGGGATTATGACAACATTATAGCTTAGTGGTAGAGCATGCTGCTTTTCAGTAACGCCACTGCCCGCTTTATTATCATCCTCTACTGGCCTTAATTAACTGGCTTTTTAATACAGTATTACCCACTTTATTCAGTATCATTACCTTTTATACTGGCCTTTTATACTCACTCTTTTTTCATTTGATATCATGTAATTAGGTAAATTCGCCTGTTTGTTCTTCGACTCTAAATAAACAAACAACAACAACACCACGGCTGGCAATAAGCAAGGATCCCTGGTTCGAGTTCTGGTGGCGGCAGTCAATTTTACCTTCAGATTTTCCTGTTTCAACTCCCTCAAACTTATGAATGTCCTTTTCATTCTCTGTTGTTTGTATTTCCTTTTCCAACTCCATCCAGACTGCATGAACATGCTAGGGAGGCGCAATTACGAGCAGCGTACATGCACCAGCTAAAGCCCAGCTTCCTGGCACTGAAGCAGTCCCTCACGCCAAGGGAAATGATCGACCACGCGCTGCCGCGTTTGATCGAGGAGATCTTGAAGTCTAAATACTCCAAACCTCTGCTGCTGCAGCACTACGTTGGCCTGGTTATCCAGAAGGTAAGGCCGAATGTGTAGGGTTTGGGTGCCAATTGTAGTTAGTGGAACCAGGGATGAGAACTCCCTGGCGTATCTCACATTAACACTGTACCCAGGGATCTAGCCAGGGAAAAAATTGTAGGGGATGGGGGGGGGGGGGGGGGAGGGGGAGGGGGCAGGGCAGGGGGAAACAAACAATTCACCCATTTTTTCAATGTTCCACTATTGCCTTGTCACACAAAATTGCAACGTACGGGCGCAGCAAGCACCCGGAACGTTTGTGGCCGCATTTTCGTTGCGTCGACTGAAAAAACACAAAAAAATCGAAAATTGGGTAGGGTGGTGTGCTATCAGAGTAGGGGGACACCCCTAATCCCCCCCCCCCCCCCCCCCCCTCTTTGGCTAGAACCCTGCTGTACCTAAGTGGTTCTATGTTTGACTGCTTGTGCTTGTTGATGTGTTGACGCATGCAGGTGAGCAAGCAGGTTACACGCAACTGCATGTCGTACCTGCGCTTGGCGGCTATGGACCAAGATAGCCAGGACGTGTTCTGGTCCGCCACTCTGGATGCTATCAGGTGCCCTGATGGCGACGGTGATCGCAACAAGTACCTGCAGGTCAGCCCGGTGAAGGAAATGGACGAGGTGCTGGCCCTGCGGCGACAGTACCGGGACCGTCTGGTGAAGATGTGTGAATCGCTTGGTGTCGCTGCCCGTCATCGCACTCTACCGGCCGTCCCCGCCGCTGCAGCAGCGCAGAGCGGCGTCAGTGGCAGCGGTGGCGGCAGTCCCCACGACCGGCCGTTCCGTCCGTCACAGGCTCAGCCTCAGGCGGTCAAGCAGGCGAAGGTGTCGATGGTGACGCCCTCCACCGTGTCCACCATTGTCAGCCGCGTCTCCACGTCAACCGCCGCCTATGCCGGTGTGTCACTTGCTAAGCTCGAGATTGTCATGCAACCGGTCAGTGAGCTAGCCGAGCGACTGCGCAAAGTGCGCCAAGTGGTGGAAACGCTGCGCGAGTTCACTGCCCTGGAGCCCGCACTACAGGGTCTGCCAGAGGTGGTAGTGTCGGCGACCAACAGCGAGTCTGCTCCGTGTGCTATGCTGCTGGATGATGAGGAGGAGGAGGAAGAGGAAGGGGAAGACTATTCTGATAGTAGTCAGCCTGAGAATGCCACAGAGGTGGAAACAGTACCTTGTGTAGCGGTGTCTGAAGGAAGGCCCGATCTCAACTTGTCGGTATCCAGCGACATATTTGCCACGATTTCACGGTCTTTCTCACGCAATGTGTGTCCGGTGCTTGGCATTCCGCGATGTACATCGTCGCCGTGTACTCGCATCTCCACCGTGGTGAGTCTCGTCGTGGAGGACATCGTACGCATGTTCTCTGCCTCGTGCCCCAACGTCGCCGCCGTGCTCAACCTTCACCCGTCGTCGGTTGACTTCAACTACGACTATCTCCACACGCAGTTTGTGGCGGCCATCAAGCTGCTAGAAGAGTTACTCAACGTCTATATGCAGGTACAGTTCAAACATCTAGGAAGATAATAGAGTGCCTATACAAGTTGTAGATCTCGTGGCATTTTGAAGTGACCTCCAGGAGTCCCTATGTTCACATTCAAAACAGCTCGGATAAGGCGACCACTCGCTCAACGCGGCCGACGACCACCCACCCGCGACCGCGTTGCACAGTGCTAGTACATGTAAATGTATGCATTGCATGGTGTACCATGCATGGTAGATCTACACATCAGTGCAGGAAGTGTAGATGTGCATGGTGCATGCACGACACTTGACAGGTACTACTACTAGGTCTGAGTACCCTAGGCACATGACTCATGAGTCGTGCGAGTGTAGCATAGGTGTGTGCACTGTGATCATGGTGATACACTGATCAAAATGAGATATCACATGTATTATGACGTGGATATGGTCACGTGACCCACTGAACCTGGATAAGAAGACCACCTGGCCACGGCGACCACTTTTTCTCGTCCCTTGAGGGGTCGCCTTAGGCAGGTTTCACTGTACATTGTGTTGAACTCGATGCGATATGAGATCTTGGGTCATCTGCTGAGCTTTTTTTTCTCGCCATTCCTCCTCCAGATGATGTTTGACTGGAGAATGGGGAAAATGGAGTCAGCTGACGTGCCCGCGCCGTTTTCTGAGCCGGCAACTCCCGGTGCTGATTCATCAGCTACCGGTGCCGAGTCTCCAACAGCTGATTCAAGATCGTCAAGTGCAGCGAGCACGGTGGTGTCCGTAGCTCATTACAGCAGCCAGGGTACTGAACGGCCGCAGAGCTCCTTCACAGCAATGCAGGCCTTGGAGTTTCTGGACAGGTAGGATTTTTTTTAAACTCTGCCCGCCCCCAACATTTCTGCACTTTGAACCGACTGTGTGCATCCTTTGTGAGCCATTTACCAACATCGTGCTTATTGTCTAGGGTTTCCGTGACTTTTTCGCTGAAAGTGTCAGGCTTATTTAAGTAGTGAAAAGGGCAATGATAAAAACTGCAGTGTATGAGGAGCATCGTAGACAAGTGAAAAGTCAAAGTCTTGGTGTGTTGCTTCGTATCTGTATTCAAGTATATTGTACTATGAATTTCAAGCTAAATCTCTCCCTCTGTTGCTGTGTGCCCTATACCAGGTTCAAAGCCGTTTCGAAACGGCAGCGCATACGTGACCATCTTGGCTTTTTGGCTGCGGACGCAGCGTCCCTCTACGAGCGTGACTTGATGCGTATTCGAGCACATTATGAAGCGAACAAGGTGAGGGACCAAAGTGGTGCTAGAGACGAATTGCACTGTACAGGGTACTACTTCTCTCATGACAATCTGTCCACTCTAAGTCCAATGAATATTCCTATGACTGGAGGATGCGCTGCAACACAGCGTTCACACCATTCTGCAGCAAATCTGTAGCAAAAGTTAATTTACTTGACGCCGTGGAAGCAGCTTGTAAGTGCGTAGGCAAGTGGCTTGCTCCTGTTGATAGCGTGTTTTCGATCTTAGCTACTACTAAGTACATGTATTGGGTTTCTGCAGATAGCGCATCAACTGCTTAGTTTGCTCTTATTTTTTGTTTTTGCAGTCGAAGCCACCCATTGGCTGGCACCATCCACCTATGACTGGTGCACTTATGTGGGTGCGTCAGCTTCTCCATAATATCGAGCGGCCATGGAAAGCGCTAAAGGCATATCCAGCTGTCTTAAAGTCTTATGTAAGAACTGCTTGTTGTTGCTGCTGCTGGTGCTGCTGCTGCTGCTTTTGTGGTTGTTGTTGTTGGTGGTGGTGGTGGTGGTGATGGTGTTGGTGGCGACGGCACTGCTGCTGCTCTTGATACCATTGAAATACGTTATCATGTTGTGCCAGTAATTTGATGGTTCTGTTTGCTTCCAGTGCTCCAATAGGCAATACTCCATTGGGATAGATTTCTAATGGGTTTGTTTTGCATTGATTATGGGCAGAGTGGCTGGCAAGTAGGAGTGGTAGGGCTTCAATGGAGGTCATACATGCGTTCTGACATGTGATCTGTGTGTCATGTGTTGAATCTCCACAGTACTGGCATTGTCATTGTCTAATTGTCCAAGACTATACAACTCATGCATCACTGCCACCAATAACGTCTTCATCTTGTGCTCATTTGTCTCTTTGTGTGTGTGTGTGTGCACGTGTATGTATGTGTGTGTGTGTGTGTGTCGGCAGGAGTTTATGTCAGCCCTATCGTTACGTAACCGTCTGGCGTCCACACTTATCATGTTGGAGCAGATGTGGATAAAAGAGTGGGAATCGCTGCCTAGACATCTGGCTTCTTGCCTCAAATCTCCCATCCTGTCCTCTGACAGGGGCGATGGGGCAATCAGTGTGACAACTGGTCAACAGTAAGCGTGCTGATTAATAGTGGGGCAGAGCTCGGGCTCCAGACATTTTGGTTTGAAACACTCAGCACTTGTGTTGTAGGCTAACAGCCACACCTCAAATTGCACTGCTTTCTACACTCTACTCAAAATTCCTGATGAAAGTTCCTGATAATGGTCATAGACTGAAACGTTGAATGAATAAAAGAATTTTGAGTAACTGTAGAAAGCAGTGAAATTTGAGGTGTGGTTGTTAGCCCACAACATAATTGGGTATAATGAAGCTGCAAGAAGCGTCCAAACTCATCTTGGATTTAGATCTAGGTAATAAAAAACTAGATTTCACCCTGTCAATATGAGTAGTGCCGCACAGGAAAATACTCTTTTTGAACGACTGATGTGGTTGCCATCGAATGAGCATTATTACTCTAGGAATGCCTTGCATGATCTTGCCAACAGTGCACTGCCGTGTGCTGAATGCAGTTGCCACGGGGAACGATGATCTTAGGTCCGCACACAAACAACAACAGTGCATTGTGATATCACCTTATTGTTTGCTGGATTGGCCAAGTGGCAGCTGGGCATGTGCTTGAACCAGTCATGATCACTGGGTGTGAAGGCCGAACCATCAGCTTGCTGTGCTAGTATTGCAGTCGGATCTGTAGAATGTGCTTGAATGCTGTTATGCCATAGCCACTGGTCCTTTTATCAGAATTCACGTCGGTTCGGTTTTGCGCGAGCTCTTTCAACAGTTTATCCTGTGTACGTGCTGCTTTGCGTCTGGTCTTCAGCTCTGTTGTGCTCCGATTGTACCCTTGTTGTTGTTGTGTGTAGGATCATGGAGTTTCTCCACGAGGTGCATGGTGCAGAGCATCTGCAGCTCACCATTCACCCGGACCTAGCAAAGCTGAACAGGAAGGTAAGCTTGCAGTACCTGTATGCTGGCGCTGATCATGCATAGCCTGGCAGGCAACACATAATGGCATCTTCAACCGCGGACTTTGCCTGGAATTGCAGAGGAAGAAGGAGCCCGGGTCACACACGCACACATGCGTGCTAAGCAGCTTAGCAAAGCAGTGGAGTACACACAGAGTAGCAGTAGAGTATACACAGGCAACATGTCGGCACTTTCTTCTCTTCTGTCTTCACTCACACTCACATCGCTTCAGTGCTGCAGACTTCAGCAGACTGCATGCAAGTGACTGCATGTCGATCTCACTCGTAAGTTTTGCCTGGAAAGCTCAGGAATGACACACGCATAATGGGTGCTGTGAATGCTTCGGCGGGATTTACTGACAGAACGTGTCCCACATAGTTTTGTTATAGTCGTTCTTTAGCGTACGTTGTGGTGTGGTGTTGTGGTGCATGCGCGTGTTGATGTTGTGTGAAAAGCAGTCTTTGTCTTGAGTTCGTCATGTCCAGTTGTGTTTCCGTAGTTGCCTTGTAGTAAAATGTCTTCTAAATGTAGTTATCGTCGTCCATTGTATAAGTGTGAAGATGGCACGGGGCTGGGACCAGGTGGAGAAAGTATAGAATTAAATGATACAACATTGGTGGCAGCGGTGGGATTTGAACCCACGCCTCCGGAGAGACTGGCCTCACCCTAAACTGTTATTCTCTGTTGTTGCTGTCGTTGTGCAGCGTTATCAGCTCTTCCAGAATCATTCCAAGCTGAGCGCACTGCTGTCGGACTACACACGTGCTGTGTGCGTGGTGCCCGACGAAGTACAGGGCTTGCTTAACATCCACCGCCGCGTCATTGGCCAGTGCCTGGAAGCCGGTATCTCCGGCAAGCTGGCCTGGAACAGTACCAACATTGACACATTCCTACACTGTGCTAAGCTAGTCGTTGACGCCGTGGTGGACTTTTCCGAGCGCATCGTTGACACTCTGAACTCCATTTCCAAAGGCATTCTGATGGTAGAGCAGTTTAGCATGCTGGGCAAGCGCCATCTGCCCGATAACAGCTCCACGGTGGGTTTGTATGTGACTGGCACATGATGTGCGTGCGTGTGTGTGCGTGTTTGTTTGTGTGTGTGTGTGGGGGGGGGGGGGGGGGTGCGTGTGCGCACGTGCGTGTGTGCATGCGTGAATGTGTTTGTGGTGTTCTCTTTCAGCAAAGCTTACAGATACATTTCTTTAGTTGTGATACGAATTACGGAGATTTATTGACTAGGCCCTCAACTGCTTGCCTATTCCTTGAAACCTGCTGACCAACAAGCCATTTGAGTTCTCATGTATCTGTCATCTGTGTTCTGCTTTGCACAGACCCCGGAAAGATTTGAGAAGAGCATGCTGAAGGTTATCCGCGAACGCTTCAAAGCCCTGCGTGAAGTAGTGTGGAAAGCCGAGAGCGAAGTGCGTGAGCTGCTGTCCATGAGCGACCTGGATAGCCAGGTGGCACAGGAGTCTCTGATGGGACTGCGTGTGCGACCAACCAGCGCCAGGTCTAAGCGCTTTGTCAACGAAGTCGCCAGAGCAGGCCGACAGCATAGCGTCGAGGAAGAGCCGCAGGCGGGCTATTTCATGAGCGGCGCTCCGCCGTTCAAAGCCAAGGTCCTGGATCAAGCCATCGTCGACGTCATCACGCAGCATTACGGCAAGTTAATGCGAGAAGCACTCATCACCTGTGTGCGCGCCGGTCTGACAAACTATCTGCAGCTGCTACAAACGTCCTGTAGTAATGTGATGAGTATCAAGGCAGAGTTGTGGTTTTTGTTCCCGGGCTTCGTTGTCACACCATCGCTTGAAGTCATCGAGCACGCTGTCAAGAAGATTGCTGAGAAGCTGTGCGAGTTGCCGAGGAACTATTCCTGGTTTGGACGACAGATAAGCATCAGCCCCGAAGTCAACGGCAAAGAATTGTCTGCAGCCAGTGGTAGCAGCATGTTTGATTTTCTGCAAGGTATGATATGGGCTTGTGTCATTGTTAGACATTGATGATGTCATCTATGATGTAATTTGCTGTACACACTGTTTCTCATGTTGATACCTGAGCTCCACCAGACCAGGGTAATGTCGGTAAATTGTAGTGCATTTCTCATGACCATGAATGGGATTTCGGTGGTGGGGCGATCTCGCGGTGCTTTAAAACGGTATTGCTACATGTTCAGGTGATGACTGTAGCTCCATTTCAGTAAACCACTCTCATGGAAAGCATGGATGATCAGAGGCCGGTATCATAACACAGTACATCCGGTAGCGGAATGGCCACCAGCTCTTCATTATCAGTTTGAGCACAGAAGTAAGCATATCATGATTGTTACTATGCTTTATGCGCCTACATCACTCAGGTCCCCCGTGTAGCCTGGCCGAAAGAGAAAACAGCTACACACAGGTCACCATTGTTCAACTTGCCACTATAGTATTGTTGTGTTGCCTGATGATTGCGAGAGCGTGAAACTTGAAGTACATGTAGCAGCAAACAAGCCTTGGTTGTCCTTGTTGTTCTGTTCTGTGTGTGTGTGTGTGTGTGTGTGTGTGTGTGTGTGTGTGTGTGTGTGTGTGTGTATGTATTCATGGCTTGTGTGCTGTGAATTGCTGTGTCCTTGCTATCAGCTACCAGGCAGGGTCTGGAGGATGCAAAGGCTGGCTTTGAGCCGTACACATACCTGTGGATGAGTGACATGATGGGACAGTTTGCAGACTTCCAGTCCTCTGAACCCACGCCGCTGCAGTACCGTGCCAAAGTGGCCAAGTTCCATGCCTTGTATAAGAAGGTACATAGCAACACGAGATTGACGGTGGAGGGAGGGGGATACTAGTAGTCATGGGCTGCAGGTAGGATGCAGGGTTCCACATCAATAACGAAATCGGATCCCAAGAATCCAAAGAGAGTTGGAGCATTTCAGGGTACAGTAGAGTGCCGATTATCCGCACCCCTCGGAGCACGGGCTGTCTGCAGAGGGTTCGGATGAGAAGAATGTTCGGATAAGGGAGCAGTCACACATCTATCTAAAACATGCATATTTCCGCATGTTTTCATCGTTTTTCATTCTCTTCGGCAGTACAACAGGAGCTACTCAGCTAGGTGCACTCCAGCTCCTCAAAAATGACACTATCGTTATTCATTTTGACTCCAACCGGCTGTAATTTATCTTGTTCGTTCCTTGAATGCTGCTCCGAGTGGGGAAGATCAGCTAAAACCATGTTCTACTCCTCAATTCAATGCAAGCAAGCATTTCGGATAATTGATCGTTCAGATAGTTGACTTTCGGACAATCGACATTCTACTGTACTAGAACAGCAGTTACGTCGGTACAGGCCTAACGTGTACGAGTGTGCGCGCGCGCGCGCGCGCGTGTGTGTGTGTGTGTGTGTGTGTGTGTGTGTATGTGTGCACGTGTGTGCGTGTGTATTCGTGTGTGTTTATGTGTGGTTGTGCATGTTTATGTGCGTGTGCGCGCATGTGCTCACAGCTGGAAGCACTGCCCGTGGAGCACTCGCTGCCATCTCTCTTTCTGGACATTTCTCCAGTGAAGAAGGCACTTCTAACGGAGGCCAGCTATTACCGCAGTCACTATGCACAGGCCCTGCATGACAAGATGAATGTAAGACATTCCCTGGTGTGGTTATAATCGGTTGTTATCCCCTGGGTACCTCGTGTGTACTGCGCTCTGCCCACCACCAGCATTGAGTACTGTAGCAGGTAAACCCTTTCACTGCCACTGTCGACAAAAGTCGACACATCAACATGCGCTTCTGAGTGCCGCTGTCGACAAAAGTCGACAAGACTTTTCACTGCCCCCAGTGCACTGTCGACTTTTGTCGACGAGCGGACTCGACTCAAATATGGCCTCTATTTTTAGACTTGGGACCTGTTCACGCTGGAGAAAAGTTCACTAGGTACTAGTAGGAGTATAGACCTTCCAAAAAGCGTAGGTGTACATGTATATAGGGGTTGCCATTTGAAAAAACTGAGCAAGCGCCGCTCGAAGTTGAAATCTATTTTTAGCTGTCACGCGTGGTGGAAGTGGTGATTGTCAAGCGCAGCCAGATCTGCAGCGCGACCGTTTTCTTCTTCTTCTCTTCGCCTCCGCGGAGTGCTTGAGTACTATGCTGGATTTTTGGCTAAGATTTGAAGGAGGTAAGTTCTGGTGATGTCTAGTTGTAAACATTTGAGTTAGAGCACAGCACTGCATAATTACAAATGCATTACCTCCGTTTGGTTGTCGCGAGGACGTATTACCTCCGTTTGGTTGTCGCGAGGACGTAGGCGAACGAGGTGGAAATGCACTTCAAACATTCATGTTCTCTCTGCGCAGATTAGCTTCAAGCATGGTACGAACTGTTGTGATCTCAAACTCGTCAGTCGCTGAACTGATTTCATTGTAAAGAAGACGAACTAACTGCGATTTATCGCGAGCGGAACATAGGGAACGGAGTAATGCACTTGAAACTGTCACGCTCTTTTGAATTTGGTTAGATTCGCCGAGCTCGAGTTTGCTTGATGCGTGGTGCGTGCTGTGGTGGTCTCGTGCTTGTGTCGCTGAACTGATTTTATTGTAAAGAAGACAGTGAACATAGGCTATTGTATGTGACGACTAGTAGCATGACCCAGGGAGAAAGAGAAAGAGGGAGAGAGCTGGAGGGAGGAAGTCTAGCCAGGGGAAGACTAGACGATACATGTAGGTCAAAGAGCACCAAGGGAAGTGTTGTGTATCCACGTACACCCTACATGCAGTCTCACACGCAGCTCACCAGAGTCAACCAGCCGGCATGGATACATGTAGAGTAAGACCATGATTCAGAGCATGCGCAATGAGTATATACAAATGCATACAGAGTACATAATATATTACATCAGAGTGCATATATAACAATATCCCCCTCGCAAAAAGAGGTAACACCGAAAACAAAACATTTTCATGACAAGGAACAATAGCATAGAACAGACAATGTAATAATGTACCATCGTCTGACGTGCCAATTATCAAAGTTCAATGTTCTATGTGTGGTATGTACTATACAGAGCATTATACTGATATATACAAATGCAACAAGAGAACCACGTACATGCATTCACGATCATCTCAATCAATCCATGCAAATAATATAATAATTACATATCCTACATGTATAAAATGTCTCATCCGTTATACCGAGCTGGTCTTACGACTGACCGACCAGATCGAGTCACCTGCCGGTCAACAGGTACAGCATCAGCTGGGGCTGTAGAAGCTAACGACTGTTGACCCTGCTCATCCTGCGACTGTTGCATGGGCTGCTCTTTCTGCTGTGAAGTCGTCGGCTGTTGAGCCTTCTGAGGCGGCAACTGCTGTGGCACCTGCTGCTGCTGCGGCTGAGGCTGTTGCTGTTGTGGTGACAGTTGTTGTTGCTGTGGTGCAGAACGTGTCTGTTCTGCTAACTGAGAAAGTGGTATTGAACGTGGCCGGAGTTGGTTACGGTGTCGTTTCCAGACCACATCATTTACCTGGACAGAGTAATTCATAGCACTGCAGATAGAGAGAACAACACCAGGGACCCAGGTTGTACCATGGTTTTGAAAACGTAACGCAAACACAGCATCACCCGGTTTGTATTCTGGTAGCAAATGCTGGTTTTGATTGAAAGATTGTGCCTCCGCATTCCGTGTTGTTTTCAAAGCATCATAACGTAGTCGTGGTTGGCGATTAAATAGCATTTCTGCCGGTGATTTACCATTCGCCGTAGGAGTTGACCGAAATGTCATTAGAAATCGTTGTAGTCGTGTATCTAGGTCGTCACCTTCTGTTCCCATTGCTTTCATTTTAGCTTTAAAATGACCGACATATCGCTCAGCGAGACCGTTTGTCTCCGGATGGCCTGGAGCTGAACGAGTGTGTGCGATTCCATTTTTCTGGAGAAACGAGGTAAATTCAGCACTAGTGAACTGGGTCCCATTATCACTAACGATGTGAGTGGGTAGACCGAATGTGGCAAACAAACGTCTCAAAGCTTTGATAGTACCCGTTGATGTGGCATGTGTCATCGGGACAATTTCCAGATATTTCGTATACGCATCGACAATCACCAGAAACATTTTGCCCATGAATGGACCCGCAAAGTCTATGTGCAGACGACGCCATGGACCCGACGGCCATGACCAGGTAGCATAGGATTTACTAGGTTTGCGTGCCTGTTCTTGACACGTAGCGCACATTTTGGTGGTATCTTCAATTTCGTCATCCATCTTTGGCCACCAGAAATATCGACGTGCCATACGTTTCATTCGTACAGCGCCTGTGTGTTCCGAGTGCAATTCACTCAAGAGCATCGCGCGCAAAGCCATGGGGATTACCACTCGTTCATTCCAGAGTAATACATCATTTACAATAGATAGTTCCCAGCGCTTTACAAAGTACGGCTGTAACTCCACCTCTTTCACATGCTCTGGCCAACCATTCAAAGTGTAGTGACGAACACGCTCTAGAACTGGATCATCTCCAGTGGCATTCAATACAACTTGAGCATCAATGAGCTCGTCCTCAATGAAAAGTACACGTGTTTCACCTAGTTCCGGGGTAGAAGGATTTCCAGAAATTGGTTTTCTAGACATGAAATCTGCCAGAACATTTGCCTTTCCCGCAATGTGTTGGATGGTGTAGTCATACGCTGAAAGTAATAACTTCCATTTCTTTAATCTGGAAGAAACCAGGAACGGAACACCTTCCTGCATGCCGAACAATTTCACCAGAGGTTTGTGATCAGTTTCAAGGACAAATTTCTTTCCCAGGAGATATTGGCGAAATTTGGTTGCACCAAACACAAGAGCGAGTGACTCCCGTTCAATATTTGAATAGTTTCTCTCCGCTTTATTCAACAGACGAGACGCATACGAAATGGGTTGGTAATCACCATTTTCGTTTTTCTGTAAAAGAACCGCACCAAGACCCGTTCCTGATGCGTCGCATTGCAAGACATGCTCCAGACCCGCCGAATAGTGCGCCAAAACCTCCGTGGAACATAAAGCATTCTTTATCGTAAGGAACGCTGTCTGTTCAGAATCTGACCATCTCCAAACAGTATCTTTCTTTAGCAGTGCGTAAAGTGGCGCCATAATCCGAGCAAAATTGGGTATGAATTTGCGAACATAATTCGCAGACCCAATAAACGATTGAAGCTCACTGACGGACGTAGGAGCATTGGCATTAACCATAGCATCGATTCTTCCTGGCGAAGGCGCCATACCACTCGCACTCAAAGTATGACCAAGGTACGAGACTTGCGGTAGCATGAACTCGGTTTTCGTGGCTTTCAAACGCATTCCCGCATCTTGTAGCCGCTGCAAAACCATTTCCAGATTTCTTTTGTGCTCTGCATCATTTCGACCTGTGACTAGAATATCATCTACATACACAATGCAGCCATCGATACCCGCCAGGAGAGTCTCCATAGTACGCTGAAATATGGAGACTGCTGAATGAATGCCAAATGGTAGACGTACATATTCAAACAGACCACGGTGGGTATTGATTGTAGTATACCCCCTCGACTTAGGATCAAGCTCTAGCTGGTGGTACGCCTGAGATAAATCAAGCTTCGTAAACTTCTGCCCACCATTCAACTTGGCACGAATTTCGTCTATGGTAGGTAACGGATATTTTTCTAAATCCGAATTAGCATTGATGGTGCGCGAGTAATCAGCACAGATACGTACATTTCCGTCTGGTTTTTGAACCGGAACCGTAGGTGAAGCCCATTTCGAAAATTCAACTTTGCGTATTACACCTTCCTCCTCCAGTTTAGAGAGGCCTTGCTCGTATTTCTCCCGGATTGCAAATGGTACTGAACGAGCCTTCATGTACACAGGTTTTGAATCATTTACACGCAAAGTGACCTGAGTTGAATTTAATTTGCCGACAGTTGACGTGTCAAACAAACTCTCAAATTTCTGAAGCATTTCCTCCTGCAGCTTTGCGCGTATAAGAGCATTATCAATTTCAGACTTCACCGAGAATATTTCCCTCCATTCTAGTTTGAAAAGTGAGAGAAGATCTCTGCCCAACAGAGATGGACCATTTGTATCGACAATGCGCAAGAGAACAGTGTGCTTTTGCCCATTTATTGACACTGGAAATTTCCCTTCACCTAAACAGGGGATGATGGAACCGGAAAACCCAATGAGCTGGACTGATTGAGTTACAAGAGACGACACTGGTGCACCCAATTTCTCGTAATCAGATTTGGTGATGATGGATACAGCACTACCTGTATCGATTTCCATGCAAATTGGTGAACAAACATCATTGATTTCCGCCATTACAGTATACGGAGGGTGTTTTCCACTACCCGATCGAATCTTGTAGATAGGCATATCATCAACATCACAATCAGAAACGATCTCACCTCGATCATCAGGTTCGTCATCCACGTGGTGAATTTCACCTCGTTTCTGCTTGGTGATGCAGGCTCTTTCGAGATGTCCTCGTTTCTTGCAGTATCGACAAGTAGTAGATCGATGAGGACACTTGTCAGCCATATGCAAATCAGATGTACAACGATAACAAACCTTGCCCTTCGTCGACTTTGACCCTTTCTGGTCCTGCGAGTGATTTGGCTTTCTAGATGCACTTGCTGACTTGGATTTACTGGTAGTGGTAGCTCTCATCTTGTTGACTGACTCGGACGGCGTAGATGTTGATCTAGTACTAGTAGTAGTACCTGGAGTAAGCTGCTCAGCAAACATGATGGCGCGCTCCTCCCGTAAAGCGATATCCAGCACATCCTGAAACTTCTTCGTCTTGCTGTCAGGACTAGTCAGAATCGTCCGCTTGATCTCCTGACTGTAGACTCCTGCCATAAATTGATCTTTTAGGGATCTGTCTAAATGCGACCCAAAGTCGCAGGCTACTGCCGCACGTTTCAAACGATTTGCGTAATCTACCAGCTTTTCCGCTGGTCTCTGGTTGCAATCGCGAAATTGAAAAGAAGAAGTCATCGTGGAACGCTCCACTCTGTAATATCCATTCAGTAGGTCACAAATCTGCTCGAAGGTCTTGTCCGATATTGACTCCGGCAGACAGAGGTTCCGCAAAGTGGAGTAGACGTCTTTCGACAGTGAAGAGATTAGATGTGCAATCATCTTCTTACGTACGCGTTCTTTCTCCGATGAGTTTGCACTGGCTGGAACAACACCGATGTCATTTGCGAGAAAATAAAACTCAAGCCGTTCCCGGTACTCCGCAAAGTCCCCGCCAGAAAACTGCTCCAGGGTGGCCTTCCCTGAAGAGGCCATGGTTTACCAAATTCTCGCAAGCACTCAACTAAACAAATTATCTCAAAACAAAATTTTCATCTTCGTCGCCATTTGTTGTGTATCCACGTACACCCTACATGCAGTCTCACACGCAGCTCACCAGAGTCAACCAGCCGGCATGGATACATGTAGAGTAAGACCATGATTCAGAGCATGCGCAATGAGTATATACAAATGCATACAGAGTACATAATATATTACATCAGAGTGCATATATAACAGAAGGCTAGACAATATTTCAAGGACCAGACATCAATACAGGTATTGTCTGAAAGCCCACTCAATAGTTGGTTCAGACAATTCTAACAGCAATATACAAATTCACAACATGTCCTGCTGCCCGAGACTCGACTCTCAAGTTCCCTTTCGATTCTCACAGGTGACAATAAAAGCGTTTGTTGACTTCCAAATAATTTCATAACACTTGGCAGGTACTTGAAAAAGAGAAGTACCATGGCAGAGAGACAACTTACTGTTGAAGAGGCTGATGAAGTTATTCACCAATTGTTTGAGGCATCTTCACATGAAGATGATTTTGAAGGATTCGAAAATGTGAATGTTGATTCTAAGGAGTCTGACTCTGACTCGGGCTCTGAGGATGAAGTACCCCAGGCCCAGGAATGGGCCGAAGTAGCTGTCGGCCAAGATAGGACTGACACTAGGTGGCTGCCTGATTTGGTTGAGAAGGAACCGGGCCCGACATTTCAGATGGACGACCCAGCGACATGTACGCCAGTCAACACGTTTCAGGAATTTTTCTCTGACACGGTTGTGCACAACGTGGTTATAGAAACCAACCGCTACGCTCACCAGCACTTGGAGCGGCTCGGTAACCGTTATCCGCAAGCACGTATCCGGCAGTGGCAAGACGTGACTAGGGACGAGATCTTTGTGTTAGTGCTAATGATCCTGGCAATGGGTACGGTACAGTAGCCGGAAATGACCGACCACTGGTCCGAGCACTGGCTGCTGGGGACACCAGGATTCACGAAGGTGATGAGCCGCAATCGCTTCCAGTTGCTGGTATCGTGCCTGCATTTCGTCGACAACAGCTCCGTAGAGCGCGACCAAAACGGTGTGTGCAAGAACAAGCTGTACAAGATTAGAAAATTCATGGACAGGATAGTAGAAAATTTCCGAACGAAGTATACGCCACGGAAATGTGTGTCGATCGACGAGCAAATGGTGGCCTACAAAGGCCGCCTCAGTTTCAAACAATACATGCCAGCCAAGCCGATCAAGTGGGGCATGAAAGCCTATGTTCTAGCTGAAATAGACACCGGGTACGTTTGTGACTGGCATCTTTACACAGGCAAAGATGATTCCGATTTACAATCAGCAGACAGCGAAAGGAACGCAAGTGGTGATGCGTCTGATCAAGAATTTGCAACCTGGACACATCATCTACACCGATAACTACTACACATCGCCTGATCTATTCACAACACTATGGGGCAAGAAACGTGGACAATCGGGCCTGAAGTCCGTGCTGTCGGCTTATGCATTGGACATGGGTTTTGCCTGATATGCCAGAGCATGGCTTTAGCAGCCTAGAGACGGTGCGAGGTCTGCCGTGTGTTGACCATCGTTTCGGATGTGCTTTTCTGGTTTCGCAAAAGTGCATCTAACGCCAACTTCAACTCTTGAGGTATCGTTGAAAGCTTGAATTTGAATTGGCCATCAGCGATCACGAGGGTGAAGCCAAGGGACTTAGCTCTCCTTCACAATGATTGCCGAAAGCGACCACAGTCCACATGGCAGTGTGGAGATGCTGCACTGGTCGTTATTTTTCTGTATACGGCATGATGGTAACAGCATCACACCACGACATGTACCTGGTATTCCGGTAAACTATCAAGCAAGGCTTCCATAATACTTTTCTGGACATGTATTGTGCTGTCCTGCTGTGCTCTAGGATGATCTTCAAGAGCTCAATGCTGGGCAAAGCTCCGTCACCAAGGACATGACTGAAGAGATAGAGGACATTGATACACTGCATCGTGTTCTGGTAGCATGCGATAGGGTGGCATCCGCGTCATTGTTCCTGAACGAGCAGGTTACCCCCATAGAAGAAGCATACCGATGGATGAGGTTGGTTTTCCCAGGTTGTGTTTCACTGCTTGATATGCATCTAGGATGGGCAACTGCTTTTTGTGGGGAAGGGCAGTTCGGTGGGACGGACACCATTTTTAATAAGGAGTCAGCGGTAGTTACACGGTACTTTACATGTCATGGGCTGGACTTTGTTGTGCCAATGTACTATTTGGTATTTACTGGTGTTGATTCACTGTACATGTCATGGACTGGCCTTTAATGTACTCTGTTGTTGATGCAGGGAAATGGACGTCCGTGTTCAGCGTGACGAGGCTGACAAGCTCTCTCAGGCACGAGGTACTTGGAAGGCCATCAAGGAAAAGGCGGACAAGGTGCGTATTGCACTTGAAAGAGTGTCGCATTGATTCAGAGTCAACAAGTTAAGCATGTTTGTAGGCGTTTGTTCCTAGGTGAATTCTCTGCTTGTAGTTTGGATCGGAAATTTGCATTCGAAGAGTGAAGGCGGTGACAAGATCAGTCTGTTCCGCTTCTTGATTTTCTTGTTTTGAATTTCTTTTTTGTTTTATTGCCTGTTATTGTGACTGGTTACATCTGTTAGGTCTACCACACGTTGCTGTATGTCAATCGGGAATCGTGCATTCACATCATCGAGAATGAGCAGACCGATTTTGAGATGCTTCTCGCTCGCGAAGCCAATCGGTATGTACACTGTTGTTGTTTAGATGCACGTACATGTACATGTACGTCCACAACCTGCCATCCGTGTATTCCGTTATTCAGACTGCATCGGTAATATAATAGGGTTCCAAGAACGATGCAATAGGGCTTGAAAGTGATGACGTCAAAAACGGCCAGGGAGTAGTAAGTTGACATTAGATTTCTATTTTGGATCCACTAAGGTGTGACTTTGCTATTGCCTCAGTATGTGGGTGCATAGCAACCCACTCATGTCGTATGCAGGGGTGACTTTTACTTCGCCACCAGTTGTAACCCCGCCCCCAGTAGCCAAATCAGTCAGTTTCACTGGCTACATCACCTTGCTGTGAGTAAGACGGCTTGAAATGTGCTTGGATCCATACAAAAACTGGATCCAAGTGGATCCAGTTTTTGAATTTTTGAAATTGTTGCTATGCTGTGACGTAGCACTTTCAAGCCCTATACCTCAAAGACTGCTGACGCCGTTCCTCGTCCAATGTACCATCCACTGTACATGTAACAGCTACATTGCATGGCCATAGATGTGATGGGTACTGCTTGGTGTTGGTGTTTATGCGTCACTGTCTTGGAGGCTCTAACCAGAGGTTGTTGGTAGTGATTGATTGCTCTATTAGCACAAGGCCTGAGTCTGATGATTTCCCCTCAAATTTAAAATGTGGCTTCTCCTGGCAGGACCTTCTATCTGAGCGTTTACTTGGAGTGATCTGAGCACTTCTGCCTTTTTCGAAATTGTTGGAAAGGGCTTCCCCTTTTAGTGATAGACATGATTCCAGGGGCAGATCCAGAGATCTCTAGCGGGGGGGGGGGGGGGGGGGGGGGTGGGGGGGGGGGGGGGGTGTCCCGTCTTAAACGAAAAATTTATTTTTCATTGCTATCAGGTTTGGCCTCTTTTTCTCTTTGTTGCGCTGATGAGTCCACAAAGGATGAAAATTAAATCATGAAATAGTTCTGTCCGCAGATTGAGTAATTATGTGTATATTATTATACACACTCGGGGAGTACATTACATATAAACACATGATTATATACACTACATATGGAGCTGCGAACCCATTGTGTTCATTGGAATGAATGTGCATGCAATGACGCACTGAAAGTCTTAGGCGAGGTTTAAGACGTGACAATTACAGTGAACATGCACAGCATTAGGAACTGACTGCTGAATAGTGCCACGCACACCCCTGGCAGCTGAGGACATATTCGATGCTCCACCATAGCCTTGACCACGGCAATCCGAAATGTCCAAGCCATCCGTCGATCTTGTTCAGAAGGGCCGCAGCAATGACAGCGCCAGTAATACGCTCCACCTCCAGAAAGTCTACAAACTCTTCTCGGATGTTGCCTGTTTTGTCAACAAGCCTCAAGAGGACGCTGACTTGCTCGAGACCAGCAACATCTGATACCTCATCTGACAGGATGGAGTCGAAGCGTGCCTGTTTCACTTCATCTATAATGCTTGTGCGGATATGATCACCGAGGGTGGTGATTAGCTCGTCCTGGATGGTAGACTGCAAACTGTACATGGATAATACCCCACCACCAGCACATGCCGCAGTAGCTACAGGCTTCATGACCATGGCAAAGGTCAGTCACCTTTGTCCAGCGTCTAGATGATGTTCTGACAAGCGCTCCTCTGTTGCCGGCGGTAGTTGATGAAAACAGAACACACCGAAGACAATAGCCACCGTCTTGAGACTTGGAATACACCAACCATGGGTACGCCGACAGCCATGAGTGCCTAAATGAGCGCTTTCTCCCATTCATGTCTACCTTCGGGAATTCGTAAGTTATTGACGGTACGGAATGCTCTTTAATAGCACGAGCATTGTTCTGACTTGACAAAGGCAACAGCATATTGCCAACAATCTTCCCAACATCATTGTAATACATTGCTGGCACAGCACTGCAGCTCTCACCTTCTACGGAGGAACAAGCATTCACTTCTGCTGCCGAAGGAGGAGTTACACCAAACCTGCTTGCACGTCACAGCCATCCTCTTCCGAGGAGCTTGAACTGTACGAAGTTCCAATTTGACTCGACTGGGCCTGGGACTCGTGCAAGATTGGGAGTTCAAATTTGTTTTACTTGTCTTCAAAAAGTCCACCCTTCGCCGTCAAGCCATCGTGCAATGCTTTCCTGCTGAGTGTTCACCAGCACCTGAGAGATAGGAGTTCTGATTTTCGCTTGCAGCTGGACAAGGAAACGAGCCCACAGTTGGTTGATCTCGGAACCAAAAGAAATCAGTGATCGCCACGATAAAAATAAAAGGGAAACCTATCATTATTTCTTGGCCGGCGACTGCATGTAAAGCCGAACGACACTACAGGCACAGCAATGGCCAAGCAAAAAATCAGCTACAGCTTCTCCTTCTCTACAAAGCGAAAACTACAAACTTAGCGACAAGACTAGTAAGTTGAAATACTCTCGCTCGCGCTCTCTACGACTCTAACGTTAGACTCTTGATAGAGATTTTTTCAGTAGTACATTTTGCTCAATTTACGGGGTTCCGCGGAGCCCCCGGAGCCCCGTCCTGGATCCACCGCTGGATTCCGTTCACTGGACCATGCCATATTCCGATGGGATGGCTACAATCAATCTGTCTCTGTGTTTATTTATGGATGATAAAGCGAGCGCATCTTTATTTCCATTGTAGAGTGATTCACAGTCTGCTCTGCAAGTCTTTGTAATTTGTATGATGATGTAACTTGATTCACGCTCTCTCCGGCGGTGTGTTGGCTGACGGGGCCTGTGTATGCCGCTGTCTTTGCTTTCCCCTCTCATAGGTATGAGTCAAGCGGTCCGCAGGTCTCATTTGCCTCGGCGGAGGATGCGCTGGACAAGCTAAGTGACTTTCAGGACACTTACAAAAAGTTCAATGCACGTCGAATTACTCTCAATGCCGTCGAAGAGATGTTTCATTTGAAAAAGACAGCTTTTCCAGTACTTGATAGAATTGGCAAGGTAAGCTTCTCGCGATTCTATCAAATTTTTGTTTTGATGAATACTCCACTTTGTCACTGGCACACTCACGTTTGATGTACGAATTGTACTTGTTCAAAGCCTGCGTGCTTTTACTGTCTGTACAGCACAGTGACAGTTTGTGTTCGCTGTGGTGTTTCGGCCATGTACGTACAGGAGCTGAAGATCCTCGGGAACTTTTTCCAGGTACACCGAAAGTTCACCAAGTTCATCAACACGTAAGTGCCACCATCCTCTGTGTGTTTGTGCGTGCTCTCTGCCAAGTCTAAACATGTACAACAGCAGCACAGCATAGTGCTGCTGGGGTGATGATGTCATAGCAGCAAAGCATAGTGCTGGGGTGATGGTGTCATAGCAGCAAAGCATAGTGCTGGGGTGATGATGTCATAGCAGCAAAGCATAGTGATCAGGTAATGATGTCATGGCAGCACAGCATGGTGATGGGTTACTGATGTCATAGCATAGTATCTTGGTGTGGTGAGTTCAGTACCAACATACCGTAATGGCGGCGACCATCTTGGCTCTCTAGCTGGACTGGCCGCCTCACTCCGGAAAGAAATAATGCCGTGTAAAAAAACAGCACTGGACAAGCGTTAGCTCCTGCCACACACTCTGGCTAGCCAGCACGGTTACCGGAATAGTCACACATACCCAAGCATTGTTAGGCAGAGCCAGGCCAGTTAACAGCTAATTTGGCTGACGGTTTTGTTTTTGTGTGATGAAGTGCTGATGCGAAGTGTTCTCTCCTTGTTTCTTTTCTTAGGTTTGTGGAGGAGCTGTGGGCGGAATGTGACATTGATAAGTCCTACAAGAAGGTAGGTGCATTGTATGCACTGTCCGCTACAATCAAGCAAGAGATGGGGAAACTCCCTCCAAGTGATGGGGCACTCTCACGGCTTATGCATTCCATTCGTGTTTCTACTTTGTGCCGCTCCTTTCTCAGACTGGTGGATCAGTTAAAATGAAAGATGTCAGTTCCATTTCTAGAGTCGTGAATCTGATTTCCGACGTACAGTTTGCCATTGTCAAGAAATACTGCTTTTTAGGTTCTGAAAAGATAGGCGCACACGTCGGTGGCGCAGAAGAAGTAGAAGCGTTGACGTAATGAGGTGAAGTGTTGCCATGCAATAGCATCATGATTATGATGATCACTGTTTTCCTACGTTTCGTGTCCACTGGCCAGCTTGACAAGATCTGGAAGATTCTCAGGAAGACGGTTCCGCACAAGGATGCCAACGGCTGGGTCGTGTACAGAGAGATGCTGCAGTCGATCACAACACTGCGCAATGTATTTCCAACCCTGCGCCTGCTTGCCTCAAAGGTATTTGTTTTGATTGAGAAAGCCTGCATAATGACCATAATGTCTGAAACAAGTGTTTTTTATGTGTGCTTTTGCCTACCTGATGTTGAGATATCACTGTGCCGTACCCTAGCACACCCTTCATCACAATAACGTTAGCGTGCCAGTGTCTTGCCTGGGTATGTTTTACCTGAAGTTGGCCGTTCACATCAATGTATGTGTGGGAATATCAGCAGCTTTCTTCGTCGTATCCGCATTCCCTCACATACATTGATCCCTTTATCCGCAGGGGTAGTGGATTCCCTACAGATGAGGAATGGAAGGTCAATGTCACTGGACTGCCAACCGTGAAATTTGTCATATCCTCTTCTCGTATTAAACGTATCCTCCCCCATTTATCAACCTTATTCTGAAGAAGACCGATATGATCGAAATGTTTTAAAGACCTGTCAGTATCAAGTCTTGCTTCTGTCGTGTGGTTTGACTATCTAGTACTGTTGTCTGTCTTTGTGTCTGTCTGTGCAGGACATGCATCATCGTCACTGGATTCAGATCATGGAGACAACAAGCTGCTCAATTTCCCTGGAAGCCGATGTGCTGAAGGTGGCTAATGTGCTCACCATTGACCTAGAAAGGTGTGTTATTCAGGAGGGAAGGGCGAACATTCAGCAGTACACCATGCTTATCACTCTTGTGTACAGCAGTACACCATGCATATCACTCTTGAGTGCAAGCACACTGTATACTGTACATACTATGGCGTTTGAATTTATTGTGAAACATTCGTATTTGTAGTTTCACGAAGTGGTGGTGCAGGTGGCTGTGCTGGGAGTGCGAAATGAGATTTAATACTCGGTAGCCACTATCCACAGCTGGGTAAGCTGGTGAGATATAGAAATACATTGTACATGTAGCTCTGAATGAACTGCATCTGTACACATAATGCCACTCTGCCCCTGATTTTGAGATAACTCCCATGTAAAACAGAGAGATTCCAGGCTGTCCAAGAGAGTGCTCAATACCGAGAGGCAGAGCTAGTTCAAACAATAGGAGGACGGAAACAGTGTTTTAACTCTGAGTTTCACGCACTAAGCGATCATCAGAAAACAGTTTTCTGATGATCGCTTAGTGCGTGAAACTCAGAGTTAAAACTCTTTTTCCGTCCTCTTATTGTGACTCCCATGTATGTAATCTTGCTTCACCATGCTGCTCATTCACTGCTTATTGTCAGGTATGCCAAGCTGATCGAGGACATCTTCAACCGTGCCAAGATGGAGATGCAGCTGGAGCGGAGCATTCTCAAGATTTCCGAGGAGTGGTCCGAGCAGGTAAGTCGAATGCCGATAGGCAAGGACTGCCAGCACTTTCGTGCATGCATTCTGTGACGATTATCAAACGCAGAATGGTATGGCATGTTCATTCCAGTGTACCCTGTGTTCAAAGAAGGTATGATAGTTTCAACTAAGCACTTACGGTCTGTTAGAAGTACTAGTTTATGTGAATGTAATCTGGACTTTGCTTTGCTTTCATTGTGCGGCAGGTTCTTGAGTTCCGGCAGTACCGGAAGCGAGGCCCTCTCCTGCTCAGCGAACGCCATGTCAAGGAACTGCTTGCCAGCGCCGAGAAGTCGCAGGAACTGCTTGGCACCATGCTGGCCGCGCCGGAGGTCTCACCTCTGCGCGATGATGCGGCTGCCTGGGCAGCCAAGCTGTTGAAGTTGATCAGTATCCTGGGCAAGGTTAGCACAGTGCTGCTGGATTTATTTATTTAGACAACTTCTCCTGGCACGTCAACAGACGGCCAATTGATCAGTTGAGATGATGGGTGAGAGCCAACCATGGCAGGATAGGCGTGGTTGCTACTGGTGATACCATGTGCTTTTAGTAATATTGCATGGGTGGTTCTATACTATTAGACGACTTTTAAGAGGTGGCAGACTGGTCGTAAAAGGTATATTTTCTGTTTTCCGACTATATCTCAGTCAGTTTGCAAGGGATTTACTTCAAATTTGGTACACACACTCCTTGGGTACTACTGTTGTAGTACGTTATTTTGTGTACGTCATGTTGGTGCATGCGCATGTTGCTGTGGTATGAAAAGCTGTCTTCGTCTTGAGTTCATCATGTCTTCGTCTTGAGTTCATCATGATGTCTTCGTCTTGAGTTCGTCATGTCTAGTTGTGTTTCGTCGTCGTGTCAATAAACAGTCTTCTAAATGTAGTTATCATCGTCCCTTTGTATAAGTGTGGAGATGGCACGGGACTGGGAGCAGGTAGAGAAAAGCTAGTTACAACATTGGTGGCAGCGGTAATGGAAATTTGTAAATCTCAACTTCTGGATTCGTCCTGCGTGGCCTTCGCTCCCAGTTTCCGATGTCATCTCCAGTCGTCCTATCGTCACAGTTTTGTCCGTCTTGAAGAAGTTCGTCCGTCGTCCTCGTCCTTCATCATTCGTCTCTCCCGTCTCTTGGCAGTCGTCGTCACTGGTGGTCCCGGACACGACGTAAAACTGTGCCCAGAAGAAAAGCAAAAAAAAAAGAAGAAGAAGAAGGACGGATGGTCCCGGACACGACGTAAAACTGTGCCCAGAAGAAAAACGGAAACAGAAAAAAAAAGAAGGATGGAAGGTGAAGGCTGCAGTGTGAGGATGTGGACGCTGAGCAGCGCTTTGAGATGGCGGACGACATAGCAGACGGCGTGAGGAGTTTCGTTGGTGAGAGGGTACGTGTGTTGTTGTGAACGTGATGAGAATGTGAGTTGTGTATTTTCTGTTCTCCCAACATTTTGTTCTTTATTATTTGCTCTCCTCGAGGGTAAAGAGGCGCCCGCACAGCGCGTGTGTTCTGTTTGTTTTTTGATTTGCTCTTCTATGAGGATAACTAGAGGCCCCCACAGAGCCAGTGGATTTTGTTCTTTTTGTTATTCCTATGATTTGTGCTCTCACATTTTTAGAATTTTTGCGTGATCGCGAGGTGGTGTGTTGAGTGAAGCATTAGTTAGAGTTTTGAGGTTATCAGTTCCCACACGTGTGACAGCGATCGTGGCTGGTGTTCTGGGTGGGCGGACAGAGTTTTTTTAAAATCGGTTGTGGCGACAAACGCGATTAGGCCGGCTGCAGGGACGCCGTAATGTCGCACTCGCCCCAGCACCATTCAAACAGTTCCCTTTGGCAGTTCACGGCACGAACTTCAACAAAGCCCCGTGAATGCGTACTAGGGGAAGGCTAGACAGCATGTCTCTAGACATCAATAGGCATCGTATGAAAAGCCAGTCAATAGCACTAAAGAGCGAAAGCCTTTGTCGCGGTTCGGTTTCACTCGCACACCGGGCCCGAGCTGCCAGCGCAAACAAATGCCGGGCGCGAGCTGGCAGCACGAACAAACACCGTACTCACACGAGACCGCTGGGCCAACGGATGGCCACAGCCATCAAAAACAGGAACAAACCCATCCACGGCTCTTTCTCTTGCTAGCTGTGCTGCTGCGTGCATCCAACTGTTTTGCAATTTCTTTCTTCCTTGTTGCAATTACTCGGCGAGATTTGAAATTTCTAAAGTTCCGCAGTCGCAGGAGATCCTGAGCCGTCACCATGAGCTCCGTGCCATCACTTTCCGATCTCCGCCAACTCAAAGTCGACGGAGTTGAAACTCGACTGCGAGAACTGGGGCTTTCTTGCTCAGGCAATTTTAGAGCCCAGGTGAGCCGTCTGCATGAGCATTTGTCGGCCCAGGCAAGAAACAAAGCTAAGTCTACGAGCCAGGTCGCAAAAAAGACCACGCGTCGGCGGGCTAGTCCTGCAGTCCCGGCCACTCAAAGCCCCGCGGCCGCGACCCAGCCTGACTCGTCGCCCGCGTTCACGTCGCAGCAATCTGCCGAGATCTCTCGGGTCGTGCAAGATGCAGTGGCGTCCTGCATGACGTCATTGACAACTTCGATGGGTCTACCGGTGGTACCTCCACATGCACAGCCAACTGTAGCAGCAGCAACAGCAGCACAGCGGGCTGGTCCAGTCTCTGGTGATGTTGTGGTGCCTGACTCTGAGCCTGAATATGTCCAGCCTTCACTGGCTTCAGCACTAAGACCAGACCAGGAGAGTCTCTTCCTGGACGGCGATTTGCTCGCCCCAGAGCGTCCACCATCCATCCCATTACCTGCCCTCAGCGACCATCTCACGGACAAGATTATCAAACGTGAGTACGTTGATTTTGGTAGGGTACTGGGAGAGCTGGCTTTTGATACGAGCATGGGTCCGGACAGTGGGTTCACCCTGCAGGGGACGGGGGACCACATCACCCTTGTGCCATCTGCCATGTCGTCGTCATCCCGTCTAAAGAAAGTTGTAGACTTGACATCGTGGTTGGAGGCGTTCTCAGCCTTCGCCCAAGTAGCCCTCCACCACGACCCCGGCAGAGGTCCGGAATTATTCAAGTACCAAAGCACAATCGTGAAAGCGGCCGCACGCTATACATTCGGTGCGTGGTCTGGCTTCGACATGTCGTTCCGTGCAAGAGCTGCACGCAGCAAATCTAGCCTTGCCACGTCAGATCCGGAACTCTGGTCGGAGTGGTTTACAAACTCCATCCTGCCTCCCTGCCGTCACTGCAACCGGCAAGGTCATTTAACAGTTCGCTGCCCCCGCGCCCGTAGCCTAGCTTCACTGTCTGACGGGCCAGCAGCCAAACGCCCCTTTCCGGCACAGCGGTCAGGGGCTACCGCTCACCCAAACGCCCCAGCTGTCTGCCGCGACTACAACCAAGGCCGCTGCCAACGCGCAGCCTGTCGCTACGGCCACCAGTGAAGCACATGCTTTGGCAGCCACCCCGCCAAGTCATGCCCAGGAAAGCCAGCCGCCGCCAGCCGCGACCAATAGCTCGCAGTTGCCCAGCTTGGAGACTCGGTCACTCCAGTCACTCACCGGTAACTCTACACTCACCCAGGCCAATAGCACTCACACACTCTGCCCAGCTGCTCACATCTCTCCTACACGCACCCTCGCTCACGAGCCAATCCATTTGCACACGCCTGTAACCCCCATTAACGTTTCTTACCTGCAGGACGCTTTGTGTCAGCATCCTGATCCGGCTTTTGCCTCATTCGTAATACATTCTTTGTCTTACGGGTTCGATATTGGGTTTGCTGGTCCCCGTACCTTCCGAGTCTCTCGTAATCTCAAATCAGCGATTGAGCACCCTGACATTGTCGATGCTGCCATCGGTCGTGAAATTGCCGCAGGTCGCATGGCCGGTCCCTACCAAGAGCCCCCCTTCACACTTACACAGGTCTCCGGTTTGGGTGTGGTTCCCAAGAAGTCACGGTCGGTGCAAAAATGGCGCTTGATTATGCATCTGTCAGCACCACAGGGCCACTCAGTGAACGATGGTATCCCTGTCGACAAATTCTCTGTACAGTACTGTTCGGTCGACGACGGCGTAAATCTCGCACGGTCCCTAGGCCGTGGCTGCCATCTGTGGAAGGTCGACCTCCAAGACGCATTTCGCATTTGTCCAGTACGGAAAGAGGACTGGGAACTATTATGCCTGTTCTGGCGCGGGCAATATTACGTGGACAAATGCCTACCCTTCGGCCTTCGCTCATCACCGTCGCTGTTTAACAAAGTCGCAGACGCCCTCCAGTGGGTCATGTCGCACAACTTCGACGTAGCCCCAGTCATCCACTACTTAGACGACTACCTTGGTGGAGCGACGGACTCTATCGGCGCACAGCACCAGCTTGACCGTGCCCTGGTAGCCTGCCACGACTTCGGCTTCCCGGTCAATCCAAAAAAGGTGGAAGGCCCTAGTACAACCCTGACATTCCTCGGTGTCATGCTGGACACAGAGCGCTTCGAAATCCGCCTCCCATCCGACAAGTTAGAAGACCTTCTCATTGCCCTCAAGGCTTGGCAACATACCCGCCCTACCGCCCGCAAGTCTGAATTGTTGTCCCTGATAGGTCACCTCAGCTTTGCCTGCAAGGCGGTCCCTGCGGGCCGCATGTTTCTGCGCCGCCTCATTGATCTCAGCACGACGGTCCCGCATCCAAACGATTACATCAGAATCACAGAAGACGCCAAAGCAGACATCCAGTGGTGGCTTGACTTCCTCCCTGCCTGGAATGGCGTCGCCTTCTTCCTAGAACCCACGTGGTCAGCCGCCGCCGATATGGACCTCTACACGGACGCATCTAGAGCCATCGGCTATGGTGCTTTCTTCGCCGGCCGGTGGCTCCAACACCGTTGGCAGAGGCACCAATCCCAGAGATCCATCGCGTGGATGGAGCTCTTTGCCATCGTGGCCGCAGCATCCACATGGGCACCGCAGCTGCATCTGAAGCGCATCCGCTTCCACTGCGACAACCGTAGCGTATGCGACATCTGGCTCCGCTCACGCACAAAGTGCCCCGACTTAATGGCGCTGGTACGCACTTTGTTTGCCATTGCTGCCCGACACAACTTTCACGTCATAGTCTCCCACATCCCCGGCACTGACAATGCGATTGCTGACTCTCTGTCTCGGTTTCAGATGGCCCGATTTCGCCGACTGGCACCCACAGCAGAAGACACGCCATCTCCGGTGCCCGAGAGCACCTACTCCCTCTGATGTTGGAGGGTCAGGCCTACCAGTGGCTAGGCCTGTCAGCGTCCACACGTGCCACATACGCGACAGCCTGGAAACGACTGCACCAATTCTGCCAACTAGTCGGCACCAAGGTGATTACAGACACCATCATGCTGGCGTTTGTAGCCTACCTGGCGCGTCAACACGCCGCGTCAACCGTCCGCCTGTATGTGTCGGCGATCCGGGCAATTGCCAAAGAAAACGGCAAAGATCTCTCGTCGCGAAGAGTGGACCTCGCAGTTCAAGGAGTGGCACGTGCACAGGCCAACCGAACTAAAAACGCCAGTAAGCCAATCCTCCTGCCCCACATGGCAGCTATGCGCAGGGCCCTGATACGGTCTAACCTCAACGCGACCGACCGAGCCATGGTATGGGCAGCTATTTGCCTGGGCTTCTTTGCGTGTCTCCGGGCAAGTGAGTACACTTCCACAACCGCCACGACCATGTCAGACGGTGGCCTCCGAACAGAAGACCTCTCCATCACGCCGCAGGCAATACAGGTCACAATCAAGAAGTCCAAGACCGACCAACTCGGCAAGGGTCACTCCGTCCGGCTCACAACCACCAACTCAACGGTTTGCCCGGTCAAAGCCATGCATACCTATCTATCAAGACGCCCCAACCTGCCCAATAGACCACTGTTCGTTGACAGCTGTGGCAAGTTCCTAACTGCACCAAGACTCACCCGTCTAATCCGTCAGCTACTGAGCAGCGCAGGGTACCCACCTATCCAGTATTCACTGCACGGCCTCAGAGCCGGAGCCGCAACCACAGGAGCAATGAGCGGCTTCACCGAATCCGAGATCATGAAACTCGGCAGATGGCGAAGTGCCTGCTACAAGAACTATGTACGCTGTGGAAAGTAACTGTTCGCCGTCCGCAGGCGCGCAAGCGCGCACAGCCACACCCACATACACGCACCCGCAGACACATACACACGCACGCACACACACCCACGCATGCACACACACATGCATGCACGCGTACACGCACCCACAGTCTGACACCGCACAAGCATGCATGCAGGTACACACGCTGCGCACACGCTGGTACGCCCATTCGCGGACGTATGCACTCACGTTCTAGCACTGACTGTGCACGCACGCCTCTGATACTTATGATAAGTTATCTGCACCACTCTGTTGCTGTGCTATAGCTCCCACCTAGCGGTGTGGGACACCCCATGCTATGGCGGTGTGGGACACCCCAGACCATGGCGGTGTGGGACACCCCATGCCATGGCGGTGTGGGACACCCCATGCCATGGCGGTGTGGGACACCCCATGCCATGGCGGTGTGGGACACCCCATGTGTGCACGCACGCTCCGACTACATGCGATTCAAACCCTTCTCGGTGTCACTAAGGGAAAACAAACATGCGAAGGGCACGCATTTGAACTACGTACATGTAGCTGAAGCGCTTGAATACCACACTAAGGTCATTCGGCTGACCAACGCGGAATTTGGGGGCATTCGGCGGCTTGGTCTGATTCCTAGCTTGTTGGTAACCGGCTTGAGGTTTCCAAGGTTGCTATGACAACGTGCAGTCATGCGCAGGGCCACCCAACATGCGTTGGGGGCCCAGGAAAGACAGAAACGCGCTGCTAGGCAACAGCAAAAGCGCTCAGCGAGTATCACGCTACTCATGCAGCACGCACGCTGGCTTAGGGTATCACGCTACCCTTGCGCTGCGGGGTACCACATTGCCCCTCGCTGGAATCAGACCCGCGCCCCGGATACCTTGCGCTGGCCTCCTGACGGCCAAACTCAACCAACTTGCGCGCTGTGACTGGGGTTGTGCATGCCTTAGCAACATAATGTGGCCCAGGTCGGCAGACTTTCAATTAGCCAAGCGAGCTACTCAGGCCAGGGCGCATGATCACTATTCGCAGCACTTATCGTCCATGCAGCAGTCGGGTTAATGATCTGCAGTGCAGGCAGAGGTATTTTATTTCTGGGTGTGACTGGTGTGGTATGATTGAGTGATTTGTGTGATCTTTTCCTCTTTTTACTCTGTTTATTATTAGAATCGAGGACGATTCTACTCTTGGGAGGGAGTTATGTTGTAGTACGTTATTTTGTGTACGTCGTGTGTACGTCATGTTGGTGCATGCGCATGTTGCTGTGGTATGAAAAGCTGTCTTCGTCTTGAGTTCATCATGTCTTCGTCTTGAGTTCATCATGATGTCTTCGTCTTGAGTTCGTCATGTCTAGTTGTGTTTCGTCGTCGTGTCAATAAACAGTCTTCTAAATGTAGTTATCATCGTCCCTTTGTATAAGTGTGGAGATGGCACGGGACTGGGAGCAGGCAGAGAAAGCGAGTTACAACACTACTATCAATGATAATAACATCAGTTAGCCAACAGCATATGGGAAGTTTGGCTTCAGGCCTTGCAAAAAGCAAAAAAGCGGTCGAAATCGGACATGAAGCCGTGTGCATGATGGAGCATAGACAATTGGAAAAGTCAGGGCGAATGGATTCTCCACACCTCATATACGCATGAAACTACAAACTGAACCTAAAAATGACAAGATTACATACATGGAAGTCCAAATTCAGCAACCAGAAGATGCATATACAACCGCACATAATGGATGTTCCATGTTCAAGAAGCAAAATGTTTCTTGTGAATGATCCTGAAGTGCTCAATTTAGGTTCAAGTTGTACAGTGGAACGTACTGAAAAGAAAATACCGTGAAGTACTGCCGGAGTGCCCCACCATCTCGTCCTTTCGTGGTCGTCTTGTGGAGTTGGTTTCCTGTCTGTAGGTCACCTCTCTTTTTTAACACCACTCCCGACCTCTAACTCCAAAATCCATATTTTTCGAAATTTACAACCAGCCTGCCACCCTTCAACGTTATTTGGCTGTTGTTGTGTGTTTCCCAGTGGCTCAGTGCCCAGGATCTGTGGAGAAACCTGGAGGCTGTCTTCAGCAAACCCGATGTGGCAAAGGTGAGTGTTATCTGGATGGATGTAGTGGCTTGCAATTTATCCTTGTGTAGTTTTTGATGTATGTGGCTCACCCTGTCCTCCCCTTAATTTAAATGTGTGTGTGTGTGTGTGTGTGTGTGTGTGTGTGTGTTTGTTTGTGTGTGTTGCTGTTGCACCTCTACAGAAACTACCCCGGGAGAAGGAGCGCTTTGAGGCAATTGATGCCAACTGGGTTCGAATGATGAAGCAGAGTTATGACGTCAAAATTGTCCTTGTGGTGAGCGTTGTTTCTTGCTGGCCGTGCAGCGGTACTTACTCTTCAGCATGGCAGTCTAGTTGATGCTACAGTCAAAGACAGATTGTCAGCCTTAGTCAGTACTAGTATGTACATGTACTAAGATTGTAGACAGGAGTCTAGCTTAACGCTTTACTGATAGTTTATGACCAAGAAATATTGTTTTAGTCCTTGTACACTGAAACTCTGCTAAGATGTACTCCTAGAGGGAACTGGGTAGTTACATGTATTGTCCAAGGTATCTTTTAACCGAGCATACGTGCACTTCACTATTGTGTAGTACATCCGTAATGCGGACATTAAAATGTCTGTGCTAAGCAGTTGTACTCATACGTCTCATCAGAGTACGTACTAGGCGAGGGCTGCTGTAAATAGGAATGTTCCATCTTCGCAAGGTCTGTACGAAGTCTCTGTGTGTGAATCTCTATCTGTTTCTTGCTGTCGTGTTCAGGTCTGTTTCTCTGAAGAATCACCGAAGGAAGCTTTCTTGCAGCAGTTCATGTCCGATCTGGAGCATAGCCAGCGTTCTCTTGCTGATTATCTTCATGAGAAACGTGAGGTAGGATAGCAGCATGGGCATTGTAGTTGCTTGTTTCTCACTTCTCCATTGAAATTCTGATGCTCTCCGTAATTTCACTCGGGATTTTACGTGCACTGCGTTTTGCCGGCTAGATGTCATGTTGTATTGACAGGTATACACCCTGTGTGTGTGTGTATGTGTTTGTGTGTGTGTGTGTCTGCATGTCCGTGTGAATAGGCGTTTCCACGCTTCTACTTTGTCAATGACCGGAGTCTGCTTCACATCCTAAGCAATGCATCTGTAGATGTTGTTCGACCCTACCTGAAGTAAGTTTACGACTCTGTGTTTGTGTGAGTCTGTCTGCCGCCTGCCTGCCTGCCTGCTTGTCTATCTGCCAATTTGTTTGTACAACTGCACTACTCCTGCTACTGTAAAGGTTTGAGATGTGAACTTGCCTGGTAGAGTGGCTTGCATTGCCAAGGAGTTGTCATTCACATCTCAGTACATGCTGGCTGTAGTTATACTAGTTGAAGACTACTAGCACTCTCGATCGTTGTGTGCTAATATGCTTGCACGGTGGCCATTCGTTGCACTCGCAGGATGTTATTCGGTAACATCGTGGACCTCAACTCTGCCCCGGCGGTGGACGCTGTTGCAACGGCTGGCTTAGTACCAGGCTCGGCAGCCGCTGGAGCGTTACTGAACAAAGTTGGCCGGTTTGGAATCCACCGCACTCTTCAAGACTTTCCCACGGTGATGAAGAAAGATTCCGTCGTGTCGGTGACATCATCGGATGGCGACAATCTACCATTGCTGTGGACTGTAAGCTATTGTGTTTGTGATGTACGCCACCAGTTTATGTTTGTTTTGATGCAGCGCAAGCATTGCGTGTACTGAAGTACAGTGCAATTATGATAAGATGTGCTCCTTGATTGCAGTGTTTCAGTTTGAGATGGTGAGTTCAGTTTATTCTATGATCAGAATGCATGGAGACTAGAAGACAAACTACATACAAGTAAATATGTCAACTGAGCAGGAACAAGATGACGCGTGTATCAATACGAAACGGCAGCCATACTAAAGTGATGCACTGAGCCGTTGGGCTTGTTGACTGGACCAATTGGAGTAGCCCACACGCTCCACTGGACTTTGCTAACAATACCAAGGTTCTCTAACCTGTCTAGTTCAGCTTTCACCTTAGGCCGCATGGCGTAGGATAGCGGACGAGCCTTGAGGAAACGTGGACATGCACCGTCTTTGAGCTGTAGGCGACCCTTGGCATCCTCGAGCTTGCCAAAGTCATCATTGAAAACGTTGCAGAATTTCTCCTTCAGCTGCTCTAGGTGCTTACCGGCTGGTCCCGTGGGCGTCAAGCTAGGGGACGCAGTTACACTGGGGTCTCCTCGGTCTTGACCTGGAACAAACGATGCCAGTCCAGTGCAATCTGGGCAAGTAGATCTCGGCCACCGAGCGGAAGACCCTGCGCCCACCACATGAATCGCTGCCGGCTGGTGGTTACATTCCATGCGTGCCACGAACGTTCCGCGAGGCTGTTCAGGCTCTCCTGTGTACGTCCGCAACTTCAACTTACTCTAGGTAAATGGCGAGGTACTGGACAGCAATTTCTGATAGATGCTAGTGGAAATAATGGACACCGCGCCTCCTGTATCTATCTACATGCGGCTCGATTGGCCATCGACGGCAGCATCAATACAATGGGCTTTCCGCATAGTCGCAGGTGACTTATCATCATTAGCTGCTGCTGGTGCTGGCAGGACATCGCCAGTCAAGATTGCCTGTGTGTCGAAGTCATCATCTGAGGCAGGCAAGTTATGGCACGCACCCGACCACTCGACCTACCTTCCGATGCATTCTTTGGCTTTCCTTCGAGTCGCTGTTTGTAGACCTTGCCATAGTATCCTGTTTTCTTGCAGTGGCGACACTCGTAGGACTTGAACAGGCACTCACTTGCATTGTGTTCATCCAAGCCGCAGCGGAAACGGGATGACTGGTGCACACTGGACTGACCTTCTATTTGCTTGCCAGCACGACGCTATTGCGATCTTTCCACAGCATGCACACCAGCAGTGGGTACACTTCCTGTGAGCTCCAAAGCATCGCACGCGTTGCTACTTCCAAACCACGGGCCTTCTCTATAGCAGTTTTCAATGTGAGATTTTTTCCGCCAGCAGTACTTTGCAAAGAGCTTGGCTCCTGATTCCACACACGAATCGATTGCACAACGTAGTATCCAGGCCATCACCAAACTCACTTTACCTTGCCAATCGTCGTAATTCAGCAAGGTAAGCGTTCACAGACTGTCCCTGACGTTGCGCTCTTCAGTGGAAACGGTATCTTTCCGCGGTCACAAGGGGCTTGGACATGACATGTTCGATCAGGGCGTCTGACAGATCCTTGAGTGTCTTGTCTTTCGGTTTATCTGGGCTAAGTAGGTCAGCCAGCAGCTTGTATGTCGTTCCTCTGGTCAGCGTTAAGAAGGTAGCTACTTGTTTGTCTTCCGCAACGCTGTTTGCAGCAAAATACTGTTCCACGCAATCACAATAGGTAGACCAATCCATGGTACCTGCAGCAAACGGCTTGATGGCTCCTATAACCACGGCTATCTTCGTCACCAATATCCGTGTCTCAGCTAGAAACGGTGGGTTCAGTGTATTCTATGATCGGAATGCATGGAGAGGAAGACAAACTACAAGTTACTTCGAAGTACAAGTAATCGTGTCAAGATGACGCGTGTATTAACACGAAACCGGCAGCCATCTAAAATGATCCGTGCATGGTGTGATGTCATCATGATAGTGATGTCATCATGATAGTGATGTCATCATGATAGTGATGTCATTATGATAGTGATGTCATCATGATAGTGATGTCATCATGATAGTGATGTCATAAGAAGTATCCGTTAGTGTACTGTAAGTCTACAAATTTTCAGCCCCTTCAAATTTCGTCCTCCCAGGGCTAGAGCACATTTCGGCCACATTAACTTTTCAGCCTGTACTGCTGCTGACTGTATACACTGTCACACTGAACCTTGCAGAAGAAGACGGCCGCAACAAATTTTCGGCCAAATATGACCAGGCCGAAAATAGCGGAAAATAAATATGCTCCGAATATTGGTCCATTTACAGTACATCAGTATCTGTACATACACTTCATTGATTGCCGGGGGAAAAATATACGTAGGTGGCTTGCTCCAGGTTGCTGGAGGCACAGTCAGTGTTATAGGTACAGTGTGTACATTGTGTACTTCTTATTCTCACTTGGGTTCCACAGCACGACCAACGCAAAATGAACATGCATGTACAGTGGAACCTGTCTGAGACGACCGCTCATGGGACCTTCAAAACATGGTCTCTGTTACCAGGTGGTCTCTTTATCCAGGGTCAATTGACTGGAAATAGCATCCCTTGGTCCTGGTTTCAGTGGTCCTCTAGTACAGGTGGTCACCTTATCCGAGTGGTCACCTTTACAGGTTTTACTGTAGTATGTCAAAACGTTCTCAACCATTTAACCATTTAACCATTTAACCATATTCTTAGTGCAAGGAAAGTGTGCAGTGTTCTCACCCACTACTATACTTCTGGTGTTGCAATGCCAAGTACTGAAAAGTTGACATCTCAAGTGCCAGGCGGACAACCTACGAAGATGACGACAACATTTAGTAGAGGCATCAGAAAGAAAGGCACTTTGAAAGCAATCATGTGACTGGAAGAAGGCTTTGTTGTTTTGAGTGCGTTGATTAAAAACGACTTTGGTTCAGTTCTTTGCAAATATTGCTGATGTTTTGAAAATCACCCAACCCCCGTTCTTGCTGCCGATGCCTCACATCTTGTCCGAGTACGCATGACGCAAGTCCCCGATTGTTGCATGCACCGTTGACATTTCTTTGACGAAACACATGTGTTGGTGTTTACTGTTGCACTGTGTGTGCATGCATGCGTGTTGTGCTTACGTGTATGCGTCATGTGTAGGTCAATCTTGAAAGTCCATCTGATGAGTGGCTACCAGCACTGCAGCAGAGTGTTTACGACACACTGTACCGCTCTGCTAGTGCTATCGTGAAGGAGGCCAGTACAGAGCCAGTGGAGCACTATTGCCTGGAGGTAGGAGAGTGCTGTCTACTTTCCGCCGTTATTGGGTGCCATGAGAAATCCGAAATCTTCATTGGCAGCATGCTAAGTAGATATCCACCTGATGTTATTGATAACATCACATGCTGGGTATTGATATGACGTGATTTTGTTCTGTGTTCATTGCACTCTCACACAGCTGGGTTCTGCCTGATATAAATTACACGGTGCCACATTTGATAGTATTTGTGGCCAGCAGATTCCCAGGAGATCTTACATAATGATGTCATTCTCTTACATAATGATGTCATTCTGTTTTCTACTTTTTCCCTGTGATAACAGTGGCCATTTCAAGTTGCTGTCATTGGCCTGCATCAACAGTGGACGAAAGACTGCCATCAGGTTGGTGCACGTTGATTTGTATGTCAATTCATCTGGCTTCGTTGTACGTCTATTAGGTCTTAGGTGCATGTAAATTGCAGTCTGCGTGTGTTCGTGCGTGCGTGCATGCATGCGTATGCGAGGGAGATGGGGGGGGGGGGGGAGAGAAGACGGGAGAAAGAGACACAGAAAGAGAGAGAGAAAGAAAGAGAGGAAGAGCGAGATCACCCAACCTGATGCAGTGTTCAGTAGTACTGACACTGCTTCCTTGTTGTTGTTGTTGTTGTTCTTCTTCTTCTTCTTCTTCTTCTTCTTGTTCTTCTTCTTCTTCTTCAATCCAGGCTATTCTAGATGGCCGTACCGATCGTCAGTCGCTATCCGCTTTCCGGACAAAGTTTCAAGCACATGTCACCCTGATTCAAGGTATGCTCATGAGCAGCAGTGACCGCAAAGGCAATCAGCTGGACACCCTGGGCTGGCAGAAAGTGCAGAGCATGCTAGCGGTGAGTAGTCAGTATACTGTGCTGCACCGGGCACCTTGGTCTAGTCATTACGCGTGTCAATTTGTGTTGTGCGTTTTGTTACAATGTAGTAGTAGGAACATTAAACTGACACGGGCATGCGCGTATAGCTCACATGCTTGTGCAACAGACAACTGATTTTTAAGGTGGTAATGACATTCGGATATAAAATAGCAATGTTTCTTCAGAAGCTTTCTCGCTCCTGCCTCCAGTGTGCGCATGTCACTCATGTGCTCTCTCTCTCTCATGGTTATTCCCCTGTTTTGTATGGCATACTGTGCTTTGCATACTCCTTTTCAGTTTGCTCTGTGTCTCCGTGATTCCGTTGACGATATTGTCAAGAAGAAGGTGCGCAACACGACAGACTTTGACTGGGAGCGATACCCTCGCTACTATGTAGAGGATCCCGTTGCAGTCAGTAAGTCATGGGATATGCCCTTGTACATGCATGCACACACACACACACACACACACACACACACGCACGCACGCACGCACGCACGCACGCACGCACGCACACACGCATGCATGCATTCATGCACGCACGCACGCACACACACACACGCACACACACACATGCATCTGTACATTGAATACTAATGCTTTCATCTGTGCCACTATCGTATGCTGACTGTCTTACTAAGTCCTGGTGTTTCTGTGTTGCAGACGCGGCCGGGGGTTTGCCAACGGTCCAGTTTGGCATACTTCAACACCGGATAGCGTACGGTGGCGAGTATCAAGGTAGCTCCATGCAGCTTGGCGTCACACCGCTCACCGACCGGTGTTTCATCATGCTGGCACAGGTATGCGTGGCCAAGCTGAGTGACTGCTACCATGATGAGTTTGAAGTTTTGATGTGGAAACTTGTAGCAATCGGGTGATATCTTCCAACTATCCTTTGTGCTGTAAATCTGCATTTTTGTGAATTCTGATTCTGTAGGGACTGTAAATTTGCTTATCCCATAGTGCTTAGTCACTGCTTACCAAGTGTTGCTGGTTGTCGTTATCTTGTCTTCTTTCTTTCCTTGCTTGGTATGGTGCAGGCCATGTCCACGTATCAGATAGGATGCCTTGCTGGCAACTACTCGGCTGCCAAGACTGAGACAATCAAGGTGAGTTACCACGGAAGAACTTCTATACCACACATGGCTCCATACATAGCTAATCACACATGCGTGTTGGACCCAAACCATGCACGTTATTTTCCGCAATACATGTGTATGTACTATGTGTGCCCTGCGCATGTGTAATGTGTCTTTGCAGATGCTTGCCCAGTCGTGCGGTGCCTTTTTGAGAGTGGTTGCCTGCTCCAGCTTGCTGGAGGCACAGTCCGTGCTGACAACGGTCAGCGGGTGTTCTCAGGTAGGTTTACTCATTGCTGCTATGTGTCTTGTTCATGTACGCATGCACAATGTGTAACCGTATACTCTCAGCACTCAAAGCACATACTTGTAGTTACGTAAGTAGTTATCATTCGTTCATTGTCTCACAAGAAGAAGAAGAAGTCAAGGCAGTGCGAGTATGCGCACTGCTATCCATGCATTACTACGGTGTACTATTTATGTGTATACAAATTACGTGTCATAAAGTAGCCATGCTACACATGCACAATGTGTACGCTGCCTAATTCTATGGTAGACTTATCCATTGCTGTGGTCTGTGTCCTGTGCATGTTTGCATACACGGTGTGCACACTGCCTATTTCTAGGCTGCATTCTTGCTGTATGTCGGGTATGTGCGTGGGGTGATATGTTAAGATGAGCTTACTGTAAATATACAAAATTTCGGCGCTGCAAAATTTCGGCACTTCGCGATTTTTGACATTTCGGCGGCGATTTATTTTCGGCGTGGGGTAGAGGGCATGGTATAGTGCGACAGATGCTGTGAAAAATTTCATCGGCGTTTTAATTTAGGCGTTTTGGGTCGGTGCCGAATATAGCCGAAATTAAATAGCTGCCGAAAATTTGTATATTTACAGTACCCTAAGTGTGCATGTACATTGGTATGCAGTAGAGCGGGTTCAGTGGTGATCTGACTGATTTTGTTCTTGTGCTACTTGTCATAGGATGGCAGCTGGCTGTGTTTCCAGGACGTGCATCTCCTACAGGGCATCGTCCTGAAAGCGCTGGCCAGTCACATGAAAGATCTGCTCGAGTCCTTCAGGCAGAACAAGACGCGGTGCGTGCTGCGCACCGGCCAGTCGTTCCACATCAACCGCCACTTTGCAATCTTCACCACAGCCAAGCTGGATGGCGACCTGCCGTGGACCCCACCAGGGTACATACGTGCACAGTTCCGTACGGTCTCGATGATCAAACCGGATGTGGCCATCTCTATGCGCCTCGCCTGTATGGCCAACGGCTTCAAGGCTTTCAAGGCGATCGGTGACAAGCTTCTCATGCTGTCCACTATATGTCGACAGCAGGGGTGAGGTGCTGATCATGCTCTGTGTTGCCACTGGACAAGTTACTAGTATTGCCTTGCACCATGGATAGAGCTAGCTGGAAGCTTAACTCATCAAAGATCTGGTTTACTCCCTGTGATCACAAGTCGGATAATAATGCTTGTGCTTGTTTTTCTGTGTTTTTCGCCCCAGGCATGGAAGCCCAAATCTAGACTTTGGCCCAGTAGAGCTACTGGAAGTAGTGCGCTCTGCTGGGGAATGTCGTCATCTAGCTGTGGACTGTATCAACACATTCCTGTCAAGACGGAAACATCTAAACGATGAACTGACTCAGCTAGTAATCCAGGCAGCTACCAGAGGTCAGCTTGTGACTCAGTATTGCGTGTGCCATGACTCAGTATTGCATGTGCCATGTCTAGCTGGTTTGCTCCATTCACATATTGTCAAATGTGTCTGTCTGTCTGTATGTCTGTCTGTCTGTCTGTCTGTCTGTCGGTCTGTCTGTCTGTCTGTCTGTCTGTCTGTATGTCTGTCTGTCTGTCTCTCTCTCTCTCTCTCTCTCTCTCTCTCCCTTTCACACCCGCACACACGTATGCACGCACACACACACACACACACACACACACACACACACACACACACACACACACACACACACAGTTCGGCGAGCTTCACTGATCACGCTTGCTCTAGTGCAATGCTGCTACTGCACTGTACGCATAATGTGCAGACAAACTCATTGACGTTGCATGATGTGTCATGGTCATCTTTGCAATCTCCTTCCTCTTGATCGTATATGTTGATGCTGTGATATCGCTACTACAGATCCTGGCAGTAAGCTGGTCAAGCGGGACAAGTATGGCATAGACGCATTGTTCACGGCCAAGGTGGAGACACAGATTGTTGGAGAAGTCTTGAGTCACCACTACAGCTGCAAACTGAGTCCACATGTAAGCGAATACATGTAAAACGAATTGAGGAAATGAAAATTGAAGAGAGTGCACATGGCAGGGAGTGCAATATTTGCTGATCCACACGTGCACGTGTGGTCCCAAACATTGGCTAATTCCTCCTTTTCGCCTGCTGCTTGTTGCTGTTGTGCATTTCACCATGCTTGATGCGGTGATAGATATTCTTCAAGCTCTAAGACATGTCATGCACGCGAACACACTGACAACACAGCAGTGAAGCTCGATGTGTGTTATCATGTCTTTGCTTGGGCCGAATGTCGCTATTCTGACGGGATGGTGTGCTTTAGGACCGAGGCGTGTTTGCGTACGTGCACAACGGCCTGTTTGCGACGGAAAAGGAGAGAGCGGTGCCGTCAATACTGGAGCTGTCACGGACACACCCATACCCGCAGGATGTCATGCTTGATATGGTGAAGGACACTGCGGAGGAACTGAAGATCTCTGCGCCGCTGGCATGGCTAGAGCAAGCCAAAGTCATGTATGAACAAGCTTACCACTTCCCAGGTGAGTCTGATGCACCTTATGTGTCACATTTAAAATTATCTTTGTCGTAGCGTTTGCCATAGGACTATGTACAATAGGGTTGTGACCAGCTTTGGTGGTGGCAGCACTGGTGACGGACCATTCCCTGGTGCTCCGTGTCAAGTGAACACAGATATAGCTGCGTGATTGAAGAGGTACAGGGGGCACGCATACATTAGTATTATACTCCGTCTGCTGCCAGCACTGGTCTGTTCTTTGTGTAATGCTATGGTAGAGCGAAACAGTTGCTGTCCACAGATTCGAATAATGCTATGGTATAATATGTGATGGGCGTCACAGGGCAATGGGGAGTGGCATGACTGGGAGTCCGGGGTGTCCCCCGTGGAAAAAATCAGACTTTTCGGCCAACAGGGCATGTTTTAGCGCTCTTTATTGCTTTTTTGGATGAATTGGACGGACCATGGTCGTACTGTGTGTGACACCCCTGTATGTACTGTGCTGTTCTTCAACTACAGCTCTGATTGTGACGGGAGATATTGGTAGTGGAAAATCCACACTCATCAACGTCATGGTGAAGAGTCTTGACACGCTGTGCAGGCACATTGCCAGGGACCACCCGATAGTCTTCAAGCTGCTTGAGACCGTCCTTGCCGTGATGTTCAACACGCCGCGAGGCCGCATGAAGCGCTTCAGCCCGCTGGACGATGAGATACTGCGCGACGTCGGCGACTTGGCGATCAACGAAGGGCACCGTCTGTTCCGCGTGCATCACGGCGCTGCCTCCAAGCCGGATCTGATGATCGGCCACCGCGAGCCAGCCAGCAGGAACTGGATAGATGGTGTGGTGACGGCGCATATACGCAAAGCACAGAAAGTGAGTCCAGTGCACGTGGTGGTCCGTCCAAGGCATGGCTTGTCCCAGCCCCGTGCTGTCTGTGATGATGATGGTCACTTGTGTCCAGCTGTAGTGCATGCACACGTAGAATGTGATGGTTTCGATTCTTTCGAACACAGTACTAGCCCAACATGTACAGTATAGTAGCATACATACATCACGTTACAACGGAGGCGAAAGGCTGTGTAGCTGTCGTATAGTAACATACCCATCCACTGCCTTACGAATATGAGCGCTGTTTGTGCGTCTGTGTGTGTGTTTTGCTGCAGACCAATGATATGTCCTGGCTGTGGCTGGACGGTCCCTTGTCTGCGCCATGGATGGACATCTTCACCGGCCTTGTGCAGGATGAAAAGGTACAGTAGATGGCGTGCACGCGTGCTCCAACATGCTCACGGACAAGTTGTGTGTGTCGTACGTCGTAGCAGCCTTGCCTCTGTTCCTTCGCCTGCTGCTATTCTGGATGAACATAGATTTGTGTATAAATTTGCATCTGTGTGTGTGTGTGTGTGTGTGTACATGTGTGTACGTGTGTTCGTGTGTGCATGCATGCGTACGTGTGTACACATGTGTTATATATGTGTATGCGTGTGCATGTCTTTGTGAACTGCTGTCTGTACATCTTTGCTTTCTCTCAATCTGCACTGACAACAACACACAACCTGGCTGTTACTGCTCAAGACCTTGCTGTTGCCAACATGCGAGCAGGTCGTACTGCCAAAGACGTGCAAGCTGATATTCGAGTGTGATGATATCATGTCTGCATCCCCATCACTGATTGGCCGCTGTGTAAGTCTTCAGTGCAATACTGGTATTTCAAAACGCCCGGACGCTCGTAGCGAGCACACTCCTCGTTGGTGTAGCCCAGAGACCCCGTTTTAAAAAGAGTGTTGTGAAGATGTGTTGTCAAAAGGGGCAGGGACAACAGATGTATTGTTAAAATTCAAATCGGATGCAGTTTCAAACCTTCGAAACATGATCGAGCTGTATGCCCAAACTTTACATACTGCTGTTGGTTTCGCGTAACTGTGTTACCTCGACTTTTTGCCATCAAGTTTTACTGTTTCGGGGTTTGGGTTTCAACTGACATCTATATCCAGTGGGCTAAGCACCGGTGTACTCAGTGTTCTGGGGAAATCAACCTGTTCGTGTATTGTTGTTTTGCTTCAGGGTGTCGTGCGAATTTCTAAAAAACTGTTGACCTGGAGGGAGCAGATGAATGTCTGGCTTCACTCGCGACCATCTTATGAATCTGAGGTACGTTTAATAATGTTCTCTGCTTTGATTTGTTTGGCCTCACAGTCACACCATCCTAACACGTCCACATGTGCGGGGTGTGTATATGGGTACTGCACAAGACTTCTTGCCATTGGAAGGAATATACTGTTGGACTCAGTAGGCAGTCGGGAGGGCAGAATACAGTCAGGACGTTGATACTCTAAGGCACGATGAGGATAATTTTCTTTGTCAAAATGTCCCTGGTGCTGGACATGGATAAGGTGAAATTACTGTGTCAGCCAGATCCTCAGAGAGCAACACTCACTAGTCTTCAGGTGTGTGCTATACTTTGGTTTTGCTGTCAATCTTCTCTCTCTTTCTTTTTTGCCTTCTCTTTCAGCCACTTCTTCCCATATTTGAGCGTATCTTGGATCACCTGATGAAGTACATCTCAACCATTGAGCAGTAAGAAAGCACTCCTTACTTGTATGAGTGAATGACTGGCATGCATCCCAGGTATTTCTCACCATCACCGTGAACACTGCATTGGTGAAAAATAACACCCGTCCGGCCCGGCCCCAATCGGATATGATTTCATGCACTGTGCTGTGGGTAGTACCGAAGATCAGATAATGCATCACATTTCCTGGCACCAGGAGGTTGAGCATTGTCCGGACTCGGCCTGTATTTGCTTGGCCACGATACATTATACTTCAGTGATCTAAATCCAATGTAATAGTTGATTGAATGATTGATTGAATGATTTTGCTTTACGATCGCGTAAGCGTGAGACTTGAGTCGCAATAAAGCCTTGTTCTACCCTATTTGTAAATCCGATGTATGTAATTTGTTGGCTGTAACATATACCTGTACGGTAAGAGTACAGCATGCTGCGCTAGTACTCTTGATGTGCTGTGATTTCACTGTACTTGGCATGTTTTCATTCTGGGAAAATCCCGACAGTATTCTGCGCTTGTTTGTGTTTTTGGCCACTCACTGGGTTTTTTTTTCTCCGCTCGCTGTTCTACAGGCCCAACTTTGTTCAATCTCGAACAGGGCTGATGTCTTCGTGTCTCTCATTGCTTACCGGAATGCTGGATGTAAGTTCTGTGTGTGTGCACGCATGCGTGTGTATGCACGTGTGCAAGGCTGCGATACAGTCCATTCGCTTTCTTTGCCGTCTGCAATGGGCATATTCAATGTGTGTGTGCATGCGTACTTGCGTGCGTATGAAAACGTTCATCTTTTTTGGCCCTAGCATTATGTTGAAGGGTGGATTTAGAATGGAAAGTGCCAAAATTCAAGTGATGCAAGAGTAAGGTTTGCCATTTAAGGTTTGTCATTGAAGCAATAATCCACAGTTTGAAGCATCCAAATTCCAAAACACCGTGAAAGCACTTTGAGGCTGTACATGTACTGCTGTTTTGTATGTGTTGCCGCAGGATATGGGATCTAGCAGTGGTGAGGTTTTGGAGTCTACTCACATGGAGAAGCTTCTGCTATTCTCTGTTCTCTATTCATACGGCGCTGTGGTGCCCATCCAAGACAGGTTTGCGTTCTCACAGCACTTGAGAGGCTGCTCCGACATGTAAGCTGATGGGGTGTTTTGCACAGCTCTTCCATTGTGTTTCTTCAGCTTATGGATTCATTTCATAGCAGTGGTGTTGGATAAGTTTGTTGTTTTCGCTTTGGCTTGGGGAGAGAGAGAGAGAGAGAGAGAGAGAGAGAGAGAGAGAGAGAGAGAGAGAGAGAGAGGGAAAGAGAGAGAGAGAGAGAGAGGGAAAGAGAGAGAACAGGCAATCTATCCGAACGGCTTGACATTCGTCTCATGTTACTCGATCCATAGCTGTACGAGTTTGTACTGTCTGCTTTTGTTACAGCTTCAGCATGAAGTCTTGTATGTTGAGGACCGCTGACGGCAGGGATTCTTGCTTGTATTGCAGCAGAACTGGACATCTCACTTCTTTCTTTTTCCTGCTGCTTTTTTTCTTTTCTTTTCTGGCAGACTACCTGACTTTGAAGGAACTCCGTACACTGCATTTGACTTCTACGTGTCGGACTCTGGCGAATGGGATCATTGGTCAACTTGGTATGTTTAGCCTTGTACTACACACTGGTCTTGTACTACACACTGGTCTTGTACTACACACTGGTCTTGTACTACACACTGGCCTTGTACTACACACTGGTCTTGTACTACACACTGGCCTTGCACTACACACTGGTCTTGTACTACACACTGGCCTTGTACTACACACTGGCCTTGTACTACACACTGGCCTTGCACTACACACTGGTCTTGCACTACACACTGGCCTTGTACTACACACTGGCCTTGTACTACACACTGGCCTTGTACTACACACTGGTCTTGCACTACACACTGGCCTTGTACTACACACTGGTCGTAGCACATACACATACCGTATATTCTCTATTATAAGCGCCGTGCTTATATTTTTTCAACACCCCTCTACCCCGTGCTTATATTGGAGACCGCGCTTATATTGGAGACCGTGCTTATATTTTTTTTCAACCAATACATCCGTACAGAGCAAGAAGAAATACATGCTAGATATCATGCATGCAGCATTGATTTCCACCAAGACCGTGCTAATAATAGAGACTGTGCTTATAATGTTTTGAAAGGTGCTCACAGTGTGCTAGTATTAGAGACTGTGCTAGTAATGGAGACCTGTGCTTTTAATAGAGAATATACGGTAATAAGTGAAAAGCTGCTGCCTATTCTTTTTTTGACTATCAGTGTATAGCTGATAACTATATCTGCAGGTGATATGAGTCCAGTGTCGTGTCTCGTGTGCACGTGTGTGATCTCTCGTGTGCACGTGTGTGATCTCTCTTTGTTGACAGGCTCGACGATGCTGAGGATAAGCACAGCGACCCGCTCGATCATTTACTCGTCGAAACCACCGAAACGGTGAGCTGTTTAAATATCTACGGAGTAGTGCGATACATGTACTGATACTGAATCAGAGGGAGAGGGGTGTACTACCGAGTAGCAGTGCATTTCATAATTTCTTTTTGACTAGAAAACCTTTTTGTGTTCAGGGTATTGCCAATTTCTTCCTATGTTGCCCTGTGTTCGGGTGTTGGAAATTTTCTTATCCCGTGTACATGTTCTGTTCTTGCACTGGTTGTTGATGCCGACCAAAGACTAAAGCCCAGCACTGTAGATGTGTGTTATGATCTGAATGTGGTCGGGTACACCAGTCTTTGGCTGGGCTCTGATGACTCCCCAGATGCGGTGTGGAAGGTGTGCATTCTTTGTGACACCAGATTGAAGGATGTCATACATCAGGTGAATATTTATTGCTTGTGTATTTTCGTATACTGTTGGTCTGTTTGGGCTTTAGGCACAGCTCCGCTTTCTGCTCGGAATGGCCGAGGCGGCCAAGAAAGATATTCTTCTGGTCGGTCCACCCAGTGCTGGAAAATCAGCAGTGATCAACCAGTACCTAACTGACATAAGTAAGTGCATTGTTTGTTTTCATTAGTGTTTAGCTGTGTGTGTGGGTACGTGCCTGCGCATGCGCGTGTGTGTGTGTGTGTGTGTGTGTGTGTGTACATTTGTTTGTGTTTGTGTGTGTTGGGGGGGGGGGGCATACAATGATTGGAATCAGCTGTTGTTGGGTTGGCCAACGCGAACGCATCTTGATACGATTTCTGAGCAGCATCGCTGGCACAAGAGCAGCCAGAGGTATGAGTACATCAGTTTTTTTCCTTAGGCTTTACAGAGCTCCTGTGTGCCAATGGGCAGGGGTGAAAAGCTGGTCCTCGAGTTGCCGCACTTCAAAACACAACGTTTGCAATAGCTTCCACTGTAAATAACCTTGGACTGTAGCTTGTTGGTGTGGATTCCGAGCATGTATGACTCGCTTATCAGGAATTACCCATGGTGTTGCAGATGGCCTAAAGTGTTGATATCTTGTGCTCTGCTCACTTCCCTGTGTTGCTTTTGTTGTTGTCTTGGGTGTGCAGTTCCTGATGCTGAATCCGAGAAGGCAGACTATCTGATACGGCGGTTGGCGTTTTCCTCGGCAACAACATCTGATCACCTCCAGAGTTTCTTGGATTCGTCCATGATACATCGGCAAGGTAGGGCTGGAAAGAAGAATGCCATGATGCGTTGCAATCAGCTGTTGACGACGGCGTGGTAATGGGAATGTTTTATGCTACATTGTTGTCTACCTGTAGAGCGGCATAACTATGCCTTAGTGTGTATGGTTCTGTTAGGTAGCATAACTATGACTTAGTGTGTATGGCTCTGTTAGGCAGCATAACTATGCCTTAGTGTGTATGGCTCTGTTAGGCAGCATAACTATGACTTAGTGTGTATGGTTCTGTTAGGTAGCATAACTATGCCTTAGTGTGTATGGCTCTGTTAGGTAGCATAACTATGCCTTAGTGTGTATGGCTCTGTTAGGCAGCATAACTATGACTTAGTGTGTATGGCTCTGTTAGGCAGCATAACTATGACTTAGTGTGTATGGTTCTGTTAGGTAGCATAACTATGCCTTAGTGTGTATGGTTCTGTTAGGTAGCATAACTATGACTTAGTGTGTATGGTGGCTCTGTTAGGCAGCATAACTATGACTTCGTGTGTATGGCTCTGTTAGGGAGCTGTGCATACTGTGTGTAGGGCAGCGTCATTCCGCCTGGGATGATGTTCTAACTTACACCTAGACATGCTGGTAGCTACATGCAGCCGAGCGCTGTTGGAGTTCACGTTGAGTTTGTTGTGATTTCACTACAATTATGTATGTGCTACAGGATTGACGTTTGGGCCACAGCATCAGAAGAGGATGGTCATTTTCATTGACGATGTCAACTGTGCAGCCCATGATCAGGGTACATGTCAGTCAGCCATCGAGGTACTAATCACTTAAATGAACAACACTGGTGAATAAGGCCTGGGGCTTGTGTGTAAATTATGAACTCCATCGCTATTTGAGCTAGCACATCGTGGCAGTGGCATATGCTGTACGTACGTGCTGGCTTTTGCACGGCTTCCGTATCGGCGTTGATCTTGTGTGCTGGTGTTTCCCTCTCTATATCAGGATAAACACAGCCTTAGCTGTCCACTGTCATTGAGCATAGTTATAACATGTGTATCATTTTATCATTGCACTCAACAGCGTGACTAAAATGTATAGTGTTGGACTTGATAGCTTCCACAAGTACGTTCACTGCCTTCTTATCAGGTGGTTACAGGCCAAAAACGAATCACAAACAAATGTGCATTCTACAGCATTCTAGGCGGGTGGCAAGTCAATGTTTTCGTTTGTAGCCCAGCAGCCATCTTATTATGTATTGTTTCTGATCTACAGTTGCTGCGTCAAGTTCTTGAGACACGCACCCTGCTTGACTACAAACGTTCAGGCAACCAAGTTCACACGCTGGAGGATATCAGGTTTATTGCAGCAGCAACTCTGCCGTACAATGGCTGCCGCCTGGAAGTGTCGCAGAAGATGATGGTAAGCCCGAGAGAGAGAGAGAGAGAGAGAGAGAGAGAGAGAGAGAGAGAGAGAGAGAGAGAGAGAGAGAGAGAGAGAGAGAGAGAGAGAGAGAGAGAGAGAGAGAGAGAGAGAGAGAGAGAGAGGAGGGAGGGAGGGAGGGAGGGAGGGAGGGGGAGCTATCCTGAGCAGAACCTGGGTAGCATAGATGTGTGCATGCGGTGGGTTTGAGTGAGTGTTGCCATGTATGATGCAGGCATGGGCAGTAGTTCTATTTAGTGCTCTGCAAGCTGGGACTAAATTATCATAAGTGGCTACCATATTTTTCTGGTTATAAGTCAACCTGTTACACAGCACAACAAGGGTAATCAAGGCTAGTTTCATGCTTATGCAATAACATCAAGTTGCCTAATGATTGCGTAAACATGAAACTCAGAGTAGCGACAAACTAGTCTTGCTTGCCCTTGTTGTTCTGTGTATTACGCTCTGTCTCCGCCGTGGTGTTGAGCAATGTCAGCACACTGGCTGCATCCTCCGGTGAGTCGACCTTTCAAAAACCGAACTAAAAAAAGTAATCCGACATCTACACCTCCTGCACTTGCTGCTCATAGTGTCGTCTCTTCTCAGCTTCATGCTTGTTGAAAGCAGATTGGATGTGGGTCGATCGGTTTCAAGCTGCATGTGGGTTGAACAATGAATACCCGTACATCAAGAAAGCAGCATTCAAACCGTCCGCCCCACACCCCACCTGCCACAATGTCAAGCCGTGCCTGGTCAGCAGATATAGGCGTCCGATGCCGAAACCGCTCACCAGTGAAGGGTTGAAGGTGGGGTTCCACTACAGCATTGTAGGCCACTCTCCGGAGCATGCTAGCGGTGGCGTCACACACCTCGCTGTGGCGTATTGCAGGAAAGCCACCCTTCGAGCACGACAAGGCGTGGCACGCATCAAAATTGGCCCCACGGGCACAGCTACTGGGAAAACCAGTCAACGACCAGCCATACTGAAGGGCGATGCCGTCTCGGAACTCATCCTTGGTCAATGCAAAACCGTGGCGCTTCATGGGGCGGCAAGTCAGCCAACTGGAAGCTCCAGGTTGCGAGACCAATTGACAAAAATCGGATAGTTCTGTTGGCGCTGCCGCAAAGAAATCCAACACATTGCGTTTGGTAGCACGTCGATTTGCTGCAGACAGCTTTCGTTTGGTGGAACACATACAAGCCAAATAATCACCGGGGGGGGGGGGGGGGGGGGAGGAGGCTTGTGAATGAATGTATTCCGCCAGAGGTGCAGTAATACCGTATTTCCCCGTAAGTTAGTATGTACTAACTTTCGAATTTAGCAGCCACATGAGTACTAACTTTCGGGGGTGGTACTATCTTTCGGCGGGTACTTTTTTATCGGGGGTAAATGACACACAGTGGGAAGCCCGCGCAACTCTAGTGTCCGTGCACATGATGTATGTACTGTACGGTGTCTGTGCATGTAGGACGGGTACGAACTTACTATCTTTCGGGGGGAACTGTCTTTCAGGGTGATAACCTCGGCAGTGGAAAGTGTATTTTTTATAGGGGGGTACTAAGTCATTGGGGAGAACTAACTTACGGGGAAATACGGTAGCCTTTGATGTTTCATACTGGCTGTGAAGAGATGTTGAGTTTACGATGCCTAAACCGTCATATCGACATGGCAACGGAATCATCGCAAGTAATCGAAATAGACTGGTACACCGTCGATGCCTTGCACGATCTGTTCAATGATGCGCTGCCAAATTGACGGGGAGCTGAAAACACCAAGCGGCAACCTGATGTATGCATACATACCATGGTGTGTGGAGATTTCACACAGTGTCTGACTCTCACACAGTGTCTGACTCTCACACAGTGTCTGACTCTCTGTACGGACCTTTAACTGTGCAATTGCCTTCATAAGTCAAGCTTGGAAAATACTCTGCCCACCCAGAGACAACAATAAATCTGTGGGATTGGGAATGAGATGCTGCTGTGGATGAGCATGTTTATTGATGGGCACTTTCGAATCAGCACACAAACGGATGTCTCCATTACGTTTGCGAACAACTACAACTGTTGAAGGCCACTCAGCGGCATAAACTTTCTTGATGATGCCCTCACACTCCAGACGATCCAGCTCTTGATCTACTTGAGTAGTGTATGGTCCCTGCCTAGACCATACAATGATCTAATCATGCAGTCGTCAGGCGAAATAGCACGTCATCGTACATTTGAGATCAGCGGGAAGAAGATGACGACGTCCACTAATTTAGTATCTGTGCACACAAATCTGCTGTGTGTGTGACTCTGTGTGTCAGCTATGATATCATCTTCTGTGGTTCCATGCCTAGCATGTACGTCTGAACCATCCTGCAAAGTTTGAATGACGTAGGTTGAGCGATCGCTCCGCGAAATATACTTTTTGAAATTCTCTTCATAGTATATCTTCCACCATTGAAATTTCGAATTTCTTCAAAAAAAGTGCTGAGAGGGGTGGCTTGCAACCTCGATATGGCTTGTTCCAGGTATGCGTTGGAGCCATCTTCTGTTGAAGTAGTGGCGGGGATCTGCCCTGCAACTGCTACAACAAAAAATGATTCGATCTGAGAAAGGGTGAGACCGCGAATCTCGGTTGAATATTGAGTATTTCAAGCCTTTTCACGACGAAGATGGAGTTCTTTTTGGAGATGGACGTCGCGGCAAAGGACATGGTGTCCGACGTCTGGCGTCTGGTGAAGCCAGGGATCATTTGTCCAGTCAGGTCGGCAGCCTAACCGTCGGTAAGCTTGTGTTTGGATCCCGTTCTGCTCGATGTGGTAGATCACAAACAATTTGATATCGCACAAATTGATCTCAGCATCGTGCGTACGGTATTTTATATTCAGAAAATCCCAAAGTGTCTCTGTATGGCCGTTCTATGCCACGAGAAACTCCAATCAGGCTCCTATGTCCTCTGCCTTCATGATTGAACGTCCACTTCGTTTGAACAACGAACACAACAATCGAGGACGGCTAAATACAGCTATACTGGAGCTGAAAAAAAGAAGAAAAAAAACGTGCTCAGGATGAGACTCGAGTACACGCATACTCTCCCAGCAGGTGAAACGCAATTTTTTTGTGAAAAATGCGTGACGCCGACTGACCAGTAATTTCGCCTGACGTTATACACACACGTAACTGGCTCACTCTGAACGGCTCTGAACTCGGAATGTAATTATCTTCAACCAGACTCAGCTGCAGCAAGAGAAGACTGCCTCCGAACATCCCAAAACCAACTTCACACGAGCATGCATCTCTCGTGCGCATGCTCGTGAGAAGTCATAATAATATGACTTGACTGAGGGACACAACAATTCCCCCACCACTAGAAAAAGACGAACATGGAAAACAGTAATAAGAGTGGTTCAAATACGTATGGATGGCTACTATGCGAGTGTCTGATCTGCAACCAATTATGTCATCATTCGCTATAGAATTATAACCGATACCCATGGCTGACATAGTAGCTATTCATGTATTTATGACGGCTAATACCTATAATTATTTGAACTATTTACAGAAACAAGATTTGTATACACATTATAATACAGTTCATGACCACTGCAGTAACTGGAAACCACTACTTGGCTTGAGTGCGGTACCGTTCAGGTATGACAACCTGGCGGCCGGACCGGGTCGTACTAGTGTTCTGACCAGGTGTCGATGGTGTTGGCATTCTAGACTCAGACTCACTATCCGTAGGTATTGTCGTGGTTGTTGGTGTAGGCCCGGCTGACTGTTGACTGACTTGACGGTTGTTTCTCAGCGGTAGTAGGACTTGAACTTGAAACTGTACCGGTAGAAGAAACACTGGGACCAGTATCAGCGGATGACGATGGAGCCTGATGCGTCGATTTAGGGGGAGCTTCAGCCACATCCTCCCTCACAAACTCAGACAAAGGAACTGAACGTGCTCTCAACTGGTTGCGATGACGCTTCCACAAAGCATCCTGAACTTGAACTTGGTAGTTGACTGGACTGATGACTGACACGATGCGACCTGGGACCCACTTTGAACCATAAGAGCCAAAATTTAGAGTGAACACAGCGTCGCCTGGTTGGAATTCTGGGGTCTTGTTCATGTTGCGTTCGTAAGCGTCAACAGACGGTTTGGCGGTCTGTTTTAGCGTGTCAAAACGGGTACGTGGTTGACGCATCATAAGCATCTCAGCTGGTGACTTGTTGTTTGCTGAAGGGGTTGTACGATGTGACAGGAGGAAGCGTTGTAGCGTAGCGTGTAGGTCACCCTGCGTACCCATGGCTTTCAATTTTGACTTGAAAACCCCAACATAGCGTTCTGCTAACCCGTTGGTTGCCGGATGTCCAGGAGCGGAACAAGTGTGTCGAATGCCATTCTTGTGTAGGAATGATTGAAATTCTTCACTCGTGAATTGTGAGCCGTTGTCCGATACGATGTGATGTGGTAGGCCAAACAAAGCGAAGACACGGCGTAAAGCAGCGATAGTAGTAGCGGACGTTGCACGGTCCATAGGAACAATATCCAGAAATTGAGAATATGAATCAACAATGACAAGAAACATCTTGCCCATGAAAGGACCGGCGTAATCAATATGTAAGCGTTGCCAAGGTCCCGTCGGCCATGACCAGCTACCAAACTCCTTCGCTGGCAGGCGTGCTTCAGCTTGGCATTCCGGACACTGAGCGCAAACCTGCTCCAAATCTCTGTCGATACGAGGCCACCACATGTAGCGACGTGCCAAGCGTTTCATACGAACTACACCTGTGTGTTCATAGTGAAGATCGTTCAGCAAGAACTCACGTAATGATTCTGGAACAATGACACGATCGTTCCAAAGAAGGATATTGTCAGACACAGACAACTCCCAGCGCTTCGCAAAGTACGGCTGTAGAGTTTGATCAATGGTTTCCGGCCACCCATTCAGTACATGGTGCCAAACTGTCTTCAGTATAGGATCCCGTTGCGTTTCGGTAGCAACTGTGTCCGCATT